CTGCCTTCCCTCTGGGGCAAAAACATCGCAGGGACACAAACCTTGGAAGCCCCGGGCCCCGATGCGCCACGGGCCCTGCAGACACCGGGGCGGGCAATCTTCGCCAAAAAAATTTAAAAACACAAATGCCCGGCGCCGCAGTTTCCAAAACCTGCCAAAACTACCGGCGAAAAAACCCTTGCCCGGACTACCTCCAGAACCCTTGGGGCCCCGGACTCGCGGGGCCGCGACGAAAAGAAGCAAGGGGGGCCCCAAGCCGGAACAATGTGGGCCCCACAATATTAGAAAAAAATCGGCAGCCTTTTAGGCGGCAAATTTGCGAGCCATCGGCCGGCTGAGACACGGAGCAAAGCCGCGGCCAGAGTCGTAGCTTCCGCCGCACTGGCACACGGAGCAAAGCCGCTCCCTCCCCAGAATTGGGCGAGGGCGGTGCCCGGTTTCTCGCGCAAACTGGCACGGGGACACGGAGCAAAGCCGCGGCCAGAGCCGTAGTTTCCGCCGCACTGGCACACGGAGCAAAGCCGCTCCCTCCCCAGAATTGGGCGAGGGCGGTGCCCGGTTTCTCGCGCAAACTGGCAAGGGGACACGGAGCAAAGCCGCGGCCAGAGCCGTAGTTTCCGCCGCACTGGCACACGGAGCAAAGGCAAAGCCGCTCCCTCCCCAGAATTGGGCGAGGGCGGTGCCCGGTTTCTCGCGCAAATTGGCACGGGGACACGGAGCAAAGCCGCGGCAAGCGCCGTAGCTTCCGCCAGCCACACTGGCACACGGAGCAAAGCCGCTCCCTCCCCAGAATTGGGCGAGGGCGGTTCCCGGTTTCTCGCGCAAACTGGCGCGGGGACACGGAGCAAAGCCGCGGCCAGAGCCGTAGTAAGTTTCCGCCGCACTGGCACACGGAGCAAAGCCGCCCCCTCCCAAAAATTGGGCGAGGGCGGTGCCCGGTTTCTCGCGCAAACTGACACGGGGACACGGGGCAAAGCCGCGGCCAGAGCCGTAGTCTCCGCCGCACTGGCACACGGAGCAAAGCCGCTCCCTTCCCAGAATTGGGCGAGGGCGGTGCCCGGTTTCTCGCGCAAACGGGCACGGGGACACGGAGCAAAGCCGCGGCCAGAACCGCTGCCGCCGCACTGGCACACGGAGCAAAACCGCTCCCCCCCCCAGAATTGGGCGAGGGCGGTGCCTGGTTTCTCCCGGGAATTGGCATGGGGGTGCATGGCGCAAAAGTGCGGCCCGAAGCTTCGCAGAATCAGCCGGGCGAAGGCGGTGCCTGCCCACTTTCTCGCGCAGACTGGCTTGGGGACACGACACGGGGCAAGGCCGCGGCCTGCGCTTAGTTTCCCAGACTTGGGCGCAGGTGGTGCCCGGTTGGGTTTCTCGCGCCAACTGGCGTGGGCACACGGAGCAAAACCATGGCCAGAGGCTCCCCAGAGTAGGGCGAAGGCGGTGCCCGGCTTCTCGCGCGAACTGGCACGGGGACACGGACCAAAACCGCGGCCCGAAGCTTCGCAGAGAAAGAGTCGAGCGGCCGAAGGCGCTGCCTGCCGGGTGCCCGGTTTCCCGCGGCGACAGACTGGCAGGGGGACACGGACGAGCAGGCTGCCAACGTCTGCCGCCGGCTAGCTTTCAAAAGTCCGCCCGCGCTTCCAGAAGTCCGGGACGGGCCTCGTGACGTTGGTCGGCGGCTTGCGGGATTCCGGCCGGCGCAGACATCCAAAAGCCCGGCCGCACTGGCCAAAGAAAAGCCGGGCGGCGACTTCCGCAAGGCTGGGGGCCGCTTCCTTCCGCAGGTGTGCCGCCGGCTTTTAGAAGTTAGGCCGCCCGCCAAGCGCTTCTCTCCTGAAGTTCGTTGAAGTAGGGCCGCCAGGCAGCGGCGCCCAATGGCCCGGCGCCGACTTCCAAACGCTTGCCATCAGCTTGCAGGCCGGTGTCGGAGTCCTGCAAGTGGAAGCAAACGCGCCACCCCTCGGGCGCCCATCGGGGCGCCCTATGTGGTAGCCCGCTGGGGATGGCGCGGCACTGGCCATTCCTCTACTTCGCGACGCGCGTCCCCGTTGCGGTTGCGTTCGAATGTCGCGAGGAGCAAGCCCGCCCGGCCTCGGAAACTGCTCCGACCGCCCAATGCCCTCCAAAGATGCAAGGTCTCTGCACGGGGGCCCCAGCCCCCGTGCTCGGACCTTGTTTGTAATGCATAATTGCGATTACTACGAGTACGATACTTTTGCACAGGATACATCCGTAGAGCCCGCAAATCATCGGAGTCCTCGAGAATCATCTCGAAATAGAAGGGGATCGTGGCAAAGAAGTCGCACAGCTTCATCGGGGTCAGCATCAGGTCCCAGGCGTTACCGTGGACGCAGTAGTAGGCGACTACGGATGTGATATATTCGAAAGTGAAAAAAACGGTGCAGCAGACTTCTACCTGTTAGATAGGATTTACAGAGATTCTTGAGACTTCGGCTTTATTTCATTTTTGTCCTGCTAATCATAGTCAAAGGGACAAGTCGGACAGCACGTGCAAAAACATACTGAAAAAGAAAATCTTCAGGAATTTTGATTTCTATACCACATAGAACGTCTGGATGTGATCGTAGCCCGCTAAATCTGGTTCCGTCTGTAAAACGAAGGTGCAGACGCTGATCAGAATCACCAGAATCGTAACCGTGTGAATCACGGAGGACGTATCCAGGAAAAAAAATCTCATCCCAAACATGCACGCAGTCCACGTCCAGTGCTTGTCATGCAGAAAATGGATGCTGGGCCTGGGAGTGGGTGCTTTATTTTCCTGGATATGACGTTTTCGAAAACGAGGCACTCTCCAAGGTTTCGTGCAAAGTCCGCCATACGTTATCGTAGTGCACCTCCAAATTTGCACTCGGCAAGATCGGCACTCCCGTCGTTTCATCCACCTGGAGCTTACTGGGCGAAGCCACGGTATGGAAGGGTCAGGATCGAAATCGACTAAGTTGAAATTATAATTTGCCATGCATAACATGGATGCCAATTGTAAACCAGTTTCCAAGTGGCGCATGACAAGTTTGGGTAGAGCCGAAATCTAGTTTGTCATGCTGTTTGGGTAACGGAGACGCCTTTTGTCATGCTACTTTAGCAGCTCTATTTCTACCCCGAAGCAGGCTGACAATCTGCCTCCCTGGCCTACTCTGCAAGACAGGCATTTTGTGGGTTGCATGTTATGCATGACAAACTATTTCAACCTTGACGATTTCGGTTCTGACGCATCCATACACGAGGTCGTGCAGAGGATGACCTAAACCCGGGGAGCCTGCAGTCCCGTTTGGTGTTATCACAATAAAAAGTGTTAACGTTGACGGTTTTCATAGATTGCAAATATGCATGGCAAATTTTGCTTAGCGTGCATGCTACGCATGACAAATTTGGGCACGTTTTGTGATGCATTTCTGCATCACAAATTGAAATTCCGTTTACGTTGACACTTTTTCCTGTGATAGGTGTGCTGGCGAAATGAAACGCGTTTGGGTCTCCGGGAGAGGATATCAAATGTAAAAATGTCTGGGTCTGGAAGAATGCGAGATTTGTGATGCAGGTTTTCCATGACCCGTGCGGTCTGATATGCGAGACCCAGCATGACAGATTCTTTGAGGACTCTATCATGCCTTTCCTGCATCAGAAAATCCCTTTCAACTTGGTCAAAAGCGGAAGGCTTTTGGCACTCACGCAACACAGATTTTTGCATCATTTAGATGTAGCATGAGAAGTTCTAATCGTAATCTTCCAGACCCAGACATTTTTGCAGTTAATAGAGGAGGATGCGTAGCCATGCGGATGTGAGGAACTGGAGGTTGCTAGCCTGCTGGTGTGATGCAACCCCGAGTGGTGGTGCTCGGAAACAAGATGATCAGCATTCGGGGAGGAGTGATGATGCTGAGCATCATCGTCTAGCAATAATTCGTGCGGCGATGTGCAGACGCCGTGCCGGCTACTGCTGTGCAGATGATGGTCCTTCTGGGCAGAGTGGAAGGCAAGTGCAGTAGCCTTGCTGTGACCACCGACGGCGAACATCTTGTCGCGGCTTTGGTGTTCGTGGATTCAGATATTGTTTTCGCTCCTTCTGGAATCCATAGGACAGAAACAAGAACAGAATCTGCTTCGCTCGTCGAACTCCCACTGCTGCAATGGTCAGGGAACGCAAACTCGCACTCGTTACAAGCGCACACACACACTCAACGCAACGCTGCGCTTTATTTTGACCGCTGGCGGTCACTTCATCTCTCCAGCACGGTCTCCATTTCAAAAAACAAATAAATACATCAGCTACACTCGCCTCGTTGATAGAAGCGACGTGACATGATTCAATAGGAGCAGAGTGAGCGCGTAGGAAGCTACTTCGGCCCCTCTGGAGCTGTTATCTTCACCACACTTAGTTAGAATCAGTCCCGCCCTCCTCTGTGAATATGGCACCAAGGTTGATGCTGATTAACAAGTCTGCCGACTTCATTCTGATCCACCAAAACAGCCCTACCATCTAGAGATGGGCTCGTCACTGAGCGGCTGTGGTGGACTAAGTTTTTCTTTCTACACAGTTCGAGCGTAATGCACATCATCGCTACAACGCAACATGGCGCGGATCCATACGCATACCCTGGCCGTCGCTCTGCGAGGAGCTGCAATCGACAGACACGAAAGGAGTAGGGGCGGCGCAAATAAAAACATACATCAGCGCGCCCGGCAGCACTCCACACAGCTGCCCCTCGCTGGATTGCGAAGCGAACAACCCGAGGCCAGAATAGAAAAGAATGAAGCCGCAACGCAGAAGGCCCTGAGCGCGGCCCCCATACATTCAATGCCCATCGGCGGCGTAGCAATGCAACGATAGAGAAACAGGGCGGCCCAGGGCGCGTCCCCGCGCGGGCGGGCCGTGCGCGCAACTACAGAAACCAACGCGCCACGCGGAAGAGGGCGCCGGCAGCGCCACAACAACACAACGCCCCACCTATGCGGGGGGGGGGGGGGGGGGCGCCGCCGCGAAATCTATCGCGCGCCGGGACATTGGGGGCGCGCGCACCTTGAACCCGCCCGCCGGAAGAGTTACCGCAGCCAAATCGCGATGGGCCCCGGGCATGTCCTTCCGGCACCGCTTGCGCAGTTTTCGGGAACCGGCACCAGTAGGCGCCAGCTCGCGGAACTCCGAAGTACTGCGCAACGCCGGAAAACAAAGGCTGGGGGCCAGCGGGGGGCGGATTGTAGGCCGGTGGGCTGAAAATTGTGGGCCGGTGGCCAGATGCTTCCGCAAAGTCGTTCGCCGCGCGAGCTTCCTCAAGGTCGTTCTCCGAGACATCTTCATCGTCCTCAGCGTCGCTCTCCGGGACATCTTCCTCAGCGTTGTTCTCTCGGTAGCCTTGCTGTGACCACCGACGGCGAACATCTTGTCCCTTCGGTTGTGGATTTGCTTTTGCTTCTGGTCCACCGTAGGTTAGTACTAGAACAAGCATGAGCGGAAGGCGGTACTTGACACTCGAGCTCCGGCTGCGAAGCAGGTGGTCAGGTAACTACTAAAGCTAGTACTCATCACACAGACTCAACCAAACACTCTCACTCCGCTTCCCGACCGCAACTCAAGCTTACTGTCACTCCACGATCTTCATGTGAAAAAAATATATTTCTCGTTGATTGTGATCTCATGCTCGGCTCCTGAATCGGAAATAAGCGCTCATGGAATGTGACTGTGAGGGTGACGAGTTCGACTCCATCGCCATTATCTGCTTCGCGTCCACTAGCGGCCTCACACTCGACGGCGCGGCAGCAACAGAGCAGCTGGACACTTCAATCATCAAACCTGGACACTTCAATCATTATCAGCCCCGTTCTTGCAGCCTCTGACTGGAGCTACATCTTCGAACACAAGTGGTAGACTAGCCATTTTTGTCGTGTAAGAACTACAAGAATCAAGATCCAATCTTTGATCTCGTCATGACTTTGTCCTCGCCTCTTCTAAAACTATATGTGATCTTCATTATACCAACTTCATCTCCTCGAAAACGTCGGTGTCAACTCTACTCAGCACCTCCCGCAGCTCCCCCCGCGACCATTTTCGTAGCTCTCGTCGGCATGGTCATCGCCACGCTTGGGTCAATCGAGTCGGGCAACCCGCGGAGTCGGCCCAACAGCATCACGATACACAGCCAGATCTTGCTCCACGCGGTCCAGGACGCGGAAAACGAGGCTGGGTTGTCGACGTACAAAACCAGTCGCTCGATAAACTCCCCATTTGGCAACTGGGCCGGGCTCACTTGCAGCACCTTCCCGCCAGACAAGCTGTATGTCCGGTGCAAAAATGTTCTTGCGCCCGTACTCGTATTGTACTAAGTGGTGCAACATAGATATGCTACATGACAAAACTCTAAGTAATTGCCTTCTCCAGCAACACAGATTGCGTTCTTTGTTCATCTTGGGAAAATTTGTATGAGTATGCAATTTCCATTAGTTCTACATTCTCTACGTAAAAGTACGAGCGCGATGCTTTATTTGCAATGCCAATGCATACTGTACCCGACCATGCCATACGCGGAGATGATTTCGTAGATCAGCTTGAAGAAAGGAACGTCATTGTTCGCCACCGGCTCGCCAAAGTTTTGTGTAGACTATGCATCGTAAAACTATCGTCTTGCCTGAAATTGCATGTAAAAAATCGCATGACAAACTACAAGCGAAATTTGTGACGAAGCTTGTTCCGATAAAGCTATCATGCACACAATAACTGATGCCTGCGTCAGCGCGATAGTTTCATTTGCGAGAACAAGTGCGATAGTTTTGCATTTCATACAGACTGGTCCACCACAATCTTGTCGATGTGGCGTTCGCCACCTCCTTTCGAAGTTGAGGACGTTCTGTTGGTAATATCGGTGCTAGGTGGGTCGTAGGTAATGGTCAAAATGTTGTGGAGGGGCGGCGGGGGATTGTAGCCTGGATCTTCTCCGCCCAGCATAGTTTCTGGGTCTACAAACTCTCCGGCGCGAAGATTGCCTTCGAAATAAAATCCTTGCGCCCGACGTTTTTTACCCTGACCTGCAACTACGGCCTCAGCGACGACTGTGTGGTTTATCTTCCGGGTGCTGCCGGGCCCAGTGTAGTTCTTCTCGTGCTGCTGGTAGCGCACATCACCGCCTATGTGCAGCGTCGTGTTTTTCAGATCTTCTTCGTGCGACCACGTATGCTGGACGCTGGTTCGCTGCTTTTCTGCAGCAGGTTCACGACCCGCTGGTGCTCCTCTTGTGGTTCTATTCCACTTGTAGTTTGAAATGAAGGTTGGATCCGCGCCGTCGGATTTGTTCTTCGCACTTTCCACAGGTACTACCGTGCTTCTCCTACCCGGAAACGGAATCTTCATATCTTCATCTTCTCGACGGTTTTTCCCAGCAGCAAGACTGTCTTTCTTTTGCACCTGGTGTTCCCCGCCGCTCCGGGTCGTCTGCTCCGGCTCGTCAGTGCCGAAGATCCTGTTTGCCGGATTTTCAGCATTTTTCTCACTATCCGCGAATCTCCTCCCGACGTTGTTGCCGTAGTTTTCGCCGTGAAAGTACCCGTAGTCTTGCCTCAAACCACGGTAGCGCTCGGCGTTCCGCATTTTCCGAATGTGATTGAAACCAGAGTGACTCTTCGGAATGGTCGTCTCGAAAGTCAACACTGCGAAAATCACAATCACCAGAAACACCGTGTGCTGCAACATGTGGTAGCGAATTTGCGACCGCAAAGTGTTTATGAACTGCAAAAGTATCGCACTGTCGTATAAATGCATTACAAATTTCCTCAGCATGAGATGAAATAAAATTTGTAATGCGGATTTACCTTGAGAAAAAGATTTGTGATGCATGACTGCAATACGAGTGCGATACTTTTGCACAGGGTAGTGTTCCGCACCTCGCCCGCGCCGTCGTTGACGTTGGCCCCAGTTGCATATCAAATCGTAAAAGTGACTGGGTCCTCTGGAAGGTTAGAACTTGTGATGCTAACTTTGGACTCTAAAAAAATTTGTATTGCATGACCAGCAAGAGGAGTCTAGTTTGTGCTACACGGGAAGGGCGTCTGTCATGCGGAGTAGGCATCAGAAAGCCGTCTAAAAATCTGTGATGCTAGGTCGTGCATTACAGACATCCTGGGCCATGCAAAATATGCATGACAAGTCTCAGAATCTTCCAGACACAGACATTTTTACATTTGATATTGCACCGTCGCCGCCCATGATGTCAATCCCCTCCACCGCCTCCTGGTCTTCAACAAACTGCGTTTTTCGCTCCTTGTCGTTATCTATCCTGTGCAAAAGTATCGCGCTCCTAGTAATCGCAAACATGCATTACAAATCTTGCTCTTAGGGCAAAACTGCATTACAAGTTTTATTTCTCATGCTGAGGAAATTTGTGATGCATTTATACGAGTACGATACTTTTGCAATTCATATTATCCAGGGCGAGGGTGGACTCGCGCCCGAACAGCTTGCTGGCCATCGTCGCAAGACTAGGGCGGGCTGCAGGTACGACTGCTTGTGCTTCTCCCCCCGCTGCAGCCAAGCCCTTGGTCGTAGATGTTGTTCCGGAATTTTTTCCCGAGCTGCTGGCATTTGACCCTGCGTCGGATGAAACAAAAGCTGCTCCTGGCGAACGGCGTTTCTTTAGCTCCTTATGGTCCACAGGGCTGTCCTCGGTGTCGTGTCCTGTCTGCAACTTCTGCATGGTGGTCTTTGTTCGAGTGTTGTTTATTTTGGTCATGGGGTTCTCGTCCTGACGAACTAAATCGTTTTTCGTTCTTGCCCCTGCTGTAGTTGCACTTGCAGCTGCGTTAAGAATCGTGGAAACTTTCTTGTCCTGCTGCAAAGTTGCTGCACCTGCACGACGAGACTCTGCTGCAGGATCCTCATCCTCACCCGAAGACGTCGGAATGTGCAGCGAATTCCCGCCGACGCTCAAATTTTCGTTGCTCGAGGCACGATATGAACCGCAGAAGTATCCTGGTACTCGTATAAATGCATTACAAATTTCCTCAGCATGAGAAATAAAATTTGTAATGCTGATTTACCTTAACAAGAGGATTTGTAATGCATGATTGCAATACGAGTACGATACTTTTGCACAGGATACACGATGCAGCGAGGTTGCATCGTGGTCGTCGACGTTGCTGGTCACGCTGCGATATGAAAAGCAGCACAGGTATCGTACGTATTAGTACTGTACTTCTCATCGCAGTCATGCATTACAAATTTCTTCCCTGAGGCAAATCAGCATGACAAATTCCATTTGTCATGCTGAGCAAGTTTGTATTGCTATTCCTACTATGTAACTTGTTGTACGATACGTTTGCATCGCATATGGGACCGGAGCGTGGTGTGCTATTCGCGGTGATTGTTTGATGATGTTGGACCTTATTCGATATTACAGGGACTTGGAGGAGCTGCGAGGATGTTGTGACTGATGCCCCCGATAGTACCGCTGCTGGGCTACGACGAACTGCTTCATCGGGAAGTTTATTTCGATCAGCATCGTCATCACCAGCTTATGCATAGCAAAACCAAAAGTATCGCACTCGTCGTATAAATGCATTACAAGTTTCCTCAGCATGAGAAATCAAATTTGTATATGCTGATTTACCTTAAGAAAAGGATTTGTAATGCATGATTGCAATACGAGCACGATACTTTTGCACAGGATACAGCTTGCGAAATTCGCAGTCGCTCTAGCGGGTCGACTTCTCGTTCTGGTGGACTCTGAGTTCCCTGCTTGTGCTTCTCCGCAGCTGCTTCCAGAAGAACTCTCTCCTCAGGCTCCGACCGGATTTCATTCTCATTCTCACCGGGCCTGTTTTCATCTTCTACTGGTACTGCTCCTTCGATTAAATTAGTGCCTGCTTCTTGTGCTTCGCCTTCCGGCTTCTGGGGCTTGTCGAGGAGAGCCTTCTTCATGTCAATTGTGTCCATTTGCGTTGTGGCCCGCATATCATTGTCGTTCCTTTCTTCACGACGACCAGCCGCTTCAGCTTCTGTACGCGGTGACCTTGCAGCAGCTTCTTTTGTTGTTCCAGGAGAGCTTGCTTGTTTTCCTTTGATTTGCGTGCCATCCTCTTCGTGTTTCAGGCCTTTTTTAACCGGCGCGTTATCTTCCGCCTCCTCTTCCTCCGGGCTCATTTCCTCCGGCGAAGACTGATCCGCCTGGATTCCTCCCGGGGCGAAGGGCAGACTCAAATCGTGTATATGAACTGCAAAAGTATCGCTCTAGTAGTAATTGCAATACAAATTAGCTCAGCATGACAAATGGAATCTGCCATGCTGTTTTGCCTTGGAATAGAGATTTGTAATGCATGGCTGCGATTACTACGAGCACGATACTTTTGCACACGATAGTTTATCCCGCCGGAGGAAATGCTGGTGTACCGCATTACCATATATGGAATGTAAATTTCCTGTACATGTACAAAAGGCATGACAAATTTCGCCACCTTGCAGAGCCCAACTTGTCATGCTGGACTAGGATTGCAGGCAAGTTTTGTCATGCAGAAACCACACTTGTACGTGTACGGGAAATTTCCTGTGAATACCACAACTGTCGGCGACATCGAGATGTACATGCAGACCAGAACTAGCCACAAAGACGGCAAAGACAGCTATGAACTGCAAAAGTATCGTCCTCGTATAAATGCATTACAAACTTCCCCAGCATGAGAAATAAAATTTGTCATGCGGATTTACCTTAAGAAAAAAATTTGTAATGCATGAATGCAATTACTACGAGTACGATACTTTTGCACAGGATAACAACTCGTTCATGTCGATGTTGTTGCACCCAGTCGTTCGGTATGCAATGTAAATTTCCTGTACATGTACAAAATGCATGACAAATTTCGCTACCTTGCAGAGCCCAGCTTGTCATGCTGCACTAGGATTGAAGGCAAGTTTTGTCATGCAGAAACCCGATTTGTACTTGTACGGGAAATTTCCTGTGGATAGTCGACTCGAAGCCGACTGGAGCAACGCATTGCTGAATTTCAGCCAGTATCCTGTGCAAAAGTATCGTACTCGAATTAATGCAATTCTTGCATTACAAATCTTTTGCTTAAGGTAAATCAGCATTACAAATTTTATTTCTCATGCTGAGGAAATTTGTAATGCATTTATACGAGTACGATACTTTTGCAGTTCATAGCCAGAACGGCGTCTCCGCGGGTTCCTCGTCTTGCAGCGAGGCGTTCTCGTTTGGGTGTGCGTACTTCGTGCTTGAAGATGAAGATGATGCACTCCGGAAGTAAGGGGCAGCTCCTTCTACACTGTCGCTATTGTCGTCCTGTTTCTTGTCCTGTGGAGGGTCTCCGTCTCCTCGTCCCCGCGGCGCCCGCACAATCTGCCCAAATGCCGGCCCTTCCCAGTCGAAGCCCAACATGCAGGCCAAGAGTGAGATATCCTGGAAAAAAAAGTGTTACAGTTACACACTCTGAAGGAAGACAAGCAAGACAGACAACCTTTGTCATGCAGGAGATGCTTGCAAGCCTCATTTCATTCGTATTTTCCCTTACAGTCTGCGCATCACAAGCTTTCTGGGCCATGTCGAGCAACTTTGTGATGCAGAAACTCCAACAAATGTGTAACTGTAACACTTTTTTCCTGTGATATGAGAACACCAGCAAACACTGCAGAAACAGCAGCCACTGGGTGTGCGCCCGGGGGAAGAGGTGGGTGCAGCAGCGCCGCGGGTGCTTCAGGAGGAAGTCGTAGACATCATACTCGTATCAACTGCAAACATGTCTGGGTTTGGAAGAGAAGTGCCAGACTTGTCACGCAGGTTGTCCATGACCCATGAGGTCTTGTATGTAGGACATAGCATGACAGATTCTGCGAGAGGACTTCTATCATACCTATCCTGCATGAGAAACTACTGCGACTGCCTCCTGATTAGGTCAAAAGTGGACAGCTTTTCTTGGGAGTCATGCAATACAGATTTTATACATGATTCAGATTTAGCATGACAAGTTGCTTTGTTCCAGACCCAGACCTTTTATTTTGAATTTGATAACTCGGTAATGGCGTTCGCGGTGGCGAGCAATTTGGTCGACAGCTGGACGTATCCTGTGCAAAAGTATCGCACTCGTATTGCAACGATGCATTACAAATCCTTTTGCTAAGGTAAATCAGCATTACAGATTTCATTTCTCACGCTGAGGAAATTTGTAATGCATTTATGCGAGTACGATTATACTTTTGCAGTTCATAGGACGTCGCGGTAGTTCAGGGGGATGTCGTCGTTTTCCAGACTGTTATCCTGTGCACTTTTCGTCGTCGAGGACGAAAGTTCCGTCGTACAGAAGGCCGCGTCTATCATGTACTAAAGTATCGTACTCGTAGTTGTAATTGCAGCCATGCATTTTACAAATCTCGTTCCGTTCCCAGCAACGCAAATCAGCATATACAAATTCCATTTGTCAAGCTGAGCAAATTTGTGTTGCAATTACCACTAGTACGATACTTTTGCAGTAGTTCATAGCGGCCAGGAGGAAGCCATACTTTTCTCTCTCCGTCAGGACTTGAATCTTGTTGCACGCACTCACGATGCTCTCGTGCTCACGGAGGGGCGTGGTCTTCTTGAGGTGCTGCTTCTTGTTCCCCGAGGTCTTCAATTTGTCCCGGCGCGAGTTCGTGTTCGCCTTAGAACCAGATGCAGTACCAAATGACGTCGAGTGAGCTGGAGCTTTGTTGAGCAGATCGTCATCTTCATCTTCTTCCTCCATATCAATTGCTGTAGTTTCAACAACATGGTCCACACTCGCAGCAGCTGCTTCGAGCTCCAGTTGCGACTTCTTTCTCTTCAATCGTGCCAACTCGGAGCGCAGCAAATCTATTCTCGTCGCCACATCGAGGAAGGAAGTCCGGCGGACGGTCTGCGCGAGCGTGACCGGGGACAGCGCGTCTAGGTCCGTAGGACGACCGGTGGGTGGTTTATTTTGTAGCTCTTTATGGACACCAGGAGTTGTCAGAGTCGTGATTGATGCCGATCCGGTTGTTTTGTCGGCAGGAGAAGGTGCAACTGGACGATCTATTTCCTTGTCCAACTTTGTTTGTGCATCATCGTGCTCCTGCTCCCCAACGGCCGCCTCCTCAATCGCTAACGCCGTGGAAGTACGCGTCGGCTTGCGGTTGGCACGTAGCCGCACAAGGGGTTTGTTGTCCTTGCTGACCCTATAAGTCGGCTTGTTGGACGAGGAATTTGGGTTTGCAGCAACGCTGCTCGCGGTCGTCGTGGCAGCAACTTTTAGCTCATGATCTGGGGCAGATGCAGATAGTCCGGCAATAACATCCGGCTTCGCTTGCGCTACGTCCACCTCCTGGCTCATCATCTTACGAGGTTCACCCGTCTTACCTTTGGATGCTCCTGGTCCTGGTTTCACATCTTCAAGGTTACCAAGATTTTCAGATGAATCGAGTAGGTCAAGAGCATCTACTTCCCCGTCAACATCATTTTCCTTCTCGGCCAACACTGGACACAACGCCGCCTCCCCGCTCGCGTCATCCCCAGCCAGCAGCTCACTGATCGTGATCTGCTTTTCCGGAAAACGAAAAGCGAACTCGCGAAGGATGACGAGCACCAGTCTCAGCAACATATGCGTTGCAAAAGTAATAGCGCTTTAGTTCTAGTAGTAATTGCAATAGTACAAGTTCGCTCAGCATGACAAATGGAATTTGTTATGCTGATATGCCTTGGGAGCGAGATTTGTAATGCATGTGACTGCAATTACTGCGAGCGCGATGCTTTTGCACAGGATAAAACAACGGGAAAAACGAGTTCCCGGCGAGAACGACCAAGGGCATATGAGAGTGCACAACCCCCGCTCCCCCTCATTTGTCATGCAAAACACCAAATCCAAGCGCTGCCCTGTGGTACTGATTGCATGACAGATTCGACAGATTCCGGATGAAGCCCAAACAGTACTACATTAGTACGCGCATGAGCTTGTCATGCACAGGCTCCACATGTGCGGGTGTTTGTATTGCCGTTTATGCAATACAAATGAGGAGAAGGGAGAGTTGTGCACTCTCATAGGACAACAGCATCAGACAGAAAATGTCGTTGTTTAGCACTTGGATATATGAACTGCAAAAGTATCGCACTCGTATAAATGCATCACAAATTTCCTCAGCATGAGAAATAAAATTTGTAATGCTGATTAAGGTTAAGAACAAAATTTGTAATGCATGATTGCAATACGAGTACGATACTTTTGCACAGGATAGGATAGACTGGCCCCACAGCATCAGTCCGCAGTTAGTCCAGTATGAATTGCAAAAACATCGTGCTAGTAGTAATTCTTGCATTACAAATTACTTCAGCATGACAAATGGAATTAATGGAAATTGTCATGCCGCTTTACCTTGAGATGGAGATTTCTAATGCATAATTCCAATTACTACGAGTACGATACTTTTGCAATGCATATCCAGCTGCTCCACGCGATGTACAGCGCGTGCCACGGGTATGAGACTGCACAACACCCCCTCGTCCCCGTGATTTGTCATGTGAGAAGTCAAGTCCAGGCTTGTTGCCTTCTTGGCACTGTTTGCATGACAGGTTCCGGAAGTTGCAGCTATGGCCCAAAAAGCAGTACAGCCCTGTTGTGTGGATTTGTCATGCGAAATCTGCACTATTGCCACCAGTTCTATTGCTGTTCATGCATATACAAATGAGCGGGAGGACGACGACAACCTGTGCACTCTCATAACGGCAGATTCCGGTCCTGAAAGGCCTCTTTGATCTTGTCTGTCTCCCCATCCTCGTCGAAAAACTTCTGATCCCGAAAATTTACCGCAAAGTAGAAGTAGGCCCAGAGTAGCAGCCACGCGATCGCGACGAATAGAAACACGGTTAAGATGATGACGTAGTATCCTGAGTAAAAACGTACCCACACCAGAGTCAGGATGGGGATTTTGCAACACAAGCCTAAAAAGAGTTTTGCGAGTCACGCATGACAAGTTGCGCGATGCAGTGTAGTGCAGGTTAGCAAGTGCAGCCGCGTCACAGATTCATCTGCTCATCCTGTTCACAGCGTCACAAATTCCAAAACACGATTGAAAATGGCTCTCATGGGGATGCGCATTACAAGTCTTCCTGTCTTTGCAAATCTGCATTACAACTCTGGTGTGGGTACGTTTTTACTCAGGATACGTAGACGACTTTCCCCAGCGCCTTGTACTCCAGAACGCGTTGGTATGGAAGCGCCAGCTTTGAAATCGACAAGGTTGAAATGGTTTGCCATGCATAAAATGGATTCCAGTTGTAGCCCAGCTTCCAAGTGACACATGACAAATTTGGGTAGAGCCGAAATCCAGTTTGTCATGCTGTTTGGGTAAGGAAGACGCCTTTTGTCATGCTACTTTAGCAGCTCAGTTTCTATCCTTAAACAGGCTTACAATCTGCCTCACTTGCCTACTCTGCAAGACAGGCACTTTGTGGGCTGCATTTTATGCATGACAAAACATCTCAACTTTGTCGATTTCGATCCTGACGCTTCCATAGTTGGCACTCGCGGGTAAAGCGAGAGTTTTCGGACAAAGCCGCAAACGCGGTGGATGGGAGTGTCAGAATCGAACTCGTGAAATTTGAAATAATCTGTAATGCAAAAAAGCAATACCAGCTGGAGCTCAGTTTGCAATGTGCGCATGACAAATTTACTTGGCAGCATCTAAATCCAATTTGTCATGCTGTCTAAGCAGAGAAGACTGCTTTTATCATGCTACTTTAGCAGCTCTAATATCTCAGACCCCAAACAGACTGATAATCGGCCTCAGTTGCGTGCTCTGCAAGACAGGCACTTCGCGTCTCGCATTTTATGCATCACAAGTTTTTTCAACTTTGGCGATTTCGGTCCTCACCCTTTCATACGGTGGCAAGCCGGGACGTCGGGTCCGGGGAAGGGTAGTAGTTTATCCTGTGCAAAAGTATCGTACTCGTATAAATGCAAGTCTTGCATTACAAAGTTTTTTTCTAAAGTAAATCCGCATGACAAATTTTATTTCTCATGCTGGGGAAGTTTGTAATGCATTTATACGAGTACGATACTTTTGCAGTTCATATAGTTTGATGCCGACCAGTTTTGTTGGTAAAGGTTCGGTGGTAGCTGCAGTTGCTTTAGCTGCTGCGACGTCGAAAAGGAAGTAGTTCTTGCGGCCATCAGATTGGTCCGGCTGTTTGTATCACAGGAAAAAGTGTTGACGTTAACGGTTTTCACAGAATGCAGCCATGCATCACAAATGTAGCCCAATATGCATGCTATGCATGACAAATTCTGACACGTCTTGATCGTGTGATGAGTTTCTGCATCGCAAACTCCGTTAGCGTTATCACTTTTTCTTGGGATAGTTTGTCATGGCTTTGTACCATTCGGAGCGGATCTCGTGGGATTGTTCCGCGGCGGACGGACGGAGGAGAAGTTGTTCTTCTGTGGCTCCTATGCATTGCAAAAGTATCGCACTCGTATAAATGCATTGCCAGCATGAGAAATAAAACTTGTAATGCGGATCTACCTTAAGAGCAAGATGCAAGACTTGCATTTATACGAGTACGATACAACTTTTGCACAGGATAGCTCCTTTTTCTTCTTCAACTTTCTCTTCTATGTCGACTACCAAAGAAGTTCTTTCTGCACCAGCTGGAGGATTTTCATCTGCAGCGCCTCTTGCTGATTTGCTTGCTGTAAGTGTAAGCGTCGGCGGTGGCGCGTCTTCAGCTTCTCCGGCTGGGTCTGCTCGTAGTTCTTGTGGTGCTTGATTTTTTGTCAGTGATTTTGTAGTTTCGCCTGCTGCTGCTTTATCTTCACCTGCTTCTGGCATGCTATGCTCCCCCTCGCGAAAATCATGATTGGTGTCTGCCATGCTGTGTTCCCCCTCGCGAAAATCATCGGAGCTGAGATCATTCGCGTGCTCAGCCTCATTTGCGGCGCTGCGGTTGGCATCGTTTAAGTTCTCAGCCGCAGAGCTTGTCGCTTCCTCCTCATGAAGAACCTCCAAAATGCTGGGGAGTCGTTCGACGGCAGGATTTAGGCTCTCCACCGCGATCTGGTTTGCGAGGTTGATTATGCATTGAGAAGGTGTCTGGGTCTGGAAACTTGTGGTTGAAGCTTTACCGATGAATGAGAATGCAGGAGGAGCTCTAAGCGCACCTGCCAATTGTGTTTACAATTTTTTAGAGCGCTCCTCTAATCGCATTCATAGTGCACCTCCACATCGATCATGAAAAGCTGCTTTTTTGCATTACGAAAGCAGCTTCACTTTTAATATCGGTTATGCAACTACACGACAGATTGTTGAAAAATGCAAGACAAGCATCACAAGTTCCGGATCCAGACATTGTATCTGCAATGAATACTAGTCGCGTTCTGCCGATTCTCAAGTTCGATTTCCTCTACTTCTGCAACCTCTTCTGGGCTCATGGCGGCCATGGAATTTGTGATGTTTCCATCAACGTCGAAGTCCTCGCCTATGATGACCTTTGCGCTCTTGATTCCCAGCTCCTCCGAAGATGGTGGAACAGCAGCTTTACCTTGTGCGTTTGCGGCGTCTGGCGGTTGAGAGAGGGAAGTTGAAGCCGCTCCGTCTGTTCGTTCTGGCGGTCCTATATTTTTTCTCGGGGGCACACCAGGAGCAGGAAATAAATCTTCCGCAACTAGTACACTGGCGGAAAAATCAGGACCTGTTCGCGCTGATGAAGATGATGGTGCTTCCAGTGCAGCCACAGGACGAAGGTTTTTGTCGTCCTCAGACTGCACTGCTGATTTTGAGGATGAAGACGGGCCTGCCGGACGATCCGCTGCAAAGGCTTCATCTACTAAACTCACAACCGGACGCGGCGGCTCTTGTTTCGCAGGCGCCACTACCTTTTCCGCCGGGGCGGGCAACACGGGTCGCCCAACAGATTCTTTCGAAACTACTGCAGCGAGAGCTGCGGCCTGGTTTTCTTTTTGCTTTTCCTCCTCGCCCGATGAACTGGCACCGTACACGACTGAACCCCCGGACTGCTCCTGCCCTGTTTCCTCTGCCCCACTTTCGTTCGCCGTTGACCCACCACCCCCGCCGACACCGACGCTGCCCCCCCCACCGAGCGCAACACTTGCTGTGCCTTGACTCGCGTTGTCCCCGGTGTCGCCAATAAAATATCCACTGCAAAAGTTGGAATTATATCGCACTCGTGCTAGTGCAGCCGTTCTTTCTGATGACAAAACAGAACAGACGTGTGAAAAAACACAAATCTCGTCTTTCCTAAAGGTCCTATCGCAGCAGTAAGTAACACGAGTTGATGAAGTTTCGTTTTGGAGAACAGGATTTGTGATGCAAAAATCATTCAACAACTAGTCCGAGGGCGACGATGCTTTTATCTTGTCAATGCATACGGCCGCGGAATTTGCGTGACTGGTCCCGGTGTTCAGGCTGCCATCCATGGAGGAAAGAGCAATCTGTTCCTCGTCCGTGCTGTTAGTGGAAATTTTCGCTGGATCCGCGGACAAAGGTGGTCGCGACATCGACGAGGGGGTTGCGAGCACGGGATCGGTCGTTGCAGCGTCGACCAGGTTGATGACGGATGGGGATGGTACTTGTGGTTCTTTTCTAAGTCCCGATCCCGTCTCAGATACAGGTGCTGAAGATGTGCCCGCTGCAGCTGTTGTCCCAGATCCTCTGTCGTTTTCTCGGACGAGGAGCCCGGCACTCGCTTGATTTGTTGTGTGCCTTTCTGCGACGTTCACGTTCTCGTGCGCACCAGACCCTGATATTACCAGCACTGGACTCATCATCGTGGCTTCTCCTTCCGATGCTGCGATGTTCTTGGCGGGTGTAGTCGCTGAGTTGTTCCTCGTCTGGCTTTATCCTGTGCAAAAGTATCGTGCTCGTATTGCAATCATGCATTACAAATCTTGTTCTTAAGGCAATGCAGCATTACAAATTTCATTTCTCATGCTGAGGAAATTTGTAATGCATTTATACGAGTACGATACTTTTGCACTGCATAGGCTCGTAGATGAACTCGCGGCGGCAGAAAACGATAGCCCGTTGACCACGGGAATGAGCGTTGCAGGATCTTCAGGACCATCAGCACGAAGATTTTCATTTTGATTCGATGGATTATTTTTGCTCCTGCTCGGCGTGAGTATCAATTCCGCCTCTTTTGCTCCGGCTAGCATCTTATCAATTGCAAAAGTATCGTACTCGTATAAATGCAAGTCTTGCATTTTTTTTCTGAAGGCAAATCAGCATTACAAATTTTTATTTCTCATAATGAGGAAATTTGTAATGCACCATTTATACGAGTAGGAGTACGATACTTTTGCAGTTCATACATCTGCTTTCGTGCCGACTCCATAGCGAACTCCATGTCATCAAGATCTTCGTCTTTCGCTGCCTTCTTTTCCTCGTCCTCCAGTAGAATTTCTTTCTGAAGAACAGTCGGCGTTGTTTTCGTTTCCCTCGTCTTCCCGGCGAGCGAAGTCCCAAGGTGTAGATCCACCTGCTCTTTACGCGCCACCTCATCGGGAAGCTGAGGAGGCCTTGGATCGGTCCTGTCCTGCCCCTGCTGTTCTTCTTCGTGCAAGACCACGCGCAGTAGAGAATCAATGTGCTCTAAATGTTTTCGCAGCCAAATCTTGTGTTGCTTCCGAAAGTCGTACCTTCTTAGCAGAGGCGGAAACAGCGCCAGCATGGGCGTGGACGCCAGGATCATGGTCAGCAACGCAATGACGTGGGACAGCGGGGAAAACGCGGCCCACTGGAAGGACTGCAGTCCCGTGTTCGTCGCGAGCGAGATGCCCATGTACAGACAGTCCATAAAGGAAATGTGCCGCGGACCCGAGTGAAAAAACCAATCGGACGCGGTGAGCCTTTCCGGCTGCAGACGAATCGGGCGGCTCCGGGGACACCCGTTTTTGTAGAGGAAATCGTCGGCAGCGGCACCAGGTCGTGTAGTTGCCTGGTCACCAATGCCGTCTTGTCTTCCATAACTACTTTGCAACCAAGCATAGTCACCCGCCTCTTGCTGATGTTCATCCCCGCCCCACATCACGTCTGGCAAATCGTCTCTCGCCATCATGTATGAACTGCAAAAGTATCGTGCTCGTATTTAAATGCATATACAAATTTCCTCAGCATGAGAGCTGGAATTTGTCATGCTGTTTTACCTTAAGGACAAGATTTGTAAATGCATAAAAGCAATTAGCACGAGTACGATACTTTATTTGCACAGGATATCATGAAGGCCGGCGCGTGGCCTTCCTCCTGCGGATTCGACCCGTTGCCGTCCCACCGCGTCACGTCCTGCAGGACCGCGACGCAGGGATCGCTGCCGCCAAACGCCCCGTAGCTGCTGTTTTCCCAGCAGAAAAGAAACAATGCGACAACAACCCAGATGCAGATGACAAACACGAGGAAAGCGTAGTAGAACCCCTCCTGCACGAGGTAGGCCAGCCAGCTGCTCCAGCTGTTTCCAATATCAAATGCAAATGCGTCTGGGTTATTTGGAAGATAATTGCTAGGTTTGTCATGCATATTTTGCATGAGCATGACCCATGATGCCTGTAATGCATGGCCTAGCATCACAGATTTTGAGAGGGCTTTTCGATGCGTATTCATCGGCAAGACAAATGCCATCTCCGCGTGGCAAAAACTGGACTCCTTTTGCTGGTCATGTAATACAGACTTTTATTTTAGACTTATCCAGAGATAGCATCACAAGTTTTAGTCTTCCAGACCCAGACATATTTCCGATGCATATCCGATGCGCAAATACCATTCTTCGTCCAAGGCTAGGGAGGAAACTACGCTGGACTTCTATTGCAAGGAAAAATCCACCCTTCCCATATTGAGAGCGCATCCGTAGGAAAATTTGTGACGCAGATCCGTGGGCACAGATCGGGCCTGTCTTGCAAGAAGGTACACTCAGGCTGTCCGCCACATGGCCGCGCAGGCGATTTGTAATGCGTGCATGGGGCAGGGGGGCATTTTCCTTTTGATAACTTCGACAGAGATCTGAACGAGAATTGCCGGACGCGCTCCTGGGGGATGTTGCCTTGCTGCTGTTGGATTTGCGAAGGAAACCGAGGCTCTACCTCTAGTTGTCCTGCAGATTGGAGGTCGCGTTCGTCTTCGTTCTCGTTGTTATGTAGCTTTGCCGAGCCATTCGTTGTTTTGGAGAGAAGGGGCAGTTCCAACTCTCCGTTATCATGCCGACGTTCTGTTGCGAATTCTTGTACTACCTCGTTTCCTCCCCGGTAGTTACTGCCCGTAGTTTTCGAGCCGGAAGAGAGAAGAGAAGTGGTCGACGGCCTGCCGACGAACAGGTTGAGGTCGTCCAGATAGGATGGTCGTGGCGGCAAGAAGTCACTGTCTAGGCGGACCTGGTCTAGTTGTGTATTGGTGGCCTGGAGGGTTCTTGGCGACAGCAAGGGTTGCGACAACGAGGAAGCCTGCGGACCATCACTAGCTGTTTCGCCCTCGGGTCGCGGAACTCGTGCTGGTCCTCCAACTCGGTTACTACTAGTACTCGCAAGAGCCGCATTGCTACTATTCCCGACCACACTCCGAAACGCGGAAACCGCCTGGGTCGCCTTGACCGCCCGGCGAAGCCTGTCGCTCGCGGACAATTGCTGCTGAAACAGCTCCCGTGTGCCGCTGCGACTGGCGCTGGCGGCGGCAGCGAGGAGAAGCTGCTGCGAAGCGGATATGGAAGTCTCAAGCGTTACGTTGAAGGTCGCTCTTCCTCTTTACATGATTTGGCATGCTGCACAAGCATCCTGACGACGACGATCCTCGTCCACACGATCAAACTACAACTTCGCATGACAAGAACTTTCTCCGCCCACTAAGCAGCATTGGAATTATCCGTGCCCAATCTGTCAGTCACGCACGACGCACATGCACAACATGCTTTTGCATTTGCTAAACGTGCTCGTGCATTGGCATCCATTTACAAAATCATGTACAAGTTGTAGCGATCACTCGATGTAGCGGCCTTCGAGAGTCCCATAGCGGACGGTGTCGCCGTTGAGGAATTTCCATCTCGTTCCAGACTGTACAAACCCGAGGACAGCTGTTCTGAACCTCCACTTCCAAATGCCCCCGATAAAAACTGTCCACCAGGCTGCATGCTATTGGCGCGACTGAATCCTGCGAACCCAGTCGAAGCCGACGCGGTAGACTCCTGTCTCGCGAGTTGCGCGGCGCGACGGACCCGTTTGGCGAAGTTTCTCTCCTCGTGTTGGTTCTGCAGGCGGTTTCGTCTCTGCTGCATCCAGCCAGCGACCATGCCGGGGACCTCGGCGCTGCGGACGATGGCATTTTTGCTGCTGCGCGGAGGTTATGAAATGCAAAAGGATCGTACTAGTAGTAATCGCAATACAAATTCGCTCAGCATTACAAATGGAATTTGTCATGCTGATTTGCCTTGGGAAGGAGATTTGTCATGCATGACTGCGATTAGTACGAGTACGTATACTTTTGCACAGAATAGAGGTGGAAGTGGCGCGGTGCTTGGGATGGTGGTGGGTGAAGGGTTTCTGGAGGAATTTGTAGGCTCTACTGGTGGTGCGCCGCGGGGCAGCAGTGGCTCGGAGAGATTGTTTTGGTTCGAGAAACCACTCATGATTTTGATGGTGAATTGGGTTGCTGGCTGGACAACGAAGAGAAGCAACAAGAATGAGTCATCATCTTCTGCGAAATTTAACAACGCTAGAAAAGAATGTGAGCAAGATGCTGCCCGTGATTTCTCTCGTTGTCGCACTCGAAGCAGTTCTGTAAACGGAAAGCAACGTCGCCGCCAAAAAGACGCAGCCTCTCCATGATTTGAGTCAACCTCCACCAGGATGCGCGGTTCATTTTCCTTTGCCAACAACACAAGTATTTGTCCCTCAAAACAAAAAGCGAATCGTAACTCCGCATTTAGTACCGAATTTACTCTCACAACTATGGCGCCATCTCTCTGATTTGCTGCACTCAAGAAGACCGAGGAGCCCATGAAGAATCTTGTCGTGCTCGTCACGGTTAATTTTTTAGAAAAGACCGCGACACCTGCTCCCCGTGGCCCTAGCAGCAGGATGGAGATGCATCCCTTTTTCCCTGAACATGAACAAGAAGAACAGACATGAAGCACAGTGGTGGAGCAAAGACGCAGTTTGCAGCGCTGCGCTGACTGTCGTAGTCTCCTGGTCACACCTTCTGCCAAGAAGGTTGGTGGGTGTATTTTTTCTTCGGCATCATTTATTTCATACATCAGGCAAGCCTGTAGATGGTTTGATCTCTATCTCTATCTCTACCTCTATGTACATTGTGGCCAGAGGCATTCAGGTTCTATTTGTTTCTTTCGTTTCTGCTCCTGGTCGTGGTCAGCAGCATTTATATAAATTTTTATTTTCAATCTGGAGATGCTGCTGCTGGAGCTGTTCGAGCTTCAGGCAATTGGAATTGCTATACATTAACATTGCGGAAAATGAATCTTCAAGGCACTAAAATTGCTAAATGTGCTTGCACTTTCTTGCTGCTAAGCGACGAGGCGTAAGGGGCTAAAAGTGGCTCTCCAAGGTAGTAGATGATGAAGCCGCTGTTCTTTAGTTCAGCGCAGAGCTGAACAACGCACGTAGTACTAAGTCGGGTAGGGCTCGCAAATCAGTACGTTTTGTTAACTAAGTATACCTACGTTGAACTTCGGCCCCCAGAACAAAGTCGTTTTTCTTCCCGGAAAAAGCAGCTACATACTCCTCCTGTGCAAGCGTTCACTTGAAGGAAGTCATTGACTAGTGAATCAATACAGGACACTTTTATTTTCGGATCATTGTCATACACTGAGAGTGAGACTGTCCTCTACATACTTTCTAAGACCGAAACAATAGCTGCAAAGAGATTAATATTGGACGGTTCTTGTGAAGAGGAAGATTGTGTAAACCTAAACAACATAAACAGGAGTAAGATCATGAAAACGCTGATCCGTAGTTATCGGTCAAGAGTAGAATAGAAGTAGTATAACTGAGTGTCTGCTCTTCTTCTTGATAGCGTCGCGAGTTCTTAGACACAGACGTATAGTTTTGTCGCAGTTCTGCTGTACGGGCGTGCTTGGTGCGCCCTCGTACAACGATTGGAAAGCGAGAAAATAAGGCTCAAAAATGTAAGAATAGTGGTAGTTGTACAGCAATAAAGTAGAGTAGTTCCTCAGTTTCATCTGTTGTAAAGGATACATTCGAAATAAACTCACAGACACAGTGCCGTAAACAACAGCACATCAAGTAGTTTGGAGGTCGTGAAGATCGTGTGAACCTCAACAAAGTGGCACCGCACTCTTTCAGTTGTAAGCTGTAAGAAGATTCTTGCGAAAATAAGAGTTTTAAACTGCGAAGGAACAAGAACAGACCATCTACTTAATAGTACAAACGGTTTTACTCTTACGCCATACCTTGTACATTCAATAGGTGGACTTGCACGTCGTCGAGGCCGGAGACATCACCTGCCGCGTCCCGCAGTTGGTTTTCTTGCCAGGCCATTGCTCGGGGCTGGCCCTGGCCCTGGCTCGGTCCGCTCGAGCTCGACGACCCCGACGGAGACGGTGGCGTCGCCGAGTCGTTGTCAGCACTGCCGCCGACATTCGTCCGCGCCGACGTCCTGGTCCTCATCCAGTTTGATGTCACCGCGTTCCTCATCCGCGCGAGCCTCCCCGTCGGCTGCTCCTCCTCCTGACTCGGATAGGGATTGCGATTGCTAGAAGTAGGACGCTCGGTATCCGCAGTGCCCAGCGCGACGTTGGTGAGCGGCATCACTTGGGAGGAGGCGGAGCTCCCCCGAGACGGAAACCAGGGGCGCGGCTGCTCGCTCTCCTTGGCCGATTCCGTAGCTTTCGCTTCCTTCTCCTTCACCCCTTCCCCTTCCTGCAGTTTCTTCGACGCCGCCTCATTCGCCTCCGCTTCCTTCACCTCGTTTTTCCCGGTCTTCACCACCAACTCCTCCTCCAAGACGGAAGTCTGATGTTTGTGTTGAGTACTTCTCAATATGCAAGCAGGCCCTGCATCAGAAACGAAGGACGCGTCTACTAGATATTCATCACGACAAATCTTCTTGCATTCGTCCAAGAGATTTGTAAGCCTTACACTTACTTAAATACCGATCCATCCGCATAGACCACATCGTTCACCGGAATGCCCGTGTCATCGTCCTCATCCATGGGGGGGGGGGATGTTCTGCGTGCCGCGCAAATTTTCGTAGGCATTGACGCACCAACCTGATAGAAATTATTTCGATATTTTTTTCTTGTTTGGATTGGATTCCTGAGTGCAGAAGAATAGAATTACTTTTCAAAGAGTAAAAAATGTGCGTAGTCGGTGCATGTTTTCGAAAATCTATTGTCCTCGTCAACATTCCTAGCAGCTGTACTATCACCATGCACGACAAAGATGAACCATCATCAAAGAAAAACATAAAACATATTCATATACTGAAATGATCCTCTCCCGGGAAGGTGGGTGGCAACGCCAACAACTGCGCAGTGGTTGTCACACGCTTCCGGCAGCGCGCGTTCGGACCACGACGCCCCATGTTTGTGCTTTTGCGTGGATGGGTACTACAACGCCGCTTATTTCTCACTGTCAATTACAACTCTTTCGGTTTCGCCTCTGATTTTTTCGAAAAAAAGAATGAACGTTTTTCAGCACCTGCACCAGTGGTGAAGAAAATCAATTCCTGCTGTAGTTCAGGTAATATGTTGCGTCACTACTGCAAAGAGGTCGCTCAACAGGAAGTTTAGATGATGCGTAGTTTTACAAGTTCGTGGCGACGGCGCAGGCACTTGTTGTACACGACTAACGTGCACCAAAATTGTTGGTTCAGATGACTACAATATTCAGAAAAATACAACAGTAAGCACTTCTGACCACCTACTGAAGACCACGACTACCCCCAATGACTAGTGCAATTACGTTTTCCTACTGAAGACCACGACCCTCCCACTCTTTTTTTCGTCCGATCGATGACGCAACAATCCCGAGCTGTCAAGAAGAACGCCGACTGTCGCATTAGAATTGATACTTATACCTCAATTCAGGTTTTCCATTGACTGTCTCTCAACGACCATACCTGCTTGTGCTTACGACGAACAGAAACGAAAGCGAAAGCCGATTTATATCAAGCGGACAAAGGAAACAGCCGCACTTTTCGCTGGCGAGAGTAAGTAAATCGCGACATCATGTTGAAGAGTAGTTTGCATTTCATACACTTTTTGGTTCAATATTCGCATTTATTTTAGTACGAAACCATACAAGACGGGCCACGACCAGCAGCCACCTCCCCGTGGTTCTACTTGCATCATACAAGTTCCCTCTGATCAGGATGAAATACAAATAGGCATGCGGGATAAAAAGCTATCGTTATTTTATTTTCTTGTTTGTTACTTTATCTCTGCTAAGTGTAAGTTGTTCATCATGGACAGATTCTATTAGTTCATCACTTTGAGAAGCTGACTTATAATAATCTTGCTGCTTGTTCGATTTCGTTCATCATCAAAGATGCGGTACTTCTAGGGAGAGCCTCGCATCCCAAAGAAATGGACATCACCAAACCTGAATCGTCCATCTTCTTGGAAAAAATTGAAATTATTCAAAATTTGATCATCTTGTGAGAACTTCATCTGTGGCCCTTCAGCAATTGTTTGGTCGTGGTCAACATATTTCTATTTGCTCCTTCAGAAACTCTCCATCCTCGTTGTACAACAGACGTTACATGTATCCACAGAAAATTTCCCATCCCCATCCACGATCCGGTTTTTTTAATGAAAAAATCAATCAATTTTTCAAAAAAAAAATAAGGTGCGGAAGGTAACGGCTGGACTATGTGCATCATCATTCCGATAGCTAGCGACGTCTCCCGGAAGCAAATAGGTTTAGGTATTAAGTAGCTAGATCTTCCAAACACACATCAGATAAAGTCGGTCAGTGCCAGCGACGCCAGAGCCTGGGCCTACCCCTCGGAGAACCACGCTGGCCCCATCTCGTAATATGGGGGGGACTGCGTGAGTCTTTCCCGGCAGCCCTCTAGATCGGTCTTTGTAGGTAGTGGCCCAAGGGCTCGGCCTCCCAGCTGTGTTGCAACAGCGTAGAAGGGCAGGCTAAAAGCCGCCTGTTTGGTCGGCTGGTTCTAGATGCGGTCGGTTGAGATCAGAGCGCACAGTGCCAAGGCCAAGGCCCAGGAAGCCGGCCACAAATTCAGCCAATGCGGCTTATTTCTGTGAAGTCTAATACTCCTGCAGTGACCCCAAAGCAAAGGACCCGCTCAACCCCTCTAAGTTAGAGGGGATCTAAACCCCTGCCTTCGACGTGGTATCCCCAAAGCCCTGGCACCAGTACACCCAATCCTGGGGGCAGAGGCCAAAAACAAAAAAAAATTTTGGTTTGCGCAAAAATCATGGGCAGTAGGCCACATGATGTCGAGGATTGGTCGGTGGTGCGCATGCGCAACCTTTTTGGTGTAGGCGGCCATGTTTATGATCGTCGTGTTCTATTTTGCTACAGTTGAATGTTGACAAAACGACTTAGAGCAGTGGCGTGCTGCCAGGTGTCCACAGATGTGGATCTGCCGGCTTTCGACATGGCCTATCACAAAAATAAATTTCGAGCTAATCATCGCAACTATGGCATTTGTTGCGAGCAATCCTGACAGGCTAAGAAGATGCATGTTAAAACTGTGGAAGATAATAACTCTGATGATGATCAAAAGGCATGACGGGGGTGGCAGAATCAAAAGTGCTACATCATAAGGGGGCGCAACAGGGGGCAGCATAACTCTCCATCCTCGTTGTACAACAGACGTTACATGCGCCAGCACATCGAAGCTGCAGCTCCCGCCCTCTCCCATCCAACCCAACAAACCGTCACAACACCCGTCTCGAGGCCGGAGCGTCCGGCGGTCCGTCTTTCCTGGAGTTCATCGACCGCTTCCCCATCGGCTTCGACCCAACCGCGCCGCCGGACTTCCCACTTTGGATCATGCCAGCTACTACGTGCTGTGCCGTGGGGGATCCGCTGCTCGTGCCCTGCCCAGCCGCCCGCAGCGCGCTGGTGGGTTATCCTGAGTAAAAACGTACCCACACCAGAGTCAGGATGGGGATTTTGCAACACAAGCCGAGGAGTTTTACGAGTCACGCATGACATAAACAGACTGTGCTACTGCGGGCGGGACATTGTGTATCAGGTGAATTGATCAACCCGAAGACGCCGCCCCCCCGGGCCCTATGGACCTGGCACTCCCCACTATACTCCTCACACAAAACGAGTCACGCATGACAAGTTCCAATCTGCAGTGTAGTGCAGGTTAGCAAGGCCAGCTGCATCACAGATTCATCTGCTCATCCTGTTCACAGCATCACAAATTCCAAAACACGACTGGAAATGGATCTCATGGGGATGCGCATTACAAGTCTTCCTGTCTTTGCAAATCTGCGTTACAACTCTGGTGTGGGGACGTTTTTACTCAGGATATGGGTGGGTTCGGCCTTACCGGAGAATTCGCGGACTTCAACACCGACATATGAAAGCCTCAGAATGGAAATTCTGAGAAGTGGAAATAATTTGCGATGCAAGAAATGCGACACCAAAGCAACTGCATTGCAGAGGGCGCAATGGAAGCCGACTATTGTGCTTCTACGGGTTCAGAATTGGGCTGCTGATCAGCACGAGAGAAGGGCACCCCTTTGCCCTGACTAGCATGAAAGACATACTTTGAGTGCCCCGTAAATTTGTCATGCGCCGACTAGAAAGGGCGCTCCAACTGGAGTCGTTTTTTTGCATTACAAATCATTTCCACTTTGAGGATTTCCGTTCTGAGGCTGTCATACGACATCGCGGGCGCGTAGTGGGGTTCTTTCAGCGTCACGCTGTGCACGTCCGCCGGGAGCCTCGCGGGGGAAGATGCGGCCGCCTGCTGCAAAGCTCGCTGCCGCGCGGCTTCGGGACCTTTACCAGCAGAGGGCGTGGGTTTATTCGCAACGCCAGCTGTTGCAGCAGCTCCCGACGAGGATGTTGGTCCCTTTGCGGGCGCTCCTGCTGTTGTTCCACCTCCAACAGTCAAACTGGCGCCGTCTCTGCTGCCGCCGGGCTGTCCCTTCTTTTTTCCTTGCTTCGAGGGGTCGGACGTCCGGGCGGTGGTGGTTGTGGCACCACCTGCTGTAGTACTCGCGACGGTGCTGCCATCCCCCGCGGAGATCGGCACGACAGTGGGCTTCCTCCCCGGCGCTGGCTCCGTGGTCAGCGGAGTGGTGGGCGCACCGACAGTTGAGGTTGCAGTTGTCGCGGAAGATGTTGGCAGTCCTTTCCTTATCCACAAAAAAAATAAGAATAACCCATCCACAACCATTTTTTGAATGATAGGCGCTGGATTTTATGCATGTTTTCCATGACAAATTGGATTTGGATGGGGATAGACATAGATTTTTTTCTGTGGATATTCCTGGCGTTCATGCTATTCTTCAAACTCCCCTTCTTTCCGGGAGTAGACGACGAAGTTGTAATTTGCAGCGCCTCTGCAGTGTTGTGAACTTGATACCGCGGGTGACTGTTTGCAAGCGGGGAAAGCTGCTGCGGTGGCTGCGTGGCTTTTTCCTCCTGGGCGGTTACCACCGCAGCGGATTTGTCTAGCTGGTCCATCAACCCTTTCACTTCCATCGTCGCTTGCTGTGCCTTCTCCTTCGCTTCTCGAGAGGCGGCGATGTTTGGCGACTTCGTACTATCACACCAAAAAGCGTTAACGGCAAAGGAATTTGGCATGCGGGAGCGCAGGAGAAATGATCCCCAGCAGCCCCAAATTTGTATTGCATAACATGCATGATACGCGAAAATGTGTCATGCAGGAATGCAATACCCTAAAACCGACAACGTTACCACTTTTTCCTGTGATACGTTCCCAGAGCGGCGGAGTTCCCAAACCCGATCTGCGAATCGTGATGCTGGTATGCATTGCAAATGTGTCTGGTGTTCTGTACGAAAGGCAAAGGCTGGACTCACTCCTATTGCGTGTCTTGCACCTCCACTTCTGAAAAATCTGCATTGGCGCAAAAGCGTCACACTGACTTTAGTCATGCAAAGTTGCATTTTGTAAATGCGCACTGCGCATCAGACGAGAAAGAAACTACCGTCATTTGAAAAATTTGTCATGCTTCGGCGCGCTCAAAAGGAAAGGCACACTCAATCATGACCATTCGGCATCATTTTTTTTTAGGTTTCCTCCAGACCCGCACATCACCTATTTGTACTTGATAGCTGGGTAGAGGGACCAGCTTTGTCATCCTCGTCACCTGCGGTCGTGACACCCGCCTCCTATCAAATGTAAAAATGTCTGGGTCTGGAAGAGGAGAAGTTTGTCATGCACATTTTCCATGATCCATGATGTCTCTGTTGTTGTATGCAATAACATCACAGATTTTTATTTGAGCGCTTATGCTTATCGATGCGCGTCCTGCATGACAAATGCCTTCTCCGCGTAGCCAAATTTGACTCCTCTTGCTGCTCGTGCAATACAGACTTTTTGAGCATCCAGATGCAGCATCACAAGTTTGGCTCTTCCAGACCCAGACACTTTTGCAATCCATACCTCGTCCCCTGCTTCTACGACAATCTGTCGGCCTCCTTTCGACAACGCTTGTCCTCTGCTGATCATACCGCCAGCTGCAGCACCAAACGGCTTTGGACTTTGAGACTTCTTCGCGCCAGAAGATGCAACGTCTCCTGTACCTGTGCGGTCTTGACTTCGCCCCGCCGTCGTTAAGATCCCTTCTTGTCCCGCCAACGTTTGTCTTACCCGCTTTAGCACTTCAATCGCTTCGGCCGGCGGGGGTTTGTTCGGGTTCTCCTCCGTATCAAAGGCAAATGTGTCTGGGCATCTGGAAACTTGTGATGCGGAGTTGTGCTTGAGCTCGTGGCGATGCGGATGCTGCTCGCTTTTGCATGACAAAAGAAGAAGAAGAAGGCTCTTTTGTGTTGGTCATGCTATACAGATTTTCCAGAAATCCAAGACACAGCACAACACAGGTTCCACTCTTGTTGTTCTTCCAGACCCAGACATATTTGCATTTATGCATTGCAAAAGTATCGTACTCGTATAAATGCATGACAAATTTCCTCAGCATGAGAAAGAAAATTTGTAATGCGGATTTACCTTGACAGCAAGATTTGTAATGCATGAATGCGATTAGTACGAGTACGATACTTTTGCACAGCATAGCATTTCACACTCCGCCATCTTTTTCAACAGCTGCATGTCTTCCAGAAACTATGCAAGAAAAAAACTGTGTAAGTGTAACTCTGTAATGCAGAATATGCAACAGAGTTACACCTGTCATGCCAGACAGCCATGAAGTCCTCTTTTCATGTGTGTTTTCCCTTACAAACCGCGCATGAGAGATTTTCTCTGTCATGTAGAGCAAATTTGTGATGCTGGCAACCAAAGAAAGTTACACTAACACTGTTTTTTTCTTGGATAGAAACCGGGACTCCTCTATGGCTGTGCACAACTACTCTTCCTCGTCCCCCTCATTTGTATATGCGAAATACCGTCGAATGATCCACATCGATCTTGCCTTGCAGCTGCAGGCGCTCTGCGCATGACAAATTTTGGACGCAGCTCCAACAGGACTACAATCGGCGTCCGGATAACTACATCTGTGGCATTGCTTCTGTTGCTGTTCATGCCCTTCAAATGAGGAAGAGGGGGAGTAGTTGTGCACTCTCATATCTTCTTGTGTTCTCTCTGGCAACGGCGACGTGGCAAAGTTTTGCACGGTGGACACAAGTAAGGCGTCCAGTATCAACTGCAAAAATGTCTGGGTCCGGAACAAGGTTGCAACTTGTAATGCTAGCTCTCCATACCACGGAAATCTGTATTGCATAGCCAACAAAAGTCGCAGCCTCTTTTCTTTGTACATGCAAAAACGCGGTTTCTCATGCGAATTTCCTATGAGAAAGTGTTCTGAAAAGCTGTCATGCTGTGTAGTTGCATTCGGAACTGTTTCCATCATCCACATTTTAGCATCACAAGTTTCCAGACCCAGACATTTTTGCAATGCATATCCAGGTCCTCTAGACTGTTGCCGACCGGTTGTAGTTTTTTTCCAAAAATGTTGTTGCTTGCTGAAGAAGTGCTGGTGGCGTTGTCGATGTTATTTGTTGTATTTTTTCCAGTGGTGCCTATATCTTCACTACTATCAAACACCATCCCCTGCTGTTTCACTTGTCGCTTCAACTGTTGAAACTCCTCGTATATGAACTGCAAAAGTATCGTACTCGTATAAATGCATTACAAATTTCCTCAGCATGAGAAATAAAATTTGCAATGCAGATTTACCTTGGAAACAAGATTTGTAAAGCAAGCCTTGCATTAGCATTTGTACGAGTACGATACTTTTGCACAGGATATCGTACAGTGTGGAAATTTCCTTACTGGACACGGACGCCAGCTCCTGTTGATCCTTTGGATTCATTATCAAATGCAAAAGTGTCTGGGTCTGGAAGATTCCGGGATTTGTGATGCATATTTTGTATGATCCATGACGCATGTAATGCATGATCTAGCATCACAGATTTCTAGAGGGCTTCCTGATGCCTATTCCGCATGAGAATGAAATGCCCTCTCGTCCGCGTAACACAAACTGGACTCCTGTTGCTGGTCACGCAATACAGATTTTTTTGGAATCCAAAGACAGCATGACAAGTTGCAATCTTGCAGACCCAGACATTTTTGTAATCCATATTCATCTCATTCGAAGCCTTCGAGTTGTTTGACTGTTTGCTCAAGCTTTCCGACAGGCGCTTCATTCTCTCCAGATGCTCTTCAAACGTCGTCGCTGACTGTCCGGGTTTCTTCGCACTTATGACAGTGCACAACTCGTCCCCCTCCCCCGCATTTGTATCTTTGCATGGACAGCAATACAAACAGTCACATCTGTGGAGCCTGTGCATGGCAAGTTCTTCATGCGCCTATTAAAATAGTACTTGTACTGTTTGGAGGGCATGAAGATCCGGATGAATCTGTCATGTAAACAGTTTGAAATTATTGATATTTTGCATTACAAATGAGGAGGAGGGGATGAACTTGTGCACTCTCATAGCGCTCGCTGGGAGCACACTGCCATCGGGCTGCGCGAAGAAGTTGCCCTCTCGTGCGTGCGAGCGATGGTGCATCTCGTCTTCATCTGACGATCCGAGGACGCGGTTTTGCGTCGCGGCTGGTGCTGGTGCATCTGCGTAGTTTGGACCCTTGTCTTCACTAGGCGCTCCTTCTGGTTGTTCCTTATGCAGTGCTTTTTGTCCACCTTCACTATTCGGCGTCGCCACCACTTCCACTGGTTCTGGTAGCAGTTCTTGTTGGAAACGTTGAGGCACTGGTGGTGGCCCGCCTGTTGTAGTGCTGATGATTGTGCGAGCGTTTGAAATGATGTTTTGAAGACTCTGATGTTCTTCTTGTTGCGGCTCCTGCTGTGGCTCCTTACTTCTACTAGTGATTGATGACAATGCTGCTGCAGTAGCAGTTCCTCCAACAAGTTTCGGTCCAAATTGAAGCTTGTATTGCTGCTGCTGCTGCTGCTGGTGGGCCACCGCGCCACCTCCAACCGTCTTCGAGGTCGACAAATTTGTACTTCCCAGCAGAGTGGTGGAGAACATCGGCTTGTACCCTCGTTGTTCCCTAGTTGTATTTGTTCCGGACGTCGATGCAGCTGTAGGAACCGAAACCCCGATTGCACCGCCCCCGCCCGTCACATTCTCAGCGCTCAGCTTCTTTGCTCCTATTGTCGTAGAAGGTCCCTGTGGAAAGTCCAGCCTCGGCACTGACAGGGCCGGCTGCAGGACCGACCGCAAATGGTCACTGGCTTGGTAATTTGGAACCGCCGCGGCGGGAGCGAGGGCAGGCTGCTTATTGGTAGAGGTCCGCATCATCTCGCAAGCTTTCGCGGCAGCAGTCTTCCCGTCGGAAATTTGCGCCGCAGATGGGGCGACGCCGAGTTTTGCCTGTGCGACGAGAGGTGGTGCTTTCTGAGATTGCTGCTGATCCTATCAATGAGAAAAGTGCTAGCGTTGCTTAGGGGTCGTTTCGACAGATTGCAGGCAGACGTGACTACAGATTCTCACTCTTCCTCAACTTTCATCTTCTACCGTGCATCATGCTAATATGCAGTAGAGATCTCACAGTATTTTTTTTACTTGTTACGCACGTTCTTGCTCTTGCATCACAAAAAGCTCCTTGAACGTCAAGAACTTTTCTCTGTCATAGATCCGGCACTGATGTTCCTGCCGCACTTCGGCTACTGACCGACGACACTGCGGGAGGAGCGGAGGTTTTGGACAGCGATTGGTTCCCGCCGAGTCCGCCCGTGTTGAGCGGGAATTGTGGCTGGACGATGGAGAGACTGGTGGAGCGAGGTCTTGCGTTCATGTTCAAAGCCGGGCGTGGCGACCTGAAGGAGGTGGAGCAAACAGAAAAATTAGAGCGAAAGTATAAAAATAAAATTCTTATACTTAATGTAATATTCCTACAGCGACAATACATGCCACAAGACAAAGAACAGTACGCCCCAAGAACACCACCATCAATAGAATACCCACAAGAAAGGCCAATATATCTTCTATACCGGCCCCGCACTGGTGGCCCAGCAGTAGAACCCGCTCCCAAGAACGTTGCAGGTTGCACAAGCGTATCCTGTGCAAAAGTATCGTACGAGTATAAGTTGTTACAAGTTAAATTTGTAATGCGGATTTGCCTTAATAAAGAGATTTGTAATGCATAAACGCAATTAGTACGAGTACGTTACTTTTGCAATGCATAAAGCGGCCTGGTCGACAGTCTGGCGGAGTTCGGAACAACGCGGGTTGACGCGGTTAGAAGAAAATTTTATGAATTGCAGAAGTATCGCACTCGTAAAAATGCATGACAAATTCCCTCAGCATGAGAAATAAAATTTGTAATGCGGATTTACGTTGAGGAAAAAACTTGTAATGCATCATTGCAATTACTACGAGTACGATACTTCTGCACAGGATAAATTTGAAGAAGAGACACCTCCCGCTCCTCGACGTCCTCCGCGTGCGGAGTTTATCACTTTATTCGAAGTCCTTGTAGCAGCACCAGCAGCAGCAGCAGCGGCCCCAAGTAGAACACCACCGCCGTAGTTGCCTGTCTCCATATCGTCCGAGGCACTTCTGGTTGCGCTCCTGCTTTTATCGAAGTGAAAAAAGCCCCCACCCCATATCGGAAACGGAAGACGCGCGAATTTGTGATGCTGTATCTGAGTACACAAATCGACTTGTATTGCTAGAAGTCCAAGACGAGACGAAGCTGCGGCCTAAATTGCAGGTAATCTGTCATGCTGTTTCCCGCTTCCAGTTGCCTCCTGTCATCCTGGAGCTGCAAGGCTTTCCCACGCTACGCAGCACTACAGTCCGCCTCTTTTGCCTTCTAGCTGATTTGTGACCACAAATCTGCATCACAGATTTCCGTTTTGATATGGGGAGGGGGCATTTTTCATTGTAATAGCTTTGGTTGTTAGACGTTGTCCCCCCTTGCTGTTCCAGCCCTCCTTCGTCGTTGATGTTTTCTAGGCCGCTTTTATGAGAGTGCACAACTCCCCCTGCCCCTCGTTTGTATGGCATGAACAGCAATACAAGCAACGCCTGGAATGTGACTTCCGCATGACAATACATGCGGCATGTCGTATTCTAGTACTGCAGGAGGTGAAGGTTCCAAAATTTGTCATGCAAACTGTACTTACAGGCAAGATATGGGTTCTTTGGTATTTTGCATTAGAAATTATGGGGAGAGGGAGTTGTGTACTCTCATAGCTTTGCATGGCCTCTTCCTCTTCCGAGCTGGTCAAGGAGTTCTGCAGCAGTTCCAACGCCAGCTCCCGGCCGGACTCGATGTGTTCCACCAGCGTCTTATGCAATGCAAATTTATTCCCGTACCTGCACGAAATGCATGACAAATTGATGCACCAACTTTCTTAGAGTGTGTCCGCACTTGTCATGGTGAATGGGATTGCTGAAGGCAAATGATTTTGTCATGCGGAAACCTCATTTGTACGACCTCCTGTAGGGGAAAAAATTCACCATGGATACGTCGGCAGCATCTTTTTTATCTGGTCCTGCTCCGATTCGCTCAGGGTGCACATATCCACTGCAAAAGTAGTTTGTAGTCTGGGTGGTCCTCTGGTGGATTGCTAGAAATTGAATGATCATGATGAGGAACATACGGCATCAACTTCAACACGCAGCGAAGCATGACAAATTTTCGGAGAGCTGTTTTGTGTTGCGCATTCTGCATCTAAAGCTGTCGTGTCGTCTTTGCTTTCACGACGAACCTCCGCAAGGCCTTTTCGAGGACGCTGTCGCGCATCACAAAGTCGTCCCGAGTCATGGCAAGAAGTCTGGCATCAATGAAGATCTTCGAGAGGAGGAGGAGGAGGCCGCTGCAGACCACGTACTATATTTGCAACGCATACGCCAACTCCACGTGTAAAATTTCTTGCACCCCGTCTGCCCCCAGCAAAACCGGCATCGCGGAAAACCTCGCTCCGGGAAGGCACGTGTTCTCGATGAAGCAGCACTCGCGGATCGTTTTGGTAGACATCTTCAAAGGAGCTGCTCCTGCTGATGCTCCTGTTGCTCCTCCTGCAACAGGAGGCAAAAGTTGTGGGCTCTTGTTTCTCCAGGGAGAAGTAGACTGATACGGGACCATGCTGCTTTGGAGGGGTAGGACAGCGTTCTTGTTCCTGTTTGACGCGGGAGATGAAGTAGCTGCTCCTGCTGATAGTACTCCTGAATTAGGATTCTCTTTCTCCACAATGTTTGAATTTCTTCCTCCATTACTGGCACCGCTCAACGCCAACACCAACTTGGAGACAAATTCTGCGCCCGCAACCGCCGCGGACAAAGTAGGACCAGCCGTTTTCTTCACTTCCGAAATGCGTTTGCTTGCTTTCTGCAGTGTCTGCGTGATTCGCTGGTGGTCGACTTTCGGGAGGTGTAGCGGAAAAATTTCGTTTCCCGGAGGCCGGACGGTTGTCACGGTGACGACCTCCACAGGCTGCTGTTGTATGAGAGTGTAGAGTCCCTCTCTTCATGATTTGTCATGCAAAATACCAAATCCAAGTGCTGGCTTGTGGCACTGTTTGCATGACAAATTTCGGAAGCCCAAGAACCAGTACTACACTACGCACATGAACCTGTCGTGCGCACGACCAGGCTCCACGTGTGCTAGTGTTTGTATTGCTGTTCATGCCATACAAATGAGGGGGAGGGGGACGAGTTGTGTACTCTCGTATGCTGAGAAGTGGAGTTACTCGCACTCGGACTCGGACTTGACGGAGGACCACCCGCGGAGTCGGGAGGGACGCAATGAGCCTGGAGAGGAAAAGATCGAGAAGGGTTAAAGTAGTTTTTCTACACTTCTAATAGCAGACCATGACCAAGAACACCATTATATAATGGTTTATTTTTCGACGTAGACAACCATCCGACAGGATCAACCAAGCATATGGACATCATCAATATTATAGGTTCCATCTATGATGATCTGTTTTGTTCACAAACAAGACCATGAAGATTCTATGTAGAAGACGTTTCGTAATCGTACACTCAATCTCAAAGCTATGCTTACCTGGCTCAAAAGCGGAACGATCGTTTTCCCCTCGTGTCCACCTATCACGTCCACCACTATGGATTCCATCGGCAGGGTTCTGGCACTACACGCTGAAGGCGGAGGAGGAACACCATCCGCACTTGCAGTTCCGCTAGAGCCTGTTGTTCCGGCGTTTTTGCTCGGAGAAGAAGCAGTTGCACCAGAACCAGAAGAACTCGAAAATAAATAGTAGTCCTGCAGCAGCCTTTTCGCCCGAATCACGTCCAGCGTGGTTACCCCGAGCAGCTTATGGGAGTGTCAGGTTTGAAATCGACAAAGTTGAAATGATTTGCCATGCATGAAATCGATACCAGTCGGAAGCCCAATTTTCAAGAAGCGGCGCATGAAAAATTTCGGCCATGTCTAAATCCAGTTTGTCATGCTGTTTTGGGACAGAAGGCGTCTTTTGTCATGCTACTTCAGCGGCTCTACCGCAGACCCCAAACAGGCTGACAGTCGGCCTCACTTGCCGCCCCTGCAAGAGAGGCACTTGATGCCTTTCAATTTATGCATGAGAAATTATTTCAACTCTGACGATTTCAATCCTGACGCTTCCATACAGCTTTCGCGGATCGTAGACCCCGTGAAACTATGAAGTGCGAACATGGTATCGCACTCGTATCAAGTCATGCATTACAAATTTCCTCAGCATGAGAAATCAAATCTGTAATGCTGATCTACCTTAAGAAAAAGATTTGTAATGCATGATTACATTTACAATGAATACGAGTACGGTACTTTTGCACAGGATAGAAACTTCAGCACTTCGGAGACAATCGCCACCTTTTGCGCTAGGAATTCTCGATCGGACAAGATGCAAACCACTATCGCAAGAAAAAAAACTGTCTCAGTCTCAACTTGCAATGCGGAATTTCCTCGAGACACTTTTTTGTCATGCTCGATATGCAGCTAGAGCGAACAAGAAACGCGTCCTCCATAATGCGTTTTCCCTACGTGATGTGTCTGACACATCACAGGTAGTTCTTTTGCGTGTCATGCTGAGGTAATTTGTATTGCTGTTCTTGCAAAGGTTTGAGAAAACTGACATTGAGACAGTTCTTTCTTACGATAACCACCGGCCTGGATGCACTACCGTGCATGGCAATGGCCTCCGACAACTGTTTGATGATTTTCGCGTTCATGGTCATTAACTGGTCCCGGGACACATTTGGCAAGTGCGTCACTCCCGCAGCAATCACGACAATGTCGGCATTTTGTAGCGCCTTCTGGATGTTGCGCATGCCGGCGTACGAGGAGACCTTTGTGGAAATTTGGATGATGATGCTGATGTATAATCAGTGCTGTTCTGATAGATAAATTGTAGTTCTTGAAAGATGGATACGGAAAGGAGATGGATAATGATATGGTACGCTGCTCTTAGAGAATAAACCACTCGAGAACTCTACGTCGAAACATGTGCCTCTGCATCCGGCGAGGAGAAGCACTTTCTCGATGAAAGCACGTTTTTGCATATGTGCATGATCAAGAGCAAATCATGTACGTTTTTGCATCCGGTGTGTAGCTGAGATAGCTCCAGCGCCAGGCCCTCGGTTGTGTCGTTGTGAACGTCGAATATTCGGTATCCATAGGGAATTCTCCGTAGAACTACACGCAGACGTACTTACAAAAACAAAGAAATCTAAATTATGCGGCTTCTGCATGACAAAGACAAACGTTTCGATTGTTCGATCCGACTCCGCACGACAAATGGTGTGGTAAGTACCTACAAGTTGGCGTTGGGGGCGAAATTTGTGATGCATTTTGTACGTCGTGTCGTTGTACAGGAGATTTGTATTGCATATTCGCAGCTCCGTAATTCTCTCGTTCGCCTGGAGCAGAAGGCAAAGTGGCTGCCCCACGCTACCGGCCCCGCCGAGAACCGTGACGCGCATTCTTCTGTGTTGCAAGAATGTAGTGAGTAGCAAGTACTATTGAATGCCGGGTCGCCAGAACGGAGGCCGAGGCACCAGAATGTTTCTCGGAATTTAATCCTGGTGGTTGTACGGATCTTCGTCTTCCCTGTTCTTTTGCACGACTCTTTCCTTCTAGCAGCTGTCTGTACTTGTACAACAGCGAAGCAAATCAACTTCGGCGCCACGCCCTCAGGAGCAGCCGTGCCAAGTAGTAATGCTGCTGACTCACATCACGAATAATCGAAAGAAGGCTTGTTTGGGTTTGTGATCCAATCATTATTTGCAGCAAAAATTGTAACGCCACTCGATATCTCTATCTCATCTCTCCACCAGCTGGACGAAAGAGAGCTCTGCGATTTGCGGCGATTATGTTCTTGCTCTCGTCCTTGCCTGGCAATTTTTACCAACTACGTCGGACGCTAAGTATTACACGACCACGCGGCGGCCAAGTACTTCTACTTCTTCCCAAACGAGGAAGGTAAAGATTGCTCTCATGTAGAACACTCCGCAATAGCAAACTCGCTCGTCATGTTGTACCCAGAACTGCTAGAACGAAGAAGTAATTGTAGCTACTGAAATGTCATAGTCATTCACGAAAATGAAAAAGGAGTTCTACGCAGAGGACGCCCCTGTAGTTACCAGGTCGGTGGTACTACTTTGAGAATGGCCACCAGTTTCTCGAAGCAGCCACTGAACTTGAGCGAAACAGGCAGAACAAGTCGGGGAACATGGAAGGCGTAACATTTTGAAAGAGAAGTGCTGTCGCCGTTTCTTGCACGCACGGTAACGGTATGATCGGCATCACGTAGATTCTAGTCCTTCATCGAAACAGGAAAAATATTTTTTTCGTCGAACATCAAGCCGCGCAGCTGAATCATACAAAGCTTGAACAACATCTGTTCTTGAATCTGATCTTCGTCCGAGCTCTTGCATCGGTGATGCGCCAAGAGTCTGCTGGCAAAATCTTCTTCCCCGCCTACACCTCTACCCTCGCCAATCGCGTATGCCAGCCGTGGGCAGCAAAATACTTCTCCATCAGTTCCTCCGCGGCTGCCTTGTACCCTGAAGCCGCTTTGTCACCACTCAATTTCGCCGCGTGCGCAAGCAACTTCACCTGCAAACGCGAAAACGCAAATTTTTCTTCGTTCATCCCCGGGATCGTATCCAAGAAAAAAAATTGCGTTTGTGAGGCAGAAATGAATGCAGAACAGAACTACACGACGACGACACTTTTCGTGCAAGACAGCCCCTGCCCCAGACTCCTCTTTTCTTCATCACATGTGGTTACTTTAAAACATAGGCTAGCTACGCTTTTCACAGAACAAGTTTGTCATGCTGTTCTTGCTGTCAGCCCAGTAAGAGCGTTACACTAGCACAGTTCATTTTTCTTGGATAAACGGGGCCAGGGAAGGTTTTCGGGGGCTTCTGTTCCAGCCAGTGGCCGGGTCTGAAGGACGAAGAAGCTTTCGGCTTTGGCACTTGATGTTGCGCGGAGTTATTCAGAACGGAGGTGGATGCTGCTGCTGCACCAATACGTCCTCGTGGAGCTGGTGCACCTCCACCACCTGCTGTCGTTCTTGGAACTATCTTGTCGGTGAGCAAAACATTCCGCAGTATGTCGGGTTGCAAATGCTGTTTCCGGAACCTCCGTGCTTGGTTCAAAAACTTGGTCGGGCGGATTCTCGAGAGAGAGGTAGTGCTGGCGGAGTTTGCTTTAGTACTATAATTCGTTGTGGAATTTATTTGGTGAAGATGCTGGTCGTGCTGCTCCAGAGCGGGCTCGTGGAGGTGCACGACAAGGCTGTCGCTGGTGTCACCCTCCACCATCTCCACCGCAAGATGCGCAAAGTCTTCCAGAAACCCGGTAATTCTCGGCACCGGGGTTGCGAAGTACATGTCTTCAAAGACCCGCTTCGCGTGGATATTGTGGCGACTGATCGAAGGAGTTGTCAGCTCCCCAAGGCTATGCATTTTTGCAAAAGTCCCGCAATCGTAGTGATTGCAGTCATGGATGACAGATCTATTTTTGTACGCTAACCAGCAACATTACAAATTCCATTTTTCACGCTGACCAAATTTGTAATGCGAGGATTTGAACTTCTACTAGTACGATACTTTTGCAGTGGATAAGCTTCGTCCATCTCCAGGTCTAGATGATCCAGAAAAATCTTCCCCTCCGCCCCAAAAATCCCCCGCAGGAATCCTTCCGGCAAGAGCCGCAGGGGTAGGAAAAGAAGATGCTTGCGCTTCTCCTGCGTCAGTTTCTGTTTCGCTTTCAGGAGCGTGGCTGTTTTGCCGATGTTTGTCATGTCGCCAAACAAGCTGGCTGTGCGTGACGGAGAAGCAGAGTCGTCTTGTTGTGCTGGTCCTTGCTGGTCAATCGTTACCATTTCGGAGATCGCGGAAGAAGAAAACGGACTTCCCGCCCTCAAGAAATGCTCCTTGTCCTTCCTTGTTGTGTTCCCTATCGCTTTATCAAATGTAAAAATGTCTGGGTGTGGAAGATTCTGAGCCTTGTCATGCATGTTTTGCATGGGCCGCAATGTCTGTGATGCACGCCCTAGCATCACAGATTTTTTGAGGGCTTCGCGATGCCTATTCCGCATGACAAATGCCCTCTCCGCGTACCAAAAATTACATTCCCTTTGCTGCTCATGCAATACAGATTTTTTTGGAATCCAAATTCAGCATCACAAGTTGCATTCTTCCAGACCCAGACATTTTTACATTTGATAGACTTGCGCCAACGACTCTGCTGGATGGGGCTCCAGTAACCTCCGGATGTCGTGTATGAAAGTGCACAAATCCCGCCCCCCCTCATTTGTCATGCAAAATCCCAAATGCAGGCTCTGCCTCTTGGCTCTGTTTGCATGACAAGCTCTGGTAGCTCAAATAGCACTACACAACTCCAGTGTCAAAAGATTAACATTTGCCATGCAGAACCGAAACTCTTGCTGATGCTTGTATTGCCGTTCATGCTACACAAATGCGGGCGAGGGGGAGTTGTGCACTGTCACATCGTGCGAGAGGTCTTCCCGATTAACCCCGAGTTTGCTGGTTTGCGAGTCGAAATTCAAGTCCTTGAAGAGCGCCTGAGTCTTGTTCCCGATGGCGTTTGGATATGAATCCGCAGACGCGTGGTCGTCCTATCGTACTACTAGTAGAAACTGCGATACAAACTTCTTCAGCATTACGAGTTTGCCATGCTGATTTAGCTTTAAGAAAAAATAATTTTATGATGCATGATTGTGATTCTAGTACGAGTACGATGCCACATAAATTGCTGCGCCGGATATTGGAACGCCTTTGCCAAAATGCCGCCCCGGGATCATCACGTAGTCTTCGAGGGCTTTTTCGTGTGTATCCTATGTAAAACAAACGTCCCCACCCCACAGTTGTCATGCAGATTTGCATCTACAGGAACATCTGCAATGCGCATCCGCATGAGAGGACTTTGTAGTGATGTTTATGAGATTTGTAATGCTGTGAACAGGATGAGCATGCGTCTTTGTGATGCGGCTGTCCTTGACAAGCCCGACTATACTACAGATGGAAACTTGTCATGCATAACTCCCAAAACTTAGAGATTTGTGTTGGAGATTTACCAACTTCACTATGGTGTCGGCGGGACGTTTTTTCACAGGATAGTGTGGTTCCCGGTCCAGTGCAAAAACTCCGCTGTCCATGTTTTTCTCCGCTTGGAATGAGTCGATCACTCGAGCATCACCAGATAGATCACCCGGCGCTTGTCCTGCCCGTAGTCGAGGGCCTGCAATCGCAGTTTGCTCGCTGTAGAGGTCCTCTGTTGCCCGAATATGATGTCCTCGTGTAGTTTTTAGCGTGACAACTGCACGGTCGCGATCTGGTCGTCCTGACGAAGTTTTTGTTGCAGGGTCTTCTGCGTGGTGCGGAACACCAGCAGACTTAGCAAACAAATTCTTGTCGTTCATCCAGAGGAGAGGGCTGGTGGTCCGCTTGTTTATGACCACTTCCCTGGTGGATCGTTGTTCATGAGACTGGTCAAGAACTACATCCGTATTTTTCGCATCAGCAACTGCAGGCTCAGCGCCTCTGCTTTTGCTTTTTCCCCCTGCTGGTGTTCTTGCTGTAGTTGGTGTTGGTTTTATTGCCGCCTCGACGAGGCTGCTTTTTTTGTGGCGATGATGCACTTGGAGCTGCTCCGTACTGGTTCTACTACTTGTTGTACTTTTTGCAACATCTCCAAACATCAGCTCGGCACCTCGTCCAGCATCTTCTCGTAATCCAAGCAAGTCGGCTTGTGTCAACAAGAAGCTGGTGCCCCCGTTCTTGCCGGGCGCACCAGATCTTCTCGTAGCTCTAGCTGCACCTCCTCCGGCTACGACGACGCCATCCACAAACCCACGTGATTTAGCTGCAGAAGAAGAAGTAGGAGAAACAACTCCTGCTCCTCCGAATCGATTGTTTCTACTGTCATCTTCTACTCCACGCGGGTCGTCGTCGTGGTGGAGGTCGAGAAGAAATTTCTTCTCGACGCGGCTTCTCAACTCCAGACCGCGATCGATCCTGCCTTCCCCGTATGAGTTGCAAAAGTGTCCGGGTCTGGAAGATTCTAAACTTGTAATGCTGTCTCTGGATTCTAAAAAAAATTGTATTGCATGACAAGCAAGAGGGCTCCAGTTTGTGCTACGCGGAGAGGGCATTTCTCATGCGGTAGAGGCCTCACAAAGTCCTGTAAATATCTGCGATGCTAGGGAATGCATCACAGACGTCATGGATCATTCAAAATATGCATGACAAAACTCAGAATCTTCCAGACCCAGACATTTTTGCAGTTGATACTCCGTCTTCGCCTTTCCCTTCCTGTTTCATCACATCGAAGTAGGATTGGTAAGAGCCTGGCTATGCAAGACAAATTTCCCGCACATGTACAAGATGCATCAAAAATTTCCCCAATTTGGAGCTTGAAGCTTGTCATGCTAAACCAGGATCGAGGCCAAGTTTTGCCATGCAGAAACCGCATTTTTACGTGTACAGGAAATTTACTGTGGATACTGGTGTCTTTGGATTGGGCAACCGGATGTCCTCGTCAAAATCGTCGTCGTCTTCAGGTTATGCATTGCAAAAGTATAATCGTCGTACAACCAGCCGCAATTGCGTTCACGACTTCGCTCAGCACGGGGAATTGCCTACGATGGAACAAATTCATTTCATCTGTCAAGCATGATTGCAACTCCCACGAGCAGAAGTACGATAAAATTTTGCACAGGATAGCAATACACCTTCTCCTTCTGCGCTTTGCTTGTCGTTGTAGAAAAGCAGCGGCGTCCCAGCAGCGGCCTTGGCACTTCTGGCGTTCTTGGCGGAAGCGTCGTTCTTGCTCGGTTTGGTATCCTCTACACCGCCTTCCCCGACCAGCAACCGCTGCCCGTCTTGGGAAGTAGAGGTAGCACTAACATGATTGCTAGTAGATGATGACTCTAGAAGAAATAACTTCTCGCCGATGATTTTTTGGCTCAGCTTCCAGTCAAGTTGACTGCCGTTCTGAAAAATCGCGGGCATCTTCAGGTGGTGCGGGTTTTTGTTGGAAGGCAGAGACGAGAAAGAAGCAGATGAAGAAGCTGTAGTTCTTGATGCGCCACTTTCATGACTGGTCGCGTTCTTATTCCCCGACACGCCACCTTCTAGCCGTTTCAGTAGGTACTTTTTCAAGTGCTCTGACATCACAGAGGACAGCCTTCCCAGGCCCCACGTCACAATCGCGCGAAACCACCTGCTCGGGCCCGACTGCACGTAGTCGTGCGGGTTCGGGATAGTTTTGCTAGCATGGAGTTCTTTTGGAAAGTTGTAGGATAGTTGACGTAGTTGCGTCTGCTCTGATGTATCATCTTCCCGCTGCGAGTTCTTCTCCTCTTCGGGGTTGATGTTCGAGAAGAGCGAGCTATGTCCAGCCGCATCCACTTCTTGCAACGGCACTTCGACGTCCGCGATGCAGGATTGGAAGTCCAGAAGAAACAACCACACCCGCAAAATTTGGAGTGCGTACCAGGCAATCGGGGTGGTTGTTGTGCCAAAGGACGGTGAGTTGATGTCCTCGCCAGGGTCCATTTTTTCGGAAGATGAATTTGTCGTACTCGATATAGTTTCCGTGGTATCGTGCCCATATCTTCCAGCGTTTATTTGGCTTTTTTTTTCATCATCGTCGTCGTGCGCCAACCATTTCTCCAACACAGCCAAAACGTGCAGCTCGACTCTGACGAATTGCAGACAGTAAAACGCCACAACTTCTTATGACAGTGCACAACTCCCCTTCTCCCTCATTTGTATAGCATGAACAGCAATACAAGCATCAGCAATAGTGCCGGTTTTGAATGACAAATGTACACTGGAGCGTGGTGCTATTTGAACTACCAAAACTTGTCACGCAAACAGTGCCACAAGGCAGCGACTGGATTCGGGGTTTTGCATGACAAACGAGGGGAGGGGGAGTTGCGCACTGTCACACTTCTTCCAGCAAGTCTTCGCATCCGATCTGCAATTCCAACAAAAAACGTTTCTCCAACGTTTCCAGGAGGTCACGAAGACGAAATGGGGAGTGGAAAAGATCATGGGCGGCGGGATAATCTGCACCTCGCGACGACGAGGAGGAGGACCGCTGGTCTGCCTGTTTGAAGGGCTCTTTGTTCGGTAGCTTTCGAGCGTACGTATCCAGGCTCCGACGGCGGCGGGCAGAGGAACTTTCATTAAACAAGCCCCCCTCGGTCAACACCTCCCCACCTTTTTCCTCATCGTCCCGCTCGTCATCTGTGACAAGCAGCGCCAATATGATACTGCACAACCCCCCCTCCACCTCATTTGGAATGGCACAAATAGCAATACAAGCGTCAGCAAGAATGCAGGTTTTGCATAACAAATTCATTCACTCACATTTGTACTGCTGTTTGAGCTGCAGCCAGAACTTGTCATGCAAAAAGTGCCAGGAGGCAAAGGATGCATTTGGTACTTTGCATGACAAACGACGGGATGAGGGGAGCAGGTTGTGCACTCTCATAGCCAACACAGAGTTGAGCAAAGCCAGCCGATCCTCGACGGAGTGGGCCTCCGTGTGGTACTTCTTCGTGTATTCCAAGGCGTAGTGGAGATGCTCGGTCGGGAAATCTGCCTCCACGCCGAAGCCCCGCTTCTTCGCGATGTTCGCCCTGATTCTAGCCGCAACCGCGTGCACGTCCAGGGCCGGCGCGGATGATGAAGAAGAAGTTCTTCGCCTCGCAGGTGCGGAAATAAATCCGCACCTCTCGTGGACTTGAGACGTCACGTCAATGTGGTCACGACTGGTGATATGCATTGCAAAAGCATCGTACTAGTATAAATAACTGCATCACAAATTATATTTTCCTCAAGAACAAATAGGGAATTTGTCATGCTATATCAGGTGGAAAGTATAGATTTGTCATGTATGACGAGTGCGATACTTTTGCAATGCATAGGCGAGCAAAGTTGCTGATGTTCTCATTCCCGTTTGCAGCTGGCCTCCGCGTGTTTTCTTTCCTGCCGACAACTGCGGACGAGAGAAGACGTCAAGGAAAAGTGTTTCGGCGTTGAGAGTGTCATCACCTTCACCGCCCCATCGACCTACTAGTAGAACTGGGTCAAGAACAGGAGCATCGCCGAGAGCAGGAGCAGCCCCTTCGATTCCCATATTCGTTCCCGCCGATGTTCCTGCTACGTCGTGGAGCCGCCCGAGCACTACTTCGCGGAGCCTCCTTTCCAACCTTGCTTCGCGCTGCTGGTCAAATATTGGGCCGGGATGGTGTAGGAGATGCCACGCACCAGCATATTTGCTCCCGCCCCCGCCCGCTGCGTGATGCCGTTCTTCTTCTGGTTCGAACTTGAACAGTGCGGGCCCGAAAAAGTTCACCCACCAAGCGTCTATACTGATGAAAAGAATAAAGTGCCCACTTCTATTTTAGGGCCGGAAACAAATTTAGTACTTAAAAAACATGTGTAGAAGTTGCGGCCTTGATCCGTGTGGCATCAGCACGAGCCAGGTCTTCGTCTTTTATTTTTTGTCTTTGATCCTTGTCCAGCATGACAAACGTTTTGTTTTTGATGGTTCCGACCTCCCTAATCTTGTTCGAACAAGCTTCTACCCTTCATCGTTTTTACGAACTGCAGTAATCTACATGGAATAGCCGAAAAACTGCTGCTCTTGTTGCTGTGTAGCCCGCGTTCACACAGAGCATTCTCCGACGCCAACTGGAACTGACACTGAGCAACATGCACTATTCATGCACTATTGATAGATAATTTGTTCTCCTGATTGTTGTATGGGTGCACTTACTTTTGTGTCGGATAGCGTTGATACGTCGAAGAAAGTCTGCCTGGGTTATAAACATGCTTCTTGTCATCTCCTCCTCCTGCTCGAGAAAGTCACTGGGTGGGGCGTCGTCGGGAAAAATTGCATCTTCATCGGTGGAAATCTGCCCCCCGTGCCGCTTCTGGCTGTTTGATATTTCCCGTTGATGCAGCTTGTTCTGCTCCTGGCCGCTGGTGTTACCAACCACTCGAGCAGGTGGCAACGCCCTCATTTTTCCAGTTTTCGTACTAGTTTCCTTGGTCTTCAAGAAGACGACCTTTCGGCACAGGACGCTGCAGAGGGCGCGTATGGATGTGTCAGAGTTGAAATCGACAAAGTTGAAATAATTTGTCATGCATAAAATGGATGCCAGTTGGGACCCAGTTTCCAAGTCAGGCAAGACAAATTTCGGTGGTCCCTAAGTCCACTTTGTCATGCTGTTTAGGCAAAGAAGAGCGATTCTCTCATGCTACTTTAGCAGCTCGAGCTGTAACCCCAAACAGGCTTACAATCGGCCTCACTTGCCTGCTCTGCAACACACGTGCCTCAGGTCATGCATTTTATGCATTACAAATTATTTCAACTTTCACGATTTCAAACCTGACACTTCCATAGCGCGTGGTAGGAAGTCCTGGATATTAAATTGCGGGGTTAGCTGGTGTATCCTGTGCAAAAGTATCGTATTCGTATAAATGCAAGTCTTGCATTACAAATCTTTGTCTTAAGGCAAATCTGCATTACAAATTTTCTTTCTCATGCTGAAGAAATTTGTAATGCATTTATACGAGTACGATACTTTTGCAATTCATATGGTGGAGCGAAGAAGTAGAGTTTGTCATTGTCTTCTGTCCCGGCGAATAAGAAGAAGTTGAAATAAACAACGCTCGCGGCGACCAAACGTGTCGGTCCAGATTCAAGCAAAGCTTTTCCGCGTGGGAAAACGTGAACACCGTGCCATATCAAATGCAAATGTGTCTGGGTCTGGAGGACGATGGCGAGACTTGTCATGCAGGCTTTCCATGGCCCATGAGGTCTGGCATAGAGCATCTAGCATGACAGATTCTGTGAGATCTCTATCATGCCTCTCCCGTGTGAGAAACTGCCTCTATACTTGTTCAGAAGCGGACAACTTTTATTGCTGACCATCAAAGAACGCAAATTTTTGCACGATCCAGACTTGGCACGACAAGTTGCAACCTTCCAGACCCAGACATAGAATTTGTAATGCATATCCCACCACCCACAGCCAAATCCCAGAGCTGCAATTTCTCTTCCGGAAGCAGGGGCCGGCCGATGGCCGCCTGGAGCGAAGCGTGACGGGAAGACGAGAAAGACATGTTTTTTCAGAATGACGGCCCGTCTAGCTGTAAGAATAAGTAGACAGTTCTGGTGGAGAGATCCTGTTCTTCAAGGCCACACTTGTTGATGATGAAGATGAAGATGGTGCTCAATATAATTACAACAGTGGTCGTCACAACTACTACTTCATCGTCACATCGACGTGAATCTCCTCGTTCATCGCTATCACTGCACTCTACCACATACGAAAAACAAGACCGTGAGGCGCTCGTGAAGGGCATGGTGGTACAGTAGGTCGTCCCAACGGTAGGTACTAACAATAGAGCGGCAACCATTACGACATCACCATAACAAGACACATTATGTGTCTTGTTATGGTGACATCAACAACTACTACACACGACGGCCAACTCCTCCCATGCATCACTAGCCACCTCCCGCCCACATCACAACTGGCTATTTATTCTTTTTTTTATCTGCTAGTGGCATGTGTGTCCTCTCTCGCAACACAAATATAGACTTCTAGAGTGGCTGTAGCACGACCAGTTTTCTGCGAAGCAAAAGTGCCAACTGACGACCTCGACCTGGTGACGGTGACCGTGACATGCTATACAATCGGGGGAAAATACTTCATCACCGAACGTTTTATACGTAAACGTAGAAAACTGTTGATAAGGGACATTATCTTGCTCTTGCTCAGCGACCGCGACGACATAATTTCAACAGGAGTCTTCATCTGACAACAGAATGACGACCACGGAAATCTTCTTGCTGAACACAAATACAGAAAAACCCTGCGTCGAATCTGGGTCGGCTCGTTTGCTTTTCCAGCACCCGTACCTGACGAAGCAAGCTCCTAGGGCCAGAGAAGCACGTCTTCACCATCTATCATGATGGTCAAAGCAACTTTTTCAATATTTGTGTCGCGTGGTACAAAGTGATTCTTGTGAAAAAAGGAATGCAAATTATATCATCGGTTTTTTCTCCAGAGGGAGCCCCCGCGGGGGGTGGGCGATCTAAGTAGCACTATCACGACAACGAACGTGTGTGTCCACCAGAAGGCCTCCGTAATTTTGCTCCTCTTTATTTTGCAGTTGTCGTGGCTTATTGTAATTGTTCCCAACACTTCTCACAGCGTGGTAGTTTCATCCTCACAGGAGTGTGGGCTTTCTTCTCCCGAATTCTGGTAGTTCCTCGAGCAGTATTGTTGTATTTCGCGGAGTAAGTAGTCTCAATAAGCAGTAGTCCTCGTTGCAAAAAATTGTTGAATCCGCTCTGTTTATTTGCTCAAAATCTTCAAATCCGCCCGCCGTCTTGTCGCTGGGTCGTCGACGGAAAGCCGCCGCCTGTCTGTTCTACCGCAACGTCAATCAAGTCGTCGTCGTGCACGACTATGCAGTGCAAATATGTAGTCTCAGTAGTCACTTGTGGAAGATGAAGCAAGCAGATGGTTGCCATGACCACATCGACTTCTCTCGTCGAGGATGTTTGTAATACATGGCATCTCCTAGCATCAAAGATCTTCTTCCACCGAAGGCTTGTTTTAATCTCTTTTTTAATGCGTACTATCCGGGTCGTGCATGAGAAACGCGCCTTCCATGTTGCAGAAGCCAGGCTGTTTCTGTATCTCTTGCTGACACAAGAATACAGATTTTTGGCATTGTCCAAAGCTAGCATCACAAGTTGAAGTTTGCTCTCATCTTCCAGCACCAGATTATACATTTGCATTGCATAAAGCCGAGCGCATCCGGGGTGTCGTTTTCGCCCACCCGCTCCCCATCGACCATAAAACGCACCTCGCCAATGCGCAGGCTATGAGACTGCACAACCAGTTTACCTCTTCCTCCGTTGTCATGCAGAAACGCAATGATGTATGACGATTTTTTCGTAAGTACCCGGCGGCTACGTGCTGTTTGTCATGCAGATGCTATATACTGAACTGATACTGATTCTGTCTGTGTTTCGCTTGTTCGTGCCTGCTTCTTCAGATGACATCTTGATGGTTTGAGGGGAGAGATGAAACTACTTCTACTTGTGCACTTTCATAGGTGCCGATCCGCTGGCAGTAGGCCTCCATCAGTTTTTTCAAAGTCGAATGCTTCTTGATCTTGAAGGACACTTCACCGCCCGTACTGTTCCGCACCCGCAGCTTATGAGAGTGCACAACTCCACCTTCTCCTGATTTGTATTGCATGAACAGCAATACAAACACGAGCACACGTGGAGCCTGTGGATGACGAATTGACATTATTCGTGCGCCTAGTGTAGTACTGTCTGGGGTTGTTCCGGATGCAAAGAATACAACAAGGAAGCACTTGGATTTGGGCTTTTGCATGACAAATGATGCGGAGGGGGACGAGTTGTGCACTCCCATACAGCTGAATGTGCGTGGGCCCGCCGGCGCCAGCGTCCGGGTTTTCCGGGGCGGCGGCCGCCGCGGGAGAACCAGAGTCCTGGTCGTCGGCCATTTTTTTTTGGTTTTTTTGATGAGGGCGCAAGGGTAGCTATGTATGACGATATGGAGCAACTGGATGAAACGAAACTAGGTGGAGATTATATCACTGTCGTTACTATAATCTCCTCCAGAAAAGTGGTGGTCCTGAGGAAGGTTTGTGGAAATCAAAATCGTAGTAGGCGCAATACGAAAGTTGTTTTATTTCAAGTTGATATAATACCACCTCTTCCGGGTAGTCATTTTGGAAGATATTTCGAAGTCGGTTCAAGTTTGTGAAAGGGAAATTTGTCGTTCGTTTTGAGATGAGGAAGAAGCTGCACGAGCAAGATCTTCAAAATGATACCGCACGCAAGGGCAAGGACGTAGAGCTTCAGCTTGCATATGCAAGCGCTTTTGCTCCTTTTGCGTTTTCTTTTCATGCTTTTCCTTTTGGGTTTGACTTTGTATAAATTCATCGTGTGTTGTTGAGCAGGATGCTTACTTTGCAGAGAGAAACACAATTTCACCGTTTGTCGCAAGAGCATTTGTGTTTGTCCTCCCGTCTCCCTATTTCGGTTTTCAAGGTCGTCGTGGACGACCGTTTTTTGGACCATCAAATTCTTGAAAGATCCTTCCACTTTGTTTCCGTCAAGATATATCTTCAAGCTGTTTTGTTCATCTTCGCATGCAGACATGATGGAAAATCTTCGAACACAACAAACTACAGAATCAGAATGGACCGGTTCCTTGTCGGACTGACTTTGGTTTATAGCCGAGGGCCAGCACATGACCAGGATCATGACTGCAAGAGCCACAGCCTCGCACTTCGCTTTGCCTAGTACGAAACTCGATTCATCCCGCAGGTATACTAGTTATGTAACTACAAGTCTTTGACCAACATGAACATGCTTGTTGCGTTCTTTTTTTTTTTGCTTTTGTGGTGGTTCGTTTTGATGTAGAACGACGCAGCTTCCGGCTTTTGCACTGTGTTGCAAGAACACACAGTGACAAATAAGAAACGAAGCCTTTGGTAGTTTTTGGTGCGCTAAGTTGTTCTTCGAGCTGGTGATAAAAAACGAAAAAGAAATAAACCTCGCCTCAGCTTAACCTGAAAAAATCGTTTTTTTAGCTTACTAAAATTTTGCATGGAGCATAGAACTACATGAAGCCTTCAGGTCGATCCTGAAATCTTTGAAAGTCAACATGTAGTTCTTCCGGTCGTCAGTACATAGCCACCGGCGGTGGTCGTGATAACGCTGGCCCTTCTCCAGATAAAGATCTTCTTTGCGGAGAGTTTCTGAAAATTTCAATTTCCATCCCTCTCCGTCGAGCGGCGTGCCAAACGTTCTAGCAGGCCCCTTCAAAGATCTTCTGGCCGAGCGTTGTCCTAGTGCTACAACTTTTTAATTTTTGCAAGAGATCGAAACAGACACAAAATGAATAAAATCCTTGAAAATACAGCTACTTAAAAGTTTTCGAAAGCAGTGAAAAGAAAACGCCAACAAGGTCGCCCTCCGTCGTACTAAATATAGGTAAACCACTACTCATGCACACATCTTCATCTCTAGTGGACAACTCCTCAAAACAAGAATAAAATTCCACAGCGCGGCCTCGATCTCTTCTAAAATTCCAAGAAATAAATTGCGATACTTCAGAACCGCGTTTTTCTCCCCGAAATTTTCGCACTCGCACCTGAGAGTGCGACAAAGAAGTCGTTGATCCTTATGTTAAAAATGACAAGTACAAGCAGCTAAAAACTAGAATCTAGTTTTCTACTTTCTAAATGTGCTAGATGCGTAGTTATCTTTTGTCGAAGTTCCGAACCTTTCTGGTCAAGCGAAACTTAAAATATAAGTAAGCCATCTCGCTTCCTAGCATATACTCACTGCTGCACTGCCTGATTATTTGGCCATCCTTTTCTGCGAATTCTTGATGGAGGACAGTGAAAATAAAGATAACTTCCTAATTTTCATATGCGCGCCGGCCACGACTTGCTGTGAAGGCGATTTGCAAGGTGGATGCGCTGCAGATACTACTTGGTAGCAATAAAGCCCACTTCCACTTCCATATCTACATCACCTCCGTCGTGGCGACTTTTAATTCTGAATTCAGACAACAAATTGAAATTCTCCTTGTTTAATTAGGTTCCTGCTCAACATCACGATACCAGTACTTATCAAGTACTGTAACTAAGAACTGTAACTACGTGTATCTCGATAGTACATGCCAACGTTCTGAATTTTCGCCGTATTTATTACCCCTCGTCCTCCTCGCCGGCCCAGATGCGTTCTAGCTTCGGAATTTTATTGTACACGAGCTGATTGCTCTCATTAGATGGATATCAAATGCAAAAATGTCTGGGTCTGGAAACTTGTGATGCTGAGTGGCGTATCAGGAGGAGGCCACAAATGCTGGCGCAGCATGACAACTTTCTGAGCTTCTAGGTGTTGCCTTTTCTGCATGACAAACTGCGTTTCTGCATGACAGAACAACTGGGCTCTTTGGTAACGTGCATGACAGATTTAAGACTCATCCCAGACAAGCATGACAAACATGCACTCTTCCAGACCCAGACATTTTTGCATTTGATAATGGAAAAACCAGTCGAAACGGCATTCCGTACAGCCACAGTTTCCTAGACACCACCCTGGCCTTCACTTCTCTTTGTATCAAACCTCCGCTGCGGAGGTCGTCGTGCAGGTGGTCGTGTAGTTTTCGTGTGTGTTCCACCTCCCGTCCCTGCTCTTCCTCTTCCACCGACCAAACGCCCTCGACGACCGGGTGTGTGATCAAAAGATAAGCATGTTGCTCCGTTTCTGCGAGGTCGAGAAAGTGATTTAGTAAAATTTTTGACGGTTCCGGTTGTTCCCCCACCTGCCGTTGATCATGCTCATGGTCCTCCATAATTCTCGCGGCCGACCACGTCCTTGGCGCCACGAGCTCCGAGCCGTTCTTGCTGCTTGTTTTTAAAAGTACTTGCAGTTCCGCCGCATTCCACACGCGGCCTTGCACACGTGGTAGCAAAAGGGACACATTCTGGACTTGTTTTAACATTTCGGTTAAGGCTTGCCTTTCGTCGGCTTTCAGCGCAGCGCTGTCTGCTCGCAAAGCGATAGTGAGCTGCTGCTTCTTTTCCTCACTTGCTGGTGATCCTTCTTCTTCCCCTTCCGTCAAAAAAGCCAGCACCAGTTTCTGGTCAAAAAATCCGCTGCGCCTTGCGCAAAGTGCCGGCCACAGGAAGGACGGCGAATCGGGTCGTTTGACGGTCGTCCCGTATCAAAATGAAAAATCCCCCCTCCCCATATCGAACAGGCAAGTCTCAAAAAATTTGCAGTGCTGATTTGTGACCACAGATCGCGTCTGTCTTGCAAGAAAGCAACGTCACAGGCTCCGCCCCGTTATGCAGGCGGTTTGTAATGCTCTTGGGCCTACAGCATAGACGCTTCTCATGCTAATTGCCTAGGCCAAAACCTCTCCACTCTGGCACGATATGGGCCTGCAGTTCTCTAATGCAATACAAATCTGATTTGTGTACGCAAATCCAGCATCAGAAATATCGTTTTGAAGATGTGGGGAGGGGGGATTTTTCCTTTTGATATCCCGTCGCGCGCGTTTTTAGCTTCGTACTGTGCTTTCCGGCTCCACCGTGCGAAGAGGTTCCTGACTGGAACCTCTAGGAGGATCATATCAGCTTTGCAAGTATCACCACGCGGTGGTGGACTTGGACTAGCTGCGGCAGCTTGTGGTCCAGGTCTTCCGGAATCTCCCTCATCCTTCCCGAGTTCTTCCCACTCCGTGCACGGCGTCCCAGGCGCCTTTTCCCTGAACCGCTGCACGCGATTTCGCAGGTCCACGTAGGTTTTTTCCTCTTCCTGCATACCAGCGTCAGTTCGCTGCTCTGTATCAAATGTAAAAATGTCTGGGTCTGGATGAAGATTCTGAGACTTGTCATGCATGTTTGCATGACCCAGGAGGATGTCTGTAATGCACGACCGCGCATCACGCTTTGTGATGCCTACTCCGCATGACAAACGCCCTCCCCGCGTAGCACAAATTAGACTCCTCTTGCTGGTCATGCAATACAGATTTTTTTGGAATCCAAGATCAGCATCACAAGTTCCAATCTTCCAGACCCAGACATTGTTACAGTTGATACTCTGGCGCAGTCAGCAACTGGTTGACGCCAGAGAGGACCTCTCCGCGAGGGAGCGTAGCAGGGGATGTGGCACGATCCTCATCTCCTTTTTCTCCATGCACCTGCTCAAGCACTCGGGAAGCAGCGATTAATTGAAACAAAAACCGGTCGATGATAAGCGCACCTGGCGGTGCAAAAATGTAGGAGGATAGCTTCGGTGGAGGAGGTGAAGAGGAAAAGAAAACCTCCGACGCTCCTGAGGTCCTCGCGGTCGGTCGCGTGCTCCTGCTCCTGTCGATATTAGTTTCATCTGGCGTGGTCCACACAGGAAGTTGTGGAAGTTGCATTTCTGTTCCATATGACCCAGCATGTCGATGGTCCGCAGCACTGTCAACATAAGGCTGCATCTGATGCTTGTTCCGCAGAAGACTCAGATCCCCACCCGGGCGGAGGTGAGACCGAGACAACCCGCGAACGCTGGGGCCGCGCAGCTCATGTTCCGCATGTCGCTCAGACGAGATAGAAGGGGGCGCGAAGACATGCTGACGTTCCGGCGCAAGGAGACCCAGACCTCCCGTAAATGCAGCTCCTGCTCCGCTTGATGAGATGAAGTCGGAGTATGTAGTAAGAGCGGCCGCGTCGTTCATCTTCATCGTTCCTTGCTCTTGCACTTGCTTTGCCTGGCGCTCGCCTTGATGTTCCAGCCTTACGACTTTCTCCAGTTCCCGCATAGCCTCCTTTTCGTCCTCACCATCGCCGAAAGAAAGCACTTCCGCGAACGGGATATTCAGCTCGACGTTATTTCTCATCAATTTTTTAAACACGTCGGTTTTGAACGAATCGGAATGTGCTGATTGTGCTTGTTCTCCTCTTTCTTCCCGTCCAGCTACTGCAGCTGTTGCCCCGAGTAGACGTTCACGCTGTGCTTGTATCCCTTTCTTTGCTTCTCGCCAGTGTGACATGACGTGGATCTCGATTTTCTTAGATGAACCGGACACGACGTCATCCATGTTTTCCACTTGCCCCATCTCCCCGAAATTTTGTTTGTACCGAAATGTCTTGTCGTCTTCCTCATTCAACAAATAATATGCCCCCTGCTTCGTCAGATACTGGTAGAAATTCGGAAGAAATTCTTTGCACATTTGCTCGACAAAGGGAATATTCTCGGGCTTGTGCAACTTGTCCCCCCGGTAGGGCCGCGGTTGTCTCGAGGTCCCCGAAGCGGTGACAATGGCGACTCTTCCACCGTTTTTTGTCCCGGCGATTCGCCGCGCAGTCTCGAAAAAGGCGACAAGCAAGTGGTCAACAATGCGGAGCTTCGACATGAATTCTCTATTCTGTGGCTCCGGCTGTTTTTTCATGTGCTCAAAAACATCGTCGACGTAATTCTTCCATGCCTTCTGCCGGTCGCCCGTTGTTGGGACCACGTCCAACCCTGTGCCACTTGATGAAACATCACTGTGCGACGACATCCAGTCGAACATTCTGTAGCTCAACGCGGTATCCAAAGTCCACATGTTATCGTAAACGGGCACAGCGCGCTGCTCCTTTGTCTTCTATGCTCTGCAAAAGTATCGCACTCGTACTAATTGCTTTCATGCATGACAAATCTTGTTTCTTAGCCAAATCAGCATTACAAACTCCGTTTTTCCTTCTGAAAAAATTTGTGTTGCGATTTATACTAGTATGATGCTTTTGCAATGCATATCTTCGGGTCCACGACGAGTTGCTGGGGCGCTTGCTTGGTCACTGGATCAACGTACATCTGAAGAATGGCGGAGTAGATGCGGCGCTCCTCTCTGGAGAGTCTCTCTTCGAAGTTCGTCAAGAACCCCCAGCACATGTTATACAGCTGCTGAAGATGTTGATCGTGTTTCTCTGCGAACGTGTGTTCAACAGTTGTAGAAGGGGAAAAAGCTCGGGGACAGAAATTCTCCCGGGACAGCTTGAAATCGCTTTTCTGGTCCCGAATCTGTAGAAACGTCTCCTGCATCCGCTTCGCGAAATGCTCGGTGCAAGAAATGGTGTCGTCCACCGTCTGGTGCTTCGTCGCTTGATGGCAGTAAATATTTGCCTTCTCCCCGAACTGTCCGGCGATCACTTTCCGTGCGTGCTTTGGAAACAGTTGCTGAGTGGTATTGTGAGGAAACGCGTGGTCGTTGTCCCCGCCCCAGATGACCTGTCAACATGCAAATTAGCTTTAGCAATAGCATGCTTAGGACCACGTTGGTCAAGTCTCATGTGACTGCTCTCCGTGACGTCGAGCAGAGGCCTTTCCTTCTAGTGATCGTGCTGATGTTTGGAAAACTGTCATAATGCGTTATTAATACTCAACACGTATACATAGATCTGTGACGGCGATTCTGGACTAGCCACGCACGACTGTAATACAGCATAGCGGCCACACGACTTGTAGTCATGCGTGGCTCGCGGCAAAAGATAAAGATGGCGTTCATCATCTGGACATATCTTGCAATCAATTTGTTCCATCTATCTTGACTCGTCGGGGCTGGGGACATAGTAAAAATCGTTGCTGAGGATAGATGAGAAATGTCGGAAAAAGCGTGTTGTCGAAGTCGAAAATGATTAGTTTGCCCGGAGGTTTTGTGTTCTTCACAGCCTCTGTGCGCTGTAGATGTAGTTCGTGTTCCACCTGCATTTCTCTTTCTCGTTCTCTCCTCTTCAGATCCGCCTCCTCGCTCGCCCTCTGGTCCAACAAATCCACCGCAGAAGAAGTCGATGGAAAATTTTTCCCGAGTAGGTCATCAATCGGCAGCATTCCGGGGCGTTGCGGCTGCGGGGACTTCATCTTCACCTGGGCGCACTTGCTGGTGTCAGGATCGAAGCGATTTGATGCTCCAGTTTCTTTATTTCTTGGTGTGAGCATCGACGTATCCTCATGATCTGCCCCCGGTGGCAGTTGGAGGCTCGCCGGCAACTCTGTTGACGAGGGCAGTCGGGGTCCACCAGACACGTCGGAGAAGTCATGCCCTAAGTCAGTTGTACGGTGAGATGTTGTTCTTGCGCCAGCTGCAGCAGTGGATCGGCTTCTATGCACCTCCTCGGCCTCGCTCTCGTCGATCAAGGGCGTGCCCATACGACTGTCCGTGTACATGGTCGATGGGGTGGCCGGGCTGTTTTTTAAACGAGGATCTTCCGTGGTTCTCGCGGCTTCTTGCGCGGCAACCGAAGCAGAATGTTGATGCTGGAATGCAGGCGTACTTCTGTACGTGAAAAACGAACCTCCACCTTGCGGGCGGCGGGCATCTCCAAAGGGAGACGGTGACCTAGATTTATTTGACTTGCGGCCCTGTTCTTGCGGCGGAGACGGTGACCTAGATTTATTATCCGGTCCTCCCCCGGCCTGTTCTTGCGGCGGCGGCCCGGGTTTTTCCGGTTCCGGTGGCGCTTCCGGCTCCCCCACCTCCGGTGGCGGCGGCGGCAAGTCTTGGGTCCAGTTGTCCGCAGCCCCTTTGGGGACGGAGGGTTTTTTGTACCCACCGGCGTCAAAGGAGATCTGCTTCACGTTCGTTTCCGGCATTCCGGGGCGTTGCGGCTGCGGGGACTTCATCTTCACCTGGCCGCACTTGCTGGTGTCAGGGTCCTCGAAGCCATTTGATGTTCCAGTTTCTTTTCTTGGCGTGAGCATCGACGTATCCTCATGATCTGCCCCCGATGGCAATTGGAGGCTCGCCGGCAGCTCCGTCGATGAGGGTTTTCGCGGTCCACCGGAAACGTCAGAAAAGTCATGACCTAAGTCAGAAGTTGTACGGTGATGAGATGTAGTTCTTTCGCCTGCAGCAGTGGAACGGATTCTATGCACCTCCTCGGCCTCGCTCTCGTCGAAGGGCGTGCCCATACGACTGCCCGCCGGGTCGTACATGGTCTCTGGTGTGGAGGGGGCCGGGTCGTATTTTAAACGAGGATCTTCCGTGGTTCTCACGTCTTCTTGTGCGGCCACCGAAGCAGAATGTTGATTCCGGACGAGAAATGCAGGTGTACAACTTGTGTGCGAAGAACCAACTCGAGGGCGGCCGGCACGAGCACGACCTCCAAAAAGAGACGGCGACCTAGATTTATTTGACTTCGAAGCAGACCTGCGATCATTTTCGTCGCGTTTCTTCTTGCTCGTCCCTGACGGAGATCTAGATCCACTTGTTCTCCGGGAAAAGCCTGCATTCTTGCGCGAGGAGCTGGGTTTCGCAGTCCGCAAAGCAGGTTCCTGGGCGTTCTTGCGCGAGGAGCCGGGTTTCGCAGTCCGCAAAGGAGCCGCACGAACATCTTCGCTGGACTCCGCGCCAGGTGAATTTGAGACGTTAGACCCCGACTTGCTGTTGCTCCTCCTTCTAGTTCTCCTGGTGCCGCGCTCCTGCACATCAGACGACCTCCGCTGTTCTTGCGCTGCTGGATTTTCCTCTGTGCCGGCCCTCGTCCTCCCCGGAGGTACGGCCCCACTCACCAAACGCAAGCCCGCGCCACTGCAAGAAAACGCGAAATTGTTCCCAGCTTCTTGACCAACATTGTCGTGGAAAAATGAACCTAGCTGGAGGTCGTGGTTGCTGCAGCTGCTGCCCAGGAAATACAGGGCGAGAACTTTAAATATCGTCGACATTTTTTTTTGTTTGATGCAGCGCTTTGATTATGTTCGACAAAAAATTCCAGAATAGTAGAAAACGTTGGACCACGTATGCCTCTCCTTGATATCTTCGATTTAGATGTTGTTGAATTGAGGAAAATAGTTCTTCATAAGGACGATTAGTAAACTACAAGCCGTCGATCTATATTTTTTTCAATTCTCGTCGCGAGCTATAACTGGATAGTGTTAATACACGTACTCTGCAATAGAACTTTGGTATGAATAAATACGATTTAGTTCTTACTCTGCGGCGACAAAAACATGCCGAATGATTGTACACGATCACAACTACTTGTCGTGGTAGTCTCGCTTTTTCTCCTATATTTCGGAGAGGAAACAAACTTTATGAAAATAAAACTAGTACGGAGCTTACACACTTCTGTTGCGCGACCCCTACAGCTCGTTGTCAAGTGAAGATAACGAAAGGCGGGCGCCGCGCAAATGATGTAAATAAAATAAAACCAATGATACTTCTTGTTATGTTGTCGTGTGTGTGAGTATTCTACACAGATGAAAAAAACGTTCGTCGTTTTTCAGTCGTCGGATCGCGAGAAGAATCTTTGTTTGTTTGTTTGTTTGTGTTTATGCGTGAAGGTGGAAACGCGTTTACTCACCTTTTTCTTCTAGCGCTACTTCAAGAAAAACCCCTGGTTGAAAAAAGACAACTAAAGACCTCAGAAACTACCTCTGTTGAAAAATGCCTCTGTTGGAAAACTAGAAGGACTTGCGTTGAGTTTGCTGAAAAAGTGACGAGCTATTTCTGCGTAAGGAAGGGTTTGTTGCATGCTGAACTTCTACGATGCTTTGATCGTTTTCTTTCTGTTGTACTCCTGAACCTTAAGCTTCAAAGTCTTTTCTTGATTTCCGAATACTGAAGTAACTTGAGATGAGCCGCGATACTGAAATAACTTGAGAATCTTTGTCTTTTGCGGAAGATGAACCTGATCAGTTGTAGGACGGAAGATAAACTAAAACTCAGTTGCACACGACAGAATGCAAAGCGAGATCGAGCGGTTTCATGATCACGGCGGGCTTGTTTTCTGATCCTCGGTGTTTTTGCTATTTATACTACAGCTTTGCAAGAAGAGAGCACGATAATACGTTTGATTTTTTTTTCTCGCCTGATGATCCACGATCGACCAGCTGAAATGCTTTGTATTTCGCAAGTCTGAGCGACTACATCGTCATACAAAGTCACTGCGCTTTCTATATTTCGATCCTGATTTTTTTCACTCTGAACCATGGTCGTGGCAGATCATGATTTTTCTTCCGACTCATTCTGATGGTGAAACTGAAAATGCTCCACCTCACAAGGATCTTCTTCGTTCGGATCATTCTTTATTTGTGCCGCCCACCGTTCGTCCAGGGGATCCCAGATGCGGACTGCGTGTCATTCAGCCGGCCGGGGCCTGGCAGACTTTTTCCGTATACCCGCCGGGTTTTTTCCGTAATTTTTTTTTTGGATTGGCCGGTCTGCGGCGCCGGAAGAGGCGGCCGGAGTCCGACAAAGGAATGGCGCCACGACGCCTCTGCCCCCGCGGCCAGAACGCCCGGTCGCGGCTCCCCCGAAAACGAGCCACGGAGACGCCGCGCTTTCCCACCCGGATTCCCCGTAAATTCCCTGTAAATTCCATGTTAATTCCCCGTAAAGCCCCCCCGTAAATTCCCTGTAAACCCCCAAACCAACCTCGGCTTTCACCGACAAAAACAACAAATCGCCCTCCGTAAATTCCCTGTAAATCGACCCCGTAAATTCCCTGTAAATTTCTGTACAGTGATTTCCCTTTGAAATCATTTGACAGAGATTTACGTGGAATTTACGGGGAATTTACGTGGAATTTACGGGCTGATTTACGGGGTCCAAAAATGGGTGTTCCCGGGGCCAAATACGGGGCGCCGAAAAGCGCGGCAGAGATGCAGAGGCCAAAAAAAAAATTTACGGAAAAAACCCGGGGGATTCCCGGGAAAATTCCCCGGGCGAGCTTCTCGAGTATGCCGCGGTAGATGCAGATGCACACGTCGTAGGAGGTGGCGAAGTGCGTGGGGGAGCGCAAATCCCCCTCCCCAAACCCCGACGTCAATCGGTATTCGTCACTTCGCCCCGCGGGCGTGGCCACCTTGTAGCGCGTGCATAGGTGGAGCCGCACCTCCGCTTCTTTGAAGTGCGTCCCCTCCAACCCCAGCGCATCCAGCATCTCTTCGTACACAGAAATACAGAAAGACGGATACGCCTTGCGGACGTCCGCCTCGATAAATGCTAGCGCCTTGTATTCATCGGAGCAGATGCCGCGGGTTCGCCGCACATCCTCGATCAGCCTACGGACGCAGTAGATGAGTTCCCCGGTTTGGAAACCGGGACGGAACCCGCCCTGCGATCTCACAAGGAAGCCGGGACTGTGAGGATCTCACAAGGATCTTCTTCGTTCGGATCATTCTCGATCACACAAGTTTCTCGAGCGATGGCTTGCTAGTGAGAGCAGGTACACACTCTACACCCCTGGAGAAAAAAGGAAGAAGGAAAAAAAACTAAAAAAAGGCAAGCGTAATGCTCCGCTTGACTTTTGCTAGAGAACGAGCTACTTTCAAACACATATCTTCTTTTCTTGAGCTAATGTACTTAAAATCCTTTCTTTCAACAAAAATACAGATTTCCGTGAAATCCTGACGCGAGCCTCCTCCGAAGCTCCAGCCACGACACATCCCAAGCCCGCCGCTCGTAAACAGCTGCTTTGCAGGAAACACCGAGATGATCACTGCAGAGTCACCCAAAGCCCCCCGAACCGAAGGAACAAAAACGCGGACCACTACCCACACAGCCCGGAGCCCGTTTTTTAGAGTTTTTAACGTTTTCGACAACCGAGCCAGGTAGAGATCCACACTGTACCATAAACCGAAGGAGGTAGAACTGCAGCACCGAGGCCTCGACCTGCAGCCCGAGGGCAGAGCACATCGACTCATGGTCGGAGGGCGAAGAAGAACGCGAAATATGGTCACAACTCCTCAAGGCAAGACATCAACACATAACACATCGCAGCAGGTGGTGATGCAAACGATAATCACACAACCTTCTTCGCCCAGCCCCACAGTGTCGCTGCTCCGCAAGATGTTCACGACAGCCTTCTTATCGCAATAGCCGACTCCCTGACTTCCGGAAACTCCGAGCAGAGACGCCACTACTTGCCGAAGCCTTCGCTGAGGACTTGAAAACAGGAAGGGCAGCTCCTGGTGCGTTCCACCTCACACTGAAAATGCTCCACCTCACAAGGATCTTCTTCGTTCGGATCATTCTTTCAGAACCGCGTTTTTCTCCCCGAAATTTTCGCACTCGCACCTGAGAGTGCGACAAAGAAGTCGTTGATCCTTATGTTAAAAATGACAAGTACAAGCAGCTAAAAACGGTACAACTATTCCGCCGTTCTAGTTTTCTACTTTCTAAATGTGCTAGATGCGTAGTTATCCCACTCTCTCTTTCCCGAGTTCTTCCCACTCCGTGCACGGCTATTGAGAGGAAAAATCCCCCCTCCCCATATCGAAAAAGGAATGTTTCCGAAAATTTGTCTTGCTGATTTGAGACCACAAATCACGTCTGTCTTGCAAGAAGACAACTCCACAGGCTCTGCCGCATTATGCAGGCGGTTTGTAATGCTGTTGGGCCTGCAGCATGGGCGTTTCTCATGCTAAGCGCCTAGGCCAAAAGCTCGCTACTCAGGCTTGGCAGGCGCCTGCAGTCCTCTATCGCAAGACAAACCTGATTCCTATACGCAAATCGAGCATCAGAAACTTCCTTTCGATATGGGGAGGGGGGATTTTTCCATTTGATAACGGCGTCCCAGGCTTCTTTTCCCTGAACCGCTGCACGCGATTTCGCAGGTCCACGTATATCCTGAGTAAAAACGTACCCACCCCAGAGTTGTAATGCAGATTTGCAAAGACAGGAAGACTTGTAATGCTCATCCCCATGAGAGCCACTTCCAATCGTGTATTGGAATTTGTGATGCTGTGAACAGGATGAGCAGATGAATCTGTGATGCGGCTGCACTTGCTAACCTGCACTACGCTACCGACTGCAACTTGTCACGCGTGACTCCCAAAACTCCTAGATTTGTGTTGCAAAATCCCCATCCTGACTATGGGGTGGGGACGTTTTTACTCAGGATAACGTAGGTCCTCTCCTCTTCCTGCATACCAGCGTCGGTTCGCTGCTGTTGCGAAGTCAGCAGCTGGTTAACGCCAGCTGCAAGACCAAGGGAGCGCGATAAATACATTTGTTTTTTTTTGAAGCTTGATGATCCACGACCGACTTGTTTCTATATTTCGATCCTGATTTTTTTCATTCTGAACCATGGTTGCGGCAGATCATGATTTTTTATTTTGCGACTCATCGTGATGGTGAAACTGAAAATGCTCCACCTCACAAGGATCTTCTTCGTTCGGATCATTCTTTATTTTGACCAGAGAGGAAGTGGGCTTGTTCAGCTTCACGGAATAAAATTTCGATATATACAATCACAGTTGTCATCATCTGCAGCGGACAAAAGCACTACTGTGCGGCACTGCGTCCGCCGCAGGCTGCGGCTTCAAACCGCCAGCAAGAATGATGTAGTCTTTTTACTTATGCGATCACTCATGATGTTCATTTTGTTCCACATGGTGCCGATGCATCTTCTCGAAAAAGAGCTCCAGGTTTTTTTTGCCCCGTTTGTAGTGGGAGAAGATGACAAATTATGAAGCCGAGAGTTCTTGCAGCACATGTTAGATCCTGCGACAGGGATACACGACACCATATTTTTTCTACCAGCACAACTCGTACGATTATATGTGTGTCTATTCTGGTAAGCAGATCGTGCTGGCATGTGGCTCTCTACTTGTGGTAAGTTGATGTACTAGCGAAAATTCATACTCATAGCAGCGGGCTGAAATAAATAAATGGGTGTCTTATCATCACGTGTTGCGGGGGCTACGGCGGGAACAAGAACAACTTGATAGGTTGTTACTACGAAAAAAGAATGCTAGTACAGTTCCGGGAAGGTTGCCTATCAGTCTGAATCTTCATACATCTTCATCGATATCAATCATATCGACTCGCGACCACGAATGGACCAAAACATATCCTCGAGGGCAGGGTCAAGGATGAAAATGGTATATTAGTTGTAGCTTGCTAGTTGTAGCAGCTAGCATCGGTGGGTAGTTAGATGGAAGCTAGAAGTAGGTGGGAGGATGAAGAGATCGCTCGCCAAAGGGTCAATTTCAGAATAAAACCGGGAATATGTGCCGCTGGTGGCGCTACTCGCAGGAGTCCACAAAACATCAAAAGGATTGTACAAAGCAGCAAAACAAAGGACCACCTCCAAGCAGCGCGCACTACCATAGATAGGGAGTACCGTTCTCTAACAGCATTTCCATCCAAAATTTTCTATCTCCGCACATTATTGTACAGCGCCTGCTGCTGCTGCACTTGCGGTGGAACTCCAGCTCCAGCACCCTGCTCCGGTCCGCCCCCCTGTGATTCATTCCTGCGGCGGCGGCCCGGGTTTCTCCGGTTCCGGTGGCGCTTCCGGTTCCCCGACCTCAGGTGTATGAACTGCAAAAGTATCGCACTCGTATAAATGCATTACAAACTTCCCCAGCATGAGAAAGAAAATTTGTCATGCGGATTTACCTTAGAAAAAAACTTTGTAATGCAAGACTTGCATTTATACGAGTACGATACTTTTGCACAGGATAAGGTGGTGGCGGCGGCAAATCTTGGGTCCAGTTGTCCGCAGCCCCTTTGGGGACGGAGGGCTTTTTGTACCCACCGGCGTTGTATCAACTGCAAAAGTGTCTGGGTCTGGAAGATTGCAACTCGTCATGCTAAATCTGAAGCATGCAAAAATCTGTGTTGCATGATTACCAAACGTCGCCCAGTTTTGACCAAGTCGGGAGGGAGTTTCTCATGCAGGATAGGCATGAGAGAGATCGCGCAGAATCTGTCATGCTAGGTCCTGCATTCCAGACCTCCTGGGTCATGGAAAAGCTGCATGACAAAGCGCGCATTCTTCCAGACCCAGACATTTACATTTGATACGTTGAAGGAGATCTGCTTCACGTTCGTTTCCGGCATGTTGCTCCCCGCGACAAAGTATGGATTGCAAAACAAGTATCGCACTCGTATAAACGCATTACTCAGCATGAGACTTGAAATTTGTAATGCGGATTTACCTTTAAGAAAAAAATTTGTATTGCATGATTGCCATTACTACGAGTACGATATTTTTGCAGTGCATACAAAGACCGGCTCGAAATTTTGCCACTGGGGGTTGTGCTTCTCCAGCAACAATTCCTCGTCCAATCCAGCTCCATTTTTATTCTGTGCCTCGAACGAGTTGCTCCCGTACAATTTCCGCTTTTGTAAAACCCGTTTCCGCTGTCTTTCCGCCGCGATGCGCGCACCGTGGCTCGCCTGGCACATATCGTACGAAAAAAGTGTTACAGTTACACCTTTGTAGTGGATTCTGCAACACAAACTTGCTCTGCACTGCAGAGAAAACTTGCAATGCAGAGATCCTGAAGGAAAACACGCACAAAACGAGGCTCGCATGCCTCTCCAGCATGAGAGAGGCTGTCTGTCTTGCTTGGTCTGCAACACAATGTGTAACTGTAGCACTTTTTTCCTTGCATAACACATCGCTTGGAACACGTTACCCGGGATCACATGCTTCGCGGTTTGTCGTATTGCGAGGGAAAATCCCCCCTCCCCAACATATTGCAAAGGACATTTGTGATGCTGGATTTGCGTACACAAATCGACTTGTATTGCTAGAAGGCCGAAAGACGCACTCGTGGCCTGAATTGCAGGCGATTTGTCATGCTGTTTACCGACTTCCAGTTGCCTCCTGTCATGCTGAAGACGCAAGGCTGTCCCGCGCCAGCCAGCACAACAGTCGTCCGCACCTTTTGCTTTCTAGCATGACAACATGATTTGCAGTAGCAAATCATGCTACACAAATGCCCGTTTTAGTGTGGGGAGGGGGAATTTTTCACTTCGATATGTCTATCCCCGTTTGTCATATCATCGTCTAGCTCGTAGAGAAACGCCACGTTCGCCAATGCTTTCTGGTTTGCCAACTTCCCACTTGCCGGGACGACGAATTTCACGAAACCCGCGGCGGAATAGCGGTACAAAACCCCCCGTCGGCTGGTTTTTCCCTTGCCCGGCGCTAGGTTCAAGGCCTGCTCGATCTGCTGATAGGTCCGGTCGACGATTTTCGGGTCACAAATAATTCCGTACACCTCCATGATATCTTTTTCGATGATATCACAGGAAAAAGCGTCAACGCTAACGGGATTTGTGATGCAGGACCGCATCAAAAAAGGTGCCTCCTAAATTTGTATTGCATAGCATGCGTTACAGGAAACATTTGTCATGCATAGCTGCAAACTCTGGAAACCGTTAAGGTTAACACTTTTTTGTTTGATAGATGATCTTCCTGATCCCACGGGCGTGCGTGCGAAATTTCCCGCACATCTTGAACCAGCGGTAGCAGCCCGGGGCGCGGGTGATGGCGATCAGCTGGGAGAAAATTTCGGTCAGCACTGGTTTCAGGTTTCCCTGCTGCTTCTGCAGTTGAAACGAGGGATTTTGCTTCATCACGGTCATCATGGCACGGAGGGTGGATAAATGCACCAAATTCGCTTCAGCCGACTTGTCATCCGTCGAGTCGATGCAGACAAACATTTCCTGCACGAAATTCGACACCAAGGCTTCGATCAGAACCGGTTGTAGATCCGGTTTGTCCTTCAGTAATTGCAACGCAATCTCCGGGTGGAGAGCCTTCGCGACCCCATACTGCATGGACATTTTGTCCCACCCTCCGTTTCGCTGCACTTCCTTCTCGACGTGCTTGTGCTCGAATTGCCCCAATTGCACGCAGTTGCTATCCGGCACCATGTGGAAGACCTTCGCCCGTTGCAATTTGTCGCAAAAAGCGGGTTTTTTCATGGAAAAGACCCGCAGCTCCCCGGTAAACCACTGGGACCCGCAGCCGCCCTGCTTCACCTTCGTCAACAACGGCTGGTGGTTGGACGGGTCGTGGCGCAGCTGCTTCAACTCGGACCGGTGCGCTGTCGGTAGGGCGTCGACGGCAACGATGGTGTAGGTGAGATTCGAGAAGTGGTTGTAGAGGTAATCTTCCAACTTCTTCGCCTCTTCCAAAAGAAACGACGACCGCTCGTGGTAGCTGGGCTGCTTGTTCGCGGCACAGCAGGACTGGGAAATCTCAATTTCGATCGCTTCATATTCCTGCATCGGATCTAAGTGTTCCTCGTTCCAATAAGGCGCGTATGGATTGCAAATATGTCTGGGTCTGTAATGCTAAAAGTGAATCATAGACGCACTGCAATACGCAGCTATGCATGACAAATAATTTGGCTGCCATGTGGTCTTACGTATTCCGCATGGCAAACTACGTTTTTGCATGACAGGCAAGAGGACTTTTTCGTGCCTATGCAGCACAGATTCTCGTCGAGCCATGCCAGACAAGCATGACAAACTTGCACTCTCCCAGACCCAGACATTTTTGCATTTGATAGAGCACTCAGCATGTTGATTTGGGAGGCGGTTTGATCTGAGGTCTTGTTGTTCAAACTGGAGACGAACCGCATCTGGCTGCCGCGAGCCTCAATCACAGATGAGTTATGTGTTCCATACATTGTCACTGCAGTTGCAAAATTTCCCGTGGTCGCACCGTAATTGATATTTGGGTTGTTGTTAACATTTGGCGCTCGCGCTCCTCCTACGTGGTCAAGCATCACCAAATACACTCCTTCAATCGGCGCCATTCTGTCTTCGCCACTGCTTTGACCCGAAACGTTGCCCTGCACACGCAAAAACCGCTGCACAACACCCGTCTTCTGCTGCCCACCGCCGACATTCACAAGCACTTTATCCCCTCGGCGGAACACGTTTTTGCGTTCCTTCTGGTAGTGCTTTATCGAGCTGTAGGACTTCGTCCTGACCGCGTTTTCCAAGTTCCCGAAGGTGGAAGACACGTTGTGTCTCAACGCCGTCAGCGACGGGCGGTCCTGGAACGGCTGACTGCTCTTTTTGTCGGACACGATCAAATAACTAGGCCCTCCTGCAGGTCTACTACTGGAGAGATCTACGCTGGAGGGTAACGTGGCGCCAGTACCTCGCGAGGACGCTACTGCTCCTGCTCCACTGCCCGGTTGGTAGCACCGCACAGCGGACCCCTGTACCGCAAGGTCGGAGGGTGCGGCGAACTTATTCCGGTCGATCTCGAATTCCCGGTCCAAAACGACGATGAGCGACCCGGGGAGGAAGTCCCCAACCGTCGGCTCTTTCTTGAACAAAGGGTTAGTTGCGTCGCCGACGTTGTTGTTCAGGTTGCTATCTACTTCCATGCCCTCGACCCCGGTGTTGAAATCCTTGATCCTATCCGCTGGGGAAAAGGACCCGTAGCGGGAAACCGAGTAAACGCTCGTCACCAAACCGAATTCCACGGCGAGGAGCTTCATCCACAGATCGAATTCGTATTGGGTGGTGGAACTGGAAGTTACCAGAATTGCCTGCGTGTACTTGGTCGGGAGAAAGGTCGGCTCGTATAACAGTGCACAACTCCCCCTCCTCCTCATTTGCATGGCATGAACAGCAATACAAAGGCCTGCACACTTGGAGCCTATGCATGAGAAATTTATGTCACGTGGTGTAGTACTGTTTGGGCTTCCGGAGTTTGTCATGCAAACCGTGCCACAGGGAAGCACTCGGATTTGGGGTTTTGCATGACAAACGAGGGGGAGGGGGAGTTGATGTGCCCTTTCATAGCTCGCACCGCAAGTTCATCATCCTCTTCTGAATCAGCCGCCACGACTTCTGGTACAAATCTTCCAAATAGATATGCGCCCGCAGCTCCCCATACGCGTACGCGGGGACGGATTTCGAAAGCTTGATTTTCAACTTCAGCGTCGACAGCGACTGGTTCGGCTGGATCATGGGGACCACGAAGAAAACCCCGTCACTGATACCGTCATTCAACGGCGCCATCTCCGGTGCGTTGCAGTGCTGGTATAAAACGTTCTGCGCTGATGTGATGTTCTTTTCGTTCGACAGGTCGAGTAACACTTCTCCCTTCTCCGCATCGTAGAAAACGACCTGATTTGGGAACTCCTGGTCGGGTTTGTCCTGTGGGAAAATGGTGTCGGTCTTGTTGTTATGCATTGCAAAAGTATCGTACTAGTATGAATTGCAATACAAATTTCCTCAGCATGAGAAATGAAATTTGTAATGCGGATTTAACTTGAGAAAGAAATTTGTAATGCATGAATGGGATTACTACGAGGACGATATTTTTGCACAGGATAGTTGTCTTTCGCCGTTTGGTCCGTTTCCTTTTCGTTGTTCAGACTGTGATTCGCTAACTTGTGGCCGAGAAAGCTAAAGCCGATATTTCCGTTGTGGATCGTCGTGTTTTTCGCCAAAAACACCTTCACGCCGATCTGCCGCCCGCCTAAGGCGAAGCCCATCGGGAGAGAGGAGATGTTTTTCAACGGGAATTGAATCACGGTCGACTCCCCCGCGGCCAGGCTGTTCAAACCAAGAAACCCGTTTGCGTTCTGCAGGGGGAACTGGACTGTCATGAGCTGGATGGAAGATTCTTGAAACTGGTCGAAGTTCTTCTGGTACTTCGTACTCTGGCTGTGATAGTTATCCGTTTCGATGCCCAACTGCCTCCCTTGTAATTTCACCTCTTCCTGAACTATCGCCGGGTCGAAGTCCGAATTATCCAGTTTGTCCATTTCTATCATTCCGATTTGGTACCGCAGTTCGCCGTCCACGGACACGGCGGTGTTGCTGTCAATCGCCATACCCCGCACGGTGAAAACCGCATCCTGGACGGATTGCTCGTTCGCCCCGGCGAGAACCCACTTCCCGGGGATCAACTGCATCATCTGCCGCTGCATGCTCGGGGTCGGCATTCCCCCGACATTTTTCACCGAGATGTTGTCGACGAAACAGCACTATGGATTGCAAATATGTCTGGGTCTGGAAGATGCCATGCTGTTTTTGCATGACACAGAAGGTCTGGCATGGTATCCCTAGCTGCATCACAGATTCTATTAAGAAGGTCCTGCAATGCATAGTCCGCATGACAAATCCCGCACTTTGGTGACAAGAAGTGGGCATGATCTTTTGCTGCCTATGCATGAGAGATTTTTCTTTGTTCTGAAATGCGCATCACAAGTTCGGATCCTTCCAGACCCAGTAGACATTTTTGCAATCCATAAGCACTGGCCAAACTCGAACACGTTGTCCGGTAAAGTTTGCTATCCTGTGCAAAAGTACTCGCATTGCAATGATGCATTACAAATTTTTTTCTTCAGGTAAATCCGCATTACAAATTTTACTTCTCATGCTGAGAAAATTTGTAATGCATTTATACGAGTGCGATACTTTTGCAATGCATATTTGTCCGGATTTGTCGTTGTAATGCCCGTATTCCTTGATTTGAAAGTCGTTCGCCTCCAGGTGGAACCTGCTGTCAAAGACCATTTTCTGCCCGTTCACCGCGGATTCGATAATCAATTCATATTTCCCTTGCCCCCCGTTCGGGCCGAAGGCCAGCGGGACGCACGGGGTCAACCCCCGACGGCCGCGAATGCCGGGAAACCCGCCCGGGTTGCTGTATCACAGGAAAAAGTGTCAACGTTAACGAAATTTGTGATGCAGCAACGCATCAAAAAGCGTATCAGAATTTGTAATGTATAACATGCATATTGGGCAACATTTGTGATGCATGACTGCCATCTGTGAAAATCGCTAACGTTAACGCATTTTCTTGTGATATGCTGTGGTGGTCGGTCACCGTGCGGGTTTGGCGGTTGCCGTTGGAATCCGTGTATGCATTGCAAATGTGTGTGGGTCTGGAAACTTGTGATGCAAGGAAGGGAATTATAGTGAGCTCCCTGCAATGCGCTGCCAAGCATGACAAGTTTTGATCATGGTCCTGAGTTGCGTACTCCGCATAAGAAACTACGTTTCTGCATGACAGGAAGGCGGAGCTCTTTGCGGCCACGCAATACAGAGCTCAGAGGCATGCCCGATTAGCATGACAAATCTCGCAGTCTCCCAGACCCAGACATATTTGCATTTGATACCGTGTAGCCCTCGGTGCGGGAAGAGGTCCAGTGGTAGGAACTACCACCCATTCCGCCCATGCCGCCGGGACCTGGAGTATAAATGTGTGCATCGATACTGCATTTGCGGTGTCAAGTTCGTGTTCATCTTTTGCGTCACGCTAACAACCAAATTGTTGGAGCGCGGCACAGCACTTCTTGATTCCTTTTTTGTCATGCTCATGCGGTCTGTGTTTGGGCTTGGGGAGCACGGCATTCTATTTCTGGTTCTACTGTTCTACTGTCATGCTCATAGAAATTGAAATAAACCTCAAGCGCAAGAACGCTGATCAACACGTTTTACCTCCCGGCCCATGGAACCCGGGCTGTCCGCCCGGCCCGCCGACTACCAACACACTTGGGTCCCGCGCACGGTCCACAGACATCATCAAATACGCATCCTGCTCGTGCACCTTGATCTGCACAATCCCGCCAGATCCCCCGGGAGCACCGTGGGACCCGAAACCCCCGTCCCCGCCGTCTCCCCCATCGCCACCGTTGGTTCCGGTTGTGTAGCGGGTGGCGTTCCGTCCCCACGCGCCGTCGCCACCGGGACCGCCCGGACCGCCGGCACTGTGATGTTTATTTGGTAGTTCTTGGGAAATCATATGAAGAAGAAAGGTGGCGATTCTGATTCATCGTGTAGTCTAAGTATACAGTAACTTCTTCTAGAAGATCTTTGCGAAATGAACAAGTCCAGACTTTCTCTCTTGCTTCAAAAATTACCCTCCGTGCCCCCCGGGTCCGCCGATCGCCTGGCACTCAATTTTCTGCAACTGCTCCACGGAAATCGTCTCGTCCACATTCCCGGCCTGCGAGGCCGCCTGCACCCGCACCACCTGCTCCTCCGAGCCCTGCGCAGTGACTCCGGAAGAAAGCCACACGGCGACGCCGCCGGCCGGTTGCCCCTGGACCGCGGGGCCGGCGTCGCCACCACGGTGGCCGCGGTGGCCGTGCTTCATGAAGCCCAGCGGCATCCCTGGGTAGCCGGGGGCGCCGGGGAGCCCGGGAAGGGCGTCCGGGCCCTTCGCACCGTTGGACGCGAAAGTGAAGGACATTTTATTCAACACTATAGGGATAAATCAAAGGCCTTTATTTGGAGGCTTGACTGCTCGCCGTAGTACCAACTTGGTTACTTATCGTAGGGTGGATTTTCTCGTTGTTAATGTTAAACACGGCGTGGCAGGTGGAGCCTGTTGATGATCCGGGAATATTCTATTGCCGAAGCTTATTCTACACTCTACAGACTCGCTTCTGCGAAAAAGGTTCTTGTAGAAATCATCAATCGTAGATATAGGTTTCAGAGAAGAAATAGAAGATCGTCGCCAAAGAAATCGCATCAAAAACGGCACTCAAAATAGCATACCAAATGTTGCCTGAATTTAAAATTTCAGAAGATAATTTTCAAGACATGTTAGTGCTTAGTTGTTGCACAGAATGTCGTTACTGATGTCCTCGTGCGTGTAGAAGTTAGAGTTACTGGCTCCGCTACGAGTCCTCGTCTCTACAACTTTCTAGTGCGGTGTGCATGTACTACAAGTATCACGAAACATCTTGTTCTAATGTGCGGTGAGCAAGATCTTCATCTTTGTGGCTTGTGCTGGTTCTTCTTCTTGACCGTAGACTTTTGAGCGACATTTTGGACATGGGATCCTCTGCGCTGCCTCAGTGGCGTTGGAGCGCGAGACAACAAGCCTTCAAGTTCAAGTATTAAAGCGATCCTCGCATTTATTGATACCGACAAGCAACCGACATCAAACTTGTTGATGGATCTTCCGCATGTACAGATGAACCGAAGCTGGTGAAGATCGTGATACTGAGGCCGATGTGAGTACTATCCTCGTCGAGCCCGCCGAGGACCTTTGATTCTGAGAGAATGTTGTGGTCTTGTTCTGGCGATGAACCGATCTTGCTGATATTCTCCTACAATCTTACGGGTTTCAAAACGAGACCGAGTTGTGCTGGGCACAAGCTAGTAGTAGGTGACCGAGCGGTGAGGACGTCCACTTCACAAGTAGATCACTCTGTTGTGGATTCATCTTCGATGAGATTATTTGTTCCGGCGGTAGAAACAGACAACAAACACGACAGGGTCGTAAGCGTCAGCTTACACAACATTTTAGTGCGGTTACGTAGAATGTTGACCTTTATTTCTACTTATTCAGGTTGTGATTCTTGTTTCAAGAATAAACTCATCGTCTGTGGTGCAAGAAGATAGGGTAGTGCATCGTATGTTTGTTGTCATCAGATCAGTCCATCGGGCTTACAACAATTGCCAGTCTCACTCTGGCGGGTTGGAGGACAACAGTCAGTCTGAGCCCTTCGCGAGGTTGAGGGTGAGTTTGGACAGGGGAGGGAATTTAATAAGCCTAGTGTAGATATTGAGATTTGTTCAGTGATGTCAAAGTAGGTGGAGTTGAGTTTATAAAGCTGTACGTCGGAGGACGAGCGGGAGTGTTTCTCCTTGGGTAATAAATACTAGCACCATTGGGAGTTGTGCAGATCATCTGTGTAGTAGGATTGTTTGGTTTTGGTTTTGGAAAGTTTTTGTGACAGTAATACTTCTGATTCTGGAGAGGTGTCGTGTGGTATAGGTCGGCATGACTGGCGTCGGGAGAAATGAGTCGAGGTCAGCGGATCAAACTTGAAGGGCTACGTGGAGGTTTTGATGTTTGTATTACTGTTGAAGCTACTTCTGAAGAAACTACATCGAAACAAGTTAGTCTGGTGTCACTACGAGCAAAAGTGGATAATGCACCTACTTGAAGCTGCTAGGAAAATTAAGATGTCGCTACTAGAGAAAACTATTACTACACTACTTGCTCAGCAAGCCAGGCAAATGATTTGTGGTAGGCAAACAAAAAGAACAATGAGATGAATAAGACAACCAGCTGAATATTATTCTATTCGGATGTCTGCAGCCCGAACTCCTCTCACGGAGAACTACAGCCACGACAGCCATTTGAAAAATAGAGCGGCAATACTTATCACTACTTGTTACAGTGCCAGGTGCCACCTTTCTTGGTTATCATACCACAAACGACCACCTTGGGAAAATTCTTTACGAAAGCGATGAATCACAAAAGCACATAACTCTTTCTACTCTACAGAGGACATCATGATGTGCGTTTGGATTCAGGAAAATGTAGCACTTCCGTTGCTTGCCCCACAATTATGTTGATTGACGCAGCCTGAGCCTCTTCAAAGAAGGTCACAACTACATCGAGCGTAAGTATCTATGACTCCTTCTGCAGCCTTACATTGATGTTGATGAAAGCTTCTTCTGCTTTTCCAATTTTTTGCTTTATCAGAACTTCAGCGGAAAAAGACTTTACTGGACTAAAGATCGCAAGAAAAAAAACGAGACTATAGAGTTGTTGAAATGAAGACAAACATCTTCGCGAGGTTATAATTTGTAGCAGTTTCACTTTCATGCGTCAGCATGGAAAAGTTGGCTGTGTTGAATATCGGCTCAAAGACTCAAAAAACCTCATCGCCTTTGCGATTCGGAAAATTTGTCAAAGGGCTCTAGTGCAGCCAGAGGCCGATCGAAATTAGATTATCGGCGTGCGTTGCAGCGAATTTAATAACCTTCTGTACATGCAAAAATGCCCTGTTGTTCTTGTACTAGCTATGCATAAATCACGACTATTTGTACCCCCGCCGGTAGCTGTCGCAATATAGGATGAAGGATAGCAATGGATGTCCGTGTTGTGTATCAATTATATCGTGCTGCTTTTCGATCAAATGTACGCTGGTAAACGCCACAACCAGACTCGTGCTGATTATTACCGTAGCACGTCTCCAAACTTCACTCTACAAAGACCTGCATATTAGAAACTTCTTCATGCGAGTCAACAACAACATCTCCTCGAGCTATGTAAAAACAAAAGCTTTATTACCTCCACTGCTGCTACCTGTGTACGTGACCAACATTCATCTTACGTGTGGAAACATGATATACGTGGTTTTTTGTCTCGAATTAGAAAGTACTCGTACTTAGCTTGTTTAAAATTAAAGGTGCATTTCAACATTATCATGTGTTCCTTTTCAGAAGTTCTCTGTAGTTTAGAAATTCGCTTTCGAAAGTAGTTGACCTCTTATTTCGATTTCCCCTAATATATACCGTGTCATCTTTCGGATTGAATATTCCATTTAGTCAAGGTTATCAAGAAATCACCCACACGAGAACAGAGGTGCTCCTGTCGTAATCGCGCAGATAGAAGCCAACGGAGTGATGCTCCTGGGCCCGCACGACTACAGACGCAAGAAATGCCTCTTGGACCACAACTCCACCGCCGGTGGATGAGTGATGTTGACTAAATTCATAATCGACGAACAGAACTGGTCACTTAGCTTCCCGCGACCTGGGACGTGGATACCTCCTCGACGGCCGGGATGTCGACCGGGGCCGCTACTGGTGCGACGGATACCACCTCCTTTCCCGCCGTGCTCGTAGTAGTACTCGTTTTCTCATCATACAAATCCACCGCGCGATTTACCGTAGACAGCGTCTTTCCGTTCAGGTATTTCGCGTCCAGTGACTTCCCCGTGTCGATGGCCTTACTCACACCAGTCTGCAGGTTGGAGCCGAACCTGGTGATGTAGTATTGGGAATGGAGATGTAGATTAATATCGTTATTCATGACGATATTCGCATGTTGAAGTAGAAGTCTTCAGGTTCAGATGCAGGGCAGGTAATTGCCAGCCAGCATCCAGTTTTAGTGATAGTGTAGTTTGTTCTATGCATGACAAACTCGTGGCAAAAACAAAACTCAGTACTTCTTGTCATCCAGTTCCTTGGCCTTTTCCAGCAAGACTTTGCCCATCTCCAACACGCTTGGAAACTTCCTCTCCGCAAATTTGGCCGTCCCCACCGAGGTGGAGACCACAGTGGACAAAGCTGTCTCTTGCACGGCGGCGACGGTGATCTTTGTGTAAACTTCGTTGAACTGCTTGATCACCTGCTCCGGGAGTTTGCCCTCCGTTATCTCCTTACCTGATAAAAAGGTTTTATTTTGGGTTCAATATGTTTGTCATGCTGCTCCTGCAGCATGTGCATCGCATGATAAGGTCCTGTGATGCAAGACAAATTCTCGCAGCACAAGCACCACATTGACATTCTGATAATTCTCAACAAAAACACAAATTCTATACGTAATCCGTTAATGGCCGTGAACGTCTGCAGGTAGAGTTCTTTCAGCGTTTCCTTTCCCTCCGTCAATTTCTTGCCGAGTTTTTCGGTGTCAATCAACTTCTCGAGCAACTCCACGACTTTCGCGAACTTTTCCGTGATCATCTTCCCCTTCTCGGTCTCCTTGAAATCCGCAATGGCGGTGGCAATTTGCACTTTCAACTGCGCCAGGGCCTGCTTCGCGTCCTGTAGGTTGACGCTGACCTTTGAGGCCGTGGATGTGTAGTAACTGACCGCGAGCTGCTTGTTTTTCGTGAAAATCTCCTCGATTTGCGACTTCAGGAGGTTTATCAACTGCAAAAGTGTCTGGGTCTGGAAGAGTCATGCTGTTTTTGCATGACAAAAAAGGTCTGGCGCGGAAGCTCTAGCATCACAGGGCTCGAGAAGCTTCCACAATGCCGAATCCGCATGCCAAATCCCCTATTTTGGTGACAAAAAGTGGGCAACTTTTGCTGCCTACTTATGCATGAGATATTTTTCTGTGTTCTGGAATGCGCATCACAAGTTTGTACTCTTCCAGACCCAGACATTTTTGCATTTGATAATGTTCAGCTTCTCCAGGAGCTGCTTCTGTTGCTCCGGGGTCAGGATTTTCGAAAATTTGTCCTTCAGCTCGATGTTCTTGATCACTTCCAGCGACTCGAGGTAGTAGGTCTTCAGGTTGATAACCTGTTTGTCCTTGTAGGTAGCCAGTTCGGATTTCAGGTCCAGGACTTTCTGCTTCGACGCCTCGATGGAAGCGAGGAGCTGGTCTTTACCTGGAGGCGTTTATGAGTTATTTCGTATTGCATTTCCTTTTTCCAGGATGGAGTCTAGCACGACAACGACTTGATGACTGTGTTGACAAAACTGCACGACAAAGTTTTTCACGGACGTCATTCAGCATGACAAACTTTATTGTGCAAAGCATTTTACTACCTTCACTGGTCGTTTTTTTCACTGTTTCCGAAACCTCCTTCAACCCCGTCAAAGCCTTGTCCAGCACATATCATCTCCAAAAGTATCGCACTCGTAGTAATTGCAGTCATGCATTACAAATTTTTTTCTGAAGGTAAATCCGCATGACAAATTATATTTCTCATGCTGAGGAAATTTGTCATGCATTTATACGAATACGATATTACTTTTGCAGTTCATAGCACCGCGTTTGCCAAAATTCGCTCCTGCATCGAATGCAAATGTGTCTACCTCTGGAAGTAGAGTGCAGCAAGGTTTGTCATGCACATTTTGCATGACCTTTGATGTCTGTGATGTATGCCCCGGCATCACAGATAATTCATTTCCGAAATTTTTTTTATTCCTGATGCCTGTACCGCATGAGAAATTGAAATGCCGCCTCCGCGTAGCAAAAACTTCGCTCCTGTTGCTGATCACGCAATACAGATTTTTACATCATCCAAGGGCAGCATCACAAGTTCAAGCTGCAACCTTGTTCCAGAGCCAGACATATTTGCAATGCATATCCTGCATCTCCACCAGTTTCTTCTTTCCCTCTTCGATTTTCAGCAAAAAAACTTCCTTCTTCCCCTCGAATTCCGTGTACTCCTTGTATGAGAGTGCACAACTCCCCCTCCCCCTCATTTGTCATGCAAAACCGCAAATCCATTTGCTGCCCTGTGGCACTGTTTGCATGACAAATTTCGGAAAGCCAAACAGTATTACCTTCGGCCGGTCGTGAACTTGTCATGCGAAGGCTCCAGGAGTGCTGGCGTTTGTATTGCTGTTCATGCCATACAAATGAGGGGGAGGGAGAATTTTGCACTTTCATACCTTGACCTGCGAGACCACCTCGGTCAGGGACTTCTCGCACAGCTGGTATTTTTCCGAGATCTGCTCCAAAGATTTCGTTTTTAAATCCTCTTTGATAGAAGTAATGTCCTCGATCGCCTTCTCCGTTTTTTCTTGCAGCTTGGTTCCCGTGGTGGACGCGGTGTGATTCAGTTTCTCCTGCATTTCCTTGAGCTGCGCGAGGGTTTTTTCCAGGTCGATGTAGTCACTGAGTTTGGACTGCACGGTTTGCAAGTACGACTGGGCGCCGGACAGCTTGGAAAGGAAATCGGCGCTCAGCTTGGAATCTGATAATTTATCTTTGTTGTATTACAAACGAAAAACGAGTCGCAAAAGTAGGACGACGTTGAGGACCTTAGCACAGTAAGGCTCTCGCGGTCATCCATTGAAGTAGTCAATCTAGCCACGACACAATTCGTCACTCTATTTCGAGTATGTCATGCAAGAAGAAATCATGGTGTAGTTGAAACATATTAACAGAAGTAGAACATCATCATCAGCCGGATGAAGTGGCCCATTCTAGTCGAATTCTAGTACCTTTGTAGTGCTTCTCGACCTCCTCTTTCAGGTGCGCGATGTGCTGCCACGTGTTTTCAAACCCCTTGCGGACCGCTTCGGAGTTTGCGTTTTCTTTGAGGCGGACCTGCAACTCTTGGATCGACACGGTTACCTGATAGAGTTATGTACAGTATGCGTGACTTTGTCATGCGCAATCAGTATCAAAAACAACATTTCTGATGCACCTTTGCTGACACAACAAAATATCGTCGTTAAAGAAGTAAATATACCTTCTTCGCCACATCTTTGACACTTTGCTTCACCGATTCCCCCTCCAGCTCCTGCACTGCCGTCAGAGCCGCGTTCAGATGCTCGGTCAAAAACCCAGCATACTTTTTCGCGTAGGATGCCATGGTGCTGGATGTAGAAGTTGTTGTGCTAGACGGAGATGAAGTACTATTAGTATTTGCCGTGCTAGCCGCGCAAGAGACTGCTTCTTCGTCCTCCTGTAGTACTAGGAAATCTTGTTGTTCTTGCGAAGTAGATCTCTGTGTGAATCGCGAACTTTCGTGCGCGACCGCGATTCTTTGCCAAATACTTGACGCGGGCAGTGTTTGTTCCGGCGAAGAAGAGAGGGCGTCTCCTTGTTCTGGAACGACGGTTGTAGCAGAAGCGGAACCAGTGCCGACGCCTAGATCTTGTTGCAGTTGTTCCCTAACAACGTTGCTACTAGCCTCAACTTCTGTAGTACTAGAAGCTCCTTTATTTCCTGTGCTACTATTGGAAACCTTCTCGGTTGTACCGGTAGTTGTATCAGACCCCATCATAGCCACGCAGGATTTATTTTAGCACACAGAATTGTCACAATTGGAAGAGAAGTCAGTCCCCTTCTACAAAAACTTACACAAATACTACACTCTTCTCGGAAATAAATTTGTTTCGTCACAACGTTATCATGTAAAAAATGTCGCTTCTCTCAGAACTCTTGCCGTTTTGATGGTTAAAATGTAAATGTAGTTGTTCTACACTCAATTTATTCCATTCATGTTATTTTCACTGAATTTTGTGAAGACATCAGAAAGCAAAAACATTGAGATGAGCAATACTATGCCATCCCATGGTGAAGACACCATCATCAATACACAGGAGTTATGAATCTCCCTCCGAAGAGATAGTCGGACCTTCAAGTGAAGTGAGATGATTTTCATCCAAGATTTGTGACAAATCGAACAAAATTTCAACCGATGCTGTGAAGATTTGTGCTTTAACCGACACGACTTGTTGGAACAAATAGATCCGCGATTTTCCTTCATTTTGACGAAATTACTGCTCATTTGAAATAAGGATTTCGTTGCCAGCACTGCGATATGATCAGATTTCTGCTGCAAGAGTTGCCGTTTCACGTCAGAAGTAGGTCCACGATTCTTGCTCGTCCTCGTTGCAGCAATTTGACAACTTGAGTCCTGTCCGGGGACCTGTATACTCGACACAAGGAGCACGTCGACGCATGGTAAAGTTGAAATTCGTTGTCCAGCACCAGCGTCCGATGTTGTTGAAGCTGTTGCTCCTGCGGTCATCTACCTCTGATCGTGGGATTTCCTTCCGGCACCACCAATCGACGTCGATGTGAAAAATATTGACGGCAAGAACATATCACCGCTTCAAGACGACCGGCTGCCGTAGATGCGCGAGTGGCTGGTCGGTGTTCCATAGTGCTATGGAAGTGGAAGACGTACGTAGGAAAGTCTCGGCAAAAAGCTGTCACGGTGGAACTTCTACACAAACGCTGAGCGTGTGGTCCACCTGGCAAGCCTGGTGGCAACAAGATTTCCATTTTATGCAGCAATAGCTGCAGATGCAAATAGTTTCTACCATCGTGACGTCGAGACGATTTCCCACGACCTGCCACCACCAGTTCCATAACTGCATGAGCTTCTGTAAGAGGAGGAAACCATTGCGCATGCGCAGGTTGTCCTGCAATAGACGTTTCTCGGCCCACCTCTGACACAGCAGCACCAGCAGACCGGCAGGGGAAAGTTCCTTGCGGACGATACGTGCCTGCGTGATGAGGAAGCTCCTCGTCCTGTCGCAGCTGCTGGTGGCGCTGGTGTTCATCATCTCCTGGCGAAGCCACGAGATGAGGAGTTTCAGCATCATCTTCTTCCCCTGCGCGTTCGAACAAGTCGATGGGAATTTCCTGTTCCAGCACGACTTTGCTCGTCGGGTCCAAATACCAGTGCCTTGGCTCAGGCGTGGTAGCAGGAGGCGAAGAGGACGGCGGAGACGGTATTTTTGGGCTTTCTTGAGCCTGCTCCTGTTGGTCCCGCACCGGACCCGCCTCCGACCACCTGCTCCTGCCACCACTGCTGGGCCCTATATTGAAGGCCAGAACGACTCTGTAGGAAGAAAATTGATCTTGTTCCGCAGCTTGTTGCGTTGTTCCCGTCGGATGACTGGCTTGTTCGATTTTGGACGCAGCTCCTGCGGTCTTCCCCGCCTCAGAATGATGTTCTTCGGTCCCTACAGCGGCCTCCCCCTCCTCCTCCTCCTCCTCGCGGGAAAACATTAAATACTGGTCCTCCACCTCCTGCTCCCGCTCGATATCCGCAAGTAGCTTCTCGTCGTCCCCGCTTGCTACACTCGGCAGCGCGGAATGCTGGAGCCAGGAAGGAAAGAAAACCACTTCACCCGACCGCGGGTGCAGCAGCACCTCTCGGCCAAAGGGCGGCGAAGCCCCGCGGGGGTCGGCGAACCTGAGGACCCCGGAGTTATTATCAGCGCTGACGTAGTACACACCCGAAACGTACTCTCCAGAGTGTGTGTGTCCGGCGTGCCATCCGACTGCTTCGCTTGCTGTACTTGTTCCTGTAGCTTCACCATCGGGACGAAGAGTTTGCATTTTGTTCATCTTCCCTACTTGCGGGTGCACACTGAACCAGGAGAACATACTCACGTCAGCGTCTTCAGGTCCAGCATCCGGATCCTCGCCCGCCTCATCTGCGGAAGTTGCGCTGCCAGGACGAGGACCCGTCACACCACCAGCAAGATTACCTGGCCTGAAGATATCGTAGTTCGCATGCAGTTTCAGGTATCGTTTGGCGAGTTGAATGATTGTCTTCCGCAGCCACTGATACTCCGGCAGATTTTTCATCGCAGGCCAGGATGTGGACTTGTTGTTGGCAGGTGGCGAGGAAGATGTAGGCTTGCTGGAAGCACTGGGACTGGCAGCGCCGGGCTGAAAAGTTGTGGAAGTTGTAGCCCGGTCATTTGACGGGTCCTTCACTTTGTGCAGCTGCAGCTCCATCGGCGAAACATGAAGAGCGTCTCGCGAAGATGTCTTTCGCTTCCTTTGATTGATACCTCCTGTGGTCCCGGCCCCCAGCACCGCTTGCTCGGCTTCGGTTTCGAGCCAATCCAACAAGCTTGACAATGAGTCGTCTTGTTCATCTGTGCCTTGTTCTTCAGATATAATTCGAGGCGAAGTTTCTTCGTCTTCCAAGCTGCTTGCCTTTCCTACCGATGTCGTCGACGACGTGAAGTTCCTCTTTTCAACTACTTTCGCTGCGTCGTATTCGAAAATGGCTTTTTGATAGAAGTAAAACGCGTCATTCAGCCCGACGTCGTCGTACTGTTGGAGTAGGAAGTTCTTTTGCTCCACCAGAGATCCTAGGTCATGATGATCCTGCTGCCCACCTCCCGCCGACGCGGTCGTTCCAGATGATGTAGTAGAAACCAGTCTTCGGTGATGCCGTTTCCTCAGCGCGGGTAGGATAGAATCTCTCAGCTGCTGCCATTCCCGGACTGCTGCTTTTGTGATTTTCTGGTTGAACAGAGTCGCGCGGCCGACGTCGTGGTCAGGTGGTTGTTCATGATTTCGCTGCGACGTTGTAGATGCGTCAGTGTTGTTGGTGCTTGGCCGCTGAAGACCAGTCTGCTGTTGCGGCTGCTCGTCTAGTTGCACCGGCAACAGCTCAGTCACATTGACGATCTCGATCGGAGTCGGGTACAAATACGCGACACGAGAAGTAGACGAAGTAGTTCTTGTTCTTTCTGATTCTGTTTCATGATCGGAGAACGCATGCATTGCTGCAACATCTTCTCCTGGTGCGCAACAGTAGAGAGGAAAAATCAACGCAGCAAGGCGGACACAAGTAAACAAGGACGAAGTGCTGGCGAACCAATTGACGAGGAAACACATCCCGGACCAGCGGGCGGAACCCAACGAGGCCATCTTGTGCAGCTGCAAGCCGTTTATATTTACTTTCGACACCCCTGAGAAGAATATACTCGCTGTGCTGGGTACTCCACCAAGGAACTGGAGCTACTTTAACCTAAAAGTCTGTTTCTGACGCACTGGCTCATCACTCGCTCACAAATAGTCAGCACTGTGGCAAAAATCTTTCAAAACGTGAGGACGATCTGCCTCGCTCAATCCGTGAAAGCAGCGATCTTCGCCAGCAAATGCTACTAGCGCTTAGCCGTCGTGGGAATAGAACTGGAACAAGAACAAAATACACAATTATCTTCATCCGCCCCGGCTAATCGGTAAAATTGGTTACTTTCCAAAGCGGAAAGCACAGGAACATGCTCCATTTGAAGTCGGTGGCGCCACCGCTTACCGCGCGATCACCCACAAAGCCGGCCCGTAGTGGCGAAATCGAAAAGCAGCCGGGCCCCGCCAAGAAAGTCAAAACAAGCCGGCGCGCAGCCCGAAGACCAGGGCATCTGGCGCAGCCGCGGCAATAAGCGCGCGAGAGCTTCGGCCGGCGCGCCAGCATTGATGGGGTGCGTGGCCCTTTCTCCTCGGACGCGGGCCCCCCCCGCCAAGCAATAGCGGCAAGCTTACCGGCAAAGCCCTGCGCCAACTAGGCGAGCCCAGGCAATAGGGCCTGGCACACAGCACCAGAAAGGGGCAGAGGGCCTGCCGTGGGCAAGCCGGGGCCCCTATTGGCGCGCCAGCCTACCAGCCGGGGTAGCGGGCGGAACCCCCACAGACCCCGACGCACATCGGGGCCGCCGGGCGACGATACGAAGGAGCGCAACCGACGACGGCGAGCGGCGCGCCGCCCGCTCTCGAAGTACTGACGGCTCCCACGTGCTGCACGTAGCGAAATCGCAGGGCAGGACCGGGCGAGGCGCGTCCTTATTCAACAAATTCGCCAAGATGCGCCGCTCCGTCAACGCGTCGATGCTGCACGGGACTGCGGACGTAGCCAGTGCAGCGCGGCCCAATGTTTTTGAGGCTAACGGTTGCGCCAAGGTCATACTGCTTGCGCAGCGCAGGTTTCCTGCAGTGCCATGCTCAGCGCAGATTTTCTATCCAGACTCTTAACTTAATCATTTCGAATGATGTTCTCTCACAAGATATTTCCAAAAAAATTTCTCTCTTGTTGTCTTGAAGAGAATGCTTAATCCTGAAACACAGCAACTCCGGCTCTGTTCGCACTTTGCTCCCACGATTGAAAAATGCTCAGTCACAGACACACCACTGAGCAGGAAGATGGTCCAGCAGCAACTCAACGCGCTGACGGAACAGAACTTACTACGCTCAACTGCAGGAACAAGAAACCACACGGCCGCCGAAGCATCCGTGCGGGAGGATTCGCTTCTTGTCAAGCTGAAGCTGTGACGATTTGCGAGTTTTATTTTGTGATCTCTCTTCCTCGGAAGATGTCTTCTCCCGCAGAAGGCGTTGCGCGTCGACCTTATGTTTTATTTGCTCATTCGAAGATACCATAGGTTTGCTCCAGAGAGGAGTAGCATGATTTTTGCTCAATTCAATTCGCCTCAACTACATCCACGACGACGCATACTAGCGTATCACTTCTACGTGGAAGTAGCAGTCACGCCTTTCAAACTCCTTTCGTGCATTCCTCACGTCGACCAGGAGCACTTCTGCTATCGCTTTTAGTTTAAAAACAAGTCGGCACTTCACATGTTCCAGCCCGCAATCTCACAGTTCGCGAAGCTGCGGCCCCCCTGCAAGTGTACCGGAGACACCTTGACACTCCTCTTGTTCTTTCCGTCTAATGCGAAAAAGGCATCGAGAAACCGGTAGTGCGCCACGATGCCTATTTTCTGTTCCTGGAAGTTTACGGTCGCTTCAAATTTCGCCATGTTATCACACAGAAAAAAGCAGGCAGGTCAAATTTGTAATGCAAAAATAAATAAACAAAACAATCTGTCTTGCATGTCCTAAACAGCACGCTAGGGCGTTGCCCATGACAGATTTTTCTGCGTATTTATTTTTGCATTACAAATCTGCCCTGCCTGTTTTTTTCTGTGGGATACATGTACTCGGATAAAAACTCCTTCGTTTTCTCTGCTCGCTTATCAAAAGCAAAAGTGTCTGGGTCTGGAAGAGTCGTGCTGTTTTTGCATGACGCAGAAGGTGTGCCATGGAAGCTCTAGCATCTCAGGTTTCACGAAGCGTTCGCAATGCCGAATCCGCATGGCAAGTCCCTGATTTTGGTGACAGAAAGGGGGCATAACTTTTGCTGCCTATGCATGAGAGATTTTTCTGTGTTCTGAAATGCGCATCACAAGTTTGTATTCTTCCAGACGAGACCCAGACATTTTTGTAGTTGATACCGCTTCATGGTGTCAAAGTAGTCTTCGAACGGATGGGGGACGACCTTTTTCGTCTCTATCCCCTGAAAATTCACCATCCCCATCCAGTTTGTCATGTAAAACATACATAAAGTCCTCAGTTTGTCATGCACAAAGTGGATGGGAATGGGGATGGTTAATTTTCACGGAATAGTCTCTTGCAGAAACGTATTCGCTAAAACGTTATCCTGCAGCGTCGTGTCCGTGAAATGCTTTACGTTCGACAAATCCGGCTTGATAGCGCAATCATCTTCTTTTCGAAATCCGTACAGGACTGTTGATTCTTTGCCATTCGCGTTTTTCTCGTAGTCAGCACCAGCAGCAGTCGGAGTGGTTGCACTAAAAATGCCGGCTGGTGCCGGGGACCCAGGCCCAGCTGATGTTCCGTTGGAGTTGCAGTCCGGATCTTCGAATTCCTGTAGCGCCGACTCGTGCCGCTTCTTGTTCACAATCTCCTTCTCCAGCATTTCGCGTTTTTCCCCGTTCAGGAGTGAGCGCAGAATCCAGTAATTCTTTTCCAGCAAGTCCTCCTCGAGGAGCGAAAAATCAAAGTCCAGATCGCACTGATTCTTCGTTTTGGAGCTGAACAAAAACTTCAGCCTCTGCGCGTAGTCACAGGGGATCCCGTCGGTGTAGCGAACCCACTCCCGAATCATCGGAAGCACGACGAACTTGATTTTCTCTCTGCCCGGATGGTTTTTGAACAGACTGTTGCAGGTTTGCAGCGTTTATCAAAAGTAAAAATGTCTGGGTCTGGAAACTTGTGATGCTGGGTGGCGTCTCATCATGAGGCTACAAATGCTGGCTCAGCATGACAAGTTTTTGAGCTCCTAGGTGTTGCCTATTCTGCATGACAAACTGCGCTTCTGCATCACAGACAAGCGGAGCTCTTGGGGAACGTGCATGACAGATTTTAGAGTCATGCCAGACAAGCATGACAAACATGAATTCTTCCAGACCCAGACATTTTTACAGTTGATAGCGTTCGCCTCAGGGGGGAGACGAAAACCGTGTGGAAATCTACGTTTGCCAACAGATGCGCCCGCTTTTCCGTCTGGAGCACACCGTAGGGGTGCAACGGGCAGTCGACCAGGGACCTCGCGGTGCCGATCTTCACCGTCATGCGCTGCTCGAAACTTTCAAACGGCTATCCTGTGCAAAAACGTCCCCACCCCAGAGCTGTCATGCAAATCTGCATGCGAAAAAAGTTTCGCATGCGGAGCCCCATGAGAACCGTTTATTTTGCAGTCGTGTTTTGGCATTTGTCTAGCAGATTTTCCATCTTGACTCTGGTGCAGGGACGTTTTATTTACTCAGGATAACGGCTCCTGTTTCCTCAGTTTGTACTTGTCAAAAAACTTCGGCAATTTAGAGGCCATCTGGGCGTAGTTTGCGCAACTAATCGCGTGGCGCACGCAGATGACTTTCGACTTCTCCACGTCGGTGCAGGGCGTATTCGTGCCGAAAGCGTTTTCCAGAGTCGGTTCATAATCGAGCAGCTCCTGCATCTTGGTAGCGAGACACTGTTCCACAAACTTTCGCGTGTCGTGGTCTTCATCCGTTTGCTTGTTGAGGTAATTGTTGTTATCACCGGAGGACGAAGACGCTGCTGGTGCAGGTGCTCCGCCTATAATTGCGCCCCCAGACGACCCGGAGGCATTTTTTGTCGTAGTTTCTGGTGCTCCCATGTTGTTTTCGTTCTGCTGCGGGGAAGACTCACTATACGTGCCGCCCATGACCACGGATGAGAATGTAATTAGACCAATTTCTATATATATAAGTGCCAGAGTTGTACGAATTTGTTCTTAGTAAGCGCTACTACTTATATTCTTCCGTACTTCTTCTCGCGGCTGGTCTTCAGAAGTAGAGGCAGCAGAGGCAGGGTGTTCAAAGGTTTTCATCAAGAAGGGGCTGTCTGCGAAGGGGTACTATTCAGAGGTTGGCTGCGACGGGGTGTTCAAAGGATTTCAAAGGGTTGAACTCACCCAATAAGAAGAAGAAAATCGGGATCATCATCCTGCGCAAAAAAGTTGATCCGCTTCGGCCGCCGGCGTGTTCAGCGATAGTTCGCATAGAACAACAACTCGCTATGTATCACAAAATCCTGCACCAGAAGATTTTCGCCGATTTTCCCTCACTTGGGAAGGTCGTTGACCTTCCAATCGGCTACCTATCTAATGATCGCGAAGATGTGCTGACCATGCAAGCGAGGATCTGCATCCGGGAAAAATGTAAATGCATAGGTCAAGGAACGCACTGTAAAAATAGTTCTACTTTCACTTTTACTGAGTCTGAGTTGCATTGTGCTGCTCCAGCGAGCCGACACTATCATGAACACACTCGAGGTCCTCGAACACTGTGCTAGTAAGCGACGAGGGCGAAGGAGCTTACTTAATATGGTCCAACATAGTTCTTGATGAAGCTGCTGCTCAATTTCGCGCAAAGCTGAACAAATCGCACAACATACGCAATCGCAATACTAAGTGGAGTAAACCAAAATAAGTTGCTCTACACTTTGTTAAGTAACATACAAAAATCGGCCCCGCCACGAACAAAGCCGATTTTTGATCGATCCAGCAAAGCAGCTACTCCACCCGTGCAAACCACTTCAGGGAAATCATAGCTCTCGCCTATTGCTATCAAGTATAGTATAATACAGTAAATTTTCATTGGATCAGCATTACAAAAGTCATACATTGAATCCATAACTAGACCTGAAATACATATTGCGACTTTCCTCTACATAATCGCTGCCGCGAAGCTAATGCGTCTGAGCTTGAGCCTATAAATATATTAGTGTAGCGCTCTTGAAGTAGATGACATTGCAATTCACTGTAAGCTGTAAGTGTAACTAAACAACAAATTGAAACTGAAATTTTGAGAGAAAGTGGAAATTAATTTCTTCGAGTGGTCCGATTTTCATTTTTTACCTACTTCCTGCTCACCACAATGTTTTGCCGGGTCGACAGTGACGGGGACGGAGTCTCGTTAGGTTCGTCTTCGTTGAAGTTGTGCTGTGACAAAAAATATCTATAATTTCCAATGTACTACGCCAGGGCGTCGCCACTCTACTAAGTAAAATGGGCTACATGATCTGCTGTAGACTTTTTTTTTGGAGCACAGTTTATCGAACGAAAATTTCGACGCGGATGCGCATACACGCAGATGTAAGTATGTTCGGTATTTTCTAGCTGTAGGAACACGATTCCTTTTGGACGATGGATTGCAACACTACCTTCGTCCACAAACTTGAATATGGAATAAAAAGCTCTGTCCTGCTACAACGCACGACCTGGACAGCCTTTTACAGCTAGTACAGGAGATGACGTAGACATAATTTACTTTTGCCTTCTAAAAAGTGTATTTACATTTTGCGTGAAAGTTTCTACTACGCTCCCCAGGCAGTTGTACTTCTGCTCTTCCGTGGCATCTCATCGACTGGGACGATCTGGTCCAGCCGCTGTGCCGCCTTCGACGTCTGCGATGGGGACGACAATCGAGACGACGACCGCGATGCCGAGGATGGCCTTTCCGCATTGACGCTGCCCCACCCCCGGAAGTGCCGCCGGCGCGGGGGTACGATGCCCCATAGCGATTCTTCTTGGGGTTCTCCGTCCTCCTCATCGCCCGTATGCGTAGTTATTTCGCTTTTCGGTTTCTCCTCCGTCCCCTTCGGGACTGTCTTCGCCGCCGCCTCATTCCCTTCCTCTTCCTTCGCCTCGTTTTTTCCGGTCTTCATCACCAACTCCTTCTCGTTCTCCAAGACGGAGGTCTGTGTGTGGTTGCGGTCTATTGTGGAGCGAATTCTAGTAATCGCCAAGGACATTGCAACATGTGCATGATATTATGCAAACCCACTTCACGACAAACCTACTTCTTGCACTGCAAGACATCAAGCCATATACTTCAATACCGACCCATCTGCAGACACAACATCGCTCAGCGGAGAACCCGTGACATCGTCCTCATCCATGGGGGGGGGGGATGTTCCGCGTATCGCGCAAATTTTCATAAGCATTGACGCACCATGCTGATTTTTATTTTCATCGTCTCTTGATATTTTTCAACTTCGCATTTATATTATTTTTTCTGAATTTGCAATAAAGCTGAACCGCGAAACATGCTCGACAACGATCATGCCTCCAAGTTTCGAATAATTTGTGTTCGTCGATCTGAATTCGAATTCCAAACGCATTCTGCTTCTTACTTACATGAATCAGGATCATCTTACACAAAAACTATTTAAGAGAAAAAAAGTTACTCAAATGATCCTCTCCTGGGAAGATAAGGGGCAACGCCATCCATTGCGCAGCGCTTGCCACGCGCTTTCGGCAGCGCGCGTTGGGACCACGACGCCCCATCTTTGTTTTTGCTTTCGACGTGTGGATGGTGATACACTGCTTACACCTTTTTATCAATTCTGTCGCCTCTATTTTTTTGAAGAAGAAAGAGGAACGTTTTTGAGCACGTGCACCAGTGATGTCAGTGACTGATGAAAAAAAAATCATTCTTATAATTGTATAGTATAAGTGATTAAGGCATCCTCTTCCGATACTGCAAGAAGGGCGTCCTTCAGGAAGTTTATACGAAGCATAGTTTCAGACGAAGTTTTTCCTTGCGGTGTACATCAAAGTTGTTCTTTCAGAGATGACTATGTATCTATAATTCCTACTGAAGACGATCTCCCAAACTTGTTTTCATGCACTGACACGACGATTACGATCCCGACCCGTCAAGAGCGTCGACTCACATTACACTGAATATCGTTGTTCCATTCAATAGTTTTTACCATATCGTTTTTCTCTACGACTACGCTCTTCTTCTTACGACGCTCCATCCCTTACCCCCAAGTAGAACAAAAACGAAAGCCCGGACGACAGAAACAGTCGAGGTGTTCGGAGGTCAGAATAAGTGGATCGCGAACAACATGTCGTGACCATGCTGCAAACGAGGATCTGCATCCGGGAAAGATGGCAACGAAGCAAATCAATACTTCTTTCATTGAAGATTCACAAAACCAAGCACAACGAGCGGATACGACTGGTTTTTTCTCCTCGTCTTCGAGCTGTACCAGCAGATTTCTAGTTGTGCTATCATTTTCTTTCTTGTCGCGGCAAAAGGTAGATTTACAAGGTGAGAAAGCAGATCCAGATTTGTCGCTAGGTTTAGGGTAACGGTGATAGAGCAGTAGGTGACTGTTAATACGAGGGCAAGGTGACTGTTAATACGATTCTTATCTGTTGTAAGTAAGAGAGAGAGAGAGATAACCTACATAGTTGAACTAGGCAGGACAGTATACGACGAACATCACACAGAAGAACGCTGGCCTTGCTCCCGTCCAACTGCTAGCGTGATGCCTCTCCGCCCACCTCGCAGCGCCTTCAGAAATGGCCCGGCTGACTACTCTCGGTTCGGATGCTGCTCGCGGATGCTGCTTGATGTGATCTTGTTGCCCTAGCCGAAGTTCTGCTTTCAGGTAGTACAGGCCTGGTAGAGGGCGACGAACTAGACCGAAGACTAGAACGCCCCCCAGCTACCGCGAGGTTTTTAGTAGTCAGATTGCGTCAAGGCCGGCCGGAAGACACTGGGATAGTTTACCTGTGGCCTTGTAGCCCGAGTCTGGTTCAAACCGTTCTACGCGCTGATGTCATCCCCCATGTCCGTGAAGAGTAAGGCGGCAAGTTAAGGGGGAATTGAGATGACGGGGAACTTTAAAAATAAAAAGGCAATCGAAAGCAAACTAGTTCCCCGGCTCGACATGCGGCGACGCTGCTCTTCCACGCAGCGCCCCGGCGAGCAGTTGACGGGGCACTCACTCACTGGACAGGCCGTCTCCCGCTCAGCGGCGTGGCGCGGCTGTTCTACCAGGAAAGCACTACAGATAGCTTTGCCGCTACTATTTCTATATTTTTCTTTATATTATTTATTATTTAAGCTACTGCAGCGACGGACCTCGGTGGCGCATCCACCCGGTGAGTGAGTCAGGGCAGTTTGTGCAGGACGCATATTGTTTCTGTTTTTTGACCGACGTGTGTGCGTGTGTGTGTTTCTTTTTCAACGTCCTTATGTGTGCACCCATGTGAGTACGTCTTTCTAGCGCTACCGGGGGGCTCTTCCTGTCCCCCCGGGTCCTAATGTGTTTTGATTTGGAAAGGGGTAGTATCCGTTCTCAACAACGCAGGATCAAACGCAGGATCAAGCTAATAGAGTGCAGTAATTATCTGTTGTAAGTAATAGAGTGCAGTAGTAGCTCGCTGTCGCGGTAAGAATGTGGTCGTTATGTTTCGTGCACAGTCGTACTGGAGGTTCTTTTTTTCCTCTAAAATCGGAATCCTCCGACTGAGTTTTTGGGTTTACAGAATCGCTTTGTGGTGCACACTGAGTCATGATGTTGATGTCGCTTGATCTAAAAATAGTAATGGCCGCTTCTCTAGAGCCATCGACGCACAAACTTCATCTATAGTGCCAGAGCACTTTACCGATGAAAGTAGTTGTCAATACGAAACACCCTGTAGGTAAATACAAGAGTCAAAAAGTCCTTAGATGTTGTTCTTCCAAAAGCTGTGGATGTGGAGTGAAACTTAATGTTAATAAAGCCATTGAAGAATGTGCATTCAAAATTGGCATCGGCATCGTCGAGAAATAGCTCGGATTGCGGAAGGTGGAAGTCCAAGTCGTTGTCATTAGATATAAAGAACGCTCTGCAGGCACAGCAGGGGGGCGCAAAGGATAAAAAACGAAAACGGTTTAAAAATAGCACCTCTTCTTAAATCCGGGATGATTTTTCAGAAACTCAAACTTCAGTCCGTACTTCCTCACGACACATGTTTTTCTCTAGCTCCAGTTTGCAGCAGCTTCAGCTATTCGATCGAGTATATACTTATCAAAAAAAGATCGCGGCCTCTTCTAGTTCTATCGGGAAAAAAACCCCTGGAATTCTTTGCCCATTCCTGTCCATCTAAATTGTTCTGGTGTCGTGCTACGAACCCATCTTCAAAAACAAGAAATACGTTGATCACGAGCTGCAGCTGCCCCGGCAACCTGCTCCTGCTGGTAAAAACGAGTAGCAGATTCATGTTGGTCCACATGATGGCGCTGTTGATAGTTTTCGCCGCCACATTGCTCAACTTGTTCACGCCGACATGATGTTGATGCGCCAGCACTACTACCTCCTAGCCAGCACGATTTCCCCTCCTCCAAAACTTGTTTTTCCAATTCTGGTATCAAATGTAAAAATGTCTGGGTCTGGAAGAGTTATGCTGTTTTTGCATGACACAGAAGGGGCGGCATGGAAGCTCTAGCATCACAGGTTTCGAGAACCTTCCGCAATGCCGAATCCGCATGACAAGTCCCCTATTTTGCTGACAAAAAGTGGGAGCTTTTGCTACGTATGCATGAGAGACTTTTCTGTGTTCTGAAATACGCATTACAAGTTGCATCCTTCCAGACCCAGACACTTTTGCATTTGATATCCGGATTTTTTTCCAGTACTCCCTCTTCCAGATATATGTAGTCAAACCGGAAATCTTGCTTCAACCGCTGGCGCCAGGCTTTTTCGTGGTCGAAGTAGCGGTAGTCTCCCTTCTCAAATTCACTGTTGCACTCCCTCGGCTCCGACTCCCGCTGAAACCAGAGATTGTAAAGTTTGTGGTAGCGCCAACCCAATTTTTCCAGCTGCGCCGCGGCCAGCAACTGGTCGTGGCTGTTTTTTTGGTAGTAGAAAACGAAGAAAAGCGTGTCCAAATCGTATTTCTCTTGCTGATATGCATGGCAAAAGCATCGTGCGTAGTATAAATCGCATGACAAATTTCATCTTCAAGAAGAAAATGGGAATTAGAATTTGTAATGCAAAATTAGGTACGAAAGTAGATTTGTCACGCATGCCTGCACTTACTAATAGTACGATACTTTTGCACTGCATAGCTGAAAATGCTCCTTCGTGAGGATGTTTTGCGGGATCCTCGGCTGAGTCGACGGGTACAGATGCTGGGGCTGCTGGATCAACATCGCGCTTGTTGTCCTTTGTGCTGCCTGCTGCTGATGCATTGGAAGATTTGTAGAACTTGCGGTGTGGGTGTAGGGAAACCTGATGGATATGATCATGAAAATAATCGTCGTGCGAACCAGTCGTCTGAAAGGGGAAGTTCTTTCGGAACAAATTGAAAAAATTTTCGAGATTTTATAGATAGAATGTGCACGACAGGACCGGAGAATCTTCATAAAGTGGAACTACAACATACGAACAGAAATAGCTACCAAGAAGTCTACCAAGGGTAGTATCGGGGGACGGGCATATGGTTTTCGGTAGAAGCACTCGGACGGACCTTGGAGGTGGTCGCACTCGCAGCTTCGTTTACGAAGACTTGTCGCCCCTTATCATGAGCTTCTCTGCCGCAAGAGCTGCCACGTCGGAGTCCAACATCTTCCGCTCCAGCATTGTTGAAGACAACGGCCGGTGCATCACGCATGTCCACGTCACGTCGGGAGCTGCCAGGAACTCCTCGTCCTCCACTGGTGCGCCCACCATACTCTGGCCCTGGCGCCGCATTTTATGCATTGCAAACATGTCTGGGTCTGGAAACTTGTAATGCATGGCTGCGTATTGCAGTGCCACTGCAATACGCAGCCGTGCATGACAACGTTACGTATTCCACATGACAAAGTACGTTTTTGCATGAGCATGACAGGTAAGATTGCCTTTGCGCGGCTATGCAACACAGATTCTCGAGTCATGCCAGACAAGCATGACAAAAATGCACTCTCCCAGACCCAGACACATTTGCAATTCATACATGTCGTCCGACGACGACATCCTGCTCATCCCAATCCTGTGCAAAAGTATCGCATTCGTATAAATGCAAGTCTTGCATCACAAATTTTTTTCTCAAGGTAAATCAGCATCACAAATTTCATTTCTCATGCTGAGGAAATTTGTAATGCATTTATACGAGTACGATACTTTTGCAGTTCATAATCCCAATCTGAATCCAACTGAAAATCGTCCGAGGAAGTGTCCGACCCCGAGTCCGTTCGGAACACTGGATCCGCCGCGAGGTCCTGTTCCCAGATGATATCGGGATCGGAATGGAGGGTGTCAGTTAGGGGCGACGAGGATGCACGCGGGGCGGCGCTTTTTGATTCGTCGCGTACGTGTTGCTGCTGATCGTAGTACAACTTCCTCGCGCAGAAGTGGTCTTCCTGGTGGGCAGTACCCCGCTCAAGAAGGTGCTCGCCCTCGACGTTGTGCTGAGAGTTGATGTCCTTCTCCTTCATGTAATACAACCCACTGCCCGTTTGTCTACTTTGTGTGACGGCTTTATGGCGACCCCCTGTAGTTTCCTCCGTACCTCTTCCTCGAACACGAGAGCCATCGCCTTTGCTTTTATCCCGTAGGAAGCCGTCCTCGTTGTTCTTTCTCACCTGCTCTTTGTAGTCGCGATGCTGTACTGTACTCGCAGTACCGCGAGGAGCAGGACCCGGGTGATCATGCTGATGATGTTGATTCGTCGCAATAAACATGGACTTGGTTCGCCTCGTCGAGTAGCTGTCATCGTAATCGAGCATACTGTGCAGACTCAAAATCTTCGGCTCGGAGAAGGTTTTTGTCGTGCCAGCAGCGTCGAGATTTGTCTTCACGTAGTGGTCGACGTCGACGACGTTCTTCGTGCTAGATGAAAAATGCTGCTTGCTCTTATTTTCGAAGTAGCTCGCATGCCCAGCCTGAAACAACTCGAATTCCCTCTGGTTTTTGCAGCGGAAGAGCAAAGATCCGGATCCGGGCCGCTTGATTTTTTCTTTGTCGGTGTTTTCTTTAACGTCGACCGGAGCTGCAGTAGAGGACGAACTATTTGCTGCAATTCTATCTGGATTCATTTCTGCACTTGCTGTGGAAGTCCTCGCTCCTGCTGCGCCTGGGTCAGCAATACCTTGACGTTGACCTTCCTCGTCCGCGGGAAGTGCTAGAGCTAGACCGTCGTCGTCCTCCTCCTCTCCAGTTTTCTCATTCTGCTGTCCTGTGGCCGGTAGTTCTTCCACCTGCTCTTTTGCTGGCTTAGAAGCTGCATTTTTCCTGTGCAGCTCCTCCCTTGCAGCTGCAGTGGAGCAGAACTGCGCGTGTCCAGAGGTAAACAGCTCGACCTCGGCGGGGTTTTTCAAGAGAAAAATTGATTTTGGGTTGGTTTCCGGGCTCGTGTTGAAGGTTTTTTCAATCTCTTTCAAACGCAATTTCAGCTGGTTGTGTTTCTTGTCTTTTTGCTGAACAATGCGAGCAGGAGGGTTGATACTATTTTCCGAGGTGGCCTGCCTTAGGTTTTCCTTTTCAGCTTCAGCGTCCGCTGCTGCAGTATCAATGGCAAGTCCTGGAGCACCTCCGCTGCTTGTTGTATGTACGCCAACAGGTGGACCTCGTCCAAACGAACTACCCTGGTCGCCAGATGTACGGTTTTTGCCACACAACGACGACGAAAAATCTTGTGGATTTTCGACATTTTTTGCTTCCTGGGTACTAGAACTAGGAGCACCAGCTGTGGTAGTCCTCAGAGGTAGCGCCACGGGGATGACGTCAAAAATTTTGGAAGAGGAGTTGGCTGTCGGCCGCGGGTGCCTCAGATTGTTTGTAGCGACTTGCTTCTCGAACATCGTCCCTGGCGGGGCAGGGGGAGGAGCACCTCCACCTCCTCCCGCACCAGCATCAGATGTCGTAACATTTTTTTCCAATATCTTAGTTCCGCTCGTCGTAACGCCCGCACCCGCTCCGTTTGAAGAAGAAAATACTGGGTTATGCACCGCCAAGCCTTCCTGTACGAGCTGCTTCTCGAGTTCTTGGTGGAGCAACTCTCGGTCGCAGAGCGACTGCAACCGCTTCCGTTCCTTTTCCTGCGGAAAGAGGACCTGCAGTTTCACGATTTATCAACGTGCCAAATTCAGCATGCTCTACGAAGCAACAAATCAAAATAAATTCTCAAACATGAGGGTGAAAAATTTATTCCGTTTCAACATGATCTTCATTGTGCTCAATACGCTACTTTTAAGCCAAACGATCACTACCGGCGACACAGTTTCCGGTAGCAGCTTTTGTAGCTCCAAAACTGAGGGTGGTCGTGATTGTCTCGGATGCAATAGAGGGCCAGTCGTCCTCATCTGCGGGTCTGTTCCGTTGTACATGCCCTGAGGGTGGATATGGTCATGCCCCCGCGGCAAAGTAGGATCGCCCGTCTGTAGTCCAAGTCCACCTTGCCCAACATAATCTGGTCGCGCCGGTCGTGCTGGTGCAACACCCCCACGACCTGGCGGCTGCCCAAAATTGAGCGCCGGGAGTGGGGGCGGAGTGGTTGAGTTAAAAGGGTAGGAGGTCGCGCAGCCCCCGCGTTGGTGGAAATTTTGTTGTTCGAAAGAACTTCTTGTGTGATGATGTCCCCTGCTGGAAGGAACAAAGGGACGGGGACACGGGCCGCCTGACAAAGGATCAATTATAGGTGGACCACCACCAACAGCCCGCTGGTGCATATCAAATGTAAAAACGTCTGGGTCTGGAAGATTGCAACTTGTCATGCTAAATCTGCAGCATGCAAAAATCTGTGCTGCATGATTACCAAAAGTCGCCCAATTTTGACCAAGTCGGGAGGTAGTTTCTCATGCAGGATAGGCATTAGAAAGGTCTCGCAGAATCTGTCATGCTAGCTCCGGCATTCCAGACCTCATGGGTCATGGAAAAGCAGCATGGCAAATCGCGCATTCTTCCAGACCCAGACATTTTTACACTTGCTAGTGCATCTTCGCCTCTAATTCCGCAGGCGTGGGGATTCTCATCGGAGTATTCTGAGTAAAAACGTCCCCACCCCAGAGTTGTCATGCTAATCTGCATGCTGAAAATGTTTCTCATGCGGAGCTCCATCAGAAGCCTTTTCTAGTCGTGTTTTGGAATCTGTCATGCTCCAATCAGCATGACAGACTAGATCTGTGATGCTGCTCAAACTAGCTAAACAGGATCACACTATGAGGACAGACTTGTCACGCGAAACCACCAAAGCTGGCTGATTTGTCTAGCAGATTTCCCATCTGGACTCTGGTGTGGGGACGTTTTTGCTCAGGATATGGAGGCTGCAGGTACGGCGGGGCGTGACTACCACCTCCCTGCGAACGCCTTTGATGGTCCGGCACCGCAAGTTCGGGGGGCGGGGAGGTGATTTCGTTGCTCTTCGAGTAGTATCCTGTGCAAAAGTATCGTACTCGTAGTAATTGCAATCATGCATTACAAATTTCTTTCTCAAGGTAAATCCACATGACAAATTTCTTTTCTTATGCTGAGCGAATTTGTCATGCATTTATACGAGTACGATACTTTTGCAATGCATAAGTAGGGATAGTTGTGGTGGTACTGTTGCTGATGCTGTTGATGCTGCCCCTGCCCGCCTCCTGCAGCTGCAGTAGCAGGTGGCGGCGCATGTTGATTCATGTTCCAGTTGTTCCCTGCTTGGTGATGGCTTTTCAAACATCCACCTGCAGAAGCTGTTCCGCCCAAAGTGGAAGTGACAGACCCGGGAACGGACGGACTCATGGACAGTTTCCGAATCGTCTCCAGCTGCACATACAATGGCGGCTTTTGGTTCAGGGGCGGCGGGGGAGGGGCGCACTTCGGCGGCGGAGGGTGGGAATGATAGGACGAGTTGTAGGACTGAGTTGAATGGGTATGATGTTGACCTCCAGTTGTGTCTTTGTCGAACGACGAAAAAGTTTTCCCCCGTGTCTGCCGCGGACTCCGGTCGCACAAACTCGTTCCACAGTCATCGAAGTGGGTCGAAAGGGAAATTTGCGGCTGGAGCTTCGGATCAACGTCTTCTACTTCATGCGGATGCGCCTGAAGATTATCATATTGCAACTCGGTTTCTTGCTCAAAAATTTTTCCTTGTTCCTCCTCATCTTCTCCTACTCCATCTTCAACCTCACCACCAAGCGCCGGGAAAGAGATCTTCCGGAAAGGAGCAGACGGACGAGCGGTCTGCTCCTGCTCTGCGTAGTTCATTTTCATACAACCCGTAGTAGTACTACCTCCGGCCCCGCTGGTTTTTCTGTTGCTGTAAGAGGTGTTTATCTTATTACGGTTGTTCCCCCACCACGCGTTCGCAGATTTCTTCTGCTCGTGGTGGTGAGACTTATGTTGCGCTGGAGGAAACGACTCCATGGTTCTAAGTGTTTGCACTTCTTTGCAGCTCAAATACTTTTTTCGGCTGCGCAATTAATGTTTTCTACCAATATCAAAAATCATGACCTCCTCCTTCAAAACTAGGTACTTCTGATCTTCACGACATAGGTGGAAGCTGCATACAACGATATCTTTAACACTAGGATTAAGAAACAGAATCAAAAAAGACAAACTCCTAGCTGTATCGCAGCTTTCGTTTCATCTACACTTCTATGCTACAAATGAATTCTTGCGAGTGCTCTGCATACCAGATCACGCAACTTCTTCGACAAAATCATAAACTAACACAACATTTATAACACAGATCAGACCTGTCGTCCCGCTTTTAGTGCAAACAGAGTATGTGAAAACAGGCCTCGTAAAGAAAAAACACGGGAGAACGAATGCGCCGCCGGAACAACAGATAACACGGTGCAGAAACTACTCCCAAAAAAAAAGCACCACGTTCGCTAGTACGCTTGTTTTCGCTTCAAGTACACCAACCAAAACCATTGCTCGTTGTAAAGGCATCCAAAAAACACGCAGCTGCACGGAGGTGATCATCTTTTATAAGAAGTCTTCTAATGTTGTTCAAGAAACATCACAGCTTCGCGACGCGGCTCAGCAGAGGATGGTCGATGAATGAAGGAGGATTCGCACGCGAGGACTGGAGCTGCTATACTAGCGACGCAAATGTCGCTGCATGCGGATCATGTGTGACGCGATCGGTTTGACATCATTGACAGCCGCAATTATACGTGATATGGAACACTTTTTGCATTTATTTTCGGTGGTCCGCTGTGGCTTCGCCATCCAGGACCACAATACAGCTGTAGTTGTATGCCGATTCTGTAAAAAATGTTTTACGTACATACTAAAGCATTTAATACAAAGAAATGGTAGCCTCGCGCGAAGAGAGATTCAGGGCCGCGTCATCACAGATGAGTCACTCGACATCTACGAGTTCTGTCGAGCAAAAAAAAAACATACCGCAGCTTGATACGTAGAGCCATTTGCTTCGTGGCAAGTAGAACTTCTACGCAGCTGTTCAGTACAAATATTGATGTCGCGTTCGTCTCATCTATCATCTCGATCTCCCATGAAGTAGATGATGAAACTCTTTGCCTCTACCGCTGTTAACACCCACTACCTTCTCACGCCCCAGTTCTCTGCTGCGTCGTCGCTCCCCCGCCACCTCCGCTACTTTGATTCGCCACGTTCAGATACGGTGTGGGGTCGAATTTGTCCGGGGAAAAATTGGTGCAGTACTCGTTAATGCCGAACATTTTGATCACTTTTTCCAGAATGTACGGGTTCCGATGGTCGCTACTCTTCATGACCGCGTCGTTAAAGTGCTTGCCCTGGGCTTTCAGCGCGAAAAACTTTTCTACCCTTTCCTGTAATTGCGGGTCCGGCGACCCTGGCGGGGAGGGGGGAAGCTTGATGTGGTCTAAATTATCGATGTAGTTTTCTACTTCCTGCTGTTCGTCCAGAGTGGTCTGGTGCGGGTCTACTACGGCAAAGGATGCAGCAGCAAGTTTTTGTCGCTTGTGCGAAGGCGTGTTTTCTACTACCGACGGCGGTGGTGGTTGACCTCCCCCTCCTGCAGCATGAGTAGTAGAGCCGTTTTGATTGAAACTTTTAGCACTCTTGCTGGTGCCTGTAGCTGCGCCATTACTTCTTGTGGTATTAATATTTTTTCCTCCTTTAGCATGTGGTGAAACACCCTCGTCGCTGTTTTCGGACTCTGGGGAGCGGATCAAGTCTTCCCGGGGAAGATCCCGCTGTTGTCGCTTTAAGTTGTTCATATCGGCCGTCGCGTTACTAGCCGTACTACGACCACTCGGCGGTGCACCAGCTGCCAGAGTACTAGGCTGCCGCGCAGCAGGAGGAGCAGCCTGCTCTTCTTCCTCCTCTTCTTCTGGTGTCATGACCACCACTTGCTGCATATGAAAGCCTCAGGTTGGAAATCCTCAAATTGGAAATAATTTGTAATGCAAAAAACGACTCCAGTTGAAGCGCCATTTGTAGTCGGCGCATGACAAATTTCCCGGGCGCTCAAAACGTGTCTGTCATGCTAGTTAGGCAAAGGGGTAGCCTTCTCTCGTGCTAATCAGCACTCCAATTCTTAACCCGTAGCAGGACAATAGTCGGCTTCCATTGCACCCTCTGCAATACAGTCTTTTTTGCGTCGCATTTCATGCATCACAAATTATTTCCACGTTGAGGATTTCCATTCTGAGGCTTTCATACTGCATCGCTTCTTTGGTCAGGGGCTTGAGCTTCGGGTGCTTCTCCACCTTGTCGCTCTTTTCTTCGTCGCTGGACCAGTCCATCTTGATGCTTATGTTTGTGTGCGAAGCAAATTTTCCGCTACTAGATTCTGCAGGCGGACCCTCACGAAACCAGGAACATACGAAAGTATCCAACTTCCAGGATCGTGACCGTGCTATTTTATTCTTGTCGCAATAGTGGAAGTGGACGTCGCGATAATTGTCGCAATAAAAAAGGTAGCTTTTGATGTCGCCAGAATTTTAACGTAGATAAATGCGTGCCGCTGATAGATACATTAGAAAGCTTTCCACGAATAGCGAGCGCTTCAGACAGCAGGATCCAGAGGGACAAAATCAGGGCACCCCCCCATACATCTTGTGGCAAAAAGCCAAATGGGATCTTGGTGCTTGTTTTAGTTTTCCGTTTCAGCATCTCGGCTAATATTTGTATGTGCAAGTGGCACCATTCGAGCATGTGCTAGAACATGATCTGGTCTAGTACTTCTAGGTGTAATAAAATTCAAAAGAATCGATCTTGTTGTGTTCTTAGTCGTTGACCTTTAGACTTCTAGCACGACGCTCTGAGAATGTGTTTTCAATCTGCATCTACAGTTCATTGGTAGAAGAAATCATCCATATTACACGACAGAATTTGAATTGCAGAGGATGAACATCATCGACAGGCTGGATGGCACACGCTCCTGCTGATGAAGTTTTTTTCATCCTTGCATCAAACACGGGGCCAAAGCCGCCTCGTATCATGTTGATCTTGTATACGAGCCTAGTTGTACAGCGCGAGGACATATCATCATACATCAAGTTCATTTCATCTGTGGGTAGAACGACTACCTGTATTTGTACCTCGGTTTCTTTTTCGTCAGAATGAGGAATTCGATTTCAGCAAGACCAATTATAGCCTGAATAGCAACGTAGAACAAGGATGATTCTTGTCAACATGCTATCCACGCATAATCATAGCACTATTGTCATTCTATCCACGCAAGATCATGGGATTTGGTGCTGCCCTCGCTGAGTTGCCGGTCCGGACCGGCGCGTGCGGCTTGGACATCAACCTGATAGTGTTCATCAATATGAAAGGCAATGTAGAAGTCTGTCTGTCATGCAGCTCTCGCATGAAAAAACGAAATTGTCATCCTGCTTTCTGCATTACAACAAAAGTCACATCTTATGATTATACGAGTTCGACGCGAATGGGTTGTCCGCACTGGTCGCGTTGCTGTTGCTAATTCCGGCGAATCCACCGCCACCGCCACCACCGCTCATCTGTCGACCCCAAGAACCGTATGAAAGCCTCAGAATGGAAACCCTCAAAGTGGAAATACAAATAATTTGTGATGCATGAAATGCAAGGCAAAAAAGATTCTATTGCAGAGGACACAATGGAGACCGACTGTTGTCCTGCTAGGGGTTCAGAATTGGGCTGCTGATTAGCACGAGAGAAGGGCACCCCTTTGCCCACCTAGCATGACAGACATGCTTTGAGTGCCCGGAAAATTTGTCATGCGCCAATTAAAAATGGCGCTTCAACTGGAGTCGTTTTTTTGCATTGCAAATTATTTTCACTTTTAGGATTTCCAACCTGAGGCTTTCATACACCGCCGCTGCTTGATCCACCGCCACCACCGCCCCACTGAGGAAGCTTACTCACGTTGTTGTGTCAAATGTAAAAATGTCTGGGTCTGGAAGATTCTGAGACTTGTGATGCATGTTTTGCATGACCCAGGACGTCTATAATGCACGCCCTAGCATCGCAGATCTTTAGAGGGCTTCATGATGCCTACTCCGCATGACAAGAAACACCCTCCCCGCGTAGCACAAACTAGACTCCTGTTGCTGGTCATGCAATACAGAGTTTCTTAGAGTCCGAAGGTAGCATCCCAAGTTCCAACCTTCCAGACCCAGACATTTTTGCATTTGATATATTGTTAGTATTAACCACTCGTCTCGTGATACTGCCCGGAGGGCGGCTGGAGCGGGTTTGGGATGAGGCAGAAGAAGGACCACCGGAACCTGAAAATTAGTCAACAACTTCGCACTGCTACTGCTTGGCTTTGTCATGCCAGCAACGCAACCACAAGGCAAGTTGTAAAAATGCTCGAGTAAGTACAAGCACACGATGGATCTCCATCTCCTACCCCTACCTAATAAATAAAGACTACCCCCTCCCGGTCCACTCGGCGTCCCCCCTCGTCGTCCCGCCAGACTGGACACTGGATTTTGCGTCGTCGGTTTTCGTAGAACGCTGCTCATCTTCTTCCCAGGTGTAACAGTACTACTAGTTGTCACCGCAGAGAAAGGCGCATTGGCCGCTCGGTTGATTCTGTTCGCGTGCGCGGTTACATCGGATAATGTGCTCCTCGCGCTAGAGCCACTATTCGACGTCCTGGACCCATTTGGCGTTCTCCTTTGCAATCTGCTCGCATTCGTGCTACCGTTGAAAGAACCAGGTGCAGCACCGCTCGATGTGTGTCTCCTGGCCGCGCGAATGGCTTCCCGAAACGCCATAGATTTCTCGCGCCAACTCGTCTGCGGGACTCGTGCGGGCGCTCGAGCGGTAGTGTTCGAGGTGCCGGGTTGGGTGCGTGACTGCGAGGAAGATATCCTATGTAAAAACGTCCCCACCCCATAGTCAAGATGGGGAATCGGCTAGACAAATCCACACCACAAGTTTTCGTTTTGGCTGTTTTGCATGAAAAATTTGGACTCGTAGCGTAGTGCTGTTTGAGCTAGCTCAACAGCATGACATATCTAGCATATCATGCAGCTTGGAGAATGCCCAATTGCAAAACACGACTAGAAAATGCTGCTCATGGGGATCCGCATGAGAAACATTCTGAGCATGCAGATTTGGATTACAACTCTGGGGTGGGGACGTTTTTAGATACGATAGAAGACGATGCACCCCCTCTCGTCGCACCACCACCTCCCCTCTTGTTCTTCAACGGTGGCGGCATCCCGAAGCACCCATCGCTAGCGTAGGAATCAAAAGTCCCGCCGCCCCCAAAACTGCTCCCGTCAGTGGGCACGCGGTGCTTGGCGCTGTTGTACACTCGTCGCTTCTTCATCTTCGCGTTCGTCTTCATGCAGATCTGTTCGTGTTTCTGGATCCGGTCTATGGAGTTCTCAAGTGTTACACTCTCAACTGTTACATGAATTTGCAATGCAAGACTGGCAAAACAAGTGAAAGGAGGAAGACTGCGCCTTTTGCATTACAAGTTCGGCGCAGATTTAGGTGCGGCTTAGCCCCCTTCGCAAATTTGTCATGGGGAGCAGCTTGATCGTGAGGATGGTGATGGTGTTTTTGCATGACAAATTCATGTAACAGTTGAGAATGTAGCGTTTGAGAACGCCATACGGTCCGGCAGAAACGTTCGGTTGCAAACGCGGCAGGGGACCAGCCCGGTCGGGATCATTGGGGGCTGCGCTGTGGCAGCAGCTTCGGTGGCGTAGATGTTGTAGGCACCAGCGTTTTGCTGGTTTTCTTTGTTCTGCATGTTAGTGCCCAGCATCTTGTTCCGAGGGTTGTTCATCATCTTCGCCGAAGAAGAAGAAGAGGAAGGGTATCCACAGAAATTTTACCGCCACCGCCAAAAATCGCAAAAAAGCCACAACTTTTCAATTAAAAAAATAAAAAAACTTGTCGTGGTAGTTAGTAAGGTCGCCGACGTAATCTAGTAGCTCGAAGTCGCTAGTGATGTCCAGTGGAAGCGCACTATGTAGATGAAAATAAACTAGCTAGGCCCGAACAGCGATCCGGGCGAAGAAGGTGGCACCCGAGTCCCGCAGCACCTGCTCCCCGCTGCAGAATGCTGCGGGCCCAAGTCGTAGTCCGGGCGGGCTGTTGCCTGGTCTTTTGGCTGGCTGAGCTGGGTATATCGGTCGCCCAGCCTGACAGTGGAGGGGCAGCTGAGATCTGCCAGCCATGAGCTTTGCTTCAGAAAATGCCACATGGCGGTAAAGTTTCTGAGGCCGTTAGCTCGTGGTAAATTTTACCGCCACGCTCAGTTTTCGACTTGACGAAAAAAGTGAGATTTTTCTGAAAAGATCCCAGAACTTTTCCAAATCTGCTTTTTTCCACGAAGTCATGTTTTTTTCTGGCGGTAAAAATAATCACGGTGGTATGGCCTCAAAAATTTTACTGCCATGAGGCAACTTCTAAAAGAAAATGGCGATTTTTTGACTTTCCAAATCCACCGTAGCACCGGTAGAATTTTTACCGCCACGATTTTAATGGAAAATCAATGAAAAAGTGGCGGTAAAATTTCCACCGGTGCTATGCTGAGATTTTGGAGTCAAAAGCGAGCATTTTCTAGAAGAAAATGCGTCGTGGCGGTAAAATTTTTGAGGCCGTAGCACCGTGATTATTTTTACCGCCAGAAAAAAACACTATTCTCCGACATTTTCTGATTTTTTCTGAAAATTTTTGTGATTTGTCCTGTCGCAAAAGACGACAGGCAACAATTTTGTGCCAGCTGAGCTGCCGGGCCACCAAATCATCTCCGAACCCATGAAACGATCAGCCCAGGCCCCTCGCTTTCGCCCCATGTCGCCACACGGTGGCGCGGCGACATGGTGGCCGCGAAATGGACCAAAAAGGGTAGGCACCTCCAGCGACCAACACCTGGCGGACCTTCCAGCCGAGGGTACCTCCATCTTGTTCCGAGGGTTGTTCATCATCTTCGCGGAAGATGAAGAAGAGGAAGGGTGCTGCTGTTATCGAAAGAAAAAGTGTAGACGTCGACGGTTTTAAGAAAATGCAACAAAAAAAATTTTGTGACCACCCTAGAGGATCTTGCGAATGCCATAAAAAGACGTGCTCACATGGCTAGCTATTGCGGGACTCCTTTGTAGCTTAATTCAGTTGCGCTAGCTAGTGCAAAAGGTCTGGGCGCCGTCCTGCTGATCCATCAAGTGCCGTTCGAGGAGACCCGTCTGGACAGCCACTGTTCCTGGCCCGGGGTCGTAACGCCCAAGAAACAGGTCGGCTGGGTGGAGTCTGCAACTTTCCGGCTGAGAGTCAGGCAGTTCTCCGGTGGGAACGTCAGCAGGGTCTCTCTGCGAGAGGGCTGGGCCGCCGCAAATATGCATAGGGCGTCTCCAATGCGCTCGTCTTTTCCGGGTGCCCTACTCATGCAAAGTTTTTCAACGTTGCGACCGGGTCCAGGAGGTGGCACCGACGTGGAGGCGAAACAGGGTCAAGCTGCACAATTTGCCTTCCGTGGCTGGCGACCTTTCGCACTAGTTATCTAAATTCAACGCAGCTACATTGGAGTCCCACGGTAGCTAAGATCATGGCCTACTTGATTTACACCTATTCAAAATTCCTACAGGGCACGTAAAAAATTTTTTTTTCGAAAAATTGAAAAACCGTCTACGTCTACACTTTATCTTGTGATAGCTGTGGGTTGTTCATCATCTTCGCCGAAGAAGAAGAAGAGGAAGGGTGCTGTTGTCTACTTTGTGCTCCCGAAGGAGTTATCAAATGCAAAAATGTCTGGGTCTGGAAGGATGCAAGGTTTGTCATGCAGCACACTTTGCATGACTCCTGAAGTCTGTGACGCAGGCTCTAGCATCACAGATTTTGTGAAGGCTTCCTGATGCCTATAACGCATGAGAAATGTTCTCTTGCCGTGGCAAAAACTGCACCTCTTTTGCTGTTCACGCAATACAGGTTTTTGTAGAATCCAGATGCAGCATCACAAGTTGCATTCTTCCAGACCCATACATTTTTGCATTTGATAGAAGTGGGGAAAACATTATTTCCTCCACCGTCGACCGCCTGTCGTGCTATCAAATGTAAAAATGTCTGGGTCTGGAAGAATGCAACTTGTGATGCTGAATTTGGATTCCAAAAAAATCTGTATTGCATGAACAGCAAAGGGAATGCAATTTTTGCTACGCGGAGAGGGCATTTGTCATGCGGAATAGGCATCGCGAAGCCCTCAAAAAATCTGTGATGCTAGGGCATGCATCACAGGCATCATGGCCAATGTAAAACATGCATGACAAGTCTCAGAATCTTCCAGACCCAGACATTTTTACATTTGATACGTGCCTGCCGAAGCCGATTCACGGTTCCAATTGCCGAGGACTCATAGAAGCCCCCGCTGCTGCCACCACCTCCGAAAAAGCTGTTTGGGTCCACAGTGTCACCGCGGAGGCTCGAGGCAAAATTCGCGTTCGCGTTTTGCTCGGGGTCGCCAGCACCAAAGCCGTTTCCGTTCTTCAATTGCCTATCCATAAACGTCTTCGCGCACTGCTTCCGGTGAAAGGGGAGGGAGTATCAAAGTGAAAAATCCCCCCTCCCCATAGTGAAGCGGGAACTTCTGTTGCTGGATTTGTGTACACAAATCAGGCCTGTCTTGCAGTGAGGCATTACAGGCAAAGCCTCAGCCTGCGTAGGGGTGTTTTGTTGTAGGCACTTAGCATAGCAGAGGCCTGCCATGTAGATGAAATAGCATTACAAATCGCCTCCATAAGGTGGCGGATTCTTTGGATTTGCCTTCTTGCAAGAGAGACAGGATTTGTGGTCACAAATCAGCCTCACAAATTTTTAGGAACATACCTTTTCAATATGGGGAGGGGGGATTTTTCCTTACAATAGGGAGCTCGGGAAAAACCGGCCCCCGCAGATGTCGCACGCCACGTCGCGGGGTTATGAAAGCCTCAGGTTGGAAATCCTCAAAGTGGAAATAATTTGTAATGCAAAAAAAACGACTCCAGTTGAGGCGGCATGTGTAGTCGGCGCATGACAAATTTCCCGGGTACTTAAAGCATGTCTGTCATGCAGGTTCAGGCAAAGGGGTGCCCTTCTGTCATGCTAAGTAGCACGACAATTCTTCACCCCTAGCAGGACAGTAGTCGGCCTCAATTGCGTCCTCTGCAATACAGTCTTTTTTGTCGTCGCACTTCATGCATCACAAACCATTTCCACTTTGAGGATTTCCATTCTGAGGCTTTCATAGGGGTGGCATTTTCCGAGTCGCAACGGTTGGTCTGCTTACTTTTGGTCCTCGGATACTTAATAACCCTTGGCCTGCTCAGTGTCAGGATCAGGATGTGATTGTGAATAAAGTCGAGCGAAGACGGCAGAAAGTAGAGCACGTGGCGCGGTTCACCTGTAATCTGCTCTACGTTGATGACGGCGTTTTGAATCTCCGCAAGAGATGGATCAGAAGTGGGACAAGAACCAACACCACCGCGAGCGCGATATGGATGAGTCAGGTTTGATATCGTCAAAGTTGAAATAACTTGTAATGCATAAAATCGATACCAATTGGACCCACAGTTTCTAGTCGGCGCATGACAAATTTTATCCGTACCGGAGGCCAGTTTGTCATGCTGTTTCGGGCAAAGGGGCTCCCCTCTGTCATGCTAATCAGCAGCCCAATGCTTGACCCTTACCAGCACTACAATCTACTTCCCTTGCGTCCTCTGCAATAGAGGCAATTTCTGCGTTGCATTTTATGCATGACAAAGTATTTCAACTTTGACGATTTCAAACCTGACACTTCCATACACGACATACAGAATGTATCTCGCGTGAATCTCAATTTTGAAATGTTTCTTCTTCGATTGCACTATTGCAATCGATCATAAGTAGACACTCCAGTTTTTACAATATGTCTATATTGATCGTTTCGATGTGAAAAAACCTCATCCCTTCAGGAAAACGCAGCCACTTCAGCTCGATAATATCAATGCAGCAAGATGTACGCGTAGGTGGAGGTCCTGCATGCGATAGAGAGTATTAAGTCACAACACACGTTTCTTCACACCCAAGCCCTTGCGCTTGCACAGCTAACGCTCACTCGTTTTCGGATTATGATGATGCGTAGTTGTGCCCTAAGTATAAAAAGCTCCTTTTGCATCACACACACAAACACCAAGGCGCGCTCATATGAAATACGTACAAATGCTTCTTTTTTTCTTCCAAAACACCTCATACCGACTCGGAGCCTTCCTCGAACACGGAAGATGCTGGTCATTATTTAGGCAACACGATCATGGCGCTGCCTTTTTGAACAACTACGGACGGGTCTACTCCGCATTGCTTGTTCACAAAATTTTCCTATCGGGCAAGGTTTGTGGTCTATTAGATTTTTGTCAAGCACGTTCAAGTATGTGTATGTGTAGCTCTAGGTCTAGCTACCACCTCTAAAAATGCGGTTTCTAGTCTTTCAGGTTTTTTTTTTTCCCAGGGAATCTTGTCTTTGAGTTCATCTACATACACCTAATATCATACATCAAAATGAAAGTGCGGTCTTTTGGATAATTTTACACAGTTTTTCTTTTTACTTCGTCTGGGTCTTCTTCATCTTCTTCTTCAAGATGTATGCTTATATTGCCTATCTATAACAAGACAAATTTTATTTACATCGGATGTCGATAAATATTACTAAACAAATGGAAGGGCGTCCCCGGACCCCCTGTTGAATCCGCAAAATGCTGAGGGTCGTGCTAATAATTCCTCAACTTCCTCGCGCTCGCTCTTTTTCCCTCGAGAAGAATGTCCGGCGCGCCCTTCGTTTTTTTTCAAAAGATTCAAAGGGGGCGCGGGGGTCCGAAAGTTCAAGAATATTTATCGACATCCGATAGAATCTGTTGCCCAGCAGGACAAGTGGCAGCAAATGCGCAAGCACACAGGAGGGCAAGCACACAGGATGCGCAAGCACACAAAAACAGTACTTTGGACCAGAAGTGCCCCTATTGCTACCTGTTGCGGATAGAGGTGAAACAGATGTGCAAAGTTCTAAAACTGCATCGATCTGGCCGCGTTTTGGCACTGCGGTCCGCCTCCTCGGAGCTCTTTTTTTCTCGTCTTAGGTCTCGGGGTGCCGCGCTCGGTTTTTTTTAGCGGATTCGCTCATGGGAGATTTTGCTGCAGCGCCGAAAATTATAAACATGAAGCGCCGGCCCTTTTTTTTATGAAAGCACGCGAGGCGAAGTGAGTAGGACAACCTCCTCCGCGCGCGCAGTGCGCGCGAAAATTTTGTTTCATCTCGCCCCCGCTGCCGCGGATATTTTTTCTCTGGTTCCGCCCGGCGGCAGGCCGGCAGCAGCTGTGAGGCACCCGCGCGGCAGCTGTGCAACAGCCCGCGCAGCAGCCGGAATCAGGTGCGCAACAAGTGTGCAACAAGTGCGCAACAAGTGTGCAACAAGTCCGGATGGGTGTGAAATAAGTTCGTTTTCTTTTAGAAAGCGACTTATTTCACACCTATCCGCACTTGTTGCGCACTTGTTGCGCACTTGTTGCACACTTATTGCGCACTTATTTCACACCTCTCTCACACCTGTGTAACATTTGTCGCGAGCCTGCCCTCAACCGGCCTCACACCTGTCTCGCAGCCATGCCGCAGGTCCCGCGCAGCGCGGCCGGCGTTGGGGCCGGGCTGTTGCACGGCTGTCGCACAGCTGTCCGCGAGGCCTCTCTTTTGCCACCCTTGAAAAAGTTTGGGAGCCGGGGGCCTGGCTCTTGACCCGGGCCCGGTGAACCGGTCGGCCCACGCTCGCCCTAGGCAACCCCAACGCGCGATGGCCCGCGACCACGCGTCTAGTCGATTACTTCTCGCCGTGCTGTGCATTGTGAAAACGCGACGGCCCATGCGGAACGGGCCACCCCTTTCGTCCAGCTGGAGATTTCTGCAATACTATTTCACCTCTATCCGCAGAGTAATCCTATAGGGTGCTTTGGGGCCAAAGTACTTCTATGACTACGCGTGCGTAGCAGTATAATGCGCTGTCCTCGCCGTCGTCCAACCTCGTGGTCCATCAATAATTTCTATAACGCGATCAACTGTTAAATCAAAAAATATTTTCAAATTTTTCTTTAAGTATCGGAAAGCGCGCGCGCAGAAGCCCACCAGAATCGGCGAGCAAAGAATCCGCACACAGCGCACAGATCTTGAGCATTCAAACTGACTTATGCTAGAGTCGGGCGCCGAGTGTGAGCCCTCGACCGGTCGCACAGTTGTGCCGCACTGTGTCCCTCGGGGAGGTCCCCCGGGGAGGTCCCGAAGCAGCACAAATCCAAAGCAATGCAGGTCGAATTGCCTCAGAGCAACAGGCATGCCAGGGCTGGCCTTGTGGATCCCCATCCTTGCTCCGCCGCCGCCAGTGGGGCAGCAAGGCTTTTGCGCCATGTTCCGACGCACTCCTCTGTCCGCGGCGCGGGTGACGGCAGTCTTATGGCCGGCTTCGCGTCTGGTAATTTGGCAATGCCTCTGACGGCTTGTCTTCCCATCCCGCTGCGATCCAGGCCCTGCCCCCGTGCCAAGGCAGGAGCTCAAATGATCCGGGTCTACTAGGAAGGGAGCAGAGCCATGCCTTCGAGCGGGGTGCGGGCTTCTAAGGCCACACGGCTGCGGCGGCGCCACTCGCCGCGTGTCAGACAGCATCCCGCTGGGGTCGTGGCATGCCTTGCTGGAGGGCTTTTGCGGAGCTCTTGCGCAGTTGCCCCCCGAAGCCACTTCCCGACAGGCGATTTTTTTGGCAGTAAAATGCGCTGTCCTCGCCGTGGTCGTCCAACCTCGTGGTCCATAAATTTCACAATTATACAGTGAGAACCGTCAACATGTATCGATTTTTGCTTTCAAAGCTTTATTTAATTAGAAGGCGTCGTCCCGTTGTTCTTTTAGGGCTCTTCGACCTCCCCCCAGTTCTCGCGATTGAGCTTCTTCAGAAACTTATCCTCAAAAAAGACGTCCCCACCCCAGAGCTGTCATGCTAATCTGCATGCTTAGAATGTTTCGCATGCGGAGCCCCATGAGAAGCGTTTTCTCGTCGTGTTTTGGAATTTGTGATGCTCGAAAAAGCACCACGCGCTGGATCTCTGATGCTGATGAGCTAGCAGCTAAACAGGAATACACTAGGAAGGAGGCCAAACTTTGCATTCGCAACAACCAAAGCTGCTGGTTGATTTGTCTAACAGATTTCCCAACTTGACTATGTTGGGGTGGGAACGTTTTTCCTCAGGATAAAAGTACTGGTACGTGCCCTCGTGGTCCCAATTATCATTCTGTTATGCAATACAAATTTCCTGTACAATGTACGGGACTCGACATCTATATAGAAAATGCATGACAAATTTCGATATCTTGGAGTGTCCGACTTGTCATGCTGACTAAGATTGAAGGCAAGTTTTGTCATACAGAAACAGCATCGGTAGCGGTACGTGTACGGGAAATTATTTCCTGTGGATATCAGTTCCAACATGTATCAACTGCAAATGATGTGTCTGGGTCGAAAAGTATAAATTTTTATGCAGGGCTTTTCATTCTGTTGCTCTTCTTGCGCGCTCCAAAACGATTACCCCGCATGCCCTAGCAACATCTTCACAGGTTTTGAGAAGGTTTCGCGATGGCGAACGCGCATGACAACTCTCTCTTTCAGTGACAAGAAATCAATGCGGGCAACTTTTGCGCCGCGTCAATGCATACGATTTTTGATGTGTAGTGACTCCTGTTCTGGAAGAGGAAGTGGAACACGCATGACAACAATTTTCTTAGTATTCCTCCCGACCCAGATCTTCGACATTTGCAATGCATAAAATGCGGGCAATGGTGATTTCAAAATCTCTGAAATTCTTTCCCGAAATTCCTTTTCCCTCCCGAGCCTTCCACTTCTCGTCTCTCAATCCTGAGTAAAAACGTCCCTGCCCCAGACTTGTCATGCAAATTTGCATGCTCGCGACGTGTTCTTATGCGGCCTTCCGTGAAAGCGGGAGGCATTTTCCAGCAGTGTTCGGGAGGGTCAAGAATCTGCCATGCGCTAATCAGGATCACTCAGCGGATTTGTGACGCGTCTGGAGTACTTCGCTTCTAGAAGGCACGACTACACTGCATACTAATACCCAAAGAACTTGTCATGCGTGAGTCCCAAATAAAGCCCTGGATTTCTTGTCTTCCAAAATTGTGCTCGTCTTGACTAAGCCCGTTTTTACCGAGGATACTCGCAGCCGGTGCATCAGGAGCGCCCGTATGCATTGCAAAAGTATCGCACTCGTATAAATGCATAAAATGCATTACAAATTTTTTTTTTTTTTGCAAAATGCATTACAAATTTCCCCAGCATGAAAAATAAGATTTGTGATGCTGATTTGCTTTGACAAGATGATTTGTAATGCATGATTGCAATACGAGTACGATACTTTTGCACAGGATAGCCCGGTTCCAGAGGCGATCTGCCGCGCCCAGCTCCGTCGCCTCCCCGGTATGAATGCGTTTTAGCTCCGACAGGACCTATCAAATGCAAATATCCCTGGATGCCTGGAAGAGTCGGGTTTTGTCATGCACATTTTGCATGACCCGTGAGGTCTGTGGTGCAGGTCCTAGCATAACAGATTTTTTGAGGGCCTGCTCTTGATGCTTATCACGCATGAGAAATGTTGCCCTCTCCGCGTGCAAAGAACTGGACTCCTCTTGCTGCTCATGCAAGAACACAGATATTTTTAGATTCCGCAGATAGCATTACAAGTTCCAACATCCTTCCAGACCTGGTAGACATATTTACACTTCTGCATAGGACCGCGGCAGTGCTGATTTCAAGCGGACGCTTCGGTCCGAAAACAAGGTGTCCCGGGAGCATCTGATCGACGATCGGCTCTCGCTGTCTACTGAAGTATCCCGCCACTGCTAGTTGCATTTGATAGTACTTCTCCGGCAGCTGCTATCCAAGAAAAAAACTGTGTTAGTGTAACTTTCTTTGGCTGACAGCATCACAAATTTGCTCTACATAACAGAGAAAACCTGTCATGCGTGCCTTATAAGGGAAAACACACATGAAAAGAGGACTTCATGGCTGTGTGGCATGACAGGTGTAACTCTGTTGCATGTTCTGCATTACAGAGTTACACTTACACAGTTTTTTTCTTGCATAGCTGCCCTATCTCATCTTCTTGATACGGTCCCGCCAGGCACGACCGATGGGACTGCGGCTGCGGCATCTTGTTCATCTGTATGGAACTGTCAGGATTGAAATTAACAAAGTTGAAATAATTTGTGATGCATAAAATCTATATCAGTTGGACCCACAGTTTCCAATCGACGCATGACAAATTTTTCTGGTCTCTGAAGCAAGTCTGTCGTGCTGTTTAGGGCAAGATGGCTGCTCCCTGTCATGCTAGTCAGCAGCCCAATTCTTGACCCTTGCCAGCACTAGAATCTGCCTCCCTTGCGCCTTCTGCAATAGAGTCAGTCTTTGTGTCGCATTTTATGCATGACAAATTATTTCAACTTTGTCGATTTCAAGCCTGACGCTTCCATAATCTGCACGTCGGAGGTATCTGTTTTCGATCCCAACTCAAGCAGCTCCTCCTCGTCCTATCAAATGCAAAAATGTCTGGGTCTGGAACATTCTGAACTTGTAATGCTGTCTCTGGATTCTGAAAAAAATTGTATTGCATGACCAGCAAGAGGACTCCAGTTTGTGCTACGCGGACGAGAGGGCATTTCTCATGCTGTACCGGTATCACAAAGCGCTCTAAAAATCTGTGATGCTACGGCCTGCATCACAGATATCATGGGTCATGGAAAATATGCATGACTAATCTAGAAATCTTCCAGACCCAGACATTTTTGCAATCCATACGTCGGAGGTATCTGTTTTCGATCCCAACTCCAGCAGCTCCAACTCGTCCCAGTCGATGGCAAAGTTTCGCTTCATCAAGAACGCCAGCCGACTCACTTTTTTCACCAGTACTTCTGGCGAGAAATGTGTTGGCGCATCGGTCTCGTCCTCCCGCAGGGCGCGAGCCCAAAGCTGCAGAAATTCGAGGTGTTCTTTGTCCTGCACCACTTGTCGTTCCACAGAAGTTGTAGAAGTTGCCGGGCAAAAAGAAGAGGAAGAAGAAAAAGATGAGGAACTGCTCGTCACCACTGAAAAAAACACTTGGAGTTCCAAAGGTAACGCCACTTCTCCTGGGAGGGATCTTTGCATCAGCTTGAAGAGCTTGCCAAGATGCAGATACGCAACCGCTGCCTCCTCGTCGTCCTCGTTCTTGGTTTTGTGCAATGCGCGTGCACACAGGTTCTCAACGAAGCGAAGAAGTTTCTCCTTGCCTTCTTCTGTCACAGGATAGACCAAAACACGTCTGCCACAGGATAGGACTCTCGGTCGCATAAGACGAGGAACAACTCGGTTCAGCATTCGAGCCAGCCTCTGGTGAAACCACTCCGCTTCCGCGAGTGGTGCGAAGGGGAAGCGCTTCCAACGTGGAAGGTCCTCCGCGGCCGCGCCGTTTGGCCGCTCTGGTTCATGATCCTCATCAAATTCTAGGGAGGACGCAGCTTCCAACGTCCGCTCCGTCCACGTCCGCTCCTGCCACTCCCCGTACGATTCTTGCAGATCGTCTTTTCGCTGCAGAGCCTTGGCAGCGAGAAGTGCGTCCCGAAGTGCGTCGTCGGTAGGCGAAATGGGTGGAGTCACCCACTTGTTCAATTGGTCGGGCTCCATGATCTCCACATCTTCTACTTCGGCCACGGAAGTAGCAATCGGAATCCTGGTTTTTGACGTTCTTGATCGAGCAGCATGCTCCTGCACGATGAATGTGTCCACTCTCTCTCGCAGCTCCCGCAACTCGGCCAAGATACGCGCGCTTTCTTGAGGAAACTTGCGGCGCAGATGTAGGAGCCGTTCATCGTTCGGAAATTTACACACCAGCTGCAGCAGCTCTAGTTCCTCCAGAAACGACATGAACTTCCCTCGACGGAAATAAGGATCGCTTTCCGTCTCGGCTTTCAAAGCCACGAAATCTAGCAGAACGGCTTTCGCCGCTTCTAAATTTTTGCACAACTCATTCTGCTCCGTTGTTTCTAGTACGTGACGGATGAGGGCCCGACTGGGCTGGTTCGCTTGTGAGGGGATCTCCTCGCGTTGCAGAAGTGCAGCGCGAACAAAGTCCAGCAGTTTATCCTCGGCAGTTCTGGCTCGAGCGGCCGTTTGTTGTTGCCCCCAATTAAGATTAACGGCCGGGAAGGGCGATGCGTGCAAAAGTGAGGTCCTCGTGGACCGGAGTGGTTGCTGAACTTGCTCTTCTTCTTGGGTAGAACTGCAGCCGAGCGTCCTCGAAGGCCCCCAGCGGAAGGAGGCCACTTCTTGGCCCTCCGGTGGTCCGCGGGGGAGTAGATCATGAAAGTGGTCTGTTCTTTCGAATGGTAAAGAACCCAAGACGAGGTGGGAAGATGCCTCCGGAAACACACCACTCAGACGACGTTCTTGAGATGAAAACACTTGTTGTGAAGACGACGATATCCTGTGCAAAAGTATCGCACTCGTATTGCTGCAGTCATGCATTAAAAATCCTTTTTTTAAGGTAAATCCGCATTTACAAATTTTATTTCTCATGCTGAAGAAGTTTGCAATGCATTTATACGACGAGTACGATACTTTTGCAATGCATAGACGAGGGCGTAGCGGAACCAGCAGCTCCTTCGGCGCCCCCCTCCCCTGGAACTGGACGGGGAAGTAGAAATGACTGCGAAGATGACGAGTAAGTTGAGCCGGAAGTAGCAGCTCTAGTACTACTAGAAGCTGTCGCAGGATCTGAACCTGTGCCGAGCTCATCCGCTTGTTCCGTCGATGGAGTTCTCTGGCGCCACCAGCCTCCCCGTTTTCTTCCAGAAGGTCCGAGCCACGTCGCTGCGGAAACTGCTAGCATAGTTGTACTGTGACGAGCAGCGGTGGTAGTACCGTCTTGTCGGGGGAAGAAAATTGTACTAGCAGTATGATCCAACGACCCGGTTTGATGTTCAAGGAACAAGCAGCCGACCGCGATCGCCGCGATAGACCGCAGCTTCCGCAGGGCACGGGTCGTGGAGCAACCGGGTGAGGACAGCATTTTCCGTGATATCATGTTTATTTTGGTCGACGTCCCAAAAGTAAGTAAGTAGCCGACTCAGGCGGGTCCGATTTCGTGTGAAGAAAAGCTTTGATGAAATTTTAATTTATCTTTCTGTAGTTGATGTACTTGCTTTTCTGGTGTTCTTTCAAAAATGTACGTGGGGAGTTCGACGTTCACGGGGCATTAGGAAAAATCGCATCAAGAAGGTAGTCAAAATAAGTACTTCTCAGCGATTTTTTTCTATCTCTTTACAATCGAATTTTACACGAGCACGTAGGCAAAACGCATCTATCAACGCTAGTGGGAAGCGAGTGAGAGTGATGTTGTACCTAGTAGTTCAATTAGAGTATTGTACAGAACGCGCACCAATCCACGCTGTATTTTCAGTAATATAAATTTTTATCATATTTATCGTACCACAGGTAGCCGACGAAGTAAGGGCTCCTTGTGTTGAATGAAAAGCTGTGAATCTATACGACGACCTTTCTGTAGTTGATGTTATCTTTATTGCCTGTTCTTTCAAATAAAATTTACGTGGGGGGGTTCCCAGAGTGTGAAAAAACGTAAGATAATCTAATACTTCTCAGCGGGGTTCTTGTTGTACTTGTATCGAATATATTTAATTACTTTACACAAACAATCTATCTTTACAGTGTTGTACTAGTTTCTTCGAACTAAAAGAAGCGGTTCATCGAAAGTTACATAAAGAATTTTCAGGGCTGCGCGGCCTACGGTTTTGTCCGTTGGACTGCGATGAATCTGGTGGGCACATTATATATTATACAGGGTTGCAAAAATAAGAATGGAAATACTACATCTCTTCTGATCGTATCTGGATCTGGATCATGTTGATCTTCTGTGTTGTAGCACCGTTCTTGCACTCGTCGTGGTGCGTTGCTGTACACACCAGAGCAAGTGCAAGATGACCAAAATCGAAGATCCCTTTTGTTCTTACACAGCTGGCATAAAAGAGGATTCGACGACGATGCGAGGTGGTTTTATCTGCTCGGTACAGGAGGCGACGACATGAAGATCTTGCAGTAAAGCAGGTCTATATTAGTCATCAACCGAATACAACTACGACAACGTCGAAGCACTATCTATGGCTGTTTCCTCGTCAAGAAAGTTTTAGATCGTTTTCCACAAAACTGCTCCCAAAAACTACTTACACGAACCTCCGAGCCAAGTCGACTAGAAGGACGACAGAGCGTTATCGCAACGCCGTGCGATGCGGAACTGGAACAGCGAACCAGCGTATAAGACAAAAGAAAAAGTTTACCACCAAACATAGTGTCGGGGAAGGTTTGTCATCTTCTTGGTCAACACGCCTTGATGAATCATCATGACGTAGTAAGTACATTTTCAACTTCTCGCGCTATCAACAGAAAAAACAGCGAAGCTTCTGCAGCAAAGAACCAATATTAAATGCATATATTCTTGTCGCTAGGTGTGTTCGGTGCAGCTACCACCTCCAGTTCTTTTTACCCTGAAAGTAGCTGGGGGGGGGTCTGTGGTCTCATCGCATCAATATTTACAGTTACTAAAACGGAAGTACATGAAGCTCTATGCATTCGCTTTCGCTAGTACTCCACAGGCACAGCTTATTTGCGTTCTTCGTAGTTGAAAAAAACTTGAGCTTGAGCTCAGATGGAAGTAGATTCATTCCTGCTATTAAAACACGAAGATCTTCTTCTCAACCCGCACTACTATCTTTATCGCAATATTAGCACCAGCCTGGAACTACTTACAAACCTCCCATGAGCGTCGCCCACAACTACTTCGCGCCCTCGAATAAATCCGTTCACCACACGTCGCAATAAACATCATCTGCATCTCCCCTAAAAACTAGAACTTCCTGCAGAGCAAGCTCGCGCCGACGAGACAGTGATCACTTGGCTCTGCTTCGTTCGGCTGCACGCGATATCAAAGGCAAATGTGTCTCGGTCTGGAAGATTGCAAGGTTTGTCATGCACATTTTGCATGACCCATGATCGGTCTGTGATGTATGCCCCAGCATCACAATTTTTTTGCGGACATCTTGATGCCTGTCCCGCATGAGAAATGCCCGCTCCGCGGAGCAAAAACTGGACGCCTTTTGCTGCTCATGCAATACAGATTTTTTTAGATTCCAAAAATAGCATCACAAGTTGCATTCTTCCAGACATCCAGGGATTTTTGCAATCCATACGCCGTGTTGGAGCGCGGTGTCTTCGTCGAGTAGGTCCACGACGGACTCGACCTCCCAGTGGTTCTTCGTATGGATGTGTCAGAGTTGAAATCGACAAAGTTGAACAAATAATTTGTCATGCATGATAAAATGCATGACCTGAGGTCCGTGTGTTGCAGAGCAGGCCAGTGAGGCCGATTGTAAGCCTGTTTCAGGTTACAGCTCGAGCTGCTAAAGTAGCATGAGAAAATCGCTCTCCTTTGCCTAAACAGCATGACAAACTGGATTTAGGGACCACCGAAATTTGTCATGCGCCACTTGGTAACTGGGTTCCAACTGGCATCCATTTTATGCATGACAAATTATTTCGACTGTGTCGATTTCAACTCTGACACATCCATACTTCGAGACAAAGACGTAGTCGAGAGTTTCCATGAAGTATGCATTGCAAAAGTATCGCACTACGACTACCTAGTATAAATCGCATGACAAAAAATTCGGTTAGCATGACAGATGGAATTTGCAATGCTGTTTTAGCTTCCGAGGGGAATTCGTCATGCAAATCTGCAATAAGAAGTACGAATGCGTCGATACTTTTGCGATTCATATGAAGTCATGCTCCTCCAACTCCGATCTGCGCGACGCGTAGTTTGTGAACCGGGGTTCCTTTTTCTGCTTCAGCGCGTAACAGGAGTCCAAGGGGTGGATATGACAGTGCACAACTTCCCCCCCCTCATTTGTATAGCATGAACGGCAATACAAGCGCTAGCGAGAATGCAGATTTTGCATGACAAATTTTCACAGGATTGTAGTGCTATTTGGGCTGCCCCTGCCAAAACTTGTCATGCAAACAGTGCTAACAGGCACAGTCTGGATTGAGCATCTTGCATGACAAATGAGGAATAGGGGGAGCTGTGCACTCTCATAGTGGAACTCGGAGTTCCACAAGTGGTACTTGTGTGGCCGGTCGCGGAGCAACTCGAGTTGGTTGAAGGACTCGTCAGAAGCGGTTGTGATGTAGTCGTAAATGGGACCTGATAATGATAAAATGCGTGGATTTTTCGAAATGTCCTGTTCCTGTACAGCTGCGCATGTAGATGCACGGGCACGGGGCGACGTGTCAGGCAACACAAAAAAAAGACCATATTCTTCTTCACATGATACTTGCATGATAGTAGTACAACAGCAATCTTATACTGTTCGTGGGCGTAAAATTGAAATCCCCGAGTAGTATCCTCGGCGTGCTTTCCCCCGCAAACTCCTGAAACGCCTGGACCAGCATGGCTGTGTGTATCCCCAGCGCCCGCTATCATATGTAAAAACGTTCCCGCCGCCGCCCAGTAGTCAAGTTCGGAACTTAGCAACACAAACCCAGAAGTTTTGAGAGCCACGCATGACAAGTTTCAGTCCGTAGCGAAGTGCATGTTAGCAAGGCCAACCGCACCACAAATCCATCTGCTTATTCTATTTGCAGCATTACAAATGCCAAAACACGACAGGATATGCCTCCCTTGGGGATGCGCATTACAAATGTTCCTGTAATCGCAAATCTCCATGACAGCTCTCGGGTGGGGACGTTTTTACACAGGATATCCGCACCTTTTCCGAAGCTCCAAACAGGCACGGGTTGTGGTACGTGGCCACGTATGCATTGCAAATATGTCTGAGTCTGGAAGACAGTAACTTGTGATGCTAAATCTGAATCATGCTAGAATCTGTGTTGCATGAGTGCCAAAATTAGCTGTCCACTTTCGACCAAGTTGGGAGGGGATTTCTCATGCAGGATAGACATGACAGAGACCTGGAAGAGTTTGTCATGCTAGGTCCCGCATTCCAGACCTCATGGGTCATGGAAAATCTGCATGACAAGTTGCATTCTTCCAGACCCAGACCTACTTGCATTTGATATCACGGCAAACTCGTTTGCGGTGGGTACCAGTGGCGCATTTTTTCCGTCGGATTCTTTTTCAAGCGTGGAGAATCTCACCATGATCACCCGATTCATGTATGAACTGCAAAAGAAGTATCGCACAACTAGTAGAAATCGCATCACAAATTTGGTCAGCATGACAAATGGGACTTCTAATGCGGATTTACCTTAAGAGAGAGATTTGCAATGCATGGCTGCAAGAATTACTACGCCTACGATACAACTTTTGCAGTTCATATCATGCGCTTCTCCACGATGTCCCAGGCGCTTTCCTCCTTTTTGTCGAGGGAAGCGGACTATCAAATGCAAATATGTAGTCTGGGTCTGGAAGGATGCAAGGTTTGTCATTGTCTTTGTCATGCAGGGCGAGCATGACTCCCAAGTCTGTCATGCACATTACCCAAAAAACACGTCTCTCTGTCATGCACAAACGCAGTCTGTCATGCAAGACAGACAACACTGAGTAGCTCAAAAATTTGTCATGCTTGGCTGTCAATGGAGGCGTCGCGTGATTCGCCACATAGCATCACAAGTTGTTTCCAGAGCCAGACATAATTGCACCCGATACGGAGTTGGTGCCGCCGTCGCCCGAACTACCTGCCGGAGGCCACCAGCCTATCCTGTGCATCACCGACTTCGCCAGCTGGACGGCGCTGTCCTGTGGGAGCAGGTTTTTGTTGATGCCGAAATTCAGAAACAATTCGTGCAACCAGAGCCAAAAGCTGTCAGTCTACTCTTCATAGGGCAGGCTTAAAAGAAAAAGTCACGAACCGCCAATGGCATGACAAAAACCAAGATCTTTAGCATCTGTATCTACAAAGAAAATGTATCTATACTTTTATCCCCGGAGGCAGCGCTTTCTTCTCCGCTTTTTCCTTCTCTAGCCGTAACCGCTCCGCAAAGCTCGGCTGTTCGGGGAGGAGCGAAAAATCCACATACGCGTCCGACATGCGGCCGCAGTGTATGCTTGTCGATTTGTATCGTGAGGAAAAACTGTTTCACTGTGATGATTTTGCAAAATCTGCATCACAAGTTTGCTACACACGACACGAAAAATTTGCCATGCGCAGTTCCCAAGGGAAAACACGCCTAAAAATCCAATGTCTTGCAGGTGTAGCAAGACAAGTCATTCTGTGCTCCGTTCTATGCATCACAAGTTCACAGTGAAACAGTTTTTTCTTCGCATAATTTGTAGAGTTTCGCGGGGTAGGCGACCATGATGCCCATGAAATCATTGATATGGGGGTGTCAAGATCGAAATCGTCAAAGTTGACATAATTTGTGATGCATAAAACGGATGCCAGTTGGTGCCTAGTTTTCAAGTGGCGCATGACAAATTTGGGTAGAGCCGAAATCCAGTCTGTAATGCGGTTTGGGTAAGAGAGGCGCCTTTTGTCATGCTACTTTGGCAGCTCAATTTCTACCGCCCCTAAAAAGGCTTACAATCTGCATCCCTTTCGCCCTGTGCAATAGAGGCAATTTCGGCGCTGCATTGTATGCATCACAAACTATTTCAACTTTGACGATTCCGATCCTGACACTCCCATAATTGAAAGCGGTGCCGTAGTGCGTGTCGATGACTTTGTAGTCAAAGTCCTCGCAATATGCAAGAAAAAAACCTGTGTAAGTGTTGTAGCTCTGTAATGCAGAACATGCAACAGAGTTACGCCTGTCATGCCACACAGCCACGAAGTCCTCTTTTCGTGGTGTGTGTTTTCCCTTACAAGGCACCACGCATGACAGGTTTTCTCTGTCAACATGTAGAGCAAATTTGTGATGCTGTCAGCCAAAGAAAGTTACACTAACACAGATTTTTTCATCTTGGATACGCAGAGTTGCTGCAGCTCGCCCTTCCAGGAGAGACCCACTTCTTGGAGGCAGCAGATAACATTGTTGGGAAATACCTGAAGACGTTTTTTTAGCTGCGAAAGTACCACGACAATCTATCAAGCTTTATACACTGCAACTTCCTGGAAAAGTTCAAGTTGTATTGATGCCTGATTATAATGACGAAATAATTATTATATTTCTCTCAAGTACCTCTTCCATTTCATGCAATCACTCCAAGTACTTCATTCAATCACTTCAAGTACCTCTTCCACCAACTTTCTCTTTATTTTCCGTAGTCGGCTGGGCGGGTGCAGGTGCTGCGGCAGTGCTCTGATGTGTGAACTTTGAGAAGACAACGCGGGACACAGCACGTTGTAGGTTGCCACGCGAATTCGCTTGCTGTTATGTTGCCTCGTAGAGGAGGAGGCTGCTGCGGAATTGCCCGTTATCATTTTCGAAGTAGATGAAGGTCCTTGTCGTTCTTTCTTGGAGGTTAGCGCGATGGCTTTCTGGTCGTTATTATCTGGTGCGTCGTCGTCGAGCCGTGAAGCGCCGCTGAAGTTAGTTGTACTTGGGGCACCAGCTGCTTTCCAGCTTGTGGGCTTGGTACTGGTGGTCGTTCCGCTGGCAGAGGCACCAACCTCGTCCCTGTCTGCAGGTGGCAACGCACCAGTTTTCCAAGAAGTGGTCCTCGACTTGTTGATGACACGAGGTTCTTTCGTCTTGTTCCTCCCTTGTTGCCGACGTACTTCAGCGATAATAGATCGGGTCTCTTCCTGCTGTTCGAAAATTTGCAGCTCGTGGTGCGGCAGGTCGAACAGGGTTGCAATGCTGTGCTTGTAGTACCCTGGTCGTGCAACTATGGTGGTTTCTTTCAGAGACTGCGAAGATGGTTCTTCTCCATCATCAATCGCGCCTCTCGAATCCGGAAAATTCTGGGCAGTTGTGAAGTTCTCTTGATCTAAATCTTCCTGCGCATCCAATTGCGCTCCTCGTTGCTGCTCTGTAGTACTGCTGCTGTCCTCTCGGGAGCGGAAGAAAAATGTGCGCCGGTGTTCTTTCAAAGCGACAAATTTAATCTGTTGATGCCCGGCTGGTCGCGGAAAATAATCCTGATTTTTGTCGAAAGTAGCCTTGCTCGTCGTCCAGCAGCTAGAAGACTTTGGAGCTTGTTTCTCGTCCCCTGGTACCAGCGCCGAAGGAAAATGATGAAGATGACGACCTACGTAGCTGCGTTGAAAAAGTAGTAGTGACCTCTGCCGTTCTTCTTGCGCTGCAGCTCTAGAAATAATTGACTGCTTCTGCTGTTGTAAAAGACCCACCGCTGGCCTCGTCGATGTTCTGGAGAAAGACGATGCGGGCGCTCTTCTTCTCGATGATGATGATGCAAAAAAACACAATTGGTTCTTCACTTTAGTCCCTTTAGTCGGAAGCTGAAACATAAACGTTAATATCACACTCTGCTGGTGGAGGCGACGAGGGTTGGGTCGAATCCTATACAGTGGTCGTTCATTGTGAACCTTCGCCGCAGCAGCAGATGGAGAAATTTTTTTCAAAAAACCGGTGCTCAAGTAGATGCGCAGATGCTTCACCTGGTCGCGCACTAGGAAGCAAAACGGGCGCCGAGAGGAAGCTGGTGCCGGAAACAGGAAGGCGTCGTGAATTCGTATATCATTACAAGTTCTTGCGCCAACGCTAAGTACTTCATACAATTGCTTTAATTTATTTTTGGCACAATCGAAATGCGCGATAATCTTCTTCAACTTGTACTCACAACTAATTCTTACATCAATTATCAAAACTACTATGAGGGAGACTTAATAATGTGAATATGACCTTGATGAATTACTGGTAAATGTCTTTCAAAATCTCAACAAATTCTAGACGTAAAAAACCTCGAAGAGCCACATACCGTGAAGCAGTGTAATAGATTGAGTAATTCGCAACTACAAAGATCCGATGTAGATATCGTCAGGAACTAGTAGACATCCAAATGAAACAAGGAGGACTATGCTAGGACGCTCGTCCCTTCGCCTTCTCTGCGAAACAAAAAAGATGAAAATGCGTTCTCGTCATGTTCTTTTCGTGTGATGCTGATGTCTACAACACAACCAAAACTATCTTGTCATTGCTTCGCTCACATGAGAAGTTGTACAAAAATGTGGTAGCGCTAGGAGCATCTTCACGAGTTATTGTAACACTTGTAGAGGCGACAAGTCTGTCGCCTCCGTGGTCCACTGACTCAACTGACGCTGCACAGTCAGCATTAGAAATTCCCGTACTTCGGATCATCAAGCGATAGTGATTGATAGTGATTTCCATCATTACTGGGTTCATTTCGTCAGACTTCAGTGGTAGTGATTTTGTTCGTTTGCGCAAACCAAAACTTTACATGAATTCGAAGTAGTCGTGGGGTAGTACCAGCAAGCAGCTATACGGAAAGTTTCGTTGTGCATGCTAGCTTCGCGAAACAGACACGACAACAGAATAAATCTAGGATTTTCATTTTACAAACAACAGAATCAGAATTCATTTTCAAACATCAGCTCAACACGAGAATGAGAATGTAGCTCTTGACGATGAAACACTCCAGGAAGATGAAGAACGTCGGGATATGAAATGTAAAAGTGTCTGGGTCTGGAAGAGTGCATGTTTGTCATGCTTGTCTGGCATGACTCTTAAATCTGTCATGCACGTTTTTACCCAAGAGCTCCATTTTTCTGTGATGCAGAAACGCAGTTTGTCATGCAGAATAGGCAACACCTAGAAGCTCAGAAACTTGTCATGCTGAGCCAGCACTTGTGGCCTCATCATGAGACGCCCCCCAGCATCACAAGTTTCAAGACCCATACATTTTTACATTTGATACGGGAGGACAACTACTCATTCTCTTTACAACACGGCCAACAGTCCCACTACCACGAGCGCCCCGACCAGAGTCGCCCCTAAAACGCAGCCGATCCGCTTGATCCATTATCCCAAGTGAAAACGTCCCCACACCAGACGAGTCAAGATGGGAAATCTGCTAGACAAATCAGCCAGCTTTGGTTGTTTCGCATGACAAGCTTGTCCTCGTTGTGTAATCCTGTTTTGCTAGTTCAGCAGCATCACAGGTCTAGCGTATCATGCTGATTCTAGCATCACAAATTCCAAATCGCGAATCGAAAATGCTTCTCATAGGGCTCCGCATGAGAAACATTTTTCATTCGCATACAAAATTGCATGACAACTCTGGAGTGGGGACGTTTTTACACAGGATATCCATCCGAAAGTCATCACCAGCCCGTCGACTTTCGACCCCACCTGGTCCAAATTCTTATCCACGAAAAAAAATCCACCCCTATCCCTTGTTTGCATGACAACCAGCGGACTTGTTGTATGTTTTGCATGTCAAATATGGATGGGGATAGGTGTTTCTTTGTGGATACTTCTCGTCTACCTGTTCCAACTCCGAGTCTAAGTGATCGACCTTCTCGTCTATCACCGTCTATCCTGTGCAAAAGTATCGCACTCGTACTCATTGCAGAGATGCATGACAAATCCAACTTTCTACCTGAAATAGCATGACAAATTGCATTTTTTTTCTTGGGCAAATTTGTAGTGCAATTTACAATAGTACGATACTTTTGCAGTCGTGCATACCGTCACTTTCCCGTCCACTTTCTCGATTCGGATGTTCATATCTTGCAAGCGTTTCTGGAGTATCCACTGTAAAAGTATCGCGCTCGTAGCACTTGCAGCCTCCTCGCATGACAAATCCACTTCAGACAGTAGCTGAATCAGGGTTACAAATTCCATTTTTCTTCCTGAGAAAATTTGTAAATGCAATTCCTACTAGTACTACTTACGATACTTTTGCAATGCATATGGAGTTGTGTGAAATGTTTCTTCTGCCTCTCGATGATGTCCTTGTTTTGGGATTCAATTTTCGCAAATTTGTCGTTCATCTTCAGCTCGATTTTTTCCTCCATAGAATGCAACTTCTCATCCAATAAAGTTGCCATCTGCTCCATCTGCTTTTTGTTCAGGTCTTCAAACATTTTCCCGAAGAGAAGAGTCTGCTCGGATTTGATCAAGTCATTCTGCTGGATGAACATCTTTTTCAGTTGTTCCGTCTCCTTCCGAAATTCGTGGTGGAATAGCTCCTGCTGGATTTTCTGCGGCAGGGGGTTCAGATCTGCTCGTCCTGAACCGTCTTCATGAAGAGGATTACTACGCTGCTCCTGCATTCGAAGTAGTCGTGGGGTAGTACCAGCAAGCAGCTATACGGAAAGTTTCGTTGTGCATGCTAGCTTCGCGAAACAGACACGACAACAGAATAAATCTAGGATTTTCATTTTACAAACAACAGAATCAGAATTCATTTTCAAACACTAGCTCAACACGAGAATGTAGCTCTTGACGATGAAACACTCCAGGAAGATGAAGAACGTCGGGAGGAGGACCAGGACTACTATATCAAATGTAAAAATGTCTGGGTCTGGAAGATTGCCAGGTTTGTCATGCACATTTTGCGCGACTCCTGATGTCTGTGATGCATGCCCTAGCATCACAGATTTTGTGAGGGCCTCCTGATGCCTATACTGCATGACAAATGCTCTTTCCGTGTAGCAAAACTTGGACTCTCTTTGCTGCTCATGCAATACAGATTTTTTTAGAATCCAAAATCAGCATGACAAGTTGGATTTTTCCAGACCCAGACATTTTTACAGTTGAAACTACTCATTCTCCTACAACACCGCCAACAATCCCACCACCACCAGCGCCCCGATCAGAGTCGCCCCTAATACGCAGCCGATCCGCTTGATCCATCCGAAACTCATCACCAGCCCGTCGACTTTCGACCCAACCTGGTCCAAATTCTTATCCACGAAAAAAAATCCACTCCTATCCCTTGTTTGCATGACAACTAGCGGACTTGTTGTATGTTTTGCATGTCAAATATGGTTATGGAAGGATGGGGATGGTTTTTTCTTTAGTGGATACTTCTCGTCTACCTGTTCCAACTCCGAGTCTAAGTGATCGACCTTCTCGTCTATCACCGTCACTTTCCCGTCCACTTTTTCGATGCGGATGTTCATATCTTGCAAGCGTTTCTGGAGTTGTGTGAAATGTTTCTTCTGCCTCTCGATGATATCCTTGTTTTGGGCTTATGAAATGCAAAAATGTCTGGGTCTGGAAACTTGTGATGCAAGTCAGTCAAAAACAAATGCACTGTAATGCGCCGCCAAGCATGACGAGTTGCTTCGTGCTTCTGTGCTGCAAAATTCCGCATGAGAAACTGCGTTTTGCATGACAGGCGAGAGAGGCTGTTTGTGACCACGCAATACAGATTTAAGGGCCATGCCAGATCAGCATGACAAATCTCGCAATCTTCCACCAGACCCAGACATTTTTGCATTTGATAGGGCTTCGATTTTCGCAAATTTGTCGTTCATCTTCAGCTCGAGTTTTTCCTCCATAGAATGCAACTTCTCGTCCAACAATGTTGCCATCTGCTCCATTTGCTTTTTGTTCAAATCTTCAAACATTTTCCCGAAGAGAAGAGTCTGTTCGGATTTGATCAAGTCATTTTGCTGGATGAACATCTTTATGAAGTGCACAAGTATCGTACTCGTAGTAATCGACGCATTTATGTTTTTCTGAAAGGTAAAACAGCATTACAAATTCCATTTCTCATGCTGAGGGAATTTGTGATGCTATTAATACTAGTACGTTACTTTTGCAGTTCATAATCTTTTTCAGTTGTTCCGTCTCCTTCCGGAATTCGTGATGGAACAGCTCCTGCTGGATTTTCTGCGGCAGGGGGTTCAGATCTGCTCGTCCTGAACCGTCTTCATGAAGAGGATTACTACGCTGCTCCTGCATGTTCTTTCTCCGAGTCTTCGCTTTCACATACGCCGCTGCATTAGGGCCCAATTCTTGGTGGAAGCTGCTGTGGTGGTCGTTGTTGTTCATATCGTCCACATCTTCTGCAACCTCGTTCATCTCGTTACTCAGTGCGTGAATCCGAGCGGCGATGTCTTCAATCGTGTCCACATTTGAGACTGGGCACTGGTCACTGATACTTCCACGTTTCCCCGCGTGTTTCTTTGCAATCGCATCCGCCGCGATGTTCTTTGCCGATGTTGCTTTCTGTTTTCCTTTTCCTTTTGCGGCTTTTTTTCTTTCTTTCTCTTTCTGTTTTTCCCTTTCCTCCGCCTCGTTTTCCTCTTCCCTCGCTTTTTGGAATAAGCAGCGCAGCGGCCCTATGCTACTGCAACCTTTCCTCAGCTTCTTAAATGTTCTCCTCATCGGACTGCAACTGAAACAGGACTTCGGTTCGACGATGCTATCCGAGTCTGTTTCGATCACAACTGGCTCTCTGCCTTGCAGTTGCAAAAACCCCGCTGGTGTAGAACCACGGTGTGGTGGGGGCACGACATCACCACCGGAACTATAATACTTCTGCAACTGCACACAGGGGCCGACGCGAACCTCGGATTGCGAGTTTTCAGGTACGGTGCGCGTGCGGTTGCCGCGGCCTGTCATGTTTGACGCAGTTGCTGTAGTCCCGTTGTTGTTTGCAAGAAATCCGAGATCAAACATGCGCGACGCGTTTATTCTTCTGGTTCTATCTGATGTGCCGTTCTTGCGGTGCATGCTGGTGGTTGTATTTCCATTTGTTCCATGTTGCTCCGACACCAAGTCCATACAGGCCTCCACATCAATCTCGTCCAGGTCGCCGAAGGCGGCTTGTCTTTCTTGACCTTCTTGCTTTCCACTACTTCCTCCACCAGCAGCTCGTCCCATCTCTCGTTCTTCGTCCCTCGTATTAAGTACAAAAGTATCGTACTCGTATAAATGCATTACAAATTTCCTCAGCATCATGAGAAATATAATTTGTAATGCGAATTTACCTTAAGAAAAAGATTTGTAATGCATGATTGCAATACGAGTACGACACTTTTGCAAAGGATACCTCGCGACGGCTAAAAAATCCCGCATCCGCCACTTCGACACGAGTTTCGCCAACTGCTATGGAGTTCGCAAACGTTACACCCTCAACTGTTAGACGAATTTGTGATGCAAGAATAGCAAAAGTGCAAGGCGGGAGACTGCGCCTTTTGCATTACAAGTTTGGCGCAGATTATATATCATGCTATCTAGTGCGTCGAGAACCTGTCATGCGAAGCAGCTTGATCCTGTAGATATGTATTGCAATTTTGCACGACAAATTCATGCAAAACAGTTGAGAATGTAACAGTTGAGAACGCCATAGCTGCATCGTCTTCATTGCTCGGTCCAGTCGCAGGGAAATTTTCCTGAAATCCGTCGCTAAAGTTCTGGAGTGGGCTAGAAGCAACGTCTTCACCTGGGGCGTTTTTTCGTACATGTAGAGAACGAAATCGTCCCAGTTTTCCGGTTTCTTCTCCTCCGGGATGAGAACGCCAAACTCTTCTGACGGCAATTGCCGCTCCAGGTCTTCTAGCGTCGCGGACGGCTTGAAAGAGCGTGGCTCCTGTTCCTCGGGGGCGACGCCTTCTTCTGGAATCGTGGCCGGTTCTTGTGCTTGTTGTGCAGGAGTACCAGCGGCGGGGTTTTTGGAAGATGCAGCACCAGTAGAGCTAGTTGATGAGGCAGTAGTTCCTCGCCGGAACAGCCCACCTGTTGAAGAGGACGACCCGAAACCGGACTTAAAAAGTCCAAAGGAGGTCGACCCTTTCCCTTTGGCAGGTTTTTCTTGCTCTTTCGCTGTAGTTGCTTCAAGATCCTCAGTGGCTTTTCTCTGCTCATGTTGATCCCTTCTAGTCCTTGGGTCTACTGCTTCTGTACTGCCGCGCGAAGGGGATTCTGCAGCCGTTCCGCTACCTGGTGATCCTGGTCTTCCTGCTCCGGCCGCAGGCGCTAAATGCCACAACTTGGCCATTTTGTGCAGCTCTAGTTTCCCGACTTCTCGCCATTTTTCCGCGTTCTGCAGTTGATTTTTCACCACCCGCCGCATCGTGACTTCGATTTCTCCAAATTCGTCTGAGTCGTATCCTGTGCAAAAGTATCGCACTCGTAGTAATCGCAGTTATGCATTACAAATCTCCATCCCAAGGCAAAATAGCATGACAAATTCCATTTGTCATGCTGAGCCAATTTGTATATGCGATTACTACTAGTACGATACTTTTACAATGCATAAATCGTACGTCGTTGCGACGTCCATCTGAATTACGGCGGAGTGTTCCAGTATGGAAGCGTCAGATTTGAAATCGACCAAGTTGAAATGATTTGTCATGCAGAAAGTTGATACCAGTTGGAAGACCAATTTCCAAGCGGCGCATGACAAATTTTCGGAGCACCGGAATCCAATTTGTCAAGCTGTTAGGGCACAGAAGACTGCTTTTGTCATGCAGCTTTAGCAGCTCTATCCCAAACCCTAAATAGGCTCACAGTCTGCCTCAGTTGCCATCTCGGCAAAGCAAGCAGCTCATGCCTTGCATTTTATGCATGACAAATCACCTCAACTTTGACGAGTTCAATCCTGACAGATCCATATCCAGCTTCTTCGTTGCGTCTTCAAAGTTCTTCGAAATCTGATTTGCTTTGAAAACGGCGTTCTTGACGAAAGTGTTGACCAGGTGGAAAGCGTGTTTCTCTGTGCGCTTGCGTTCTATTTCGACTTCCTCTTCCTCTTGTTGTGAATTCATCGTTTGTTCATCTTCATTACTTTTACTCTGACTCTCCTTCTGTGCAGCTTCGACGTGCTTCCTCTTCTCTGCAGCTTGTTCTCGTCTCTCGTGTTTCAGTGCCGTGCGCAAAAGCGTCACAAGTTCGTGCTCGTTTGGATCAGGGTCTTGTTGTACTGCACCTTGAGCGCCGGTGGACGAAGATCCAGCTTGAGGTTGGGCGGGCGATGCAGTCGACGTTGACGCAGTGGCTGCACCAGTGGGTTTAATATTTCGGTGCGCTTCTTGCTGCTCCTGCTGGTCCTGCATGTTAATTCCGGTTGCACTGGGATTCGCCGACGGGACCACATGGCTTGTTTTTGGGAGCGAACCGGATTCCAGGCTGGATGCCATCAGGCAGTACGCGCCAGATGAACCAGCAAGCAAGCACGCAAGAAGAACGCTGCTGGTCTGCCACTTGGCACGTCGAGTGTTCACGACGGACGCAAAACTTGACATAAAGCACCGCCGTGCTGTATCGCGCCTTGCGAGTGAGGAGGTCATCTTTTCTGTAGTGATAGTGTTAGCACCACTTCCACCAGCAATCAATTAATAGGAGTGACGACGTCCACCACGCAAAGACTCTGCTCTCTGAACCGCCCCTCACTTCATTTAGTGCGCCCCGGGTGGACTGTGCAGCTGTAGATGTACTAGTAGTTCGAAGACCACAATGTGAATCATTTACAGGGACAGCCTCAAGTCGTAGCGACTAGCATATTAGAAACAAAGGTGCATGTTGGGGGGCAGGTGTTCGGAAATACAGCAGAACCAAGAAAAAGAAACGTGAACAGGGTAGGCGTGGTTCTGTTTCACAAGACCGGGCGGCGTCACCTTCCTTCTTTCGCTGAACTTTGACTTTCTTCGTAGATTTGGAAGACTGTTTTTACAAGTAGGTACATGGAAGACCATCGCTTGTGTCGTAGTCGTGTCTGTGGGTAGTTGAAATTTGTGCCTGCTAAGATGAGGGCGAAAGCGTCAACAGTAAACATCGACGAAAATGATGCGGATAAAACCAGAAACCCATCGGTAAAGAAGCCCTCCCGCGACTACATAAAGTGCCAGAGGGCAACTTCTACAAACTAGATCAGTATCTTTTCTATCTCCTGCTCTGCAAAGGTGCCGAGGTCGTGCAGTGCTGCGGCTGCTGAGCTGTAACCATGTGCAAGCGCTACTTATCTACTCGTACTTGCTGCGTCGTGAGGCTGAGGGCGTCGGGAAAATCAACAAAATTCATATATTGATGATCTATTGCAGTGTCCTGCTTGAAAAAGTCATGACGTTGTTGATAAACACGTAGAAAAATTGTTCTCCCCCATGACGAGGATGGAGGGATGAAAAAAGAAACTCTTTTCGTCGCAAAGAGATGACAGCTCCAGAGGACGCTATTTATTTACTTGAACCTCCTGAATTACTTTTTCTTCGTCCTCCCCAGCCGCTCGAGACTCGGGTCCTTCAGCTCCCAGGCCGGGAGATAGTATTCGCTTTGCCCCTCAACAACAACTCCTGCCCCTGCTGCATCACCATTATCTATTTTCAGGTGCGGATTTGGCTCGGAGTCCTTCACGGTTCCAATCGACGTGTATCCCCTATCGTACAGTTCGCAATAAGGCAGCTGGAAATCGCGGAGAAACCTGATTGATTCATAACGATGTTGTTGCGCTTGGAACATAAAGAAGGTTTTGCATGATCAGAAACAAGACATTTGACAGACATTTGACACGGGGATGATCAGCTGCTACAATTACACGACCTCCCTACGAAAAAAATATTAGAAAGTTGTAGAATATTGAAACCATAAACAGATTAGCGTCCTTATACGTCCAAACATCCTGGTATTCCCAGTCCAGGATGGGATTACACCGGAAAAAATCCTATGAATTGCAAAAGTATCGCACTCGTATAGATGCAATACAAATTTCCTCAGCATGAGAAATAAAATTTGTAATGCGGATTTTACATGAGAAAAAGATTTGTAATGCATGATTGCAATACGAGTACGATATTACTTTTGCACAGGATAAATCCAGCCCCTTCAGCCACGTGCTTGACGGTTCGAATTTTTCCGGCCTCGCACCCGCGTTCGGATCCGTTTTTCTCGTTCCCAAAGCGAAGCAGATGAGCTGCTTGTGCTGCTTGTTCAAAGACGTTGTCGTGGTTCCACTTTCAGCTGCTTCTATTATCGTGTGGCGGTTGAGCATATGCATTGCAAAACCAAAAGTATGATATCGTAGTCGTATAAATGCATTACAAATTTCCTCGAGCATGAGAAATAAGATTTGTAATGCGGATTTACCTCAAGAAAAATATTTGTAATGCATGACTGCGATTGCTACGAGTACGATACTTTTGCACAGGATAAAGCAGGGACTCGATCCCGTCCTTCCACCCGGTTTGAACTTCTTCGAGAGCTAGGATTTATCCATTGCAAATATGTCTGGGTCTCCTGCCCATTTGTGATGCATGTCAGTGAGAAGAAAGCACACTGTAATGCACCGCCAGGCATGACAGATTTATCCTTGCTGCCGTGTTGCGTATTCCGCATAACAAACAGTGTTTTTGCATGACTGATAAGAGGAGCTCTTATTGCTGGCCACACAATACGGAGCTCAGTGCCATGCCCGACTAGCATGACAAATCCCGCATCCTTCCAGACCCAGACACTTTTGCGCTGCATAGGACTTTCAAATGGTTCGTTCCGAAGTACGTGTCGCACTGTTTGACGAATTTCAAAATTTCCGGAAATTCGCTATCGTTTTGCTGGACGAAATGGACAGCGCGGATTTGGTTCGTAAAAGGAGGCTGCGCTAGTGCTCCTTCTGGTGTGGAAGAGGTGGACGACGAGGATGCTACTGTGCTGCCCGTCAGCTGCTCCTGCACCTGTTGTGCCGACGTTGTCGTTGGTGGGAAAGACGCACTTCTCGCGGCCCTGCTTATGATATTCGGAGTCGCTGCACTACTTGCCGCTGTGCTGGCAACCGAGTCGCGCTTTTCTTTCTCTTGTTGTCCAGCAGCTTTTATACTAGTAGCGGAAGTGTTTTTCTCGTCCAAAATTGTTCCTCCGCTCTTGAAGACCTCATATCTTTCGTCGAGGACCATGAGCATCAAATACAGCAAAACCGTTGCTTCCTTCCCCCCGTTGAAGGAGGAGTAGGTCTTCTCAAAGCCGAACAAGCGGAAGGCATCGGACATATCCTGTGCACAAGCATCGCACTCGTACTAATCGCACTTATGCAAGACAAATTTCTTTTTCAAGCTGAATCAACGTGACAAATTCCATTTGTCAGTACTGGTATTGCAATACTGGTACTGCGAGTACGATACTTTTGCAGTTCATAGGACAAGGTAGACAAAGACTCGACAAACCGGGCGTAGAAGGGAAGGTCGCCGTTGGTTTCTCTGTCAAACAGGAAGGCAAAAGCCAGATTCAGAATGTCGAATTTCATGGTTCTGGAGCTTTAGTATCTATTTGACCAGGTCTGCAGCTGGGTAGAAGTGGTCGTTGCCGTTGTGTCGGGGCTCTTCTTTTTCGCTTTTCGAAAGAAGGATTGAGTGGAACGTGGTCTGGTTTGCCGCTGCTTGTAGTTTTACTACTAGGTACTACTTGCGACTACTTCCCGGAAGGTTCGACTTCGATCGGTTGTTCTGTGGTGCCCATGATTAGTGCATCCTCCGAGCTGTACTTGTTATTCTGATTGTTTGCCTGACAGTGACACAGACACTAGCGCACAATACAACAAAAACTAAATTGCCCCAGCCCGTAAAATCAAACAATGAATGTACTTCTCACCCGACCGAGTAAAACGAATACTCACGTGTGATATATGTCCCTGGCTGCATCGGGAGGCGGGAGGGGGTATCATGTCAGAAACTAAATCAATCGGTCGACGTCGCTGTTCCAAAAAAAAAAATGAGTCAAGCATTTGATTGCTTGTGCTTCCTCCTCACAAATAGTTACTAGTAGCTAGGCACAACTTACTGAAAGTAAATTCCGTGTGCTGTTTGTTTCTTCTTCTCTCTTGGCATACCATCTTATGAAAATTTTCAGAAAAAGAACAAAATACGGAGTGCTCCTTTCTGGCCCGCCAGCAACTGCGGTGCTTCGTTCTTTGTGGCAACAAAAACCCGCCCGAGTTTTGTCATGATATCATTCAAGTATGGAGAAAAATGCTTTTCTGGTGGGATTTGAAAAAATCAAGCATGCCACAAAAAGCATGACACATTCCAACAAGAAGGCGTGCTCGTGATGTCGCGTCTCTGGGAATCTTCTTCATGGAAATCAAGTGAACATCAGGGGCTGTAGTAGTTACATACTAGGTAGTAGACTAGGGTTGTGCTATTTCATAAAAATTCATTCGGAAAATGATGCCAGTTGTGGGTACAAAGTTTTACCGCTATGTTCATTATGTGTGAGTGTGATAGTATCCATATTGCGCATGTTGATAGATTGTAACCATAGCGGGTTCCGCTAAAAACGTTGCGAAACGACCAGGAGGCTGATCTTCGTAGTGTAAGTGTTTGAAAAACTATGATAGAGGGTTTGGGTTTCGAAGTAGGTAGCAAAAAAAGAATTTCCGGGAGGTTCCTAGAAAAGTATGAATATGACCACTACACACGCTCTTCATCGTCCGACAAGAAGCTTGAACTTCTACTACCGGAGTTGTAAAAGTGTCAGTCTATAAATCGTATTTGGTTACACAAAAAAAACAGGAAAAGAAAAGACCCTCCATGTGAAGATGTAGATGTCGTAGACCAACGATATTAAAATAAACCCTCTAAAACCGGTTCTGCACCTCTTTCAGCACCGCTTGCGCCTCCTCCACGGAGAGTGATTGCAGTAACTGCGTCACCTTCACCCCAATCTGTTCCTGCTTCATGGCGAGAATTGCCTGTTGCACTTCGTGCTCCTTCTGCTCAAAGAGAATACAGAACGACCGGTCAGACGTGGTTTCATTGTCGATTTTCGCGACCTGCAGTAAAATTTTCTCACAGTGTCGCTTCACGTTCTCGGAGACCTTCCTGCTGCTGCCCATAGAAGTCGTCGCAGACGAGGATCCCACGGACGGAGATGTAGTCGACACAAAACCACCACCACTAGCATCCACCGCCAGGACGTTCCCAATCCTGCGCCACAAGTCGCACTCGATCAGCCGTCGCTTGATCCGCCAGTAGAAATAGACGCGGGAGGTTCATGCATTGCAAATCTGTCTGGGTCTGGAAGTATGTTGCGAGATTTCGATTTGTCATGCTTGTCTGGCATCACTCTGAGTTCTGTATTGCGTCGTGGCCACATACAGCCTGCTACTCTCGCCTGTCATGCAGGAGGACGCAGCTTCTCATGCAGAATACGCAACACAGAACCATGAAAAATCTTATACTTGTCATGCTGGGCGGTGCACTACAGAGCGCTATATCGTTTCTAACTTGCATTACAACTTCCCAGACCCACATAGATTTCCAGTTCATAAGGTTTTCCACTCCACCACGTCCCTGACGCAGCCGACGTTCTTCATTCTCGCCGTATGCAATGCAAAAGCATCGCACTCGTAGTAATTGCATTTATGCATTACAAATCTCGTTCTCAAGGCAAATCAGCATTACAAGTTTCATTCTTAATGCTGGGCTAATTTGTAATGCGATTTATACTAGTACGAGGGTACTTTTGCAGTTCATACGCCGCCCTGTCGTGCAGGTCCGCGTAGTGCAACGCCATAGACTGGTACAAGGGAAGCAACAGCTCCTGCCGCCGGTTGTGCTGGTCCTGTTCCAGTTTCTTTCCGTTCAATATAACAGTGCACAACTCCCCCTACCCCTCATTTGTAATGCAAAATACCAAATCCAGTCGCTGCTCTGTGGCACCGTTTGCATGACAAATTCCGCAAGCCCAAAAAGTACTACCTTGGGAAAAGAAATTTGCCATGCGTAGGCTCTACGTGTGCGGGTGTTTGTATTGCTGCTCATGCCATACAAATGAGGGGGAGGGGGACTTGTCGTGCGCTCTCATATTCAAAATCGAGTCGCAGCGGTTCATCATTTTGATCAGTTATGGAAGCGTCAGGTTTGAAATCGACAAAATTCAAATGATTTGCCATGCATAAAATACAAGGCATGAAGAGCCTGTCGTGCCGGGATAGCAAGCGAGGCCGATTGTGAGGGTGAGCCTGTTTGGGGTTTATTGAAATAGAGCTACTAAACTCGCATGACAAAAGGAGTCTTCTGTACCCAAACAGCATGACAAATTGGATTCCGGTGCTCGAAAAATTTGTCATGCGCCGCTTGATAAGTGGGCTTCCGACTGGTATCTGTTTTATGCATGGCAAACTGTTTCAACTTTGACGATTTCAAACCTGACACATCCATATCAGCGTCGGAGGCCGTAACTTCACGTCGATCGCCCCGGCGGGTTCCAGGATTCCGCCCCGCGAAGAGTTGTCCGCGTACATTTCCATAAAATCCGGGTTGATGCTCGGATATGAATTACAAAAGTCTCGCACTTGTAGTAATTGCAGTTATGCATTACAATTTTTTTTCTTGAGGTCAATCAGCATTACAAATTCCAGTTCTCATGGTCATGCTGAGGAAATTATTTGTAATGCTATTCATACTGGTACGAAGCTTTTGCAATTCATATCGGGTCAATCACCACCCACGCGCCACCACGTAATTCCGCATGCGGTGGGAGGTAGACAAACACCGGATTTTCGTACTCGACCAACGCGTCGACGATTTGCGCGCCGTACTTCAATATGGATTGTAAAAGTGTCTGGGTCTGGAAGGTTGGAACTTGTAATGCTAGCTTTCCATACCTAGAAAATCTGTATTGCATAACCAACAAAAGTCGCAGCCTCTTTTGTCATGCAGAAACGCAGTTTCTCATGCGGATTGCCTATGAGAAAGCGTTTCGGGAAGTTGTCATGCCGAACTGCATTCGGAAGTGTTTTCATCATGGAGATTTTAGCATCACAAGGTTCCAGACCCAGACACTTTTGCATTTGATATTCAAAATCTCCATGAACATGTCCCGCGTTCCGCCGGAAAATCCTCGCCAATTCGCGAAAATCATCAAAGGTAGGTTTTCCCGGTTGAAATCCTTGATCGCCGATGCGGTTTTGTATGCACTGTCGGGGAACCACACCTGCCCGGCCTGACTGTCCTCCACCACCGCGGAATCCAAATTCGCAGGGTCGGCTGGTACATACCGGGACACCGCTCTCGTCTCCACCGCAATGCAGCCGATCGGGATCCCGCCCAGTCGGCCCCTGCCGACGACGACCGTTTTGCCCCACTGGGAGAGCACTTCGACGAAGGAGTTCTGGTCCAGAAAACCCGTGAAGTCATTGTCCGGAGTGCCTTGCAGCAGAAAACGCGGGTCGTAAGTCGTGTTGGGGGAAGAGGGCTGGAAGGTGACAAAACGGTCGACGGTTTCTTGCTCGGTGACTTGTCCGTTGTTGGTACTAAGCTGTGCAGCTGTTCCGGTCTGCTGAGACAAGAGTTGCTTGTTCAGGTTCAAGTCGCTGCTGTCGGTGGTGCTTGTTGTTCCGGAAGTAGCCGCGACAAAGTTCTGGTTCATCTTCTGCAACACAGGTTTAGAACCACCAGCGCCGCTACCGGGCCGACTAGTATCACTGCTAAACCCAACGGGCAACACCGGCAAACTCCCGCCCTGCCGCTTCGGCACGAAGCTGAGCCACTCTATGAAGCAAAAAAGTGTTATAACGTGAACGGTTTTCACAGAGTGCAGTCACGCATGACAGATTGTGGCTAATATGCATGCTGTGCATGACAAATTTTGTCGCGTTTTGTGATGCGTCGCTGCGTCACAGATTCCGTTAACGCTAACTACACTTTTTTCTGTGATACATTCCAGGATCCGCTCACACCCCTCCTGGTCGTTCTCGACCAGAAGGTGCGTAACCCCGTTCGGACACATCACCTGCGGGCCGCCCAGCTGGTCTTGCGACGTGTACACCTGTCTCCCCAGGAGCTTGTTCAGTGCGGAGAAGCCGGTCAAGATCATCGGTCCGTGTCTCTGCTGGATGATTCGACTGGACAACCGGTTCACGTACGCGCCAATCCCGACGGACCTGCCCGTTACGTAGGAGAGGGTAAAGGTCTCCTGATACGCCCGGGAGGTTTCGTATCCTATGTAAAAACGTCCCCACCGCATAGTCAAGATGGGGAAGCGGCTAGACAAGTCCACAAGTTTTTGGCTGTTTTGCATGACAAATGTGGACTCGCAGTGTAGTGCTGTTTCATGTAGTTCAGCAGCATCACAGATCTAGCATATAACGCTGCTTGGCGCATCACAAATCCCAAAACACCTGCAGAAAATGCTTCTCATGGGGCTCCGCATGACAAACATTTTGAGCATGCAGATTTGCATGACAACGCTGGGGTGGGGACGTTTTTACACAGGATATTTCGCCCGCGATCATGGCGGAGCCTTTCAGATTCTCCACGCCGATTCCCGATCCGCCGATAATAGCGTTGATTTTGTATTTGGTGATCTCGGTCTTTGTGGTGCTATATCCTGTGCAAAAGTATCGTACTCGTAGTAATTGCATTTATGCATTACAAATCTGGTTCCCAAGGCAAATCAGCATGACAAATTCCATTTTTCATGCTGAGCGAATTTGTATTGCGATTACTACTAGTACGATACTTTTGCAATTCATATGCTATCTTGCTCCACAATCTTCTCCACCACCACGTCGTTTTTATGCTTCTCATACCCCTCCTCATCCAGCCACCAGTACTCAAACCCGGACGGTAAGTGGTGGTGCGAGGTCTCCGCGCTCGGGGTGACGGTGAAGTGCGGTTTCACGGAATTTTCCAAGTTATCCACCATGCCCACTCTTGCACCGGAGTTGGACGCAATGTAGACGAAGGGGAGGCCCGTTTTTCGAGCAAATTCCGCGGCTTGCTTGTACATGAGGTCCTCTTTCACGCCGAAGGAACCCGCTTTATGCGTGATGTCGTTGGCGACTAAGACGATGAATCTTCCGTCTGGGAACTCCTGCGTTTTCAAGTGCGCGATCCAGCAAATCATCCCGATCTCGTTATTTGCAATGGGCCGGTTCGTTGGGTGCAGTTGGTGCTTCTTCAACAGATCCCTGATTGGGGTCGTGGTGTCGTCTTGGAAAGACGAGGAAGTGCTGTTCAAACCGGCTCCAGCACCAAAAGCCGGCGGCGACAACGTTTCCGCGGGAGACGGATCATTGGAATTCGAGTTCAACACATGCACGGCCGCTTGGTGACTGGAACTTCTTCTCGGAATCGCCTGCGCAAGAAGATTTCTACTCAGCAAATTTTGGGCGTCCTGGCTGATCGCAGTAGCTGCGTTTCCTCCCCCACCGGCGACGGAGGAAAAAGTTGGGCTGGAGGCGATTGCTCCAGTGCCCGTTTGAGAATTTATTCCCTGCTTCAGCTTCTTGTACTCCTCATCGGCAATGATTTCGATCACGGTGAAGGACCCGACGCCGGAATTGATAATATCGGTCGCGTATCCTGTGCAAAAGTATCGCACTCGTATAAAAAATGCAAGTCTTGCATTACAAATTTTTTTCTTAAGGTAAATCCGCATGACAAATTTTATTTCTCATGCTGGGAAAATTTGTAATGCATTTATACGAGTACGATACTTTTGCACTTCCATATCGCGCCGACGCTAGTGGTCCCGCCCCGATGGTCGCCGGCGTTCAGTTGTGCAGCAGAAGTAGAATTATACCCCTTTGTCATGTTCAACAGCGCCATTTTCAGGAGATGCGGAAAGTCGTAGACGTAAGTGGATCCAGCCTGGTGCGCGACCGTTCTCTTCTTCGAGATCGCTTGCTCCAGGGACTTCTGCGAAGACTGGTTCTCGTCGGCGTTCAAGTTGGGGGCGTTCATCATGCCTGACACCAAGTGTGCCAAATCGACCGATCGGGTCACTTATGCATGGCAAAAGTAGCGCACACGTACTAATTGCAGATATGCAATGACAAATCTGTTTCCGAGGGTAAACTGCCATGACAGACTCCATTTTTCATGCTGAGCAAAGTTGTAACGCAGTTTCTACTAGTGCGTTACCTTTGCAATGCATATGACTTCCCCGGTCAACGGGTTCAAGTACTCCAAATACGCCTTCGGCTGCAAGTACTCGGCTTCCGAACTCGCCACCATGCGGAGGTTCTCGCCCGAGACTAGCCTTAATTTGAATTCCACGGTATCCACCCGGTATTTCAGCAGCGCCTTCACAAACCCGGACAGCGAACTCAAAATCGACGCTTCGTAGCCCCGCATTACCACAGACGGCGAAAACGCCAGTCGGGTCATCACGTTGATGAAGATTTTCGCCGGGATTTGTTGATTTCCCGAACTCATGGTGACTCTCTTGTCCATCCGCGCTCTTGCCAGCTCGTCCAACGCGTGGGTTAGCGGGATTTCGACCGGGAGGAAGAATTATCAAATGCACAAATGTCTGGGTCTGGAAGGTTGGAACTTGTGATGCTATTTCCGGACTCTAAAAAAATCTGTACTGCATGACCAGCAAGAGGGGTCTAGTTTGTGCTACGCGGGGAGGGCGTTTGTCATGCGAAGTAGGCATCAGGAAGCCCTCTAAAAATCTGTGATGCTAGGCCGTGCATTACAAACAACCTGGGTCATGCAAAACATGCATGACAAGTTTCAGAATCTTCCAGACCCAGACATTTTTGCATTTGATAAGAATTCCGTCTCATCGGTCAGGGGGAGTTGGAGTTGCCCGGATAATTGCTGCCCGGTCCCACGGTAGTTGTCATAGGAAACAGCGCGGATCTCCAGGTAGTTTTTGTTCAGCAAAGCCATGCAGTGAGCCGAGATTTCCGGACCGATTCTTTGCGGGATGTTGTTGCGCAGTTGGTCCGTGATTTCGAGCAGGTGGCCGAATGTTGGCCGGAGATTGCGGACCAGAACGTCTTCTGCGAAAAAGTAGAACTGCGGTTGCTGCTGGATAGGAGAAATACCCGTTTGCTGCGGCACAACTGCGGCGGTCGTTGCAGTTGCACCACTCGTAGCTGGTAAATTTCTCCCCAAACTCTGGCGGTTCAAGAATTGGTAGCTTTCGTACGCACCACCGCCCGTCCAGGTTAAGGAAATCCGGTGCAATTCCACGTATTCCGACCCGGTCAACTGCGAGCCCTTGTTGTTCAACTCTGTCAAGAGCATCTCCGCGATCTCCTGGGTGGTGCCATTCATTGACTCACACCTCTCCGACGCGTAGAGGATCCACAGATCGTGCAGAACCGGCAAGGGCGCGGTTTCGAGCGAGTACTGATCCGCGACGAAGTTGCTCATGGAAGGGGATGCGCGGAGATGAGAAGACGTCCTCTGCGGGATTTGATTCGTACTGTTGCTGTTAATATTCCCAGTGCTTGAAGATCCACCTATCGCTGCCTGCTGAATGCTCATCTGCGCTAACTCCGACAAGTATTGCGGCTTGAGCAACTTCTTCATCTCGGACACTGATTGAACCACCACCACCAAACCATTGCAGGCCGGAATGAAGGACCCGAAACCGGAAAAACTGTTCCCCACGCCCGGAAAGCGGAACTTCCAGCCCCTTGCGGAAGTGAACACTTTCTGGGTCTGGTGCATGGAAGATGAGTTGTACTGCTGCTGGTGTGCGCTTACTGTTCCCAAAGTGTTGTTGTACTGGTTCTATGAACTGCAAAAGTATCGTACTCGTGCAAATGCATTACAAATTTCCTCAGCGTGAGAGATAAAATTTGTCATGCGGATTTACCTTAAGAAAAAGATTTGTAATTCAAGACTTGCATTTATACGAGTACGAAACTACTTTTGCACAGGATAGGTTCAAACTCACGCCGGAATTGCTCGCCGTGTCATTTGACAAAGTCCGGTGGTCCGGTATGGAAGTGTCAGGATTGAAATCTTCAAAGTTGAACTAGTTTGCGATGCATAAAATGCAACACACAAAGTGCCTGTCTTGCAACGTAGGCAAGTGAGGCAGATTGTAAGCCTGTTGAGGGGTAAAAAAAGAGATGCTAAAGTAGCATGACAAAGGGCGTTTTCCTTACCCAGACAGCATGACAAACTGGATTTAGACTCTTCCTAAATTTGTCATGCGCCACTTGAAAACTGGCCGCCAACTGCTATCGGTTTTATGCATGACAAACTATTTCAACTTTGACGATTTCAATCCTGACACATCCATATCCAGCAACGGTGAGTTATTGTCCCGATCCCCGCCCCGGCTGGAGCCCCCGCCGCCCCCGCCACCCAGCGGGCTGTTCATGGTAGAGGTTGTGGTTGTCGGGAACATCAAATTTGCGTTCGGGTATTCCAAATAATCCAATTCCGGCCCAACCTGCAGCCCCTCGTAACCCCTAAAAGTCCGGTAGATCAGCAATTCCAGGGCTTGCGACCGGAGCTTTTCCCGTTCGAAGTTCGTTTGCACGCCGAGAAAGCCGCCGAAGGAGCTTCCTGCAGCACCTTGGTGGTATAGATGTGTCAGAGTTGAAATCGACAAAGTTGAAATCGAAATGATTTGCCATGCATAAAATGGATGCCAGTTGGAACCCAGTTTCCAAGCAGCGCATGACAAATTTTGGCGGTGCCTGAATCCAGTTTGTAATGCTGTTTAGGCAAAGAAGACTGATTCTCTCATGCTGCCTCAGCAGCTCGACTTATAACCCCAAACAGGCTGACAATCGGCCTCATTTGCCTGCTCTGCAACACACGTATTTCGCGCCATGCATTTTATGCATGACAAATCATTTCAACTTTGTCGATTTCAAACCTGACACTTCCATAGGACGGCGCTTCCGAGTATCGGGTCGAGGTGGACTACCTTCGGTGGCGATAGCAAATATGCAATACAAATTTACTGTACATGTACAACGTGCATCACAAATTCCCCCCACTTGCAGCATGGAACTTGTCATGCTACATAGGATTGTAAAGAAAATCTGTCATGCAGAGCCAGCATTGGTACGTGTACGGGAAACTTACTATGGATAACAAATGGATCAAGTTCATCAGCGTCTTCGACTGCGGGGCGGAAGTTAAATTCGCCGTGTCCGCGTTAATCCCGCCCGCACCGAGAGAATTCCGTCCGCTGTTCGATCCGGACCTGACGTAAGAGGTGGAGCCAGCGGAAGAGATGTCCTCGATCCATTCCTTTCCCTGCTGCACCGTGTTCAGGTTCACATACGTCCTCGCGTTTTCCCTCAGTATCCTCAGGAAATTTTCCGCACACGTCCAAATGTGGTTTCCGCATGACAAACTTTTCCTTCAACGCTCTGCAGCATGACGAATTACTTCTTCCAAGTTGGTGAAACTAGATATGTGATGCATTTTGTAGATGTAGTACGGAAAATTTGTATTGCATACTCAACAACCTCGTGCACTTCAGCCCTAGTTCGCCGTACCGCTCAGACAAATTCTCCGCGAAGGACTGGATCGTCTGCTTCCTATGCACTGCAAAAGTATCGCAGAAGTACTAAAATTGCAGGCATGCATTACAAATCTAGGTTGTTAAGGTAAATCCGCATTACAAATTCAATTTGTAATGCTGAGATAATTTGTATTGCAATTTCTACTAGCACGATACTTTTGCAGTTCATACTTCCCGAGGATCAGTAACTTCGAATCAAACTTTTGCAGAATCTCCAAGGCGACCGACAAACGGGAGTGGAGTTGGGATTTTGCGAAGAAAATTTTGTAGATTTTGTCGATGGTAAGGTCGGGGTTGTCGTCTCGTATCATCTGGTGGAGGACTTGCTCGTTGCTTATGTTCAACACCTGGTTTATTTGACCACTCTGCGATGTCATGGGAAGGAAATACCGCTCGGTCTTCAAAAAATCCTGAAGTAACTGCAACCCTTCCTCCACGGTCTCGGGTAATCGCAGTTTTCCGTACCTCGGGTACCCCTGCAGTACCGCCGCGGCGTCTTGGAAAGTTGGAACGTCCTCGCCCGTGGCAAAAAGTTTTCTCCCCTCGGAAATTTCCGACCACTTTTTGATAGTGACGGCAGGGCCCTGATGAAGTGCGGATTTTGATGATTGTTTTGTTTGATTTACCATGATGACCCTTTTTATCAGGTCAAGATATGCATGCCGCAATGAATGTCAACGCCCTCCTCGTGGCGCCGTCTAGTTGTCAAATAGTAGGCGCCATGCAATAAACCAAAGGGCTTCAGCACCAATTTAGTTCCTTTAGAGTCACAAATTCTATACCTGTCCCGCCAATTCCATCTTGAGCAGCAAATCTCCCGCCCCAACCACGGCGTTGCTGGTTCCGATCAATTTTTCGACCTTCCCCGCAAACCTCGCCTTCACCGGCACGATCATCTTCATCGCCTCCAATTCGCAGCACACCTGCCCCTCGGCGATCTCATCCCCTTCGGCGACGAGAAAGCGGATCAGCCTCCCCTGTACGTCCGACCGCAGCTCCGACGGGTCCGTCGCGTTCGGAATGAAAACCTCGTAGCCAGACATGGCCCCAATCCGTAGCCGCATCCCCGTCAACTCCGACGTGGAGACGATTTTCGTCGACGGGGTCACAATTTTCCCACAAATTGCGCGGATAAAAACCGCGTTCTGGTGCGGCTTCGTCTGGATGATACATTCGGAATTGTCGTCCTTACACCGACAACAATACCGGTGCTCCGCGATCCGGGTGATGTGAAAGGTGTACTTCACCTGGTCCCAGACGACAATCACCTCGGGTATGGAAGCGTCAGGATTGAAATCGACAAAGTTGAAATAATTTGTGATGCATAAAACGGATACCAGTTGGCGCCTAGTCTCCAAGTGGCGCATGACAAATTTGGGTAGAGCCGAAATCCAGTGCGTCATGCTGTTTGGGTAAGGAAGACGCCTTTTGTCATGCTACTTCAGCAGCTCAGTCTCTACCCCTCAACAGGCTGACAATCTGCCTCCCTTGCCTACTCTGCAAGACAGGCACTCTGTGGGTTGCATTTTATGCATCACAAACTATTTCAACTTTGTCGATTTCGATCCTGACACACCCATATCGGGGAAGCTGTAGGTTTGGAGGAAACTGTGGACCAGCTGGCCCTTCTGCAACGTGTCCTGAAACTGCTCCTGGGCTTCCTTATCCTGTGCAAAAGTATCGTACTCGTAGTCATTGCGATCATGCATGACAAATATCCCTTTTTAGGTAAATCAGCATTACAAATTCCATTTTTCTTCTTGAGAAAATTTGTGATGCAATTTGTACTAGTACGATACTTTTGCAATGTTGCATATTCCTTGCTCATCTGCAACGCTTTCGCCACCGCGCAGTACAGAATGAAGTCCTCGCAATTCAGAATTTGGGATAGCGAATCAAACTGATTCTGTATCAAAAGGACAAATCCCCCCTCCCCATATCGAAAAGGAAATCTGTGAAGCTGGATTTGCGTACACAAATCAGATTTGTCTTGCAATAGAGGACTGCACGCAGATCGCAAGCCTAGATGGGGGCCTTTTGGTGTAGGCACCTAGGACGGCAGGCGTCTGCCGTGTAGGCCTCAAAGCATTACAAATCGCCCGCATAGTGTGGCAGAGAGCCTGGCTTTGCCTTCTAGCAAGACAGACAGGATGTGTGGTCACAAATCTGCATCACAAATTTTCAGAAGATACGTTTTCAATATGGGGAGGGGGGATTTGCCCTTGCAATATTCTGCCCCGCGGCGTTCACCAACTGGTTCTGTCTGGACTTCGTTTTCGCGTACTGCACCAGTCTGCTGTTGCTCGCTTGTTGCAAATTCGTACCTCCGGAAGCCCTCGGACTGGCCCCCGGCTGCTGGAGGTTATTAACCGATTGAGTATCCACCGAGTCGCCCCACGCGACGGAAGACACCCGGCCGTCGTCGGAGTAGGCGCAGCTATCCTTTCCGTAAAAGTCCTCGTTGAGAGAGGACGTTGCGGTCAGCATTCCCGGGATGGTCTGGACCAACCTCGCGATTTCCTTGTTTTGAATCAGTCCGTCCAGCCACGCGGTGTCCACCTGGTTGTCAACAAACCTGTTTAGCCTCAACAGCTTCGGCAAAACGTCCACCGTGTTCCGGATGTCCCCTTCCACGTGCAAATGCCCGAGGGAGATGATCAACGCCTTCCGCGCCTGCTCCCGCGTTTGCCCGATGCTGAAAATGTGGCCGAATTGGCTGTCTGCGAACTCGTGGACCGCACCGGGCGTGGCGACGGAGAAGTATCCCCAGACGGACTCGTGCGTTGGCGCGAAGTCGATATGCAGTGGAAAAGTATCGTGCGTAGCAGTATACTGCAATACAAATTAGCGCAGAATGAGGAATGGAATTTGTCATGCTGATTTAGCTCGAAAAAGAGATCTGTCATGCATGTCTGCAGCTAGTACAACTACGACTACGATACTTTTGCAGTGCATAGTCGATCTTCCGGATGTTTCCGCTGCAGGGGAGAAACCCGTCCTCCGGGTTTTCCGCCGTGATGCGCGCGGCGATGCAGTGAGAATACATGGGGACTTTCCTCGTGAAGTCCAGCTCCTTGATGTAGTTGCTTGTTGTTTCGCCTTGTCCACCGTCTTTGTTTTGTTCCTCGATTCCGCGAAGAAAGTACCTCCTGATGTCCGTATGCATTGCAAATTTGTCTGGGTCTGGAAGATGAGTGCAGGGTTTGTCATGCTTGTCTGGCATGACTGTTAACTCTGTGATGCTTAGGAGCGAAAAGATGATCCTCTCGCCTGTCATGCAAAAATGGAGCCTGCCATGCGGAATACGCAACACGCAGGAGCTCAAAAACTTGTCATGCTTGGTTACCTATTGCAGTACGCTCAATATTTAGAGACTTGCATCACAAGTTTCCAGACATCCAGGCATATTTGCTTTTGATAGTCTGGAATATCGTGCAACGCCACCCCCATCCCGATCTGGAGCTGCGCGGCCGGTATGTTTACCCCCGTGATGCACTCTGTCACTGGGTGCTCCACTTGCAGCCGCGGGTTCAGTTCCAGAAAGTAAGCTTCTTTGCGCTTCGGGTCGTACAGGTATTCCACCGTGCCGGCGCCTCGGTACCCAACTTGCCTCGCCAACCGGCAGGTATGGTGTGAAGAAATATCGCACTCGTACTAATTGCAAATATGCATGGCAAATCTATACTCCTAAGGTAAAACAGCATGACAAACTCCACTTTTCTTCTTGCCAAATAAATTTGTAATGCAATTCATACGTAGCACGATACATTTGCAATGCATAGCAGGCCGCCAGCTGCATCTCGTGAAACACGTCCGGGTCCGCGACCGTCGGTGGACCCTCCTCAAAGATCTTCTGAAACCTGCGCTGCGTGTATTACAGTGCACAACTACTCCTCTCCACTCAGTTGCCATGCAAAACCCCGAATCCAGGCTGTGCCTCTTGGCAATGTTTGCATGACAAGTTCTAGTAGCCCAAATAGCACGACACTCCAGTGTAAACTTGTCATGCAAAACCTGCATTCTTGCCCACGCTTGTATTGCCGTTCATGCTATACAAATGAGAAGGAGGAAAAGTTGTGCACTGTGGTCATAGCGTGGAGCAATCCCTCCCCGACAAGGCACACACGTTCCCGTGCTCGTCGCCCAATAGTTGCACCTCCAAGTGGCACGCGCCGGAGCTGTACTTCATAATGAAAATCGGGGAATTCACCACCTTATCCTATGCAAAAGTATCGCATTCGTATGTATAAATGCAAGTCTTACAACATTACATTTTTTTTCCTCAAGGTAGACCCGCATTACAAATTTTATTTCTCATGCTGAGGAAATTTGTAATGCATTTATACGAGTACGATACTTTTGCGATTCATACACCTCCATCTGGCACAGCGCGTAGTTGTTCTTCACATCTTGGCTGTTCTCGCATTTCCGGATTCCCTTCCCGCCCCCGCCCTCCGACGCTTTCAGCATCACCGGGTAGCCGATGCGGTTCGCCTGCTCGACCGCTTCTTCCACCGTCTGGCAACAGGCTTTTTCGAACAGTTCGTCCAAGTCGTCGAAGGTTTTCAACTGTTTCGACTTCAAGCCGTCACCGGACCAGGGGATGCAGGGAACTTCCGCGGTCTGTGCCATGATGTTCGCGTAGATTTTGTCCCCCAGAAGCCGCATCACCCTCGGTTGCGGCCCGAGAAACACGATTCCTAATTTCTCCAGCGCCTCTGGGAGCTCCGGCTTTTCGCTGGCGTGGCCCCAGCCAGGCCAGACTGCGTCGCATTTCTCTTGGACGGCCACTTTGCAAATCAGGTCGACGTTGGCGTAATTGTTCAGGTTCTTACCTGATACAGTTTGTAATTGTAAGATTGCAGCTTTGATGTAGTTATTTTTCATGCTATAATCTGCATCAGAAAACAGGTCTGTCATGCATGCCAAACCACCGGACCATCTCCGAACTTTCCGATGATATGAAATCGCAACCGCCATACATGAAAAATAGTACCTCCCGGCACCTCCACAAACGAGTCCACCATTTGCAAAAACTGCTATGCATTGCAAATGCATCGCGCTAGTACTAGTAGTGTAAATTGCATCACAAATTTCAGCAGGAGGAAAATAATTATGCTGATGTACGTTTACTAATGACATTTGTCATGCATTAATATAAGTACAATTACTACAATTACGATGCACTTTTGCGAATCATAACTGGGCGTTCGCCGCAATATCTTCCGGCGTGGCCATCGCGACAAAACTCAAGCACCGATCCAGGTTGGCACGCGTCTTCAGCACCTCCAGCACTTCCCATCTTCGCATGGACCGAATCGCCTTCACCGCAGCTAAACCATTCGACGCGATCAGAATCCGGGAAATCACCCGCTTCCCCTTCTTTTCGGAGACAATGTAGTTCTGCAGGGCCTGCCTCCGTTGGTCCATCGGCTCCGGGAGGTCATCCTCGGGGATCACCGTAGTGGAGTGATCCACCAACACCATGGCTTCTTTACTTGTCCGCGGGGAATATACCAGACGCGTGGACATAATTTTTGAAGCGTAGTTTATTGTTCGGGTCAAAAAATATCAACGGATGTTCTTGAAACAACTTCAGATCGTAGAAAGAAAAACAACTCGACATCTCATCGTAAAAACTAACTTTCAGAAGGTTCAATTGTTGGAAAGAGACACGACCGTCACTTTTTTTTCCGAAAATGAGACAAAAAAAATGAAGTTCTACTGGTTGCGGATACACTAGAACTAGACACCAGCAGTATGATACTCTAGTTCTACAAATCAGGGGCTGAAATAAAAGTAGCTAGCTCTCACTTCATTTTTCTTTTTGCCACCTCCCATTATTTGCTTAGCTCTCTCGTCGTCAAGGACAAACAATGTTTGTTGTTGATCATGCCACCTTGCCACACCCCAATAAATTTGCCACATTTCTACTTTGATGCCGGCTAGTTTGTTTTTTGGGTTCTTGAACACTTTTCAATGCTACTTCGCCGTGTTTTCTTGCGGTCCCCTTCTAAAATATCCATGACATGTTGGTATCGCCTTGCTTGATTTATCTTCTCGCTCCAAGAAGCAAGCTGGCAGTTCTACTTACCAAGGTCGACCGAAAGTCTTTAGGAAGGAGTTTAACTGCTCATTGATCCTTACTGTGGACAAAAGTCGTCTTGTTTTAATTGTGGATCGACAACATTTTTCTGCCGTCAACATCGTCTGCAAGGATGTAAGTCGTTTATCGTGGCTGCCAAGCGCCAGTCTTGCGACAGGAAGAAGGAAAATATGTAATCACATTTACTCCACATAAGAACTGTCAGAAAGATTTTGAAGATGTACGAGTACGTTGATGCTTTATTTTTCTTCAATTTACTTATTACTTCAAGTGTAAGTGTGGGGACCACCAGCTCAGGGAAAAATATCTGCCGCAACTGTAGTACTTGCACATGTTTTGTAGTACTGCAACCGCTAGTACCGCGACCGCCACTACCGCAGATACGAAAACGCCGGCACCGCTGCTTCTGGTATTTGTTCTTTCCTTGAGGCCGCTGCACTAACGCTTGATGATGCCACTCCTAGACTCGGTGCTTGTGCTCTGCCGCTACTGTGCAAGTGCTGGCCGCCATGGCCGCTCCCAGTCGACATCAACGTGCTGGTTGATCTCGCGTCAAAAAACTGATCCTCGCCCGCAGACAAGGACCCCAGCGATTGCGCGTCCTCGAAGGCAGCTGAGGCTCCGACCGAATTTGACGTTGCAGCTCCTCCGCCGCCGTTCAAAGACAGAGCGTCGTCGTAGGAAAGCAGATCGTCGTCTGGGTCTTGATCCTCATCGACGCGCTGGCCGCTCGTCGTTTTACTACTTGTTTTGTGTGTGCTTCTACTCTGTTCTCTCTGATCCTCTTCAAAGTACCTGTTACAACCCCTACTGCTCGCGGCGAGTGTATCCTTTGTGATCACGATTACATTGTTTTTATCACTGACGGTGGATAAACTACTCAACTTTCGGCGCGCCGAGGACGAGGATGTCGACGTGTGATAGTTGCTCTTGTGTTGATGTTGGTGCCAGGTAGAAGAAGTGGGAACATTACTACCGTTTGCGGATGTAGTCATCCCGTGGTTGTGCCGGACATAGAACATATCGTCCGGTCCTCCTGTGTCAAGCCCGTGCTCTTGCTGGTGAGACAGAATGCCAGCAGCTCGTGGGGTCAAGGGGCTGGGAAGGGTTGTGGTGGAAGTTGCACAACCTCCTGCAGCTCCTGCTATGCTTGATGCTGCAGCTGTTGTCTTTGAAGAATGAGCAGAGGAAGACATCACGTTGAAGCCATTCACTGTACTAGAAGATAAAGCGCTTCTTGTGCTGGTTTTACTGGTGCTGTTTTTGTTCAACATAATTCCTCCGGCTGGCACTGCTGTTGTCGAAGACTGGCGCAGGCTGCTTATACCAACGGCAGGAGTTGTCCCCTCTCCTGGCACCAACCCGGCGGACAAATGATCATCATCTCCCAACCCCACTTCTAGTCCAGCCAGGTTCGGGTTCGATGCACCAGCAGACCGGTTACTCGCACTACTCTTGCTCCCTCCGCCGAATGCCGCCCGGAACAGCGAAAATTTGTGTTCCTGCCTCCGCAACTCCTCCTCCCGGAGCCAGTAAATGAGAAACCCGGCCGCGGAAGATTGACAAAGCAGCCACTTCACAATGTCCAGCCACTTGGACTGGCCGTACAGCGACAGGTGTCTCGTTGCAAGAATGGAAAACCCGAAAACGTAATTCGCGACACCGAGCGCTAAATACTTCAGAGACAGGCTCTTCCACACCTCCGCTAGCTCCTTCGCGGGGAGGTTCGTCAGAAGAGACGTCACCGCATGCATCGCACTGTTTGACGATGGGGGGGTGAGGAGAATCATAGTCGTACTGGACTTCGGTGAGGACGACGAGTTTGATGCTGGTGCGGAAGATGAGGCAGGTCGCGGTGCTGTTCTTGCTGACGATGTTCTAGTTTTGCCACGACTATCGAAAATTTCATCCACTGTCGTGCTCAAAAACCTTGCTTCCGCCATCACGACCACTTCGGAGTCGGGCTTCAAGATCCTCTCGGACTTCAGTTGCAGGTCAAACGGCAGTATCAAGTGCAAATATGCCTGGGTCTGGAAGGTTGTGATGCTGAACAGTGGATGACTGAAATACTTCCCAATGCAGCCAAGCTTGACAAGTTTGACGAACACTTTGTCATGCGCAGTCCGCATGAGAGCCTGCGCTTCTGTATGACAAAAGAGGGCGTCTTTTGCCAGTCATGCAATACAGATTTTACAGGAATGTAGGGCCAGCATTACAAGTGCCATGTTTCCAGACACAGACATTTGCAATCCATAGGCAGCTGCACGGTGAAATACTTCCAGTTGTCATAGACCAACGGGAAGAGGTTTTTGAAAAACTTCCTTGCTGCCACCCGAATCTTCGACTTCGACGCCTGGCGCGCGAGGTTCCGGTCGCTCGCTTGCACAGACGCTTGGTGCTGGAGGAAAGTGTCCTATCAACTGTAAAAATGTCTGGGTCTGGAAGGTTCTGACACTTGTCATGCACGTTTTGCATGAGCCATGATGTCTGTGATGCATACCCGAGCAATACAGATTTTTTGAGGGCTTCCTGATGCGTATTTCGCATGACAAATGCCTTCTCAGCGTAGCAAAAATTGCATTTCCTTTGGTAGTCATGCAATACAGATTTTTTTGGAATCCAAATGCAGCATCACAAGTTGCATTCTTCCAGAACCAGACATTTTTACATTTGATATGTCCTTGTAGGAGGCAAAACTCGGCTTGACGCTGTCCAAACGGAGACTACTGAACCGGTCCAGCATGGAATGGTGGATTAGGATTTTGGTTGGTTGATGAAAATGTTGTTGCTGGTGCCCACCTCCTGGTGTTCCAAGTGTAGTAGAACAAGTGCTATCCTCAGGGGTACCAAACTCTTCTGCCCCTTGTTCTCTACCACCTTCACACGGCACCAACTCGCATGCAGCGCCGAAGGGACCAAAAGTGGTGGTGTCGTCTTGAAATTTCAAACACGCCCTCTCGCGGACGAAAATCGGTAGGAGGGAGCCGCTGCTGGACTTCTGGGAGTTGTTCGAAGTAGACTTGCAGGTCGTTGTTTTGCTGGTTTGTCCTCCTGATCGGGAAGACGGTGCACGAGAACCTTCAGAGGGTCGTGGAAAAGCTTCCGCAAGGTGGCCTGCTGTTCCTACGGCTGTCCCTATTGACGCGGAGCAGGAGTCATCGAGTGGGGAGAATTCCTCAATGGAATTGTTGACAGAGACGTAACCAGCGTCGTCCTGCTGTTGGGAAGCAGACGAAGCAGCATCATCCACTCCCGATGAAGCAGCCCTGCTCCTACAACTTCTCGTCCTGAGCAGAGGGGCAAAGCCATTCCGCCAGCTGTCGCCTAGACCCCGTCTCAAATTCGCCAGCGAGAACGAGCTTTTGAAGCGATAGGCTGAACTCTGCATTGGCGAGAATGACCACGACCGCAACCCAGCTGGTACTAGCTGCGGAAGGTGCGCCGTTCCGCAGAAACACGCGAAGGGAAACGTCCAGACCGACTCGTACAGGATGCAGACCTTGTTCGTGTGCGGCGCCCGAAGGTAGGAGAAGCCGTGGGGTAGGCGGAGTTTACCGCGCACTTTCACGATGATCGGCGAGGAGGAAGAGGTTGAAGATGTTTTTGTTTGTGGTCCAAGACTTGTTTTTGCTGATACTACCCCCGCAGCTGTGCTTGCACCTACTGGTCCTCGTGCAGCTGATTCTTCTTGTCCTCCTTGGCAAACGCTCACCGCCCGCAGCATCTGTTCGATATCTGTCAGTGGCGTGAAGGGTAACTCCTCATCGTTCGCCAACGCCAAAGCGTCTCGGCGTTTTCGCCTCGCTAGGTAGAAGAACAAACCGGAGAGGCCCAGGAAGGAAAACCCGAAGAGGTGGGCCAAGTTCGGCTGCTCCTGCATCCAGAATTGGATGCTTTTTGCCGCTTGTGTGAAGAAGTGCTTGAAAGCGGCTTGCAGCTCTTGTTTGCTGCAGTTGAGTGGCTGTAAAATGATCGCGGAAAACGACGCTGCCGGCCCGGACAAAAATGTTTGGCCGAACAAACAGAGGTTGCTGGTGCACCACTCCCGGATTTTTGCAGCCGATGCCTCTTGCGCGCCGCTGGGAAACTTGGTCGTGAAGGCGGTTGGTGATTGAGAAGAGGGTGCTGAGGAGGAGCTGGAGCCGCCATTGCTGGATCTGGAGGGTGGGCGCTCCGCGACATCGTGGGGCCAGAGACCGAACATAGGCTTTTTATTGGGCGATCTGAGCTACGTCCTGACTGCGTCACTGGCGTATAACGAACGGAAAACATTTGTAGACTCGACGCAGCTCCTAAAAGTGGATAGAAGTCACTTAGCGTTAGGAAAGCAGCTCATGGATAAACAAATCAAATGATTGAAATAAATGCAATCGGCCCAAAATACCACAAATCGAGTCGAGGAGCCTTCTTCTGGCTGCTGAGATTTCAAATTGAAATTACAAACAGGCATGGGCAGGCTACGCTGCAATCTGCTTTGGAAGTATAATGAACACTAGAGCTGCGCGACGAACGCAAGCGCTGGCCTTGCTTGTTGGGACAGGTGTCGCGTGTCGATCAATCTTGGCTGCCCGCGGCTTTGTGCAATGCCTTTTCTTGCGCAAACTATCGCACACTCACGCAGACCAGGCGTGGCCCATCTACGGACTGCTGCAGATTGCGTGATCAGAGTGAGCAGGCTGGCACCAAAGACAAAAGGCCACGCGCGGGGCAACGAACAGACACTCACACACGCCCGGCCAAACTCCTGGCCTTGCGTCCCTCCCCCGGAGTGAATCAATGGAATGGAACCTACCTGGCAAAGAGGCTGCAGCCGCGCGGGCGGGCACCGCGCGCCCGCGCGCCGAGCAAGATAGCGGCGCCACCCCTCCGGTTCTTTCTTTCATTGATTCAAAGCGAGAGGGAGGCGCGTCACAGCCATCCAACAGGCCAAACACTGCGCAACCCCTCCACCTTCCTGGGCCAACCACAGCGCGCGGGCACACTGCAGACAACGGCAAGAGACACGCCACAACCGGGGGGCCAGCTCCCTCACCCCCGGGCACTTGGCCGGCGCCTTCCCTTTCGCTTTCTGCCAGTCGCGAACCCATTGCCCCGGTGGCGGGGGGGCCGGCGGGCGCGCTGCCGCGCGGCGACCTGCCTGCCGGCCTTGGCGACCCTCTTCTTCTCCACGGAGGTCGGGCCATCCTTGGCCTTTCTCGTTCAGAAAGAAAGAAGCCGACGGACCAGGGCGGGGGCGAAGGCGGCTGGCGCCGCGGGTCGTGGCTGACTCCTTCGCGAACCGGATCCGCTTGGCCGGCTTCTTCGCCTTGAAGTCCGGGGCGATCTCACGGGCGAACGCGGGCGCTTGCTTGTCGTTCATCGGAAGCGTCTTGCTTCGTGCGCAACTGACTCGATCGCGATCGGAATCTTGATCGGAATCGCGTGCATCTTTTCCAAAGCAGTGGCCCCCGCCCGCGACCGATCCACGGCCGGCCGGCCCCAAAACGGCGCGGGCACAAGCTGGCCAGCGGCCCAAGGGGCCGGCCCGGCCGGGCGCCGGCCTGCGGGCGTCCACGCACCCAAAAGGGGCGCAAAAGCATACTGCCGGCGGCGGCGAGGCAGCCTACCTGCCTGGCTGCCAAGGAAGCCCGCCTGGCTGCGGCTGGGAACACGAACACACCAAAACCCCAACAATAAACACACACCGCGGGCGTCTGCCGGGCTGTCTCTTGGCTCTCGCACAACAATGCCCGCTGCGGAGCCACTTCCGGAGCCGCGCGCCGCTCGGTCGCCCCCAAGGGCGCGGCGAAGGCAGCCGGGGGCCGTCTGGACGGCAGTCGGTGGGGAATTCAATTGATCGGCGCGCAGCGGCGCTGGCGCGGGCGCGCCAAAAGCGCCGGCGCCGGCCTCCACCCCGGAAGCGCCCCCGAAGGAAGGGGGCGCGGGCGCTGGGGCACGCAGGCAGGCTGGCAGAGCCGCCGCAGCGGCAGACCGCGGCCCTTTGCTACAAAGCTCCGCGGCCTCCGGCCAGGGGATGGCCCGCCGCGCGGGCGCGGCCCTTGGGCTTTGCGGCGGGGCCTCCCGCTCGGCCGCACCGCCGGCCCCCCCTTCCCAACCGGCCGCCCGGCCCCGCCAAAAAGGCCGCGGCGGACAACACCCCCCCGGCGGGCTCCTTCCTTGGCGCGGCTGGCTCACACGAAGCGCCATTGGTGGAAAAGCTTCGCGGCTCGCTGGCGCGAACTGCTCAGCGCCGCCGCCCGCGGCTTGTGGCAATGGCCCGGGGCCGCGGCCGGTGGGGCTGTTGGCCGGCCCACTCGTGAGGCGCGCTGCCCTTCTCACCTTGCAGCGATCCGGGCGCCCGCTCTGGCAGTTTTCGTAAGATCAAGCGCTCTCATCTGGACCACAGAGATAGGCTCTTCACGAGCAACAAGAACATCCTGCGAAGCTAGCACTCCGCCTGCGAAGGTGCAAATCGTCGCTCGTAGCTCGCTGCTGAATCAGAACTACAGCTACAAACGCTACCTACCAAAGTTAATAAGATGAGACCCTATCATCACGCTGCACCTACAACTTCAACTTCTACATTTGGTTTGTCATTATTTCTCCTCGTCAACTATCGACGACACACGGTGCCATAAGCTTCAGTCAGACTATGTCAATGCGGGTCAAAATGGAAGCCATCGACACGACTCGGTGAGCCTCATCACGTGTATGTGTTCAGCAAATCGCTTTCACTTTTCTATAAAAATTTAGATTTCGCGATCTTCTGGGAGTATCACTGTCAAACTTTGGTTGCGTTCTACTTGCGACATTCATCTATCGTTCTGTCGACTTCACGACAACTGTCCACACATGGAGATCGTGACGGGTTCTGTGGTCGCGCCCGTTTCGGACCCCGTGTCGCGGTATGCATTGCAAATATGTCTGGGTCTGGAAGATTGCCAAATTTGTCATGCGCGTCTGACATGACTGGGACCTCTGTAGTCATGCGTTGGTGCAAAAAGATCATTTTGTCTGTCATGCAAAAGCGCAGTCTGCCATGCGGAATACGCTACACATAGCACCTCAAAAACTTGTCATGCTTGGCCACGTATGACAGTGCGCCCAGTATTCCCTGGTTTGCATCACAAGTTTCCAGACCCAGACATATTTGCAGTTGATACGCGGATGCTTTCCGCAACCTTCTTCGACTTTTCCAGCACCCGACCAAACACCACGTTTTTGCCGTCCAGCTCCGGAATCGCGCGGAAACAGATGAAAAACTGCGACCCGTTCGTATCCTTGCCGCTGTTCGTATCCACAGTAAATTTTTCGCACACGTACAAATGCAGTCTCTGCATGAGAAAACTTGCCCTTAGTCCTAGGCTAGCATGACAAGTTGGACACTGCAAGTTAGCGAGATTTGTCATGCATTTTGTACATGTACGGGAAATTTACATTGCATAATTCGCCATGGACAAGGCCAGATACTCGTGCTTCAGCTCGAAATTCTCGTCCTCGAAAAACTCCCCGTAAATCGACTCCCCGCTGATCCTATCAAGTGCAAAAGTATCGCGCTCGTACTAATTGCAATCATGCATGACAAATCTTTTTTCTTAGCGAATCAGCATTACAAATTGCATTTTTCCTTGTTTTGGAAAAATTTGTATTGCGATTGATACTAGTGTGATACTTTTGCAATGCATAGATTCCAGTGCCCTCGACGATGTCCCCCGCCTGGGCGAAAATTTTCGGGCACACCCGAAAGAACTTGTGGTCCAGGTAGTGCAACCCGACGTAGTACCCCCGGCTCAAACCTAGCTCGCCCGTTATGCAATGCAAAAGTATCGCGCTCGTAGTAATTAAAATTATTGCGATCACGCATGACAGATCGTGCTCCGAAGCGAAATCAGCATTACAAACTCCATTTTCGTTCTTGGAAAAATTTGTAATGCAATTTGTACATACCACGATACTTTTGCAATGCATACCTGTGCACAGACAGCGAAAATTTTCCGCGGTTTTCGGTGTCACCGTGGTGTTCAGTTCGATCTCCAACCTTCCCACCTCCCGGCTGCCGATGCGGATATATCAAATGCACATATGTCTGGGTCTGGAAGTAGACCACCGCAGAAGTTTCTCATGCTGTTTTTCCGTGACCCGAAAGGTCTGGCATGCACGCCCTAGCATTACAGGTTCGAGAAGTTATCTCAAAGCCTAATCCGCATGAGAAATCCCCTGCTTCGGTGACACAAAGTGGGCAACTTTTGCCGTCCACGCATCACAGATTTTTGCGTCATTCAAAATGTGCATGACAAGTTTGCATCCTGCTTCCAGACTGAGACATATTTGCAATGCATAGGATGTCAAGGAAAACGATCGGGTGGTCCGGATTGACTGGTTTGATTTCCCGCTTTTTCAAAAACCCCTTGCGAAGCAGGAGTTGATTGGCGCTCTGCCGGCTGGAAGTCGTGCCTGTTCCGCCCGAAGCCGCGGCAGCGGACAAGTTTTGCGTTTGCTGGGCGGGATGAAGAATATTGGCCGCGGGTCGCGCAAGCTGTCCTGTACTAGATGATGAGCCGAACGAGAAGGCTGACGAGGTCGTGTTTGGAAAATTGTTGTTGGCATCTTCTTGTCGACCAAAAGAAGCTGAGGTTTGCGCTGAAAGAACACTTTGTGGTGGCTCCTGCGGCAGGTTCAGCTTCAGAGGCGGTATGTGCACAGCGCCGGCGGGCCGTAGTTTATTTGATGTGCCAGCCATCGTGCTGCCAGCAGGGGTCGTGCTCGATGACGGTATGTCTGCTGGTGCTCTGCGACCGGGGGCAGATGAAATCGCTTCACCTGCGGCTGCAATACTAGATTCTGGTCGTTGATCGACGTTGCGCGCGATCCCCTTGTTCAGAGTCTCGTCTGCATCTGCGGATGATGGTCCAGCTTTCGCGCTTCCGTCGGCTGTCCGTGCGGAAGGCGCCGAGGACGCTGAGGGTAACATCTTGCTCGATGGATATATATCAACTACGACTCTTGGCTTTCCTAGTAAAAAGAAAGAGTCGATTTTCAAAAAATCGCCACGACGAGCTCGCTCTGGCTCGATTGAAGATAGAAGCGCGGCAGTGTCTCCAAAGTCGGTAAAGACGGAGCGACACGCGCCTGCTCTCACAAGCTAGCCAACTTCTCACTCTCTACGTGGCAGTTCCTGAGACATGTTTCTCTGGTAAACGCGAATACGCAAAGGGCAAAGGCAAAGAAAAAATTACAAAATTATATTTACTCATTCGCGTTCTTTCCGTTTCCTTGATATTACAAATCCTCACACAGAATGGTGATGGTCAGAATCGTTACTACAGAATGCCAGGCCAAAGAGTACACAAGAGAACCTTTCCAACATTCTTGCGAGAAACAAAGACGGGGCACGCACGCGCTCCTTGATTGTGAAGCAGATGCAGTTTGGATCAGAGTTATTCTCTGTAGTGAAGGTAATGCTTAAGCAGGGCATGGGTTGCGTCGCGTGCTCGTGGTAAGGGAAATTGACGTAGCCTGAGTAGCTCAACAACGTACAGAGAACCGCTCCAGCATCACCTCCAATCCTGCTCGCGCACGCTGTGCTGCAGCCATTGGGCCTACTGGTGAAATCTATGCCCGACCACGACCTGCGTGCTCATATTTTTCTACTCGAAACTCAAGTTACGTACAGGCACTTGAATTAGAGGCATAAACAATAAGAACGGGGTCACAAAATGTCCGACTAAGTCCTCGGGGGACCTGCGACCCACCCAGCCGGGTGGGCCTTAGGTCCCCTGTCCCAGTATAGAACTAAGTTACGAATCCGCCACAGCTCGCGTCCGCCCGTTCCAGTTTTCTGGCCGTTCTTTTTTGTGGGTGTCAATCTGTGACGCAGTAGCTTATGTATTATTGTATTTGTGCACTGCACTAATCCAAGAAAAAGGATTTGCGCACTGCACTCATCCAAGAAAAAAGCTTTGCTGTGGGTTAAATCTGTGATGTAGAAAATGCAAAGCTGTTTTTACGCAAAAGGGGCCCGTGATGCGGAAAGTGCAAAAGTGTTTCTGCAGTTTCCTGTGAAACAGTTTTGCATTTTCTGCATCACAGATTTACACCCACCAAATAAGCTCTTTTCTTGGATAAGTGCCGACAAATGGAGGCACAAGTACAATAGTGCAAGACTCTAGTACAGATTTACACCCACAAAAACGAACGGCGAGAAAACAATATGGGCGGACGCGAGCTGTGGCAGAGTCATAGTTAGATAACCTGATTATTGGGACAGGGGACCTAAGGCCCACCCAGCTGGGTGGGTCGCAGGTCCCCCGAGGACTTAATCGGACATTTTGTGACCCCGTTCTAATATCTCGATGGTGGCAACACCAAGGGTCGCGTCGTCGATGAGTACAAGTGGATTCCGGAACTTCAAGTTCAAAGAAATGAGTCAGTACATTATAGGAAATAGTTACAAATATGTGCATATCTGCCTCTTGTATAATATACGAATTCTTTGTACACTACAACGTCACCGACATTTTTCAGAAGTGGAAATTTATCTATCCTATGTCCTTGCGCTGAAATCTTCCATTTTGTCTGCAAGAAGAGTGTGCTCGTGCTGCTACCGTTAGCACTACCATGCATGGATCACAATTTATGAAAAAATATTTATATTATCCTCACGAGTTGTTCTTGTTGGTGGCAATTCTTTTGTCAAGGACACCGTTTTTTTTTTGCTATTTCTCTCAGATCTGATCCGCCCTCGGTCCCAACTGCCTTCTGTCGTCGGGCCTCTATGGCAACAGGCTTTGACGGAGCACGTCCCGGTCGTCTGCAGCACCTGATAGGTATGCACATAAGTGTCATGTATATGCTGCGTCGTGGGCTCGAAGTGTAAATTCTTTGTTTGGCAAAGAATTCCATTGTACAAAAACACAATCAAACAAAACCTAGGCTAAGCTAAAGCTTCTCGACAGAATACAAGTTAGTATAACCGCCCAAAATCTGCCGCATCAGAAAACCAACCAGATAAGTACGTTCCTCCACATAGATGCCGTCGGTCGTGTCGTCGAACGCTTCTTGGCGACGAAGAGCTTCTTCGACTCTTTGTTGTGCACCCGGCGGCAGGTTTTCGGCCTCCAGTCGCGCGACTCTGGCTCGGAACTGGTTGTCAGTTTCACCATCCAACTTCGCTATACAAGTTAGCTGACCAAATGCTTTTAGTACTGGAACGAACCAAGGAAACATGCATACGCTACGAAGTCAAGGAAGTTGAGGTTGAGCTTGCTTGTCGGGCCCCTTTTCGCTCAACACAGAATCCAAATAAGGTACGTATCTTCATCGTCTTGTGATTCATATTTTTTCTGCGAATTAGCGAAAAGGGGAGCCCCCGCCCATGTCCAGAAATAAAGAATAGATTAACTCACGCAACTTGCCCTAACTGATTCTCGCTCTGTTGCGATTCAATATATTTGCATCCATGTCCCCTGGCTCTCGTACTTCAATATATACAAAACTGATTTGGGTCATACGTTGGTAAAAGGGCTGCACTTCATCTGATCGTCCACCGCGGCCCGCAAATCGTGCCTGCAATATAATGAAAGAACACTGCAAAATAAAAAAAATCGCTGCAGCTCGCACGAGCAGCGTTGCATCTTCCCACTGTATTGCTTACATTTATATACAGGCACTCGCACTATTTGTATTTCATGCGGTGCTGCCTCAACTGTATTTACTGTACGTAGTCATAGAATACCGCTCTGTCCCGGAGCCCGGCGAGGCGACTCTGGGCCCGGGCTGGTTCGCCGGCCGGTTGCGCTGCATTGTCTGCATGTCCTTGGTCCGGTGCTACTTGACTTCCTCGCGGTCCTCGGCCGCGAAACTGCAAGATTATTTCGAGGCAAACTCAAAAAATTGTTTATTTCAGCTTGCGTGTATAGCTTATCGTGCACTGTACTGCATCAACATGTGTAGTTTTTCATGATGCACTGTCGCACCAATTTCATTTTTAGTGTAGGCTGTACTAGATCAAATACCGGCAACCGCGGCCACGCCGGCCTTTGCTCTACGAAAGATCCATCGGGATGAACTTCCTCCGAGTAGTACTCCTCGTCCTGGTCATCGTCCGTGGTCTTCGCGATATTTTTCTTGTGCCTGAAAGAGACAGGAGGAGCAATAAAAAACAAAATTGTCGCTACTTCATGACTCTTGATGCCTCAAGTAGTGGTAGTCAAGTGCCATGCATGTCGATCGGGTTTGACTTCGACATAAAGTCTTTCGTATGTATTTTCGTTTCGTGAAAATAGTACTTACATGCGATAATCTTGATCATGATCGACATTTCACATCACTTATTGTCATTGTAGTTATTTCATCGTACTACGACCTCTACCCATATTAACACTTACTTTTACAGCCGGGTGACAACTCATCCAAGACCTGCGCTACCTCTTCAGATTCCAACTATCACAGTCCATCTATCAGTTGAAGCTAAGTTATCCGTGAATACTTGTGGTTTTTCCCGGTCTTTCCATCGACTTTCCCCAAAGTGTGCGGTTCTTTCGGTTGGTATCGAGAGAAAAGTGTGTAGCTTTAAGCACCGAGAAGCCGATTCATTTTTGGCCGTGAAGCCACAGAGCTGTGGAGAAGAAGTGCCATAGAGGTGCGCTGTCGTGTCTATGCAAGGCCATTCATGCTCAGAATCTTAGGAACAAAATGAAGCCACGACGCACCTCCACCTTTGCGCCGTCTGCTATACAAACTTTGATGATGATGCTGATGCAGAATGGTTCTTTTCGTGCTAGAGCACTAGCATGGTACACAGCTTTATCTTTCTTTTTCTCTTGATAATTTTTCGTCCTTGTCCAGCACAATAGCCACGACGCCGACTGCAAACACGATCGTCCAGCAAATCCACCCCAGCACAGTAAAAAAACCCACCGCCATCTTGATTCCCTACTGTGCTACAAGCATACTCCGCGGGAAGATCCTGCACGACCTGTTCGTCCTGTTGTAATACTATAGCAAAAGATACGCCATAGAATCGAAGCACTTAAACTTTGGCAAAACTAAAACTCCATCATCTTTCGACATGCATTTTATTGATTCATTTGAACAAGTAATTGACGCCTGCTCCACAACCACACAACTTTTTCGATGAAGAATTCGAAGTCAAACTGGATGACGAGCGATACGAATTTGATGCGACTGTGAGCGATGCTTTTGAGGAGCTGGTAGTAAGTTTGCCGCTCTTTAGTCATCCCTACCGATCATGAATGAGAACTCGTCCTACTAGGTCCCTGCTACGATATGAATGCTGTGCCCTGGATTTCCCTTGTTACGAGCGCCGCCACGCTTGCCCCTGCGATTCCCTCATGACAAAGGCAACGACGAGGATCAGGTAATTCCAACCGACGTCACAATCTGAAATTCTTCTACTTAGAATTAGAAAGATAGTCGACGTAATACTGAAATATAATTTTGCCTCGAAATTGTAGATGAGGCCCCTGCGCTTGTCCATGCGCTAGTGTGTGGCACTCCAGGTAACAGTTGTATTCAGAGCGCTCTATTCTTAGCTGATCTTCAGATGTAACGGCTATTCTTCAATAGACGTCAAGGGGAACAGCAACGCGCCTGGGATTTGAATTTCTCGGACTTTGTGGTCATGGACCTGTAGTCCGCGACAGTAAATAGTACTTTCTTACAGTGCGAGCACTCAAGTTCGATCGTCTCAAGCAGATGAAGGTGCAGAATACAAATCCAGCAGTTGGTGCAGTAAGGGAAACAGAACACAGACATACTGGATTGTGTGCGCATGCGCTTTTCTTTTCATCATCTCAAACTCTGTTCGCGAATTCTCTCCAGCCATTGCGCTCTCCGACCCCACGAAGTTATCACTATGAAAATTATCCACTTTGTGCCCTGACCTAGAAGCAGACCGACCGCAATTCTTGCTGATGCCGCACTTGCGTGAAGATGCACCCTCGTCCGCCAGCACGCTTGCAGAAAGAAAAAAAGCTGCAGCACAAGTCTGCATGCGTGAGATAGTCATCGCTGCTCTTGGTGATAGTACAACGGTGGTCATAGCCGCATTTTGGTATTGAGATGAGTTGAAGATTGAGGCTGGCCTTTGAGCAAGGCAAGCGCAAAGTGGAAACAATTCCCCCTCCGATAGATTCCGGACACTCGTCATCCGGTAAATTTACCGCGTCTTCCGGCACAATTCGCCACATCGTGTAGGCTATGCATTGCAAAAGCCTATGTTATCGTACTAGTAGTACGACAGAAGCCTGACGAATTTTTCCCAAAAAAAAGAAAACAACTTTCAGTATGCAGAATACGGTCAAAAACAAAAAGCAATGATATGTCATCGCAAGACCTGCATTATTTGTACGACTACAATAGTACTTTTGCACAGCCTATAGTCCCCGCACCGCTGGTGACAGGCCCAGGAGGTGTTGCCAAATTTCTCCACCTTGTCTTGGTATTTCCACATGGGGTGCGGGATTCGCTGAATCATATGGCACCGGGAGCACTCGTAGCGAAAGGTCATCCTCCGTCCCACGTGGCACTGCTCGCAAAATGTATGCTGTGCAAAAAGTATCGCACTCGTGGTTGTAATTGCTGTTATGCATGACAAATCTCTTTCCCAAACTAAAACAGCATTACAAATTTCATTTGTAATGCTAAGTCAATTTGTAATGCAATTCATCCTAGTACGATGCTTTTGCAATGCATAAAATGGCGGCTCATACAGTTCGCGCATCTGCCGGCACATCTGGCACTGTTGCTTCGGCGGCTTCACGTTGATCTCGATTACCACGTCGAGAAGAGCGGGGTCACAGGACTCGATGTTGGGGGAGGTATTTCTACTTGACGGCGTCGACGCGGCCTCCTCCTGTACTGTCGGCGCTGCGCTTGTTCTACCGGCCATGCCCTGCTTCGCCGATACAACGTCACAAATACCAGTTTGTGCCTCCTTCACGACGAATTTCAGCTTAAACCTCTTCCTGCACGTTGGACATTTCCCCAACTGGTTCCTCGTATCTGTTGCGCAGATGACGTAGAGACATTTGGAGCAGTAGACCATTCCGGAATTGTTAGTCTGAGTCACCTGCTCGCTTCGGCTTCCATCTGCATCTTGATCTTGTCTGGTCGCAGCTGCACCTGGTCCCGATGTCGAGGAGGAAGATCTAGCAGCATTTGCATTTCCCGACGTGTGCTGGTTCCCTGCTTGCTCCTGCTGCTGTTTCGGCGCACAGCAGGGCATTGGGAACCCTTTGATGTCATCGCGATAGCAGATCAGACACTCATCCGACCCGGGAATGAGGGGAGCGGTTTTTGGCAAATATATCGCAAGAAAAAAGTGTTACAGTTACACACTGTGTTGCACGACCGGCAACACAGACAACCTTTCTCATGCAGGAAACGCTTGGGAGCATCGTTTCCTTCCTGTTTTCCCTTATGATCTTCGCATTACAAGTTTTTCGGCCACGCAGAGAAAATTTGTGATGCAGAAACTCCAACAAATGTGTAACTGTAACACTTTTTTCTCGTGATAAAATATGATTCTTGTGCACTTTCCGCTGCTGCAGTCCTCTCTTGGTCCGCCTGATTGACCAGCTGCTGGAGCTGTGTGCGCTCGTTCACGTTGCCCATTTTGATTTCCGGCTTGTTTAGTGCGCAGCAATGATAAATTACTTTGAATGTTCACAGGATATTAAGAGACACGACCTAAAGAAAGATACATGCAGGGTTTTTATTCAGAGCGGGTAGATAGAAGAGACGAAACTCAAGAAGGTTTGGAACGAGGTACTTTACTGGTTGAAGTTTAATACAGTGTGTATTTCTCTTATCCTGGTTGCAGAGCCTCATCAAAGGCGATAGTCAGGTGCGTATTTGTTTTCATTGACTGACACGGACGTGCTGGCTGGGGAGTGGTGGACACTGCTCCTATTTGCATTTGCTCACCTACTTACCACCTTTTCCTCGGAGGTCCAAATCAATGCGAAGACGAAGAGACGCTGAGCGCGAGTCCGACCGAAAAAAAGTAGCATTTTCTTATGTATCTAGCAAACCGAATCGAATGCCGACTCATAACAATGATGTACCCAACAACTGTGGGGTCGCGAATAACCATTTTCTTTCGCAAGTGCAAGTCGTGAAGATGATGTCGCAGAGATTCTAATCTCATTTTCATCTCGATGGTTTGTCTACCGAACAAACGAAAAAATTCGTGTGCGTTGATACGCAGATGTTGCAAGAAGATGTAGACGTCGACTCGTGCGAATTACTAATCATACTGTGCGACCTAGACGAGTGCCTAGTCATAAATACTTCCACACTGGTCGAAGACTTTCTGTTTGGTTCTCTACCTCCTTCATCTTTGTCTTTCCGCCGCGCAGGGCGAAAGCATCTTGATTGAAATCCTTCTAATTATTCCAAAAATTTTTCCTTCCCGATTTTCGCCTTCACATGCTGGCCCGCCCGACTACTGCTGCTGCTTTCCAGAATGGGTTTCTGGTCTGGATCTTGTTTTATCAAATGCAAAAATGTCTGGGTCTGGGAGATTGCGAGATTTGTCATGCATTTTTTGCATGACCCGTGAGGTCTGTGATGCAGGTCCTAGCATCACAGATTTTTTGAGACCTTCTTGATGCTTATCGCGCATGAGAAATGCCCTCTCCGCGTGCCAAGAACGGGACTCCTCTCGCTGATCATGCAACACAGATACTTTTAGAGTCCGCAGACAGCATTACAAGTTCCGCTCTTCCAGACCCAGACATATTTGCAATTCATATGTTTCCTCCCTCCAGAGCTTCTGCCTATCGTCTGCCCTTGTCCACCAGCATGATTTTTACCCCCTGCTGCTATTGGGGTGCCGTGGAGATTATGAATTGCAAAAGTTAAAGTATCGTGCTAGGTAGTAACTGCATATACAAATTCGCTCAGCGTGGCAAATGGAACAATTTGTCATGCTGATTTACCTTGGGAACGGGATTCGTAATGCATGACTGCAATTGCTACTACGATTCTTTTGCATTGGATAGAGATGATCTTCGTCGTCCTCATCCTCGTCCACCGCGACGTCCTCTAGCTCAATCTCCTCGTTCGTCAACCCAAATTCCTGCTCGAATGCTTCATTCTTCGCCGAGAAGTGGTCCTGAATCTGGTTATGACAGTGCACAACTCTCCCCCCCTGCTCATTTGTCATGCAAAGTGCCCAATCCAGGCTGTGCCTCATAGCACTTTTTGCATGACAAGTTCTGCCAGCCCAAATAGCGCTACAATCCTGCGCAAATTTGTCATACAAAACCTGCATTCATCTCGCTGGCCTAATATTTGTATTGCCATTCATGCTTAGACAAATCATGGGGAGCAGGGGGAGTAGTTGTGCACTGTCATACTGGTTCCCAAACGTGTACAACGCGATCCCGGCAAGGCTCAGTCCTATGAATTGCAAAAGTACCAGTCGTATAAATGCATCACAAATTTTCTCAGCATGAGAGATAAAATTTCTAATGCGGATTTACCCTAAGAAAAAGATTTGTGACGCTGCACGACTGCAATTACTACGAGCACGATACTTTTGCAGTCCATAAGTCCGAACCCGCACCAACTTGAGAACGCCACCGGGGTGGGGTGCGAGAACCGAGACAGGATTGTGGTCGTCAACTTGTACATATCCTGTGCAAAAGTATCGTACTCGTACAAATGCAAGTCTTGCATTAGAGCGCGGTAACAATTAAATCAACTAACTCGGATCTCCGAGTTAGTCGTCCGGCCGTCCGAATCCGGGCGGCCGGACGACTAGCTCGGGACTGTAACTGCAAAAGCTTTGCGGGCGGCCGAGACTGGTCGCCACGCACGAGCTTCCTAGCCAGGTAAGGGTAACTCGTGGCGACCACTAGCTAGCAGGCAACTCGCGCAGTCGGTGACTGCCGGAATTCCCTATGCGGATTTGTGCTTTTGTGCATGCTATTTGTGCTCTTAGGGTCTTTTTTGAAAATCGCCGGGGCAACGTTTTCGCTTTCTTTGCAACGCAGGCGATGCCTGTTTTGTCATGGCGAAATATTCCCTGCCGTGAAGCTAACATTTTTTATGAAGCACAACAATTTTGCATGCTGTCCGACTCCGACGGAAGCGCGTTTTTTAATGAAAGCGCAAAAATTATGCACAAAACCGCACGAATTGCATATGTTGCCAGGACGTTTTCAAAGCACGCCTCTGATCGAAGTCGTCGGCTCCGGCGTCGCTATACAGAAAAACTTTCCCACTTACAATCCCGAGTTAGTCGTCCGGCCGCCCGGATTCGGACGGCCGGACCACTAACTCGGAGATCCGAGTTAGTTGATTTAATTGTTACCGCGCTCTTACAAAACTTGTTTCGAAGGCAAGTCTGCATTACAAATTTTCTCTTTCATGCTGAGGAAATTTGTGATGCGTTTATACGAGTACGATACTTTTGCAGTTCATAGTACAGAATATTCGCCACCTGGACCGTTGCGGCGTTGACGGCTTGGTTCAGGTAGAAGTTGAAGGTGCCCATGCCAAATCCGAAAATCGTGGAGAGAAAGAGACACGTCCAGAGCACCGTCGTCATGTCGTTTTGAAAGGCCTGGAACAGCGGGGGAACAAGTACAGAAGCGCCGTCTGGGGATGAGCTTGAACTGCCCTGCAGCGCTGAGGAAAATTGCTGCTCTTGCAGAAAAGCCGTCGTTGGCAACTGCGTGAGGCTAGTAGTAGTTCCCCCTTGCTGTGTGGCTGTGTTTGATGATATCAGTGCGGCCTGTGAAGAGGAGCTACTGGATGAACTTGCGAGATTTCCACCTTGTAGCGACGTCGAGAGACCAGCTGTAGGAGACGTTATTGGTCCACCACTGAGGAGCAGGGTTTGATGCGTGGAAGATGTTAGTGCAGCTGCGTCGTACAAAAATGGTCTTCGACAAAACTGACACTCACAGTTGAGCCGATTCAGAATCATTCATGCGGAAACACGTGGAAATGATAATGAATATATGTCTCAATCATTCATGCGTAACGTGAAAACGACGAACTAATTTACTTGACAATATTCAGCCTCGACTGTGAAGTCAGGTTTTTGCAGAAGTGATACGCTACTGCTTCCGGGTTGCTGCAGAAGATGTCTCACGCCCGCCAACACAGTCGGTAAAAGTTGTGAATGTGATGGTGCACTCATCATACTAGAAGATGAAGTTGGAGATGTGCCTGCAGAGAGGTCGGACGAGAGCCGGAATTCATTATCCCCAAACGACGACAAGAAACCGTCGTCAAAAAACCCAGTCTGGTCCAACTCGAAGAGCTGCCGCAAGTTTTTGTGTCCACCAGCTGCTGTGCCGTCTGCTTTTGATTTTGGGGTGTTTGTCTTGTACAGTTCGAATAGCAAGATGAGGACGATGTTTACCGGAAGAGATAGGAAGCTGCGGCTTATCCTGAATAAAAGCACCCTCACTTCGAAATAAACCCTCAATTTGTCATGCCAGATTGCGGAAAAAAAGGATCAATTCTTGTTGCGTCTCCCGGATGACAAAGTTGACGTTGACAGCAATGGTGCATTTTCTCCACGATACGGTTCTGCGCCACTTCGTGCGGTTTGATTTCTTCCTCCTCCCGCAGAATACGCACGTATCAACTGCAATGATGTCTGGGTCTGGAAGAGTGGAACTTGTAATGCTGCCTGCGGATTCTGAAAATATCTCTGTTGCATGAGCAGCAAGAGGAGTCAGTTCGTGGCACACGGAGAGGTCATTTATCATGCGTAATTACTAATTAGCATCAAGAAGCTCTCAAAAAATCTGTGAAGCTAGCACCAGCATTACAGACCTCACGGGTCATGCAAAATGTGCATGACAAGCCCCGACTCTTCGAGACCCAGACATATTTGCAGTGGATAGCACGGCCGTTTTGTCAATCACCGAACACGTCGCGACGATGAAAATCAGGAAGCCAGCGTAATATGCATTGCGAAAGTATCTTACTCGTACTCATTGCGTTTATACATTACAAATTCCTTTCTTATGGCAAAGGCAAACCCGCCTGAAAAATTCAATTTCTCACGCTGAGGGAATTCGTCATGCGATAATTTCTACTAGTTGTACTAGTACAAAGATACTTTTGCAAGGCATACGTATGTCAAACCGACGAAATCCAGCGCGTTTTGGGACAGAAAATCCCCGACGGAATAGAGTACAGCGCCAATGATGGTCAGGAAAAGGCCGACAATCGGCAGGGCGTTGATTTTTGTGTTGGTGCAGCTCTGTAGATGAATTGGAATTCTTTTTTGCCTTCATGCAGCTTGGTGGTCAACAGATGATATAATGGCAGCTGATACACACAACGAACTTCGGTATCCTCGCTAGCACGATAGCGATGCTCTTGCTGCTACACATTTATTACAAAGCAGTAGAACCTCTACTAAGGAACTGTCTTCATATAGATGCCGTCAGGTTCCAGTAACAACCACGAACCACAATACGTACATGAGATATCCGGAACATCATCTATACCCATTCCACCACTGCCGTTGCCGCGGGGACGGTATTCCTCGCCACGACGTACAAGGGCACACTCATGAACCGCAGCGCCTTCAGGGAGAAGTACAGCGTCAGACAGAAGAAGCAGCACTGGAGCAGCGACCAGAGTTTGTTCTTGAACTTCCGTGGCACGGCCAGACCACAGATCTTGCGAGGACCACCTAAATTCGTACATTTTTTTTTCTTCAAAGACGAGGTGGTCCAGTAGGTCGTATCTACATCACCAAGTGACCGGAGGCGGAGCAGTCGCAACTGTCCCTTGTGCTGGGGCGAAAGACAAAGAATCACGGATACTGCATCACATTGTGAATTTGGGGCTCTATACTTACCCGCGGCGCTATCCGCCCCGCCCGCGTTTTCGATGTCGCCCTTACTCGCGTCGCTGTTTCTGTCTCCGAAGATCAGCGGCCAGATGAAGCCGATGAAGACGGTCCCGATATTCTGTACGAAAACCACCGTCCACGGATAGTCGAAGTCCATGGCGAGGGTTTTATTTAAGAGCACCATCGACACCGAGCACGTCGCATGGGCGGCGAAGAGGGACAGAAGGTAGACGCTCAACATTTTGTTTTTTCGTTTGATCCAGTATTTTCTCTCTTAGCCTTGCGTAACAGAGGAGGTACAACAGGTAACAGACAGAAAGTAGAAGTTCCTGTCCATCGTTCCGAACGATGGAGACTTTCTTTGTTCTACACCACACTCATAATTGTCCAAAACAGTCAACAACAGAAGCAAAAAATATGTATCCACAACTGGATGTAGTACGATGAAGAAGCCTGCTTTATTCATCCAGATGACCTCTTGCTTCCTTCCTCTCTGTGTCGCGGCCTGATCATCTCGTCAACAAGATATACTTCTAGTGACCCTCTCATTATGGGCAGCATACCGTACGGATGTACTGACCAATCGCAGCGGCAATGCAAGCGCTCGATAAAAACCATCCACTATAGGTACAGATAAGAACTTGCGCTAGTGCGTGCCACGCCATGGCGTATCAAAGGTAAAAGAGGAAGCGTATTGCTCGCGTAAAATCCCAGAGGGAAATGGATGAAGTTTCATTACCACTTTACTAGCAGTAGCAACAAGAAAACCTCATAACTGTGCAGGCATGAACACCACGCGGATGAAGATCGAAGAAGTGCTGCAGCTCGAGGCCCCAATTGCAAGCAAATCGCGGATGCCTGAAAGTAGAATACCGAAAATTGCGTCGACCTCTTCTTCAAATCTTTACAAGGAAAATTTGCGCCGACCTTCTTTTTTCGGATAAACTGCAGAAGATGAGGAGTTCTACAATAAAAATTGTGCCACTTTTTATTTTCGTTTTCGGTGATTCAACATGATTTGTAGCAGTTGCTTTACCGTGCTTTATTTTTTGAAAATACGAGAAAGTTTTCTTGTCCTCTATCTTCGCGCCTTTTGCGAATGCGACTCGAAGGATTCATAAAGCAAAATTATCTTCTTCTTCAAGGTTCTGACTCATAACATCTTCAGTCGCGCTTTATTGTTTACTGTAAAAAGTGGTTGATGTTGTCGTCATGGTATCGAGTTGCTCTGCACGAGCGCGACAGAGTTGCAGCGCAGCTCCGCCGTGCAGCATTGTAGCTTATGAATTGCAAAAGTACTATCGTACTAGTATAAATTGCATGACAAATTAGCTGAGCAAGACAAAGGCAATTTGTAATGCTGTTACCCCTGGAAGAAAACATTTGTCATGCATATTTGCAATTACTACGACTACGATACTTTTGCAGAGGATATAGCTAGCTGATGTACAATTGTGAGTAAACTGGATGGAACATTTATCCTCAGTAAAAACGTACCCACACCAGAGTTGTAATGCAAATCTGCATGCTGAAAATGTTTCTCATGCGGAGCCCCATGAGAAGCATTTTCTAGTCGTGTTTTGCAATTTGTCATGCTCCAATCAGCATGGTATGCTAGATCTGTGATGCTGCTGAGCTAGCTCAAACAGCACTACACTACGAATCCAAATTTGTCATGCAAAACAGCCAAAACTTGTGGATTTGTCTAGCCGATTCCCCATCTTGACTATGGTGTGGGTACGTTTTTACTCAGGATAACATTTTGGACAGAGAAAACCCCAAAAAGGTAGCTTCCCCAACCACAAAACTCCACTCGCTTATATCGCTTTGGTATCTTGTTCTTGATTTTGTAGTAAATATGAAAGTTAATAGTCGTCAGTGAAAAATTTCAAAAAAAATCGTCGCAACGCTGCTGCCCCGACAACGACAAAACAGGTGGTCACCGGTTCTCGCTGTCGTACTTTTTGTACGATCTTCAGTGCAGTCCGCCCACCTCGTCCACAGCGCTTTTTTATTCATCTTCGCATTATCGTACGAAAAAATTGTTTCACCGTGATGGTTTTCGAAAATACGCATGACTGGACAAGGTCGTTAAGTACACATGACACACATGCATCAACATTTTCAAGGGAAACAGTTTTTTCCTTCCGATATTACGCAGCTGAATTTGTTGTCCCATCACGCCACCTCCGAAGTAGATCCCGTAGCAAGCATCGGCTGCTCCACGTAATTCACCTCCGTTAGAAACGGATGTTGCAACAGCTCCGCCGCACTGGGTCGCTTGGTCGGATCCAGGGTCAGCATCTGGCGGATGGGGTATGGGTTGGAAAAAATAAACGGGGAGCCAAGTCGTGCATCAAGTTTCTTGGGCGAATGAAATACTTCGAGTTCTTACTGATACTGGAGTGCAGCTGGTGTGTCCACGCATAAATCTACTTCAACTTCTAGCGCCCTTATTTTGTTCCATTGTTATTCCATGTATGCTTCTTTATAGTGGCAAAGAAACTAGCGAGAATGAAGATCCGCTTCCCAACTACCATGTCCAGCTCTTGTAAGGTGGAGCATCAAGAATGAATAAGAGCTCTACAGCTGATGTAATACAAATCTTCTTGTTGACGACATTGACTTGGCTGACAAAACAGATGTCACGCTAGGATAGGAAATCCACAAACGGGTCCTCGTCGGATAACCTGTGAGAATGATAATTTTGATTTTGACGAGCCGGAAGCAATTCAATCACAATCACGCACCAGTCGCATGAGAAGAAACTCCGCATTGGGAACAACTTCCGCATGACAAACAAGGCCCACCCGAGCGTGGGGACAGGGTCCCCACGCTGGGGCCTTGTGCCCGTCCCTAGTGGCGCTAGTGGGGGAAGGGTGTTCGGCATCGGGGCGGACAGCGTCCGCCCCTCGCCTCACACCAGGCGCGCGCATGGTGGCTCAGTGCGCGAAGCACTAGTGGGGGAAGGGTGTTCGGCATCGGGGCGGACAGCGTCCGCCCCTCGCCTCACACCAGGCGCGCGCATAGTGGCTTAGTGCGCGAAGCACTGGTGGGGGAAGGCAGGGCGTTCACCTGTCGCGGTCACCTGTCGCGGTCACCTGTCAAGGTCCCCTGTCGAGGTCACCTGTCGAGGTCACCTGTCGAGGTCACCTGTCGAGGTCACCTGTTGAGGTCACCTGTCGAGGTCACCTGTCGAGGTCGCCTGTCGAGGTCGCCTGTCAAGGTCACCTGTCGCCAGGGGTATGCGTTACCAGAACCCGGAAGTCGAGCAATGTAAATATTAATAAACCGCCACTTCCTTGTTGTGTAAAAAACAAATCCAAAAAAACTATCTATACGCAAGGCGGTGTCCCAAGGTCGTCCGCTTTGGGACGAGCAGATGGAGCTTTTTCAACTCGCCTCCCGGTAGTGAGATGTGTGGGATAGAAAAACTATTTGCTACTCGCAGCTACAAGGGGTGCGCATAAGACTTTGTCATGCCGAGAGAGATGATTCACGAAACTTGGCTGTTTTTATCCTGTGACATAATTCAAACTTCTGCAAGAAGTGCATGTGGAATAGGAATAAAAATACGATGCATAAATGTGACATAATGCGTCTGTCCTCTCCATACTGGCCCCGTGAATCTATTGCCAAGTCGCAATGGTAACCCTTTTGCTGCAGCGAGTAAAAGAACATCTCCACTTGTCATACTGGATCCTGGATCTTAATCTCCTGATACAACCGCCCGTCCTGGGTGAAAAATTGCGGCACATGCCTCCCGCTAGCCATGATCCAAAACGGAAACCGGCCGATGATGCCCAACACTCGTGCAAGGAGGCTATGCACGGAATCGTTTTGGAAGAGTACATACCCCGTCCACAGTTCCGCGAGAATGCAACCGAGGGACCAAATGTCGATCTTCTGGTCGTACCTGAAGTGAATTTCGCTTTATTTTCATGCGACATGCACGAAGGCTAAAATTTTGTTCCGTAAATGCAGGATGAGAAACTACCATCACCAGTGCTAGATACTTACACGTACTTATTCAAATAGCAGGTCTCAGCACTAGTAGCAGAGCCTAAGGCGCTAAATGTAAACCATTCCTCAGTTGTTGCAACATCATGATGAAAAAAAATACTGGCATCCCAAAATCACTTCCGGTGCCCGGTAACTCCTTGACTGCACGTAGGACGATAGATGGTCATCGATGAAGCATGAGGAACCAAAGTCGATTACTTTCACCTCCTATGCATTGCAAAAATTTGATCGTCCTCGTAGTGGAAAGTGCATGGCAAATTATTTTTTGAAGCAATTTATATCGAAATCTGTCATGCAAATTGAAGTAGCATGAAAGCAGATCTGTCTCTGTCATGCCAAACTACAACTGCAATGACCACTACGAGCGCGATTTATTTTTGCACAGGATACCTCCGTCCGGCTATAGGACTTCATCAGAATATTCTCCGGCTTTAAATCACCTGTGGTTGCTTTTGAAGATGATTAGCGGCCACGTCAATTTTATTGTTCTGACGTCGATGAACGTATGTGCACATGAAAGGATGTCGCAACGAAGAACTACTAGAAGGATGAGGATCACAACAAGCACATCAAACCAAAACATCCAAACTTTCTACAGTGAATAAGATTTAGTCCGTGGATGAAATTCAACGCCTTTAGGATGTCGCGGGAAATGATCTGCAGTCTGGCTTTCGTAAAGTAAGGTTCCCCGGGCTGCTGTTCGCGATTAAACTTGGAAAACTCGTATAAGTTGTCCTTCAGCAACTCTGTCACCAAGACGAGGTGTTCCTGTTTTGATCGTTTGGCTTGACTTTCTGATATGGAAATCCATTGGTACTAGAAATAGGTGGCAAGATGAACTCTGCTCCTGTCGCAACAAATGTTCTTGATGCGTACTATACTCGTCACATATCAGCTGCAAAATTCACATTGAGGGATGAAACATACAAGAAAACCAGAAACACGTGATCATCTACTTCGCATTATACTTCGTAGTTCTACATTATAGTACCTTGTAGTAAAAAAAGTCGATGAGTCGCAGCAGGTTCATGTCGTCCACGTCACAGTTGAGGCCGATATTCTGTGCAAAAGTATCGCACTCCTAGTTGTAATTGCAGCTATGCATACACAAATCTCCTTCCTAAACTGAATCAGCATGACAAACCCGGATTTGTCATGCTGAGCTAACTTGTATTGCAATTAGTTACTACTGCCACGATAATTCTTTTGCAAATCATAGCCGATGAAGGAGAGTAATTTGATCTCGTCGAGAGATTGGTCGAAAAAATCCTTGTCGTTCTTGATGATTTTCAAGCACACCATGCGGTTCGTTTCCAGATTATGCATTGCAAAAGCATCGCACTCGTAAAAATGCAAGTCTTGCATTACAAATTTTTTTCCTCAGCTAAATCCGCATGACAAGTTTTATTTCTCATGCTGGGGAAATTTGTAATGCATTTATACGAGTACGATACCTTTGCACAGGATACAAATCGTGGCACTGCAACGCACGGGAAAACGCCGCTTGTCCAAGGTACTCGACGACCTGGTATGCATTGCAAAAGTGTCTGGGTCTGGGAGATTCTGAGACTTGTCATGCAAGTTTTGCATGTGCCATGATGTCTGTGATGCATGTCCTAGCATCAGAGATTTTTTGAGGGCTTCTTGATGCCTACACCGCATGACAAATGCCCTTTTCCCGTAGCAAAAATAACACTCACTTTGCTGCTCATGCAATAGAGATTTTTTTGGAATCCAAATGCAGCATCACAAATTGCAATCTTCCAGACCCTCCAGACATTTTTGCATTTCATACCTGGTACCGGGCGGCAATGATCTGCCCCATCTCGACTTTCAGTCCTATCCTAGAGAAAATCACCATGATGTTGATGACTCATCTCAAGCTGTCTCTGTGGTCATGCGTGACAATATGCGCAATAAAAGTCGGACCTTTAAATTTAAAACTTCTTATAGTCGTTTCTGCATTACAACTTGAGAGCCGCAAAAATGGTAATGCGTGAAGATTTTCTTTGGGATAAATTCCTTCGTCTCTTCAAACCCGGTCTTGTCTCGCTCGTACACATATCCTGTGCAAAAGCATCGCATAATTAGTAGTAATTGCATTACAAATTAGCTCAGCGTCAGCATGACAATTGGAATTTGTGATGCAGTTTTACCTTGGGATGAAGATTTGTAATGCATAAACTGCAATTACTACGAGTACGATACTTTTGCAATTCATAACACAATGGGCAGTTGGAAGGAATCGAAGATTGTGTCGTTCATCTCTACGGGGTAAAAATTCGGGTTTTTCGTAACCATCGCTGTTACTCCTCCACTATGCGACGCTAGCCCTCCGACAGAAGCACCACTCGCCGTTCCGACAAGATTACTGTTCCTCGGGTACCGGATCCGTTGCCGCTCCAGGGTGAGTTCCTTGGTGAAAACGGTAAGACTTTCGCCGTTTTCTGGATTTTCCTCGACTTCAGACTTCACGATTTTGCCGTCGTAGTCCTTTATTGTCGGGATGAATTGCTGCAATTTTCTCCGTTTCTTCTTGTTCAGTAACCTGCTTGCGGACTTTGCTTTCCGGTTTTGGTTTGCCGGGTCAGCTGCGCCAGCGTCGCCTGTACTAAACGGGGTAGTAGCGGAGGGTGGTGCTGTTGCTGGTGCTGATGCTCCTGCTTCGCCCGAAGGTGCGACAGCAGCTCCTTCTGCTGGCTGTATGTTGCCCGCAGGGTCGGAGGTGTCGGAGGTCGCGGGAGCGGTATTGGTGTTGCTCGCGGTTCCAGCGGCGGCGGCTGTCGTGGACGAGTCTGGGTTTAAAAGTGTTGGATCCTGTGGCGTACCAGCTACCACACCGCTACCGTCGTCAACCACTTCAGTGCCGTCGCCCGCTACCAAATGTTGTCCGTGAAGACCTGTGCTGCTCGCTCCTGCTGTCATGCCCGCTAATAGCAGCTGCTCTGAGGCAAGTTTTATCCTGTGCGCAAGTATCGCGCTCGTGGTAATTGCAGTCATGCATTACAAGTCTTTTTCTATAGGTAAATCCGCATTACAAATTTTGTTTCTCATGCTGAGGAGACAATTTGTAATGCATTTATACGAGTACGATACTTTCGCTGCAATCCATAAGCTTCACCTTATCCACCCAGGGAACCACGCGGACACGGGGGTCGCGGTTTTGGGTGCTGGTCGCGTATGGCGTTCTCAAACGTTACATTCTCAACTGTTACATGATTTGTCATGCAAAATGATCATCAAGATCCACACTATCAAGCTGCTTCGCATGACAAATTTGCGAATGGCTAAACAGCGCCCAAATCTGTTCGGAATTTGTAATGCTACAGATGCAGCCTCCCTCCTTTCACTTTTCCCATTCTTGCATGACAAATCCATGTAACACTTGAGAATGTAACAGTTGAGAACGCCATATCGCGGCGCCTGCTGTTGTAGTCCAGGTGGACAGGTCTGCTGGAGGAGCAGCTCCACCGGCAGCTGTTGTTGTGCCTGCAGCTGTTGTTGTACCAAGTAGAAACAGGTCCGCCTCTTGTTCGTTCTGTAGCAAGCTGGCACAGGAACTCGTCGTGAGGGGCGGCGGCGTGGCCTGGGTTTTATTTTATCGTGTTTTTGTTACATTTACAACAGATTTTTTTGTCATGCACAGCGACAACGCGGATTAGCAGCAGAAGATTTTCAGCTACTTCTTATCATGCAGTAAATAAAGCACCTTCGTGTAGTTCGTTCACCATCAACAGCAAATGCTGAATTCAACATTCAAAGTTACCGCTTCTCCGGGAAGCCGTTGAAAGGGCTCGGAATTTCTCAATTCTTCCATAAGTTCTTCTTCGCTGATCTCCCGAATCCGGTATCCCGGGTCATCATCATCGTGGTACTCATCCTCCTTATACATTGCAAAAGTATCGCGCTAGTCTGAAGCTGAACTGCAAAATCAATACAAATTTTTCATTAGATGAAAAGCGCAATTTGTCCTCATGCTAGGTAAGGTACAAAATTAGATTTGTCAGGCATCCAACTACGATACTTTTGCACCACAGGTGGATACTCTTTCGTGGCGAACGACACCTCCGACGAGGGTCGTTTCCGACTTTGGTACGCATTGGAGACGTGATCGACCGCGGGCCGGTGCTTGATGTAGACTTTCCGGAAATTACTAGCTGCTGTCTTCGTATGAATTGCAAAAGTATCGCACTCGTATAAATGCATTACAAATTTCCTCAGCAAGAGAAATGGAATTTGTCATGCTGATTTGCCTTGGCAACAAGATTTGTAATGCAAGACTTGCATTTATACGAGTACGATACTTTTGCACAGGATACGTCGGCGTCCCAGTCGAACTGCAGGCCTGGGAGGTTCCGGTCAACTGTTGCAGCTTACTTGTACCAGTATTCGACACTCCTGTTCCACCGGGTTTGTAAATCGCGGTTCCCGCAATAGATTCCTGTCGGTTTGTCTCGGACACAGAAACCTCGCAGCTCTGTGGTGGGTAATGCACGCCGATGACGTCGTCGAGCTCGTCGTGGATGCCGTTTGAAGTAGAGGCTGGATGTGATGAATCTTGTAGTTGATGCGTTTCGTGCTCCCTCCTATTCTGCTCCAGCTGAAGATCAGAATTCACTTCTGAATCATTGGAACTGGTCCACGGGAAATTTGACACCGCAGACTCCATGGTCCAGGAACGGTCGCGGGTCAGGATAGAGTCGATCTCGTTGTGGAGCTCCTCCTCAGAAATCGGGGCGGAGGACTGCTTCTCCCGGTCTTGCAAGTTGGCAAGCAGGTGGTGGACCTGATAGATCATTTGTGATGCCAGATTTGCACGACTTGAAGCTTTTTTCTTAAAGCGTCCTCGTTGGGAATCACGCATGACAAACGTCAACTTTTTACTGTTGCTATGTCATACACCGTATTTCTGTACCTTCGTGCTCAAATTATCTCTGGCGTTCAGCCGGTTCCCTCCCAAAGGATCCCGGGTCCCGGGCAACTTCCTGCGCTCCATCTTGGTTATCCATCGGTAAAATACGATCGTAGCCATAGTCATTGCATCAATCACGGATGACATATCGTCAGCATGAGAAATTTCATTTGTCATGCTGAGACAATTTGTCAACATGCAATTACTACGTAGTACGATACTTGTTTTGCAATGCATATCGGTGACCCAGGAGCCAGAAGCACCACCGCCCCCACCACCGTAGGAGAAAGCCCCATCTTATCAGACAAAAAAGTGCTAACGTTCACGGCTTTCATAGATTGTACATATGCATGACAAATTTTGCCTGGCATGCATAATATGCATGACGAATCTGGGCAGTTTTGGGATGCATTACTGCATCACAAATTCCGTTAACGTTAAAACTTTTTCCTGTGATACATCTTCGTCGTCCACTTCGTTTAAATACGCTGTAGATATCGACTGAAGGCAGCGGACAGCGTCGACCCAGGTCTGAATGATTTTTCCGAAAAATATGGATAATTTTCTCTAGGCAGTATTCGCATGCAAAATGAACATCTGTCATGCAGATTCCGATTCATCTACTTACTTCTCGGGAGAAGTATCTAAGTAGTAAGTGCTCTACCTGAAACTTATGCTCATCCTGTTGTTGCTGCAACGCCTTCGCTACTTGGTGCCGCTGCGCCCGCAGTTGCGCTCCGGCATCGATTTGCGCGGCACTCAGGACGTCGGCAACGGCCTCGATCAGTTTCCGGGGATCCACGGAGGGATGGGGAGACGCGGTGACGGCCATTCTCGTTGCTGCGCTGCAGGTCGTTTTTGCCCCTGCGTGCGCGATGAAGGGTTCTACCGACGAAGTTACCGCTATATCAATAGGGAGCTCGGCGCACCTGCTCCTAGGTAGGTCCCGCCATTCTCCACTGATGTCTCTACTAGTTTTGCTTTTGTCCCACAGAAAAAGACGCCCAGTCGAGCGCGGCGTGGGCCACAAATGGTTTCATTCTCTATACGCTATGTTGCTTGGAGCATGCTGGAGGTACGATCGGTTCTTTTTAGTAGTGAAAGGCAGGTACTACAACGCGATAGAAAGAGTGTACTTTATTCGTGACTGCTTTTCTTATTTCCAACTTGGAAATATAGAGAAGATCTATAGGTAGCCTGAAAGAAAGGCACAACACACAATACGCACACCCCCAGTTCGGACTGAAGGAAGGAATGTCAGAGTGGATTAGGAACCAGACGGAAGTTTTTGCGCTACTAGGGATAGAATAAAGATATTATTCACATCCTCCATAACTCCCACGCGTCGCCAGGCGACTTATGGCTGCACCTCCTGCAGCTTCGGGCCGAGTCAAAATCAGCCGCAGACGACCATCACCATCAGTTGTCTTCACCGTGCAGTACTACTATTAAAACAGAGAAGATATTCATTAGATCGCCGCATCTTCAGCGCAGGCTGCTCTTAAAACAGGAACTGCGTGCCATGAACCTCTCATAAACAACTAATGGAGAACATGAGCTTCGTACGCTTACACGCACGTGATCCCAGGCTTAGCAAAGAAGAGTCCGTCGCACTCGTCACGCGGAGTGGTCTTGGATGCTACTACAACTTCACCACCTTTGTTGAATCTTCCGCAATCGCACCATGAAATGTGATACTGGTTTCATCAATCTTTCTTTTGGAAAAAAAAAACAGACTTATTTGCTAGCGACCAACAACTGCGGTATCCCACCGCACAACTTTAGTTTCAATCTTCTCTCTGTTCTGTGCGAGTGCGGCCTTTCCATCTCATAATCTTGAGCTTTAACCACACCAGCCTATAATTCGTGCTGTTTCGCTGCTGCGCTGTCGTTGCTGTAGTTTCAGACCTCATCTCAAACCTATGTATTATATGCAGCAAATCTAGTTTGTAAAAATTGTACAGGCACCCATCTGTCAGAGCCGTTGCATGTTGCATTCTTTTCGCTGCCTCTTCATTTCTCGTTTTTTGAACAAAAAATGAACTGTTTAAAACATTGGGACTAAGTGGAATCTCAGCTTACATTTGAATTATCGGAGACACTTTTCACAGATGAGCCTGACGATGCGCCTCGAGATTGCTGTTTTGTTCCCGCCCATGATCTTCGCGACGCCTCATTTGCAGCTCACCCGTAGTACGCCTCCAGTACGGCGGCGCAGAGTTTCGTCGGTAGTGTGGAAGGGGAAAACCACAAACCAACGCTTGTTCTACTCAATCTTATCACTGGCAAGAAAAGTCTGGTCCTGTGAACATGAACTACAAGCACAATTTGCAATAACAGCAATGCCCCATAGTCGCCCTGAAAATATAAATACCTACAGCAGTGATAAAAAAGGGAAAGCGGAGATGTTCGTGTAAAAAAATCAATATCATAAGATTCCAGTTCAGGTCGTCGGCGAAGGGTGTCACCGCCCCCACCACCGCTTGGCACCGCGCCGGGTCTCCGGTTTTGCATGAGTTGTGCCATTGCGCTATCAGCTTCGAGCCCTTGACCTGCGGTAAAATAAAATTTTTGCAGCTTTGTTTGTCATGCTGCAAGAGGGGGGTAAGTCTAAGTAGGGGTATATTAAAACGCGGGATTTTATTCGTCATGCAGAAACACAAACATGATCAGGAGCAGGTAGAAATGTACAATTAGTCCTAGGGCAGCTAAGCCACAATACATCTGCATCCTGAGTAAAAACGTACCCACACCAGAGTCAGGATGGGGATTTTGCAACACAAACCTAGGAGTTTTGTGAGCCACGCATGACAAGTTGCACTATGCAGTGTAGTGCAGGTTAGCAAGTACAGCCGCATCACAGACTCATCTGCTCATCCTGTTCACAGCATCACAAATTCCAAAACACGATTGGAAATGGCTCTCATGGGGATGCGCATTACAAGTCTTCCTGTCTTTGCAAATCCGCAATACAACTCTGGTGTGGGTACGTTTTTACTCAGGATAATCTGCATCACAAAGAGCAACTACAACGATCTGTACCGCGTTTCCCTTCAAAAACTTTCCGAACGTCTCGCACTCTTGCTGCTGGCGCGCGAGTATCCTCTGCAAACGTATCGTGTTCCTAAGTACTAGTGGCAGCCAAGCATTACAAGTCTTTTTTTTGAGGGGAATCCGCATTACAAATCTTCTTCCCGATGTTGATTAAATTTGTCATGTGGTTTCTACTAGCTACGATACTTTTGCAATGCGTAGCGAGCTCGTCTGGACTACGACCACTACTGGTCGCTAACAAGGCGATGATGTTCCGGTTCTTTGTCATGCTGTTTCTGCTGGATAATTCAAGTTTCTCATGCGTCGGCTCCTTCAGTACTAGCCCTTTCTGCTGTCGCAGGTGCTGGATGTACTCGACGTCCTTCGCACTGTACTTGTATCAAGTGCAAATTATGTCTCGGAGGTCTGGAAAGTTGTCATGCTAAGCTGTGAATATGAAAAATGACACAAACATACTAGAATACGCAGCCACGCATGACAGATTTTTCACCGGAGGTCCTGTGGCTGCGTGACACGCATGACAAACTGCGTTTTTGCATGACAAAAAAGCAACGCTAATATTTTTCCGCAACATGCATTACAAAGCTCGGAAGTATGTGTATGGAAGCTCAGCATTACAACTTTGCATTCTTGTTCCAGACCCAGAATCTATCTTTGGCTTTGCAGTTGGTAACTTGCCGCCCGAAACCAATTTTCCGTCCGACTTTCCCCGTAGCTCCTCGTCGCGGGTGAGTGCTTCCTTTTCTAATTTCTGCGAGGAAGTAGTAGAAGTTTTGCTACTAGTACCGTCATCTTCTGTTGAGTCATTCTTCATGTTTTCGTTTTGCAACTCGTCCAGCGGCACGTATCAACAAAAAAAACCATCTTCCACATCCAGCAATTTGGGTATTGTCATGCAGAACATGCATCAAAGGCAGTACCTGCCATGCAGAGACTGGATGGGGATGGGTGTTTTTTTTGTGGATAGCACATCATACTCCTCGACGACTCGGGACAGTTCGTGGAGAGACGTGCCTGGGATATGTAGAAGTACTGTTTACTTTTTCCTTCAAGGAACTATAGATTGGCAAAACTCGTCTCGCGTCTGCGCGTGAACACAATCGTAGATCATATGCCACATCACGCTGTGCAGCTTGATTCACACAAAACGTAGAACTGGTGCAGGTGTTCACGCAGCCACATGTTGATGTTGTGATCCATTATTTTCATTCCTTATAAGTACCTTTGTTCGCGCCGAGAGATGGTGATTCCGCACGAAAGAGGAAGCCTTTCCTCTCCTGCTGCGCTTGCACCGCTTTCCCTGTTTTGCCCTCTGCTTTGTGCTGCACGAGCACAGCGCCTTTTGCTGTGGCAGTCGGTATTGTGCTGTCCGTCACGAGTTGCATCGTTTGCTTCTTCATTATCCACAGAAGAAGACCCATGCATTCCCATCCATTTTGGTCATGCATGACAAACACAGACCTCAAAGCAAATAAATTCTACATGATAAATTGGATGACACTGAGTTGCCTTTTTTTGTGAATAGTCCTCCGCAGTTCCAGATCCCGCTTTCTTTTCTCGGCTTCCAATTTGAGCGCCTTCGCTTCATCCCCATAGTTGTTGTCGTAGAAGGACTCAAGACTACCAGCGGAAGATGAAGTCTTTAGGGCTCCTCCACCTGCTGCACTCGCAGTGGAAGACGAAGACGATGATCCTCCGCTGTACAGAAAGTCCTGGAGTTGCTGTGTCAGACTGGTCGCCGCAGTGGGCGCGGGGCCGACAGAACTTGACAACAAGTCGACACTAGAAGTTGCTGGTGGTGGATTCTGCAGCAGGGACAACGTAGATGTTTCTGATCTTGTTTCGCTAGGGCCTGATTCCCCGCCGAGATCTCCGCTAAAAGCTGCATCTGGGACTGCTCCACCCGTCGCGGCTTGGGCGTACAAGTCATCCACCGCAACCTCGGCTGAGACTAGGAGGTGTTTCACATACGCGGTAGTGCAAGCCAGCAACAGAACTCGTCGAGATGGAGTTGTCATCGTAAAGGAGGACAAGGTACCTTTCTTCGCGGAGAGGCAGGGTGGGGCCGCCTGGCGGCCCCGGGCGGCACACTCGGCGGAAGTCCTCACAATGTTGACTTGGGCTGCATGATGAGATATCCTTCAACAAAAATGTTGTTACTTATGGTTGCTTCGGATCACTACCTGCTAGTGTACTGATCAAAATTCATACCCAAAGCGAAAAATCGGCTTGACCAGGCGGTAGCGCAAAATCGCAAGAACAGGCGTTGAGCTGGACCAGCAGATCACCATACCTTCCTTTCCCAAGGAGAAGAACTCCATCAACTCTCAGAAACTCTGACCACTCGTCTCCCACGTGGTCTTCTGCGGCTCTGTAGCTGTACCAATATGAAGATGCAACTACGTACTTACTGATCATACCAACCTCATTGCATCTCGCTGTCGCTGCCACTTCTCTCATCTTGCTAAAAACAGATTCTCATACTGATTCTTCTCTCAGAGCTGACGCTCCTTTTTGTGATTTTCTATGGTGCATCTCAGTGGTCCTTGTAGAACAAGGCTGCAGCTGATGCACCATCAGCGGACAGCTTCGCTCCCTTGTGCAAGAAGACTAACAGAGTCTGCGTCCGGCTGGCGATAACGCTTTATTGTTCAGAGTACAACCAAGTGCAAGAACGATAAACAAAGAAAAACCTCCTCATTCAGAGTACGCGAAAAATAAAGTTCACGAACAAGAAGACACAGAAAGATGTCGAGGACCTCGACCACACGATGAGATATGAAATCGTATCAAAACAGCACAACACGGGATGAAGATGAGTGTTACAAAACGAAGAACAGTGGGGAAGAAGATTCTTGTTTGTAGTGGGACAAAAAAGCAGCTGTGGTTTGGCTTCGGTTGTCATCAGAAAGTAGGCGCAGAATAAATATATTTCTTTCAAGAACTATTTGCAGGAGCTTGTACAGAAGTGGTTGTAGTGGTAAGTATCCGTGGAGCAATAGAATCTTTGAAAAGCAGCGTTGTACTTCTGTCAGTCGAGCAAAGCCACCTATCAAGAATTATTGCCTCCATAGCAGCGCACTACAAATGCAGAGTCCTCTCGACCCTTCTGAAAGTGCTCCACAACCGCTTTGAGGAGTGCTTGTTGGGTCTTATTCAAAAATTTTGATAAAATGCTGCAGCCAGCGTGGTCTCTTCTACACGAGCAGCGCATAGCCCTCGTCCTGAAGTTGAAGATCAGAGAGGAGTCAGAAGATAAGTGAAAAAAAACGATTTCTAGTTGTAGCGGTATTTTTATCCATTGCTGAAACGAACTTGATTTTCCTTCAGCAGGAGACACGTTTGGTTATCATTCCTGCTGGTGCTGGTCGCCAGATCCTATAAAAGCAAACACTGCCACAGCTGCCCTCCAAGCAAACTGAGAGGCGTGCTTGTTGTGTTGTCCATATACTGGGGTTAAACTTTCTTTCTAGGACGACGTTGAGAGGAAAGCAAAAAATGCACAACAGAGTACTGTACGTCTTTTGCTTCTTTGCAGGCCATATCACAGGCATGCAGGCCGTATCGCAGGCCTGAGGTTTATTTCTAGCGGGAAATTGTTTGTATTTGCGTGCTGTCTTTGCTATGTCTATCAGCTTGCGTATCGATCGCCCTTTAGCTTTACATAGTATTCTAGGAAAATTAATGCTACCTACAAAAATATTGGGGCTGCTTTTTTAAGTTGTGCGCCTGCGCGCACCAAAACATCATTAAAAATAAAAAGGCGTCGAGCTACCAAGGACCTTTCTTCATAAAAAGTAGCGAAACATCGACTCACCATCTCATCCTGCAGTGCGGGAGTAGCGACTCTGACGTTCTCTTCTAGCAGCTCGACCTTCCTCAGTGTACTAGGTGGTACGCTACGGGGTCCTCTTCTACAACTTTCCGCAAAATTTACTATTCAACATTTTGGAATTGGATTAGGATTATTTACATCTGCCGCCCTTTCACAATCATCACGAGCCCTCGTCGGGCAACCAACTCTATTTTTATCGTTTAGTAGTACTATCACACTTCTAGCTGCAAATAAAGCTTGTTTTTTCCATCAAGAAGAACAAACGCGTATCGCTTTATTACATTTTTTTTTTGGTCGCTAGTTAATGTACTTCTTTGTCGGGGCCAAACTATCACATCCGAAACCACTCAGATTGTCAACATTCTGCAGTGTCGTGCCTCCATAGAATAATATTTGAATTTATGCTTAAAATCACTATACCTTTTCTGCACGAAGAGAATGAAAGCTTTTTTGTCTTTGCTTGTTTTCCACACAATATGTAAGTCTCTAAGTACGACTGCACACCACCAATCCTACTGCTGCACCGTGCGATGACGGGAAAATGAAAGCGTCGCAGGAGCGTCTCATCACCGCGGGTGCAACAGCAAAAATAGTGGCGGTTGTTTGTCGTCTTGATTGTTCGTAGATGGGATTAGTAAAAACCATGTTGAATCCGTGTAGCTTTGTTGTCGTTATTGAAGCCCATACAATTATACTTCTTCTAAAAATTGCAGCTTTCCTGGTGCTGTAAAGAGATACCCTAACCTTCGAGAAGTCGCCTAAAACCTATTTATCGTCTTTACCTGCCGCAAGAACTTGCTCTGCAGACGGGACGAGCAGTGTTCCTACTATTCATCCCGCTGGCATGATGTTCTGACTACTGCACAGCGTCGTTTCGGTCGTGCCTATTCCTGCTGGCAGGCCCCCTTAGTGCAATCCTGATCCTCTACACAAGAACTTAGTTCAGCTATAATAGTGCGTCAACTACATCTGTCTCCTTGGTATACATCGAGTTCGAAAGTTTCATCGAGCTTTTTGCTTTTCGCTTTTTTTTTCTTCATTTGACGGTAATTGTAGTAAAGTACAGTGTAAGTTTCAACTACAAAGGATCTCCTTCAGTTCGAGTGAGTACATCCTATCAAACAAAGGGTCTCCTGCGTGGTGGAATCCTATCAGTGCGAGTCAATACAACGAGTTCTGCGTCTTCCTCGATAGCATCTTGTAGTGCTGGCTGTATGTTGTAAGTACTTGTACTTCGGGCGGTGGTCGTGTAAGAAACTCCTTCTGTGGTCCCAGTTTTTTGCTCTTTCATTCCCCGTGTAGAAGTACTCGCTTTATTCAAATCGGAGCTCGTGGTCCTTCTCCGGTAAAAAACTTCGACTGTTTCGTGGCACTGCTTCTTCTAGAGTTAATAGAGTAACACGGGGCGGAGGTAAGTAGCTGAGTAGTACTTGCAACAGCGCAGATGTGGAACATAACAAGCGGCTTTTTATCCGGTCAACGCCGCGCCCCGCTGCTGGTAGCCCATCTGGTTCGTACCCGGGTAATATCGAGTGCAAATATCCATCTGGGTCTGGGAGAAGATTGCAAGACCTGTCATGCTGATTTTCCATGATGGCTCATGAGGTCTCGCATATTACCAGGCCAAGCATCACAGATTCATCTGTGCTGAGATCTCGATCATGCCTCTTCTACATGAGAAACTGCCTCGCAAAGAGAAGATCAAAAGTGATCTACTATCATGCGACATAGATTTTATTTTTAGCAGTCCAGCCTTAGCATGACAAGTTCCACTCTTTGAGACGCAAACATATTTGCAGTGCCTAGGTAGGGGTTCATGGGTTGGCAGTGCACGTGGCCGCTCGCCACCTTTGCCGGGACAGTCGGGTCGCCATTGGTTGTCGCGTCCTATGCATTGCAAAAGTATCGCCGTTACTTCTACTTGTACAAGTTGCATTACAAATTTTCTCAGCATGAAGAATCAAGTTTCTCATGCTGAATTATCTTGGGGGGCTTATTTGTTATGCATATAATCCGCATCAGAAATTAGTAGTACGATACATTTGCAATTGATACGTCCACCTGGAGGCTGATGTGGCTCAGGTTCACGCACAGCTGATCGCCACAGGACATTTTGAAGGGCTCTTTGGGGAGGGTCATCAGGTTCTCGAAAGACTCGTCGGTCGCAAAAATGAAAGCAAGAACTCGGTTGACGTAGGTGATACCTTTTTGAATCGTGAAAGATTTGAGGATTGGAAAAAAATAGTGTTGGATAAAATTCCTCCCAACGTCGCACTCATGAAGCGCAGATGAAGGTGGGACCAAAGGCAGGATGACAAACTCAAAATAAAAATTATTTTGAGTTAAGAAGGGATAGCCAAAAATATCATGATCATCATGCAATAAAAAAGTTGATCTAGAAGCGGTTCGTAGTTTGAAGAGTACTTTCATATGCTTCCCCCGGCTTGATCATCTTGATGGCGGCTTGCGCATCATCTTTTGTGACATCCCCGTTATGCAGTGCAAAAGTGTCGTACTCGTATAAATGCATTACAAATTTCATCAGCATCTGAAATAAAATTTGTAATGCTGATCTACCTCAAGAAAAAGATTTGTATGTAATGCACAATTGCAATACGAGTGCGGTACTTTTGCACAGGATACCCGTACCAATAGACGCATTTCGAGTCTTCGCCCAAAACTGGGTCATCGCCTTTGTGGATACCTTTTGGATTTGGATCGAGTTGTATTCATTAAGTACGCATGACAGATTCGCCTGTCTTGCACATGTCGTTTTTTCAAACCAAATATTCCCTCTATACCTCTCGCCAAGTGTTCCAGCACGTTCTGTAGTGAATCCGGTGTGGCAAATATCCAAGGGAAAAACACCATCACATTCAGACTTTTGCAAATTATTTTGCATTAAGATATAAAAAAATTCCAAGACAGAAAAATTTTTGTAGTATTGCAGCAGCATAAGACTGTGACGGATTTTCGCGCATGAAAAAAATGATTGTATAAATGCAGAAATGTGCAAGATTGATTGGGATCGTGTTCTTATGTTGCGTAGCAAAGAATTCGCTGGCCCTTGGGTGCGCGTACCTTGTCCACGCTTCGACACAGGCTTTCAAGGCCTCTTCATCTCGGGGTAGGAAGTCCTGCAGCCGTCTTTTCGAGGTGCTGTGGCTCTTGTTTTGCTGTACAGCAGGGTTACCAGTTTCGTTGGAGGTCTTACTGTTGTTCGAGTTCAGATTCGAACTCGCGGAGGCCCTGTTGAATGTGCGAAAACGAAACTTCATTTTGTACGTACAAGTACAACTACATTGAACTCTACAAAATCGCGAAATAATCCAACGAATACGTAAAACCGGTAGCCACGAACTGCAGCTCCGTATTCGATTTTCACCGAATCGTACCGGGGCTAGCAAATGAAAAAATTTACAGAATCGATACTTTTTTTTGTCTGGTTTATCTTGCTTGCCACCCCACAGGTCCTGCAATACGCTCAAAGGGTTTTCGGAGCAGGCACGGCGCTATGCAGGGAAAATGCAGTTTGTATTTTTGCAGACACCTTTTAAAGGCAGCTGTTGCTTTTGTTTTAGAGAGGGAAGAGGAGCATGACAACATTGCAAAAGACGGCTTAGTCAAGAGCTCTTGCAGTGAAATCATACAGATCATGCGCAACAAGAATCATACGAAGCTGACTGCAGTCAGCCTCAGACGTCAACATCTCGTCTTGTGGGACGACCATGCTTGTTCGTGTGCTCCTGCTGGCCCATATCGCCAAGCAAAAGCGAAATCGCGACAGTAGCTGCTGCAACAACACTGCACTTTCCGAGGATACACACGAGAGGAACGGCATTTTGTGGTAAACAAAAAATCGAAATCAGCGTAGAATTCTCCTGCAGTCAGCGCCGTGGAGACAAGAAGAACAGAAAGGAGAGGCGCGGTTCCGCTCCCGGTCGATTCTTCATAAATAAAAGTATAAATGGAAGAGTAATTGATCTTATTTTCTTAGACTTTGTATCTTCGCAGCTAAAAACAATTCTATTCGTTGTCTTTCAATACTACAACAACTTCTGCAACTCTATTGTATTGAGTTCCCCGAAACCGAATACAACGCCTGTGAACGCTAAGCGTGTGTCCTACTGGTGGTCGCGCCGTCAAAATTAGATTACAATCGAATCAGTAGTGACAGCCTTTACAACGAGTACGAAGGAAATAACGAAATATCTCTTTTATGTTACAGGGAGTTGGCCTGCTAGATGGACTTTATTTCTGTACTTTGAGGTGGAGTTAGAAACGCTGACATAAACAGGCTAAAGGCAATCTTGCCTTGCTCGTTCTTTAGATCGACACATCTTGCTGATGCTGATCTAGATCCCGTGATGCGCCAGTAGGGCGCACCCGTGCACGTGTCCTCTGTGTGAACAGATCATCACATCAACAGGCAATATAGTGTAGATTGAAAACCTACTAGTACCACAACGCTACTTCTACAATTGTTTGTAAATACCCAGGAAACTGCTCTCGCGCCCTAGGTCGGTGTCGCGTGCGGCGCCGGGCGCAAAAGGACAAGCCCAAGCGATGAAATACAAAACCGGAGCAAAGGTGCAGGCTCCCGACGATTGAAAAGAGCGAGCCCACCTATGTCTGAGGGCCAGCCAACAGTGATGGACCCGAGGAACGCGCTGGAAGTCAGAGAGCGAAAACAGGCACGGCGGAACAATCCGAACAAAAAATATCGGGGCAACACGACAGGCCACCAGCCTGTGCGCAACTCTCCTCCGGGAGCTCGGCGCGTGGGCCCGGCACCCGGAAGTGGTGCGCAGGCACACACGACGCACGGGCACGGACTCCTGGTTGCAGTTTTATGTCATCTGCCCCGCACACTATGTATTCAGAGGCACCAAACGCTGCGAGACCTTCTTGAAATATTTGCATGGAACAAGCGATAATTGCAACACTCACCACACTAAGCACCTCTACTTCGAACAATCTCAACAGCCCTGCTGCGTTTGCACCACTTTGATCATCTCTGTCTGCTCTGAAAATCAACACTTTTGCAATTTTTTCATCTCTTTCGATGTCGAATAACTACTTAAACTGCGAAGAGAGCAGAGCGCGAGGGCGATTCTTATGAACTTTCTCAAACACCATCAATTAAATTCACTGACACGGATAAAGTGGTCCTTGCAATCCGTTGTTGACAGTGAAACAACATCCAACACACAACAAGAATCAACGCCACGGATCAATCTGGTATGGGAGCTGTACCAAGCTGAATGACCACGGACTCGGCGGACTCTTATCTTCTCGATAGCTGTATCTATGTATGATCTGCAATGTGGTTCTTTTGAGTACTCTGCGATTCTTGCGAACGACCGTGCATATTCGTATGAGGCCGCATGAGGACACCCATTCCCATCATGTTAATCTCTACAACTTTTCACAGTTCCTCTCCTCGGTCGTGGCGATCACTTCTTCACCCCCGCATGATCACCACCAGCGCCATCCGCAATCTCCACGACTTGTTCGGGAATGATTTTCATCAGATCGGACTTCCCTTTTGCGTCGGCAGCTGCGTCAGGGTCTATCTCCACTTCCTTTTCCGGCTGCGCAGCATCCTCGCTTTGTTCCGATTTGTCTTTCGCAGATTCGTAGTCTTGCTCCCGCTGCTCGTCTTTCGCGATATCTTCCCCGGTAACGCGATCTATCTTCTTGTCTTTATCATCGTCTTTCGTGTCAGCCTTGTCGGCATCCTTGTTGTGCTCTTTTTCTCGGTACGGCTTCCATGTCTTGGCGGGGTGTTCGTCTTTTTTACTTCTAGCGGAATCAGCTTCACCGTCGCGCTCGTGGTGCTCCTCCTCCTCATCATGATGTTGGTCTTCGCCTTTATCTTTTTCAGCGACCTTGTCAGATGATTTGTCCGGTTTCTTCTCCTCCTCGTCTTGCTCGGGAGTACTAGCCCCTTTTTTCTCATGCTCGCCTCCGCCAACCGCGCTTTCCGCTTTTTCCTTTTGCTCCTTGACTTCCTTTTTCAGGTCTTTCAGGTCGTCTTTCAACTCTCTCCGTTCCTGTTTCCACTCTTCGCGTTCTTTTTTCAGAAGCTCTAACTCCGTTTCCACCGGGCTCAGCTTCTCCTTCACTGCCTTCTGCCGTTCCTTATGCGATGCAAAAGCATCGAACACTTACACTAGTAGTACTTGCATGACAGATTTGTCCAAAAAAAAATATTGAACTTGTTATGCAAAGTAAGATAAAAGAGCAGATCTGTCATGCTGCGAGACCTGTATCTATACGACGATTACGATGCTTTTGCATTGCATATTCCTTTTCGGCCTGCAATTCCTTCTCCAGCTCTGCTTCCCTCGCGTGCTGCCGCTTGTAGTCCCGTGCGACCATGTTGTCAATCTGCTTCTGTTATGCATTGCAAAAGTATCGTACTAGTATGAATTGCATCACAAAGTTTGTCAAGAAGAAAAATGCAATTTGTAATGCTGTTTTACCTTAGGAGGAAGATTTGTCATGCATGTTTGCAACTAGTACGAGTACGATACTTTTGCAATGCATATCTGCGCCGTCATCATTAGGTCGCCCGAGGGCAGCTCGATGCGCAAGTCGCTGGCGTCAATGTCCTCGTCTTTCGAGCCCGCGCCACCGGTCACCGACCCCTGCTTCAGAGCCTGTTGCACCCTCGGGTACTCGTTTTCCAGTGCGTTGGTGATGGCCGGTATCCACAGTAAATTTTCCGTACACGTACAAATGTGGTTTCTGCATGACAAAACTTGCCTTCAATCCTAGTGCAGCATGACAAGCTGGGCTCTGCAAGGAAGCGAAATTTGTCATGCATTTTGTTTTTGTACATGCACAGGAATAAATTTACGTTGCATAGCCGGGTCCTTTTCTTCCATGTTCGCCTGCTCCCCCTGGAACCAGGAAGGCACTTTCCGGGCACGGAAAGTTGTTGAACTCGCAGTGCCCCTGTCTCCGGCGCCGCCCGCGGCGGTGGGGGTGGGGGCAGGGGAAGGATTAGCATCGGTCGGCGGGGCAGATTTTTCTGGCGCGGGTGAAGATGTTGTACTAGTAGCACCATCTTCTGTAGCACCATGCTCATCATGATCTGCATCCTCCTCCCAGCCTTCATGGTCTTCATGCTCGTGTTCGTGCTCCTCGCCTTCGTCCTCTCCGCCTTCGTGCCACTCGTGGTCCTCCCCACCGTCGTCGTGTTCATGCTCATCCTCCGCCGCGCCCCCGTCCTCGCCTTTCTGCAAAACGGAACTTGGTCGATTGCTAGAGCTCCTGCTCCGTGTTTGAGGTCCGCTTGTTCTCCCCTTTCTTCGCTTCGCCCTGGCGGTTCTTGTGGCATGAGACGGGCCTGTATGTAAAGACGGGGAGGAGCTCTTACGCGCCTGCAGCTTGTTATGGATGTGTCAGAGTTGAAATCGACAAAGTTGAAATAATTTGCCATGCATAAAATGGATGCCAGTTGGAACCCACTTTCTAAGTGGCGCATGACAAATCTTGGCGGCCCTTAAATCCAGTTTGTCGTGCTGTTTAGGCAAAGAAGAGCGATTTTCTCATGCTACTTTAGCAGCTCGAGCTGTAACCCCAAACAGGCTTACAATCGGCCTCACTTGCCTGCTCTGCAACGCACATACCTCGGGTCATGCATTTTATGCATTACAAATTATTTCAACTTTGACGATTTCAAACCTGACGCTTCCATACTTGTGCAGTACCTCTCGCCGATCATCGTCTGTTTCTGCGGTATATCAAATGTAAAAATGTCTGGGTCTGGAAAATTCTAAACTTGTCATGCTGTCTCTGGATTCCAGAAAAGTTTGTATTGCATGACCAGCAAAAGGCCTCCAGTTTGTGCTACGTGGAGAGGGCATTTCTCATGCGGTAGAGGCATCGCAAAGTCTTCTAAAAATCTGTGATGCTAGGGCATGCATCACAGACATCATGGGTAATTCAAAACATGCATGACAAACCTGGCAATCTTCCAGACCCAGACATTTTTGCATTTGATACGGTATCCTGGTCGTCGTCCCCATCACTGTCAGGTAGCGGCCCATCCCCGTCGTCCGCACTTCTGTCTACTTCCGTAAATGAACTGCCCTCGATGTCACCATGATCCGGTAAGTTCCTAGTTTTTTTCTTGTTCTGCCCCTTTGTAGTTCTCCGGAGACTCGGTTTTACAACGTGGCGCAGCTGCATTTCATCCGGACCACCAACTCCGCCTCTAGTACTCAACCTTTCGTGTCCGCGATGCCTCGGCGCGGTGGAAGCAGATCTGGTAGTGCTGTCGCCGTAGAAGAAATCTTCTTGATCAACATCATCTGCATGACGTAGTCCATCTCCTGTGCTGTCAGCAAGTTGCAAACTACTCGCGGCTGACGGTCCCGCCGGAAGGTTCCTGTCAGATGAAGTCGTGTCGCCGCCTGTAGTACCAGTGCCCAACTTTGTCAACCTCGGTAAATCCACATTCGCGATTTTCTGTGCCGCATCCAAAACACTCTGCACCCTCCTCCGGTACTGCTTCGCCTTGATATCCATGATCCTCATCGAGTTTTGGAAAGCGTCCATCGCTTTATTGTAAACCACTTCCATCCGCGCCGCCTCGTTCTGCGCCCGCTGCACGTAGCTCATGTCAAACACGGACTGCCACAATTCGGAGAAAAAATTTTTCGCGTCCGCTTGCACTTCCTCGTCGAACAAGGGGCTCTTCACGGGCACGATCTTGCAGCTGTTGGACTGCTCGCTGTAGCGACACAGGTAGTCTCCGAACGCTTTCCCTTCGTCGGTGTGCTTCGCGTTCGCGCTTAACCGTTCGACATTCATGCATATCCGGTACCGCCGGGCAATCTCGGCATCCGTGGTTGAGGAGGTGAAAACGATCTCGTCGCAGGGTCGGGGCAGACACACCTCCTCCCCCCGCTTCTTTGCGTGCTCCTCGCCGGAAAGCGAGTAGCCTTCGTAGTACCATTTCGGTGCGTTAAACCCGTCTCTTTCGGTAAGTCGACAGACGTCGTTTGGCTCGCAAATGTTGCCCGCGTTATTGTCGCCTTGGTTGGTTTTGATAGGTGCGCACACGATTGGCACGGATATGTGGTTGCTGTACCTTTCAATCTTGTTATTTGCATTTCGCAACTCCTCTAAAAGCGGAGGGACTTTGTCCGGACAGGCGACGGACTTTTGGAAACCGGACTTTACGCAATACGCTTGGGGAGACTCGAACTCCTGCAGCCGGATTGACGAACCGACTTCAATTTCTTGCGGAACAGCGGGTGTAGTTTCATTTTGTTGATCCTGTTCCGCCGAGGGAGCTGTAGCGTCCTCGCCGTCTCCTGCCCCACCCGAGGGAGACGGATCATCTACTTCTGGAGTCGGTGCTGGTGGCTCCGGATCTACCGGTTGTCGCTCCTGTTCCGACGAAGATTTGCTATCGTCATCTGGTGCGCCACCACCTTCGTCTGCTGGTGATGGCGCCGGCCCTGGATTATCAGCTCCTTCAGGCGCTGGTGCTGGCTCGCTTGGTCGTTGTGACTCCGTTTCAGCATCTGCCCCACTGGCAGCGCCGCCGTCCTCTGCGCTTTTCTCATCTGCTGGTGTTGTTCCCGCCTCGTCAGAAGGTGCAGCAGGCTCCGCCGCTTTCTCGTCTTGTTCTTTCGGCTCTTCCGCCTCTCCTGCATCTTCATTCGTGGTCGTTTCAGGCGTAGCAGGAGTTGTACCACCATCACTGTCTTGGGACGGATATCCCGTGCAAAAGTATCGCACTCGTACTAATCGCAACTATGCATGACAAATCTCTCCTATCTCAACCTCAAGGTAACTCAGCATGACAAATTTCATCTGTAGTCGTGCTGAGCAAGTTTGTAATGCAATTTCCACTAGTACGATGCTTTTGTAAGTCATAACGGAGCGCCGTCCTCTCCGTCTTCCTTCCTTTCCGCTTCCTCCTTTTCGGTCGTGGCGTATCCAAGAAAAAAACGTAGTTAGTGTAAATTTGTGATGCGCAACATTCAAGATGATTGCGTCTGTCATGCTTGGCATGCATCGCAGGGTCCATTAAAGGGCGTTTTCACGTACTATCTGCGCATGACAGGTTTTTGCTGTCATGCCAGACAGATTTGTAATGCTGTTCCTCCAAAAAAGTTACACCTACAATGTTTTTTGTCTTGGATATGGTGGCTGCTTCCTGAACACTGGGTGTGTTGGAGTGTTCTGTATCTCCGTCTTTTGCCCGTTGTTCGTAGAGCTCCTTGTCGAAAGCGTCCTCCTCTCTAGATAGGTACTGCCTTGCGTCGGCCGCGCCTGGAAAATGGGTGGTGACGTAGAGGAGACACACACGACGTAGGGTCTTTACGTTTATGGTGATGAAAATGAAAAAGTTCCAAAAATGCACTTTCATATTGTACGTAGAAGCGAATTAAAAACTTCAGCGGTAGGAGAACAAGCGTAGGAAAAACGTATTGCGCAGCTATTTTTACGGTCGCGGCCGCAAGAGGGATTATCATTATGAATGTTCATCTTCATCTTCGACAATAAACGACAACACTTTTTGAAGAAGAGAATCGGCACGGTAATCTATCATCCTTCCCGTCGTGACCGAATTTTGCCTGACCGACCTCGAGAGGAGATCTTGTGAAGATCATGCGCTCCTTCGCGGTTGTCGTCACACATTGAACCACGGCGGCCGCGGCGCTGTTGTATGAAGATCAAAAAACGCAGAGACACACACAAACGAATAGACGAGAGCAGCTGCAGCAGCAGATGTTGGCACAACTTTTACTTTTTGTCGTGTACGTACGATTTTTGCTACTCAGTATGGCACGACTTCTAGACCAAAGTCAAAAAGTGACTCGGGTTCTCGTTTCGTATCGTTTTGTTTCCAGCAAGCGGACGTTTTCTTTTTCACGCGATAATATTACTTCGATCGTTCTTTCGTATTGGCATTTCGAAATACACTTCCATTTGGATTTCTAAATCCTTGTGCTAAAATTTCTATGTACGATGTTAAAAATTCAAACTTTCCCTCGGCAGGATGAAAGCGTGCAGATCATGAAGCGACGGTCTCAGATTTGATTCGCCGCCGCGGCCGCCGTGGCAGAGGCAGTGGCCCGCGCAGAAGTTGCGCCGTTGGAGGTGGTACTACCTTGATGGCCTAGTTGTTGCCCGGCAGTAGGGGCCGCAACTGGGGGCGGGGGCGGCAGGATGAGGATCTCCTCGACATTCGGAAACTGGAGATGTTGTAGTTCTTGGGCGTGTCTGTCTTGCTGATCCTGCATCACAACCTCTTCCCCTGTTTCTTGTCCAGTAGGGCTACTACTACTTCCTTCAGCAACCTCAAACACAAACTGGTTCAAATCGAATCGCCCCGGCTTCGTGAAGTGTGCGGCCAGGGCGATTTTCTCCACATTGCCAGGGTACAAGACACACTTGACATCCGCGAACCCGATGTATTCGAAATCAAAATTATTGCTCGCCAACTTCACCGTGACGTGCAGTGCGTGAGCATTTGCTGGTGCTACACCCGGCGCCTGGTTTCCAACTGTAGTAGTTGCTCGGCCGGTAGAACTTCTTCGCGGCAGTGCTGGCAAGTTGCAGTTTTGTAGGAGCAAGAAAATATCCGACAGCACCAGTCCTCCGAGCTCGAAGGCCGCCTGCTGGGGAGCGGAAATGGCCATGCGGAGTTTCGGCTTTGCATTCTCGTTTCCCCCAGAGGAGGTCGACGACGAAGTGTAGAAATTGTGCAGAAAGAAGTCCCCACAGCGGATCCGCTGCGGTAAAACGGCTTGGTTTGCGTGTTCACGCGCCCCACTAGAGGAGCTCTGCTGGCTGTAGTGTTCCCATTCGCCGCACAGGGAAACGGAAAGCAGTTCGCGGAATGCAGCGGTTCTAGTAGTTTTCGATCTGTTTGCATGTGACGATGCGACGACGTCGTGGAGAAAGCGTTGTCGCCCCTCGGCCCACCCGGTTTTCAGCCCTACTGGATGAGCGCCGTCAACACTAGTCATAGCAGAAGCGCTGTTAGGCTCCTGATCGTGATCCAACCCCTGCCCGCCACTGACGAGAAGTTTTTCCAGTTTGTCCGCTATCGTAGGTATCGTGTACGCGAAGTAGCCCTCTTGGAGACTTTTTGTCAGGGGCAACTCGAAAAGCGCTTCGTGGTGGGTTGTTTCGGTGGAGGAGGTGGATCGACGCAGGTTTTTAGGATCATCGAGAGGATTATCGTTGTTGTTCATCATTATCGATTTCGACGCATAGGATTGAAGTTTCAAAAAAACGCGACCTTGTCGGAAATGCGGTTTGCTTTTCTTCGAGGAGGAAGACGGCGCTGCTTTGTTGTCCTGCGTTTTCGATTGAACTGGATCTAATCAGAATCAATTTCATAAAATCCAACCGCCTTGTCAAACTTTTCATTCCAAGCGCGAGCGAATATTGCTACGATTCACGAAAAAAATACATCTTTGCGTGACGGTTGCAAAAGCTGCAAGTCGGGTATTGTCGGCTGTGAGACTATGTGCGTGTGCGTGTGCGAGTGTGCTTGCACATTTGCACATTTGCACACGCACACGCACACGCACACGCACACGCACACGCACACGCACACGCACACGCACACGCACACGCACACGCACACGCACACGCACACGCACACGCACACGCACACGCACACGCACACGCACACGCACACGCACACGCACACGCACACGCACACGCACACGCACACGCACACGCACACGCACACGCACACGCACACGCACACGCACACGCACACGCACACGCACACGCACACGCACACGCACACGCACACGCACACGCACACGCACACGCACACGCACACGCACACGCACACGCACACGCACACGCACACGCACACGCACACGCACACGCACACGCACACGCACACGCACACGCACACGCACACGCACACGCACACGCACACGCACACGCACACGCACACGCACACGCACACGCACACGCACACGCACACGCACACGCACACGCACACGCACACGCACACGCACACGCACACGCACACGCACACGCACACGCACACGCACACGCACACGCACACGCACACGCACACGCACACGCACACGCACACGCACACGCACACGCACACGCACACGCACACGCACACGCACACGCACACGCACACGCACACGCACACGCACACGCACACGCACACGCACACGCACACGCACACGCACACGCACACGCACACGCACACGCACACGCACACGCACACGCACACGCACACGCACACGCACACGCACACGCACACGCACACGCACACGCACACGCACACGCACACGCACACGCACACGCACACGCACACGCACACGCACACGCACACGCACACGCACACGCACACGCACACGCACACGCACACGCACACGCACACGCACACGCACACGCACACGCACACGCACACGCACACGCACACGCACACGCACACGCACACGCACACGCACACGCACACGCACACGCACACGCACACGCACACGCACACGCACACGCACACGCACACGCACACGCACACGCACACGCACACGCACACGCACACGCACACGCACACGCACACGCACACGCACACGCACACGCACACGCACACGCACACGCACACGCACACGCACACGCACACGCACACGCACACGCACACGCACACGCACACGCACACGCACACGCACACGCACACGCACACGCACACGCACACGCACACGCACACGCACACGCACACGCACACGCACACGCACACGCACACGCACACGCACACGCACACGCACACGCACACGCACACGCACACGCACACGCACACGCACACGCACACGCACACGCACACGCACACGCACACGCACACGCACACGCACACGCACACGCACACGCACACGCACACGCACACGCACACGCACACGCACACGCACACGCACACGCACACGCACACGCACACGCACACGCACACGCACACGCACACGCACACGCACACGCACACGCACACGCACACGCACACGCACACGCACACGCACACGCACACGCACACGCACACGCACACGCACACGCACACGCACACGCACACGCACACGCACACGCACACGCACACGCACACGCACACGCACACGCACACGCACACGCACACGCACACGCACACGCACACGCACACGCACACGCACACGCACACGCACACGCACACGCACACGCACACGCACACGCACACGCACACGCACACGCACACGCACACGCACACGCACACGCACACGCACACGCACACGCACACGCACACGCACACGCACACGCACACGCACACGCACACGCACACGCACACGCACACGCACACGCACACGCACACGCACACGCACACGCACACGCACACGCACACGCACACGCACACGCACACGCACACGCACACGCACACGCACACGCACACGCACACGCACACGCACACGCACACGCACACGCACACGCACACGCACACGCACACG